CCTTATTGTGTCTGGACCTGGTGAGTTTCCCCGTGTTGAGTCAAATTAAGCCGCAGGCTCCACTCCTGGTGGTGCCCTTCCGTCAATTCCTTTAAGTTTCAGCCTTGCGACCATACTCCCCCCAGAACCCAAAGACTTTGATTTCTCGTAAGGTGCCGATTGCGTCAATAAAAGAACGACAACCGATCCCTAGTCGGCATAGTTTATGGTTAAGACTACGACGGTATCTGATCATCTTCGATCCCCTAACTTTCGTTCTTGATTAATGAAAACGTCCTTGGTAAATGCTTTCGCAGTAGTTAGTCTTCAGTAAATCCAAGAATTTCACCTCTGACAACTGAATACTGATACCCCCGACCGTCCCTATTAATCATTACGATGGTCCTAGAAACCAACAAAATAGAACCATAACGTCCTATTCTATTATTCCATGCTAATATATTCGAGCAAAGGCCTGCTTTGAACACTCTAATTTTTTCAAAGTAAAAGTCCTGGTTCGCTACAAGAGCTAGCCAGAAGGAAAGGCTCGGTTAGGTCCAGTACGCATCATGAAGATGGACCGGCTAACCAAGCCCAAGGTTCAACTACGAGCTTTTTAACTGCAACAACTTTAATATACGCTTTTGGAGCTGGAATTACCGCGGCTGCTGGCACCAGACTTGCCCTCCAATTGTTCCTCGTTAAGGTATTTACATTGTACTCATTCCAATTACAAGACCCAAAAGGGCCCTGTATCGTTATTTATTGTCACTACCTCCCCGTGTCGGGATTGGGTAATTTGCGCGCCTGCTGCCTTCCTTGGATGTGGTAGCCGTTTCTCAGGCTCCCTCTCCGGAATCGAACCCTAATTCCCCGTTACCCGTTGAAACCATGGTAGGCCACTATCCTACCATCGAAAGTTGATAGGGCAGAAATTTGAATGAACCATCGCCAGCACAAGGCCATGCGATTCGAAAAGTTATTATGAATCATCAAAGAGCCCGAAGGCATTGATTTTTTATCTAATAAATACATCCCTTCCAAACAGTCGGGATTTTAAGCATGTATTAGCTCTAGAATTACCACGGTTATCCAAGTAGTAAGGTACTATCAAATAAACGATAACTGATTTAATGAGCCATTCGCAGTTTCACTGTATAATTGCTTATACTTAGACATGCATGGCTTAATCTTTGAGACAAGCATATGACTACTGGCAGGATCAACCAGATAACTACATTAAGAAAATTATTAAAGACAATTCAATAAAGAATCATCAAAAATAAATTCTGAAGTTACTAATGATTGCAAGAAATATATTTCAATTTCTGGTGATTTCATTTAATTTTAATGTTTTACCATCAAATTAAATTAGTCACATCCAAATAGCCTTCTTTAGATTTTCCTGGTATGATGTCCGCTAAACATTATAAATAAATTAATAAATATAGGTTTAACATAACCAACCATGGAGGGAGTTACACTTGAGAAATCACAGAATAAATTCCGGCTATTTAACAAGGCAGACCCCCAAATGGTTTCAGTTTAATACTTGCTATCAGCTAGTAATCCACTAAATCCTTCAGTGCTTATATACGAAATGGTTAGATATTCGATATAAGACTGTTCAGGCTTATTTCTACAAGAGAAATTCACCCATGTTATTATAGCGTAAAGAGTAGTTCATGAATTTTGCATCACTTACAGACTCTCTCCACTTAATAACTTGGCCTTAAACAAGCTTGTCGCAATTCTCAACTTTCGTCAAGTATTACTTTTTTCAAACTCGTCATTTGCTTTCGCATAAATATCCATTCGCTGAATTGTTGTGAGTAAAAAAGTTGTATCATAGTTTTATGTTTTTTAGGACATAAAAAAGTGTTGTTTTTTTCATTTTTTTTTCCACGTCGAGGCTCTACGTCGAATTAGGTCGATTTTTCGACCCAAAAAAGTGAAATGGTAGCAGAAAAATTACCGGATTAGGTAATTTTTTTTCTCGCCCTAATTTTTCGACCCATTTTTTGGTCGACTTTTCGCATACACTTTTGAATTAGGTCGATCCTTCTCCCTGTTCTTGAAAATTATCACGTGATCAAATTACTACTACTCATCTCAAGTACACTCACACTAATTTTTTCCTCCCACTTTATAGTCTACTTTATTTTACACTCTTTCGGTTGCGGCCATATCTAGCAGAAAGCACCGTTTCCCGTCCGATCAACAGTAGTTAAGCTGCTAAGAGCGAGACCGAGTAGTGTAGTGGGAGACCATACGCGAAACTCTCGTGCTGCAATCTTTTTTTGACCTTTTTTTATTTGAACTATCGTTGTTAATAATATGAAGAACGTTTTCAATACCATCTTTTTATGTTACTGTAGATAACAGCTTATATTGAAATAACATACCTGTATGTCTATCGGATACTGGTAAAGTAGAAAGAGTTGATATAGAAGTAGAACAAAGTGTTTACTTCATCCTACAATATTTTTTTTCAAATGCTCTTATCTAGCAAACTTGATATTTCACTCAAAGTATTTTTTTTTTCACAAGTTTTTTTGTTCACAAAATTAATTTATTTTCAACATTTTTTGTATCAAAATTGAAATAAATTTTTTCAACTTTTTTACACCACTTTTTCTTTCTAAGTACACCAAAAATGCTATATATTATCATTATATATCACAAAACTTCGGGCTGACGCCCGGTTTGACCCCACCCACCCTCCAAGCTGAAAGCTTAAACTTGTCTTCCCTCCAAGTTTGAATGCTTCAGCTTATTTCCCCAATTAAAAAGGGGAAAAGGGAGGGCCGTAGGAGAGGGAAGAAGAGAAAAGAGGGGGGAAGGAGAGAGAACATTGAACCCCGATCGCCCCTAGCTCCTTTATAAATTCGAGGCTTCGCCTCGAATGAGCCAAATCATCCCCCGGTGGTATAAATATTAGTTGCGACTTTTATATATTATAAATTGCCTACTATGGCGTAGTGGTCATTTTTAGCGAAATTTTTTTTTCCAACGGCGTTTGTGGTAGGTTTAAAGTGTAGCGTTCGATTCTCTGTAAAACAATGATATACTAACTTGACAATTCTTATGTATGGCCAGGTTAAAATTTTTTGTATCAATCAATACCCTTAACTATGGGGAATGTTTCAAATTCAACGCGACTTAACACAAAAACAGAGAAAAAAAAGAAAATTGTTAGTAGAAATTCTCGTTATATACAGGATTTTGTGTGTATGTTTCATAATTTGATTGAAGTAGTATGGAAAATATAAAAAAGCGCTTGAAACCAAATAATAAATGCTATTGAAAAACAATAATTACAATAGTTTTGAATAAAATGAATAATTTATTTTTGTTAAAGTTTGATTTAAGCTTATAGGTATCATTTGTAACTACTGTTGGTATGTCTTTCTTCTCTTTCCACTTGTAAATGTCAACAAATTTCATCCTGATGAAGTCATTAAACAAGACTGGATCAGTAGTTTTGAAGACTTTTTCCTTCGATTATGCAATTCAGATTCCAAGCTCGCATTCAACAATTGGTCAATAAAATTACATTCTCTCCACCACATAAGCTGCTGTGTTTGAAAATGATTGACACCGCTTCATAAAGAAAGTACAATTCGCAAATATAGTTCAACAAATGATCAATAGTGCAGTATCTGAAAACTATGAAGTAGTTGATAAAAGATAACCTTGATCACCTTCATGTTTAATTCAATAACAGTACAAAATCATTGAATCTCTAATTTAATGAGTCGCATTTTGTTCATCAATATGTTCACTAGAAATAAGATACATCATCCGCATTCAAAACAGTTCTTTAATAAACAGCGAGATGCAAACGCTATTAAAATTAATAGTTTTGAAATAGAGAGATTGCATAGATTGCAATCAAGTTGAGCAAGAAGTTCTCGATAAATTCAGAAAGTTGAGAGCAAAAAGGCAAATTTTTGAGACCTTCAAACAATTGGTCCTTCGAAAGCTTTATTTCTGTTGTAAGATCTCTTGGCTCCCTCAAATCTACTTAACAACTGCTTGCTATTGCCTCAGACTATTCATTGCTGAGGTTTAGTCAACACTAAAAAATATCTCAAAGCTATGGCTGCATCAAGTTTCTCAAATTATTTTTGATTGACAACATGCGAGATCAATAAAGCAGAGTAACGGAACTTATTCTCCCGCATCGGGTTTTGTCGTTGAAGAGATCTAGTCAAAACGTCAGAATCAAGCGTTAAAATGGACTTATTTTAAAACCTGATAGCAATCGATTTCAATTATTCAATTTGCAGAATGTCAGTTATAATTGTCCATATCTGAAGTCAGTTTTAAAGGTGATACAAGTTGAACTTGTGAAATGAAAATAGTTGATGGACCTCCATTAATTTGAGGTGCAGCTGTTAATATTTCAAAAATTGATTCCTTCTCCGAGTTGTTTAGTTTTCAACCCACGAGGAAGTTTTTCATTATATGAACAAAACCAAACACCAGAAAAGGCAAAGGGAAAACAAAGTTTGTAGAATACGCAAGAAAGATTTAAAGCTCAAAAGTTGCAAAGTTTTTATGATGTGTCTATTGCTGTCTTTCAACATTTACTAAAGCCATACTTGCAAATGCAAGCTGAGGTGCTCACGTACTTTAAAGAGCCAAATTTTCAATCATCATGATACAATTTTCTTTCGACATAGTCTCAAAAAGCACTATGTCAGTCTGAAGTTTGTAGCTAAATAAACAATCTCACACAACATTCAGTACTGATAACCTTTTTGAGCAGATAAAAGGATAATGATTCTTTCAAACCAAATTTGGCTGAAACTATTTGATAACTTCATCTTTAGCAAAGAGCTTTTTTGTAAGCTTTAAGAGTCTTGGGATGTCATAAAATTGATCATAGCAGTTCAACTTTTTGAAAAAGTCCAAGCAGATAAACGTGATGTCTCTACAAACTTGGTATCATAATTTGTTCGTTATATCAAATAAATAAAGGTATAAATTTTGAAACAAAATCTAATTAAACAACTCTATATTAAATCTTCAGTAATATCGTCATCAATGTACTCATCATCTTTATTCATTCTGTAAATAGTCATAGCCATACTTGCAAAATTTAATCCACTCATTAACCAATCCGGTACTCCAATAGAATTTAATTCGATAAGATTGAAAGTAAAATCTAATAAATTACCAATTAATTCTAAAATGAGCATCATTTTATCAAATTTTAAATCTTTTAATATTTTATTATATTTTTTGTTTATGTCTTCACTTAAAGTTGACTTTGTTACTGAGTTGTCATTTAATATTTTCTTTTCAATGTTGACTTTTCTTATTTTTCTTATCACGTTTAATAATTGTGATATTGTTTTTCTAATCAAAAATATCAAAATTAAAATCCATAATTTGTTGGTTTGTTTTAATAAGTTTGTTAAAAATTTGGGAAACATTGGTAAATTTGAAAGTAAATGTAAATTATCTAATAAGTTGGCGATATTCTCCAAGAAATTTATAAACATATGTTCCAATTGTTTAAATGTGAATTTTTTAGGATTGTAATATTTTTTGATCGATTTTTTGGAATTTGATTTAGTTGTTGAGTCTTTATCTGAGTTCAGTGAATTATTTGTAGATGCTGGTTTTATTGAATTATCTATATCAAATTTATCAAATAACGGCGGGTATTTTGGTATTGGCTTATTAATGATTGGTAAAGTTTGAAACTTATTGAATTTAGTTTTCAGTTCTTCTTCTTGCTTTTTGGATAATATATCTTGTAATTTATTTAATTTATCTGAAGTTATTGATGAATTACCTTTTGCTTGTTCTTGTTTAGCTAAATTTAAAAGATTATTTATAATTTCTTGTTTTGATGGTTGACCTATAACTGATGTTTTTAATGGAATTCTTTGATGTATGTGATTGTTATTACTATTGTAGTTGCTTATATCTATGACTGGATTCTCCAAAGTTGTTGTTGTTGTCATTTGTGATATATTAAAAATTAAATCTCTTATAACAAGATGGAATTAAAAGTGGGGAGGTGTTTTTTTTTTACAATACCTATTTCTTTTTTAGTTTCCAGTAGTAAAAATTATCACGTGAATATTATGTATAATGCTACTAGACTACAACAAATTTTAAAATTGATAAGATTAGAGTAAAGTTTAAGTTTATACTTCAGCTATCGTAAGCTATCATTCAATTCATTAAAATAAGTCGCTACTATACAACAATTTCATGAACTTCCTAATTTAGTTAAAATTTTAATCATATCTTCACACCATAAAATATAATTATTATCTTTACTTATGCTATCAAGCTCACTACTATTGTTATTATTATACAATTGAGATTCATCAAGGAGTTTTTCTTTCTCTTGTAAGTCCTTTTGTATAATCTCTATCTTGGTCTGTAATTCTCTAATTTTTTTTTCTTTGTCACCAATTATTTGGTCCATTTCATTTGACTCATTCTCAACAATCTCTTTGGCTTGACTGTTAATTTGCGAAGTTGAAGTCCCAATATTCGTATCAATTCGAAATTCATCATCACCTATTATATAATCTACGAATTCTTTATACTCTGGATCTTGTTCCTCTTCATTTACTAAATTTTCAAACTCTTTCTCTATTTCTTCCAACTCTTCTATAGTCAGTTTTACACTGTTTTGCTTTGCATTAATTGATTCCAAAAGTACTTTCACATCCTCAACTTCTGCTTTCAATTCATATACTTTATTTTCCATTTCAAGTTTTAAATTTTTCAATCGTAATTTCAAATTATTATTTTCATTTCGTAATTCTTCATTAATCGTATCATTGAAGTTCATCAACTTTTCATAATTCAAAACGGTGATTTTATGTAGGAACTTTTCTTGACTTTGTTGTTCAATATAATTTAATTTTAATCTTTTGAAGTTTTGTTTTTGTATATTTATTTGATCTTCAATTGATTTTGGATCTCGTATATTTTGAGCTGAGAATTCATCTGCAGTCGATAGTATTGAATATGATTGGCATTTGTTTAGTAAAATATTGAGGTCTTTCTTATATGTGGTTGTAGTAGTCATTTTCTTTATTTGTATTGTTTGTTTTGTTTTTGACGTGAATCAAAATAAAATATCTTTTGTAAAATTTTGTAAATCAAAAAAATTAATTCGGAAAAGTCTTTTCATAAATAAAAATATGATTGATCTGGAACATTTGAGAACACCCATATGAATAGTTAGAATTCAAAATGAAGAACCGACCATCTATTTTCACCATTGAAAACATTAAAAAATGATGATATTTCACCACTAAAAACAACAAAAAAACAAGATGACATAGAATTGTACGGGGCGAACTGGGAATCGAACCCAGGGCCTCTTCGAAATTTATGCTCAGGTGAGATAACCCAAACGAAGAATCATACCACTAGACCATTCGCCCTCAAACGTTGCTTAAAAATTGGCTGTGTTTAATACATATTAGCTTAGACTAAGTAATAGTTATAACCAAATTTTTGAATATCGAATGAAAATTGATCAGATTTGCACGGTCTATTATTTAGCGCAGGATTATTCATATGATATGTTACTTTTTCTTTCTATATTTGTCCATAATCTGCAGTATTATTTCCAAAAAGCATTAAGGAAGTTTTCTATTAGATTATTCAGCTTGCGATATTAAGATTAGACGTCTTTCTCTACATTCAAAATTTGTGATATCGTAAATATAACTTTTAAATATAACGTGCATGGTTTAAATTTGCAAAAACTTTGCTGCAAAATATCACTAAATCACTAGAGACAAATTGAAATTTTGAAGTGCACTCAATTTTACCGGTTTTGTAAACAATTCCGCTAATAAGAATTCAGATAGAATACGCTCTCAAGGTAAGGTAAGGCAATATAGTCATACTACTAACGAGTTCACTAATGTAATGTTAATAAATCATATTACTTATTAAGTTTTACGCACTCTACTTTTAATAACTCGTGATAAGATAAAAAAAAAAAAAAGTTATTCACCTCGGTAAAAAAAATTACAAAAATTTAATTAAGGAGAGTGAGAGAGAGTGGGGAGAAAAACTAATTTAGAACGAGATTTAGAACGAGTTGAATGAAAATTAGGACGGAAAGAATGAAAGAATGTGGAGTCAAAAAAATATCTTTTAGAATTGAAGTAATATTTAAATCTGGGGTACACACATTTTATTCAAATTAACCAAAATCAAAATCAAATTGAATTTTTTTTTTATTTTTCTTCAGATTTTGAAGTATTATTTCATTTTATTTTTCTTATCAAATTTTTAATCAATTATTATTAATACAATTCAACACTTTATTCACATCCTATTAATTAACAATGTCTGACGAAGAAAATGATATCTTATATGAAGTTAAAGATAGAGTTGCAATTATAACTTTTAATATTCCAAAAAAATTAAATGCATTAAATGGTGAACAATATTTAAAATTAGGTAAATTTGTTGAACAAGCTAATGAAGAAGAAGATACTGTTGCAACTATTATTCAAGCTACTGGTAAATATTTTAGTGCTGGTGCAAATTTTGCTGATAAAAAATTAATGGAAACTGATCCTGCTGAATTATTTAGTCATGAATATTGGTTAGCAAGATTTGTTGCAAGAAATGTTTGGTTAACTAATGTATTTAATGATCATAAAAAAATATTAGTTGCATCAGTAAATGGACCAGTAATTGGATTAAGTACTGGATTATTATTATTATGTGATTTAATTTATGTTAATGATTTAAGTAAATTTTATTTATTAGCTCCATTTGCTAATTTAGGTTTAGTTGCTGAAGGTGGATCATCAGCTACATTATTTGCAAGATTGGGTTGGTCAAAAGCATCAGAAGCTTTATTATTAGCAAAACCAATTAGTGGACAAGATTGTTATAATGCAGGATTAATTAATAAACATTATGAAGGAAAATTAACAACAGAAGAATTTAATCAAAAAGTATTTGAAGAATTAGTTTCATCATTTGAGAATTTACATGAAGATTCTATTTTCAAAAATAAAGAATTATTAAAATTAACAAGAGATCAATTAATTAATCAAGCAAATTCTCAAGAAGTTATGAAAGGTTTTTATAAATGGTTAGAAGGTGTTCCACAGGGTAGATTTGCTCAATTAGCTATGAAAGAAGTTAAACATAAATTTTAAGAGAAACATATATAGATTAGAATAGAGGAGGACAATAAATTGAGTAAAATTATAGAACATATTTTGTTTGATAATGTAGAATTCTAAAAAATTGCGTAGAAAAATTGGTATGGAATTTGATTTTGTAAACAAGTAATTTATTTTCACAATTCCATGCATACATTTTTTACAATCATTAACGAATGAGTTTTGATGAGTTTTAACCTACCCAATCCAAGTTTATTAGGTATATTATTAGTAACATCAACACATAGCGGACCTCAATTAATTTATAAATACCCAACAGATCTAAAATTAAATCAACAACCATCACAACAATATCAACCATTACTACAGAAGAATGATAAATCAATAATTGAAGATTCAACAGATTCAGATGAAGATGATGAATTATATGAATATAAAAACAATGATGATGAAATAGATGATCAAACTGGTCATCAATCATTAGTTAATGAAATCAATGATGATAAAGATTTATATGGTATTACATCTGAAAGTTGGGATATTCATCATTTAAATTATTACATGGGTACGCGATTGGACTTAAGAAGATTTCTAGATCAACAAGATGACCTAAGAGAAAGACAAAGAAAGGAGAAATTAGAAAAAAAACCAACTTCATTAATTAAAACCATTTCAAAAACAAGTTTGACTCATAGTCAAAATAGTTTAACTTCCCTAAACAAAGTAAGTGCAATAAATGAAGAAATTATAGGAATTGATCCGATTTATTTAATTGAAATGTTAGCACCTCCAAAAGCAATGTGTAACACGAGATTTGAAATGACTATAGAAGGGAAAATCTTTTTGGGATTACCAATTCATAAAAATGATGATGGATCTTGGAAATCAATTAAACATTCAGAATCAACAACACCTACAAAGAATAATTTAAATATGTTTCATTTAGTGTTTATCATGAATCCTCCAATAATTGAAAATAACTATAGAATTGATGAAATGTTTCAACACGTAGTTTCAAAAGTCTCATTAGTTTTAAGACATGCACAATCAAAACATGATTATATAGGTCAACAAAGTAAATTAATTCAAGCTTTTAGGGATCAAGGTACAGATGAGATTGCATTAATTGAAAAATCATCATTATGTAAATTAATATTTGATTGTTTTACAGATATAAGTAATTCACGAGTTGCAAATTTATCAATTGATGGTAAAATTAAATCTTTTCAAATTCCAATAAAGACCGAATTTCATTCATTACCTGATCCAACGGTTCCTTATATACCTGGGTCATATTTATCATCAACTGTTAACATACTAAGCAACAATGGATTAATCAACATTGGAGAATCTTCAAAATACGGTCAGCAACAAAAAATTATACATGAAGAAGAAGAAGAAGATTCAGATGAGATAATAATATACTTTGCATTGTTGTTATTAGATGAGCCAGAGAACATTATTAGAGATATCAAAACATCAACAGATTCAATACTAGCAAGATTTATAAGAATGATTCAACCAACAGAATCACTACTTAAATTATCATTAAGAAATCCTCAATTAGATATAAGACAAATAAGATCATTTGCATTTCATTTAATATATTGGAGAAGAGCAAGAATAATCCAACCATTATCATCAAGATCAGTATATATAATATCACCTATGGCTCCATTAACTATAAAATTATACGATGATATAACACAATTTAATCTAAAATTCCCCACATTACCATCATTACCTCATTTCTTAAAATTATTATCACCCAAATCAAGAAAACCTCAACAATTTGCAGCTATAATTCCATCAAGAGATCATAGAGATAGTTATCTTCAAGCATTAGCATGGTTAAATAGATTCGGATACGTAACTCAACAACTTACATTTATATGGTTGAAAATATCACGTAAAATTAAAATAAAAGTAGAAGAAGATATAGAGAATGAAAATTTATCTAAAAAACGAAAAAACTCAAATAATTTAAAACCAGAAACTATAAAAACAGCAGATAATTCATCAAAACAAAAAGATACAAACACAATTACAAAACAAGAACTTTCAAACACAACAACAAAATCAGGAATAGATAAATTAAAAGAACATCTCAATCAGTCATCAAATGTATCACTTTTGGAAGAAGACGACACCATAATTTTAGATCCAGGTAGAGCAACAACATTAGAACGAAGATGGATTAATGAAATTATTTTTAATGAATGTAAATTATCTAACGAATTAATAAAAATTTTTTATAAATTACTTAAATATATGAATGGGAAATCTCCATTGGAGTTGTTGTTGCTTAAAGATAATGTTTCGAGAAATGAATTAAAGAAATTGTTGTTTGCTATTGAAGATTATATAATTTCTGTTAGGCATTGGTAAGTTTTGATTTATTAGTATATGATTTTTTTTTTCTTTTTCTCACTTAATGAATTGTTTCAGGTTTTTTTGCTTTATTCTTCAGCTTCAAGGGCGATGTCGTTAAAGAAGGGTACAAACTGTACAAAACTGTTTCAGAGTGCACATAAAAGTAGTTTAAATAACACATTCAAAATCATATTTACACAAATGTTCATACTTTTAATTTAAACATATTCAAAAAAGTGCTAAATTCATAGCTTATTAATTTGCATTGAGGTTTTCAAAAATCTTTTATAAGAGAATAAAAAGCAAGTTGAGTAATCACAAAAAGATTGTATATGTACATTACTATTCCAAACTAGTGGAACTCTATCAACTAGTAATATGCGAACTAATTGTGTTCAATAAAAGATCCTCTCTTACTATGTTCGTTTATTTTAAAATAAGACTAGAAACCGGGGGGTTTGAATCAGTTTTCTCTTTTGTTTCCGATAAAAACTGAGACTTACGACAATATGGATACAACGCAGAATTAAATATTAAAACTGTTTCAGACTGTATATAATTCGGCAAGAGAGAAAAACCTGAAACAATGCAAAATCAAAACATATGTATTCTAGAACGAACTATAAACCAGTTGTAGAACAACAACTATTGATAACGAACGCCAGGCTCATTACTTAAAAACAATAATACCTTTCTAATTAATTTTTCTTGTTTTTTTCCGTACTTTTATAATCATGAAACATTGGATTACCAGGAAGTGGAATAGCATAACCTGTAATATAAGAATTATATTTATCAGCAGTTCCAACAAATGCGTTGTACCAAGCAATAAAAGAGGTTATAACACCAAATACACCACCAGCTCTTTTAACTCCAACATGACCAGTAAAATCAGCAGCTGCCAATAATATAAAAGTCATATCTAAAAATACAAATAAACTACAAAAAGCAACAGTTGTTTTCATAGTTACTAAAATTACCATTATTGTGAATATGACCCAACCAACCATGAAAAGCCCATTAGCATTTGCTAATTGCTGGGGGTCATCTTTATAAGCCTTTAATACTCCAAAACTATCAAATTGAAGAACACTTAAACTAATCCAAAATGAACCATAAGATGTTAAAACTGTTAAACCAAAAGTATTACCAGTAATAAATTCAAATAAACCTGCGACAAATTGAACCATTCCTCCATAAAATACACCAAGACTAAATACTAAATTTGGAATCTCAATACTTTTAGCTCCACAATTAAAAAGCGAAAGCACTAAAGTTGTAAGAGCGAAAGCACTATTAAATTTGTTAGAAATTCATTTTCACATAAATTTTCATAATTGTTAGAAAAACGTACCTTAATCCAACAGGAGCTGGATTCATCATTATATCATTATAAGGAGCTGGCTCGTTATTCAAGAACCCACCAAATGCAGATTGAAGTTCATGTCTATAATATTTTCTATTATTTATGATTACAAATTCATTACCATCACCTGCAAATTGTATATGATGAACTTTAGGTTTGTCAGTGGTTGATTCTGTGTGTATGGATTTATGAGATGAAGCGTCTGACATTTTGTGGTAGTTTGAAAAAATCGGTTACTGATTAAATTGTAAATATGAAAGTTTAAATTATGAAATTATGAAAGTATCAAAGTGTAAAAAGTGGATCTATGTTTTTCAAATCAAAGGTTTATTAAAAAGTGGTTATTAATTATTCTTGAGTCTAAATTTTTAGAAAAAGATGATGGAATTTATATAAGTCTATCAATCATAGAGAACATTGTGTGAACCAATAAGTTTGAAATGTATATAGAAACAAAGAATAGTCGGTTATAAATTAAGATCTTCAGTCTACCCCCTCCTTTTCCCCCATTAATAATTTAATATTAATGAGAAAAATAAATACAAAAAAAAAAGAATGTTTTAGAAAATTTAAAAAAACTTTAATTTTTAAATAAGTATGAATCTCGTTAAAACTTTATTAAATTATGTCAAAGAAGTAAGATCATATTTCCATCATTATTTATTAAATTCTTGCTAGTACTTTGATTTAATTAATTACGTATATAAATATTTTACATTGACAAAGATCCCCACAAAGTTGGTCGGTCAATAAAAATAAAAATTTAAAAAATAAGATCTCATAATTAGATTTTTCACTAGCCACAAATTTAAATAATCAATCAAATCAACGCAACTTTAATTTTTATTAGTATTCCCCCCACATTTTAATATAGATTTAACAATATATGATCTTAAGGCTAGAGAAATAAGTACATTTGAAAATCATGACTTCAACATTTTTAAAGCTCATTGAACTTCTTACATGAATGTATATGTAATATGTAGTATCTCGCTAATTTATGCAGCTTAATAATAAATTTTGTACTATCAAATTTTGCCCCTTAAGTAAATTTTTCAAAATTCTTTTTTTCAACTCCAAACATTATTTTCATAGTTCTAATTCATCATTCAATAATAATAAATAATAAATACGTTTGAGTTCCCCACAAAATAATAAATCAACGGTTAGAAAAGCACATAAAAAAATTAAATTCAATATACGTCAGTCACAATTTGAACAACAAAGCAAAATCATTCAATACATCAACAATGTCTTCCGATGATGCCATAACATACGAAATAATAGATAGAGCAGTTGTAATAACGTTAAATAAACCAAAAAAGTTAAATTCATTAACATTATCAGAATATGATCAAATTGCAAAATATTTAGAACAAGCAAATCAAGAACCGGATACAATTATAACTCTTTTACAATCATCAGGTAGAGCTTTTTCCGCAGGTGCAGATGCTCAATTTATAAGTCAACAAGATTCAGAATTAGAAACTTGGTTAAATTTATCAGTTGCTAAACAAACTTATTTAGTTCAAACTATATTAAATCATAAGAAAATATTTGCAATAGCTTTAAATGGTTTTGCAATTGGATTATCCGCTGCTATAGTAGCATTAGGGGATTTAATTTATACTCATGATATAAAAAAGACATTTTTATTGACTCCATTTGCTAATATTGGAATTGTTGCAGAAGGTGGTACTTCAGTAACATTACCATTAAGGTTAGGTTGGTCAAAAGCAAATGAAGCATTATTATTATCAAAAAGAATAAGTGGAGAAGATTTGTATAAATTAGGATTAATTAATAAAGATTATGAAGGTAAGTATAGTTCAACTGAAAGATTTAATAAACAAGTATTGGATGAATTATTAGATGCAACTGAAAATTTACATCCAGAATCCATTATTGAAAATAAACAATTATTACAAAAAATGTATAAACCATTAATATCATCAAATAATTCACAAGAAACATTTCAAGGTTTAAAGCATTGGACTTCAGGTATACCAATGGAAAGATTTAAAAAATTAAGTACTGGAGAATTAAAACATAAAATTTAATTACATATAACTACCTATTTAAGTAAATACACTTTCTTGATTTGCTTCTTCTTCATTACCAGCCTCTAATTGTGAAAATTTTGTAAAATGTATAGGACGATGTAATGCATCATAAAAAGTTAATGGTAAATCAATCTTTAAATTATATAAATCATTAACATTAAAAATTGTTCCCATAAAAAAATAATTCCATATCTCATCTTCTGGTACCATATAATTACCAACTATTTTATCAGACATTATTAATTGTGATTTTTTACTAAATTGTTTATCAAACCCTTCTGGTGATTCAGACATCATATCATTATTTAGTTTACCCCATTCATATCCTTCTTGTGATAATTCAAATGCTGTTAAAGTAACTGATCCAGGCGTATAAGAAGCAGTCATATTAATAAATCTTGGATTATAACCATTCAACATTTTAGCTTGTGTTGTTACATCGTATGAAGTCATATAATCAAAAGATTGAGATTGTGAATGGATCCAACCTAATAATTCATAATTTTGTTCTTTTAAATATCCTTCATACTCTGGTAGATTTGTTGGGAATTGAATGGAATTTGTACTACCTAATTGGGGAACAATTACTAAACATTTAATTTCTTTAATATCTGGTTGATCTTCTGCAGGTGATTTACCATATAAAAATCCACCAACTTGAATTCTTAAATCTGAAATTTGAATAAATTTTTGTAAAATATTTTTAGGCATAATATAGGTATAAGAATCATCATCAATAAATTCTTCAGAAGTGACATAAATATTTTTAGCTCTTAAATGTAAATTATTAGCAGCTAAGGCACGATTTCTCCATTCATTTCTTGATGAAAAAGTTGCTTGTTCGTAGTTTGTAGTAGTAACAGTAACAATTTGTTCACCGTGAATATTTGTTGTAATGGATTTTTGTGCTGAAATTTCTTTATTTTCAATTTGGTTACCTCCATTTTTTTCAATTTCTGCCAATTCTTGTCTTCTAATAGCTGACATTTTAATATCTTGTCCTAAAATTAAATCTCTAATTTCAGATTGAGTTAATGATTGTATATCAATATTATATTTCTTAGCATAATCTTCAAGTATCAAATCTCTTAATTTAGATTCAACTTCAATCCATTGTTCATCTGTTAAACTTGGCCATATATGATGTGTTTCTGTTTCAATACCCGGTGGCCATATAATTGAAGTTGCTAATTCTGTATCACTATTTAAGGCTCTTAAAATTAATATAACTCTTGAAAATGCAGTATAAGGTGAAATTCTTTCTAACCAATCATCATAAAAATTATAAATAACCATTTTAGGTTCATTGGCTTTTAAAACAATATCTGATAATTTCTCAATTTTCAAAACTGAAGCAAAAGGTAAATGTAATTCTGATGGACGTATAGAAATATTTGGAAAATCTAACATATGTACTTCCAAGGGATCCATCATACCTTTTCTTGATACTATTAATTGTTTGGGTTGTTCTTCCTTAGGTAATGATTTAATTAATGCAGTAATTTCTTCGGCAGCTTTCCATTTAGCTAATTGACTCAAACGTTTTTGACCTGCCCATACTGATGTATGAATAATCCTCAAAAATAATTGACCAGTTCTTGGATTTAATATAAATACACAACCATTAATCGGTTTTGTTGCTAAATTACCTTCGAATGTTTTATGAACTGTAACTCTATAAACATTTGTATCATCAACAAATAATTGAGTATCATTATTAAACAATTCAGCATAATTATTTGAATTCAAAAATGCTTCTTGAGGTTGTGCGTGGTATAATTGTAAACCTTTTCTAATTCTTTCTCTTAAAACATACATCGCAGGATTTGCTTTCATAATTTCTCTCATTGCATTTGCAACTAAAGCTTTTAAACTGGGAAACCAATTACCATAAACATCATACATATTGTAAGCTAAATCTATAGCAATAATTATACCAGTAGGAGAAGGATATGAACTTGTGCCATCAGTAGTATAATCAAGATATTTAGATCTTGCATATCTTGAAATATCATGTGAATCATAATCACCATATCTTAATTGAACATCAATCCAAAAAGTCTTAGCAGGTAAATTATAATTTTCGTCTTTATCATTAAGTAAAGAAGGTTTTGAAACATTCCATTTATAACTACTAGTCAAAACAACATCAGCAGTTGAAGAATTCATTCTATAAGATTTTCTTGGATGAATAGCTTGTTTTTCGACATTATCAATTTGTAAAATTTCTAACTCTTTATCAAATACTTGACATAAATCTTGTACCACACTTTCATGAATCTTTTGCCATAAATGAGCACGAAATATTTGAATTAATGAAATTTTCAAAGTGGGGATTTTACCATGTAAAAAAATACCAGTTAAATCTAATTGAACCAAAAAACCGACATAGACATTAGCTCTGTTAATAGTTGGTGACCACCATAATGTGAATCTACGGTTTGGAATTTGACTTAAACCTGATCTTTGAGCATTAGTCAATTTTTTGAATTTTAAAGAATCTTCAAAACCAGATGCCTTTTCCCAAAATAATCCTTCCCATGAATCAAATCCTGTACCTTTAAATAAAGTATGTTCTAAAATCGTTTCAATACCACCTAGAGCTTGTATGACATCAGTTCTATAAGCATTTAAATTCCATAATTTACCATCATGATGACCCGATGTCCACCAAAATGGGTTATATCTACCAGTATTAAAATGCTTGAATTCTCTTCTTATTCTATGACCTTTATCATAAGCTAAAGTGTGTCTATCTTTTTGAAATAGTGTGCTGATTCTAGGTATACCTCTATCCCAATTTGCTTCCATATCTTCAAAAGTTAAACGACGATTTTGTGAAGCTGCCTCTTCTCTTTTTATAGCGTATTCAGCCCATACTCTTTGAGAATCTAAAAATTCATTTTCCCAAGTTGTAACATACCTAAATATAGTGGGAATTAAATTTTTTTCTTCATGTGACATACCAGTTTTAAAATATGTGATTCCAGTATCTGTTTGTTGTGACCATTTTAAATCAGATTCAGGTATAAGAATATGTGATGCACTTAGCATACCCAAACCACCTAATTCCTTTGGTGTATAGAAAACTGCAGGTGGAAAACGTGTAGGCATTTTTGAATTAAGACCCATTTTAACACGATTTTGAATTTTAGTTTCACATTTGACTAATACTTCTAACAATTCAGGAGTTGCAATAGCTGCTTCTCTATAATATGTAACTAATGCAATCAATGCAGTATTCCATTTTGCAGCAACTTGTGTAAAAGTAGTTGATCCAGATGACATTAAAATTTGACTTATTCTATTGCTAAAACTACTTACTGCATCTTTTGATACTTTTAGATAAGCTTTGGCGGTTCTTTCCTTAGTATTTTGATCAATCAAATCCCAAACGTTTTCCTGTGATGAAGTTGACAGGTTTGCTCTTATTTTTGGTAAAATTCTAATCTCAAACCCACACATCTCGAATAAAAGATTTGGATTATCACGAGAATATACTGAACAAAAAGTGTCCTCCCATTCCATTGTAACTAAAGTATTAGGGATTCTTGATTTAATTTCCCAAAATACTGCTCTACCTAAATTAACATCATGCCTTAGCAATCTCATACGAGAATCTTTTGGCCAACATCGCTTGTTGTTATAACCAACAACATTTGAAAAATTTGGATCTGGATTTTGTTCCAAAAAATCATAAATTAATCCATTGGATTCATCATCATCAAATCTGAAAAAGATATGTATTTTGTCCATATATCTTGAGTATAATCTTATTGGAGATGCACATTGAGTTTCAACATCTTTAAATTGAAGGAAATTGTTTGGATTCGTAACTGGGCCCGCCAATTCTGAAGCTCTTTCCAAACCAAGTATTAATAAATCAACAATTAATCCATAATATTGATAAACAAAAGATGAAAATTGTAGTCCTCTAATTATACCATACTGATTAACATAATTCATATCTTTATAAGTAAGGTTGATATTGTTTTTTGATGTGATGTAATCTGCAATGTTTGTATCCATAATCAATCTTAATAATCTATTAATCAAGGTGAAATCAATCTTGTCTGAAAATCTTGATAATTTACTTTCAAGCATTACATTACATTGACCCTGTGAAGTATTCCAGACATCTTTTAGGTTGTTAATACCTTGACACCATTTGTAAACCATTAAAGGGGGTATTTCATCATCTGCAGGTTTAATCCAATTAGGGAATAATTTCCTTTTGTCTGCTTCATACCATAGATATTGATCTAAATAAGCGTCTGTAATTTTTTCCAATGGATCAACTGAATAAGTAGGTTGTAAATGACTATAAAAATCCATCATTTCCAAACCAACTTCTTTAAATATTCTTTGAGTCAATAAATGTTTCTTAATTCTTGCTAAACATTCATGTGGATTATCATAAGCCTGTTCAATTAATGCTAATTCATCTCTTTGAGCAGCATTTAGTTTTGCTGTTGTATTGAAAGATGCTTTTAAATTTTCTAATGCAAGTGTCAATAACTTTGTATCATGTTTGTATGAAATTGGTGGGAATGGAATAGGACTAAATTTTCTACTTTCCAACCAATTGACAGTAGTTTGGAAAATTTTTATAGCTTCATCTGGTTGTATAAACGGACCATTTTTACCAAAATCATTTTGTCTTTCCTGTTCATTCTTGATCCATAATCTTGTTAATCTTCCTAAGTTTTTTTTGGCAACTGTTTTTTCAACATGAGTTCCCTTTCTAATTCTTTCTCTATTATACTGTGCAACTGAAATCCAACCATCAGCTTTAGCTTTGATATATCTTTCGATAATTTTTTCAATTGGTTCTGGTAAACCGGGGACTTTCCATGGTATATTAGCTTTCCAACATCTCCAAGCTTCACTTAAATGTTGTAAAATAGTTTTTGATTTACTTTGTTTTAAACCTTCTGGAATCATATCTAAAATATCATGCATTACTTGAGCTCTTAATTCTAAATCATAGTAAGAGTCTACTCTTTGTTTTGTAATAGTTTTAGCAACATCATTAGCTCTTCTACCTTCAAATTGTCTTGCAATTAAGTTACCTAACCATCTTTCTAATAACGGTATGATACCTCTCAAAAAGAAAATCCATACCTTCCAAGCTGGTTGCCAAAATCCACATCCTGGACCTTTTCCTATAAGTTTATTAAATCTTTGATATACTATATGTTTGAAATCTTTACATTGACGAATTTGATGCATTACTTTATATTTGTATCTGTAAATACCAGTTAAATGACCTAGATGATTTAAAATGTAATGAATTCCATCTGCTAGTTGATAGGCATCAACATTCCCCAAACGGTATTGAATATGTGAGTCAACAATAATTTTGATTGCTCTTAGTATTTCTCTAATTAAATGGAATGCATTACCAAATCTTGATTTTTTACGTTCTTTTGTAGTTAAAGTTTTGGTGGGTTTTAAATTAAAATTATAATCTAAATGTAAATAAGTTAACCCTCTTTTATGTATTAATAAATTCAACATGTTGAATCCTTGTCTGCAAACTTGTGTACCAGCTTCTACCCAGTCAATCTTAGTTTGTTGAAAAAATTTAGTACCCCGTAAACTTTTTAGCAAATTTGCTTTACTGCTTGATTTTGATCTTCTATTTTTTCTGGTTTTTAAATCATTAATTACACTATTTTTCAAAAGCTTTTGATAAGATATTCTAACTTTTAATGGTGATGATCTTGGAATATGATTTCTATACCATGATTTCGTAATGGGTACATCTTCTGCTCTCTTCATTCTTCCAGATCTGATGTTGAATGGATATGGTGCTGATAATAAATCAATTGATGGTTTTAAAGACTCTGGTTCAATTAATGCTGGAGTGTCTTTCGGTGATTTAAATAATGGAGTAAAATTTAATTTCATTTCTTCTTTTGGCTTTTTTGATTGTTTTCTCGGTATGATGGGGTTGAATTTTGTATTAAATGTAAATGCTGGAAGTTGGCTTAAATCTGATTTGTCATCACATGAAAGGTCATTTAAAATTGGTGCTAGTGAAATGTTTTTAACAAATGAATTATATAAATAAGGAAAATCAACTTTATATTCTGTTTTAATTGGTGATCTGATAATTATTCTATCAAATGAATTAAACTCCGTGAAATCTTCAGCTTCTGAATTAATTACACCTTCTTGAAATAAAGGTTCAAATTTAGGTCCACCAGGAATTGAAACATTTAAACTTTTAGCTGTAAATAATTCGTTTGTATCATAAGGGTGATCAGTGGTGTCCAATAATGGTTTTGATATTTCATATAGTTTATGCATTGTATCAGCATCTAAATTCCATGATTTGTATGATTCCCCATTTACAACATCGTTATCATCAATCAAAGGTTTTTCATCATATATCCAATCTTTAAAATCTCCAATTTCATCTATCTCATTAGATCTTATTGCAACAGGTAAACTTAAATCTTCAAAATTTTCAGTCCAATCCAAAAATTGTTCTTCATCATCTAATGGAGGAAATCTCATTCTTCTAAAATGTTTACGATCTCTTTTCTCTCTTCTCATCATATTCCAAGTTAATGCCCATTGTGCAATATATACAGGTTCTATAACCCTTGGAATTTCATTAACAAATGTAATTGCACCAGTCTTGTGATATAATACTTTAACTTCTTTTGATTGTTCCCATGGTTGTGGAATATTTTCTAATAATTTAAAAATGGCATGAGGTAAATATTTTAATGAACCTAAATGAGATCTTTTATCTGATGATACTCTTTTCAGTCCTAAATCGGCATGATCAATTATTATTTTACGTAAATGTTGAGGTGGCATTTCTATATTTGTAGGAACAGTAACAAGTCCAGATTTTTTAGATCGTTTTTTGAGTTTTGTATTTACATGATGAGGTGTTTTGTTATTTATATTTGGCTTCAATGATGGTGGTGGTGGAGGCGGTGGTGTAGGTAGACTTGGAGGCGGTACTCTTTTGACGCTATTTGATTTATTGGTTGGTGGTGGTGGTTGTAATTTCGAGATATTCGAAGAAGGAGGAGGAGGTGGTGGTGGATTTAAATGTCGCCTTTTGTTACCGTTACCATTTGATATACCTGGAGGTGGTGGTGGGGGAGGTAGTTGTTTTCCCATTAATTATTTGACGAGTTTTGATTATTATTTTCAAATTTGGTTGTAAAAATAAAATATAAAAATATGAAACCTAAATTGTTTTTGTATGTAAGAAGATATTTTTTTATTATAGTGTTTAATGTCACATTTTGTTTTTTTGAGACATAGACCCTATTTTCTTGAGACACCAAAAGATAAGCTACCAATTTAATACTCGTAAATTTAATGTAGATCACTAATGTTTTAACCGGTATAACTAAATAACTAAATTTAGAAATTCTATACGCTATATCAATTCAAAAAGGATATATTGATATTCTTCAACCAACAATCGACTAATATGACATAAAAAAGATGTCATCAATAAACATAACTTCAATAACAAATACCACAAATGTATTTGATCAAGAAGCCACCGATTTAACAACGGATTATTTTCCTTTTTTTAAATTAATTTCATCATCAATAGAAGCAATCTGGGAACAAAGTGAGAATCTGGAATTAAATACAACAGCATGGAATAGATTTGGAGCAATAAGTAAATATTGTTGTTCAGTATATGGATTATCTTGTTTAGTTATGGCTCTTGTATTAAACCGTACTTTAGTAATGGCTTCAACTAATAATATACATAATCAACAAATGGCTATTAATAGACAAAGAGGTGGTGTTAGACATGGGAATGGATTAATGAATGCTTATAAACTGGCTACTATTTTGAGGAAATTAAGTATTGTTAGTTTTAGAATTGGAATAGTATCTATGTTATGTCTTCAGATCTACAATGTGCTAGTCACTTTAAAATTAAATCAAACGTTGGGAATCATTGAAAATTCAAATATTAAATGGATATATAACTTGATACCAGAAAGGTATTTCAGTTACACAGCTGAGAAATTTGCAGATTCGAAATATATGAAAACTCCGAAAAAGCAAGTTATGATTGGTCCCACTAGTGATATGTACTGGCCAATATTTTTGACGTTTTGTGCTTCTTCATTCGTTGAAACATTTATCGCATCTATACAGGGAAGAAAACCATTTACTGAAAGTGGTATCACAATATTTGAACATTCTTTAGCATTTCAAGAATTTAGCAGTAATGCTGCTTTCTTCTTTTCAAATTCAAATAATTTTAAAAGACCTACTGAAGAAGTTTTAGTAGTGGCTTTATTTTCAATTTTGAATCATTTAAATATTCATATTGGTGCTATTGTTAATAATAATAGATATAGGTTGATACCACTGACTGTTATTGGAATTGGATTTTTGTCTTACTTCATAAATGCTATATCTCATCATAAAGTTTTAAAATTTCCAACTATTTTGATTGTAACATTTACACCACAAGTATTAATATTGTTTGTGATTTTAATTAGTTTATCAATATTTTTATGTGCAATTATTGTTAATGGGTTTAGATTACAAGGATTAAATTATGCTAGTTTCTTTTTACATGAAGATCATTCAAATGAAGTCGAGAATGAAATTAATCAAGAAGATGAATCAGACACATTTTCAAATTTTAACATCAATTTAAAAGATGATTTTTATACTGCTTTATTAAATTTAGGAGTATTAGCAATAACATCAGCAGGAAAATCAAGTTATATTACAGAACTAAGTTTAGTAACATTAGATACCGAGACATGGATTGAAAGAAGTTTATGGAAACAACTCCAGGCCAAAACTTTGAGAAAAGGGTATGAAAATATAATAGATAAACCAGGACCTGATTTAATTACATATACTGCTTCAACGAATAATGATGAATTAGATAATAATCAAGGTCCGACTCAAATCAATAGTGTTTTCAGGAAAAGATTTCTATACTTATCCAAAATAATGATAAATTTCGTACAACTAGTGTATGGATTATTCATAAAAGTCATCAAAAACTCATTAACATTTTGGCAAAAGAAACAACCAACACCAGACAACTTCGAACAAAGATTATCCAAAACCCCCAAATTTTTAAGAAAATACGTCAAAAAATCACCCAAAAAAATCCATTCCACAATCGACATCAACAAATACACAGAAGAAGAATTAGAACTCAATTACGCATCGATTCTAATAGGTGAAGACCTAAACAATAATGACGACTCCCAAGATTTTTTATTAACTTATGAATCCGAAATAGAATCAGAAATAGAATCAGATATCGAAGAAATCAACGTTATCTCAAATTCAAGATCAGATAACTTAGTAGTATCACCATTATACGAAATACAACTCGAAGAATCAACATACTTAAACTATGAAGGTAGATTAACAAGATCAAAATATAAACAGCTCGCAAACACATACAATACAGATGAAAGTTCAAAACTAATAGAGCTCATAATTCAGAAAAGATCAACAACAGAACAAAAAGATCCGGAAGACACAAACTCTTTAGAATGTGTTATTTGTCAAACTAATATGAGAGAAATTATAACTTGGCCTTGTAAATGTTTTGCAATTTGTGAATCATGTAGATTGAGTTTGGTAAGTAAAGGAATTGAAGGTTGTGTTTGTTGTAGAAGAGAAGTTCAAGGTGTTTCGAAAATTTTCATACCTTAAGTAGAATTATCAATGTAAAATTAATTGTGTATTAAAAAGTGTCTTCTACTCTAATGTTTCTTTCTTGATGGTCTATTAGTAATTTATAATCTCATCAGTCAATGAAAAAAATTCATCTTCATCATTGATATTTTTGGTGACTATCTCTATAGCAGTTGGTAAAACTTCAACTAATTTTGTGATATCATTCTCAGAAACTCCATTATTTATATTAATCAATAAATGTGGAGCTACAATTGGCAAATTTTCATGTTCTAATATTAATTTACTTCTAGTTATTAAGATTTTGGAGTTAGTTAAAGTATAATCAACGATTTTTTGTAACATAAAACTTTCAACATTTAAATAATCGTCAAATGAATTAAGACGTTTTGATGGTTTTCCAGTCGTTACAAAAATTGAGTTTCCATATAATAAAGGTAAATTTAATTTTGATCTATATGATTCACTGAAAGTTAAATGTATCATTGGGGATTGAGGAGTTGAAGTAATAGTCATTGGTGAGTTTTTTAAATTCTTCAATATAGAATCATATGCAAAAGTAGTTAATTGATGCAAATTTGTAATAATCTTAGATTTACCAGTTTGAGTGTTAGTTTTTAAAATTTCTTTTATAGCTTGAGAAGTCACTTTTGCCGAATAAGGAGGTAATGAAGCACTAAAAACATAAGCATTTGATTGAATTCTTTGATGATGAATCATTGGTTCTACACCAACACAAAATCCACCTGATGAAGCTAATGAATTTGCCATTGATCCAATAGTTATTGATACTTCATCACGAGAAATTCCATAATGTTCGGTAAGACCTTTTCCAGTTGGACCTAAAACACCAATAGATAATGATTCGTCAACAAATAATCTATATTTGAATTTATTTTTCAATTCAACAATCTGTGGTAAATTTGCTATATCTCCAGTATTTGAAAATAACCCCTCCGTAATTATAAATCTTCTTCTGATTGGTTTTTGTTTTGATAATACTGGTTTCAATTGTGTTAAAATTTGTTCTAAATGTACCATATCATTATGATCAAACCATTCAATATCAGCTCTTGAAACTATCAATGCCTTTTGTATGGCAAGATTTATATTTCTATCTACAACACATAAATCACCTCTTTTTAAAAAAGCAGGAATAACGGACCCTGCGGTAACAAAATCTTGACCATATATGATAGCTTGTTCAGTACCCAAATAATTAGCTAAATCTTCTTCTAATCTAACATGAACATCTTGAGTACCATAAAAGTTTGGAGGACCACAAGCACCAACTCCTGCTAATTCTATTTCTGTTTTTGCAGCTGTTTTAATATCTTTATTTTCATTTAAATTTAAAAAATCTTGAGATGCTAAATTAACTATTGTTTCATCAAACCCATTTAATTTTACATGAGCTCCATTATGACCAATAATTTCAGGTATGGCTTTTAATTTCCAATTTTCTAATTGATCGATCTCACTTATAATTGGTTCTGGCTCCCATTCTGCACATAATTCATCTATTTCCTTTTTGGAAAATTTAACAAATTCAGATTTATTCTCCTTTTTTTTAGAACTGAAAAAATAAGTTAATGCAAATATAAACAAACAATATTCAAACAATGATCTTATAGGATCGTTTTGATATGACGATTTAATATATCTTAGAATTATTTGTCCTCCTGGTATATAACTTATTTTGTTTAGAATGAATAATAAATTTTCTGATAAAGTGTCCTGCAATATATCCCATGATTGTGATATAGCCGGTGATGTGAATGAATTGACTATGGTTGTGGTAGTAGTGGTAGTTGTAGTAGTTGTAGTTGTTGTAAAAATTGCAGATGACATGTTTCTATTAAATTCTGATGTATTATAACTGATTGTTGATTATTACTTTTTTGTTATGAACAAAACATGAAATGAAAGGAAAAAATTGTGGTGCAATATAGAACAAGTATAACGAACGTAATTAAATCAAGATAATGTCTAATTTATAATTCCCTATATACAATTGTGTTAAATAGTTTGATATGGTACGTTTATGTTGATTGAATATGATTTAATGATTGGTATAATTTGACGTTTTAATTTTGGTGAATATTTTTTTTTTTTCTTTTTTTTCATAAGACGTTTCTTTCATAATTACGCGCGCTTTTATTGGGTCGTATCTTTGACATATTTTTTAATGATTCACAGGTTAAGTTATCATATTCATATGATAATGATGAATTATTGAAGAGTTGAACCTGAAAATGACCTTTAATTGTGGAACACAAAGGTGTTGAAGAGACAAAGGATACTGGGCAATAAAACATGATTGTTATTTTTAGATCAAGTAAATGTCATGACAACCAGTAACACACTAAACATTAAATTGATCCAATGAACCAACCCCTTTGAAAACATCATAGTATAAATTGGGTAATATTTTTCTTTTCACTGTAATTTGCGAACTTTGTAGTTCACTGAATTTCAAAGATGCTGCAAAACTTTATGACTTTAGCAATATTATCAATAATTACAATAACTTGTTTTACAGCATCTTTTTATTGCTTTCAGGAATTGGTCGATTTAGATTTTGAAATAAATAAAGAATTTTTGGTAATGGTTACGTTATTTTCACTTTATTTTAGTTCAGGTGTTGTTTGTTTATGGAGTCTAGCATTGAGTACAAGAAGTCAACAAACTAGTAAAAGTCGTTGTTCAAATTAATTAAAAGTTTACAAATTTATTATTATATCATTTCTTCATTCTATTTCTAGCATCTCTAGCTATAGCTCTAGCTTCTTCAACATCATGAGCATTACTATGATTAAGATCCTTAGCTAATTCATAGGCTTCATCAAAATTCCCCAGCTCTAAACAATCTCTAGCTAACCATAGACGAGCTTTACAAGTTTCATCACTTATCCCCCAGTCTGACTCTTGGTTAAAACATAATTGCATGTATTTTTTAGTGTTTTCGTGATCGTTTAGTTTTTCCAGTATTGTAGCTAGACGGAAGCATATATGTGGTTCAACCATAAATTCTTGATCTTCTTCATTTGTGTTTATTTTGTTTATATAACTTTGTTCACCATTTAAACCTTCCATTTGATTGTTGGATATTTTACCAATCGCTAATGCTTTTTCAAATGATTTCACTGCATCTTCAAGCTGATCTATTTTTTCATAACAATTTCCAATAGCTTGCCACATTCTCTTGTCTAATGGTTGTAAATTAGTAGCTCTCTGATAGTAATATAACGCGTATAAATGCATATCTAAAACTTCATAGGCTTGTCCTAATCCATACCAAGCTCTGAAATCTTTTGGGTTTGTATCTACTGCTCTTCTATATGACTCAATAGCAGCGTGAGAATTCTTAAGTTCAACAAATTCATGACCCATTAATGTCCATGCACTTAGACAATTTTTATTTAGTATTAGTGCTCGTTTGTAATACATTATAGCTTTTTCATGTTCACATTTCATTGAATAGTAGTTTGCTAACACGCAACATGTTTCTGGTCTAAATCTATCTATCTGGGAGCAATATTGTGCTAAGTATGATAACTTTGATTTTTTTTCCATTACATATAACATATTTGAATAAGTATCTAGGTCATCCAATCTCAAGGGATCATTTATTAAAATTTGATCAAAAACTTTTTCAGATTCAAAGTAATTAAGGTTGTGGTAGTAATTTAAAAATTCTTGAATTTTGAGGAATGTGAAATTTGGGAAATAATAAGATAGTCTTTCCATCAACGTATATAATCTATTCAGTATTTGATGAGATTCTTGTAGTACTACTATCTCAAAAAATTGAAACATCGGAGTATTAGAGAAAATTTCATTTTTCTTTTTAACTCTTTGAATAAAATTATTGGCTTCTTCAAAGGTAACAAATGAATCAATTAATTCTCTCCAACATGACCAATTATATGGGAATATTAATATTGATTGATATAAATTCTTGATAGCTTCGTTTAATTTCTTTCTCTTTCTATATATTAACCCATTCAAGTAATATAAAAATGCATTCTCTTTATGTGATAGAAATTCTTCTGATTCAATCAATATCTTAGTGAACTTAGAATTCGATATATTTGATGAATTTTCAACTTTATCTTGATCATAATCATTTAGATTCCCATTACTATCGTACAAACTAGAATCGCATAACAGTCCAACATTAATTAATCCATCAGTTTCTTCAGTAGCTCGTTTATCGATTGAAATTAATAACGAATATAATCTTACGAACTTTGCATCACCACTTTTGCTTTCTTCTAGTACTTGAGCACATCTTTCAAACTCTTTGCAATTGAAATAAGTTTGGGCCAATATGAACTTACCCTGATCTTGGAATTCATCCAAATCAATTGGTTGAGGTTGTTGTGGTTGTAAATCTATTGATTGTTTTGGTAATCCATTTAATGCTTCTGCACACCATTTTGCTGATTCATATAAACATAGTTTGTTTAATTTCAAAGTAGCATTGTAAAATTGATTTCTTAATTCATTAAGATTAAATTGATCTGACATGTACTATTGGTAATTGAAGTTGTCTTTTTTTTTTGTAATTCTGTTTTGTTTATCTGATTTGAAAAATAAATTTATTTTGTTTCATATTATTTACATCAACCAACTTCAAATTACAAACTTCAGCTACAAATCAAATGGAAAATTTCCAAGCAATACTAGAGGATAGTTTCAAAAGTATTCAAGAGCTAAATGATTACAATCAGAGGCTAGCAAGCAAAGAGTCACTAGATACAACAGTATTAAATTCAATCAAGAAAAAATTCATATTAGATTCAGTTAAATTACAACGAACTTTCCAACAATACAAAAACTGGGAAATAGAAACTAAAAAGAATTATATAAATAACGATTTAGTAGATTATAATAAAACAGTATCAGAAATAGCAAAAGCAAATCAAAAATTAGATGAAACTACAAAAGTATATGAAAAATTATCATCAACTTTAAAATTACCTGAGTTTGCAGTCAATGTTAAAACTATACAAGCATCAAATAATGAAAAATTAATTAAAATAAGTGAAAAATTTATCAACACGGAGGAACCAATTGAAAATATAAGATTAAATCAATTATTTGCATTGAATTCTAAAAATGAAGATACTGAATTATTATTCCCAGACATCGATATAATTCGAAATTTAATCAATTTAGAATTGAAGCAAAGGATCAAAAGTAGAGTCATATTGGAAATATTGACATCTATAAAATCGAAATTAGAAAGAGGTAACAGAACTTGGATTCAAGAAGATAATAATTTGAAAAACTTTTTAGATGTTAAATTCAAAGAAGTTGTGGAAAGAGTTGAAAAAATTAAAGACGCTGATTCAAAAGCTAAAGAAGAAGAAGATGAGGATGATGAACTGGAGGATGAAAGAGATGAAGAAAATAGAAGAAATAGAGAAGTACATGAGGAAGAAGAAGATTACGTACATGAAGAACAAGCATTAATAGAAGAAAGTGAAGCTGAAGATGTAGATGAAGAAGAAGCAAAACAAGAAGAAGAAGTGGAGGAAGAAATGGATGTACAAGAAGGTGAAGAGAATGAAGAACCAGAGGAAATAAAGCAATCAGAAAACACAACAATAAGTTCTGAATTATCTGAACTATCTGATGCTCCTGATGATGACGATGACGATGGTATGCTACTTGATAGTTGAATATGTATAATTAATTTAAGTAAAAAATACCCCAAGACACACCTCAAATACTCTACTTCATCTTCTTAACTCTCATTAATTCTATTTCTTAGCTTCAATTGCAACAGGTTTAGTAACTTGTTCTTGTTTAGAAGGATCACCATTCAAAATATATTTAAAAACTTGCATAGGAGAATCACCTAAATCATGTCTATAATTAACAATTCTAATCAATTGATAACCAGCAACAGCACCTAAAAAGAAATTAACAGATGCTAAAAGTGGGTTTCTTGGTTTAATAACAAATCCAGCCCATCTTGTCCATATAGCACCAGTTGCAAATAATGCTATTTGTTGAGTTCCACTTAATTTTTCAACAGGTCTTTGTAAATCATTTATACCTGCTATAACTAATGCCCATTTAAAAACTGGTGCCCAAAAATGAACTGTTCTTGGTCCTGTTTCTGAATTTAAATATTTTGTAAATTTGGATGCGTGTTGTGCTGTTGATGCCATTGTAATTGATGTGAGTGTGTGTATTAGTATTTGAATATGTAGTTTGGTGATTTGGTTTGGTTAAATGTTGATGATATTATCGGAGTAAATTTTATTGAATTTTTTTATTTTTTCGTTTTGGGGGGTTAAGCGGAATTATATTTTTACAACTTTCTAGTTTATAACCGATAAGAATTCAACTAGTTTTGAGGTCAAAGGATAACACTTATCAATAATATTAAGCAAAGTCTATTTGTAAGATGATATTCGTCAGCATTGTAGCGCATCGTTGATCAACATCTCTTGAAATTTGAATAAATAATCAAAAACTTTCATTAAATATCAAATGAATAAATATACAGAAATATTTAATGCAATCTATAAATAACCACCTTGTTTACATAACCCATAAAACACACCTTCTTTTGATTCCAAAAGATTAGCAGGAGTATCAAATTCAATTAGTTCACCTTGATCTAACCCAATAATTTTATCACTATCCATAATAGTATCGATTCTATGCGCTATAGTGATGATGGTTTTGTTTTGAAATTGTGAACGTATAGTTTTTTGAATGAATTTATCTGTTTGATTATCGATACTTGAAGTAGCTTCATCCATTAGTAAGATTTGTGAATTGTTCATTTTAAGAAGGACACGAGCTAGTGACATTAATTGTCTTTGACCTTGAGAAAAATTCGAACCTCCTTCGTCTACTTTACATAACAACTTGTTACCATCTTCTGATTGTAATTTTGTAACATGATCTTTTAAATGAGCTAACTCCAAGGCTTTCCATATCTCTTCATCTTTGTAATACCCAAAAGGATCTAAATTTTGTCTAATCGTACCTTGAAATAATTGAGAATCCTGTGGAATAATACCTAATCTATGTCTTAAGTCAAATAATGAGATTAGACTAGTATTCAAATTATCTATTTCAATATGACCGTCAACTGGTTCAATTATACGAAATATAGCTAATGCTAGGGAAGATTTACCAGCTCCTGTTCTACCAACAACTCCGATTTTTTCATTTTGTTTTATAGATAATGTGATGTTTTTCAAAATAAGATCTAGGTTTTCTCTATACCTTGTTGAATAATTATTAAACGTTATTTCCCCATTAGTTGGCCAATTTAAAGGTGGAACAATTTTCTTTATAGGTTGTTCCTCCAATTTCAACTCAGTATATTCAAGACATCTTTCCACAGCAACAATACTAGTTTCAACTTCAGCTGATTGTCTAACAACCACTCTTAAGGAACCAGTGACTTGTAATGCATATGTCATTAAAAAGCCCGCCATTGATGAAGTTAAAGGACTTGATGTTTTTGTAGTTGATATTAACATTATTGAAGCTGATAATACTGCTAGTCCTCCAATGACTTGTAGTCTGAAGTATAACCATCTGTTTATTGATGTAAGCATGTATTGAGATTTTAAATTAAAATCAATGATCTTGTTCATTATAAATTTAAATCTTTCATCTTGTCCATAAGCTCGAATAGTATCTATACCATTTAAAGATTCACCTAGATGACCATAGATGGGGGATCTAGAAACGCTAACTAGTCTTTTTAACTCTCTAGAAATAGCAACATAATAAGTTTCATAATAGTAGTAAATTAACCCCAATACCAAAATAACAATAGCATAAGCAGGTATAGCCAAACTGACAACAATTAAATTCAAAAAAGTTCTCATTATTTGAGCAACAAATCCAGCAAAAGTATTTGGTATATTATCATCAATTCTATTTATATCATTAGTGAAACGATTCATTATACGACCAACAGGAGTTCTTTCAAAAAATTCCATAGGCGATCCTAAAACTCTAATTGCCATTTCATCATGAATCTTTTTGGACGCGTTGATACCCAACCATAGTTTCATAATTAATGATCTTGTAACCATCATAAAAGTAGCACCAATTCCCAAACAAGCATATATAATTAAAAATTCCCAGATGTTTTGATTTGATCCCGACTCGGAATTTTCTTCAGTCCAATGTTTCAACCAATAGTTACTACCAATAGATAAACAATTAGATAATAATAAAACAAAGATCCATATGAAAATACCTGGAATAGAACATGCTTTGAGATACGTGACGTAAACATCCCATTTAACTTTCCCCTTTTGACTAGTTTCTTGAGTTTGGCCCGTTTTTAAGTTTGGCAATAGTTTTTGTAAAGGGTCCCAATTGAATGTCTCAATACTTGCTCTTCTATGTTTTGTTTCCACGAGGCTTTCACTAGAATCTGATGGTGTTGGTGATGATTCTTCCTCATTTTTACTGAACGTTGTGATTAAGTTGTACAATTGTGGATGACTTTGTTCATTTACTTCCTTGTATGTTGTAGTTTCGACAATATGACCATTTTCAATCATCGTGATACTATCTGAATATTTTAAAACCAGAACTGAATTAGTACATAAGATAATTGTCTTTGAACCCAACAAACCATTTTTCGAAATAACTTTTTCAATAATATTTTTACCAACATGAGAATCAACAGCAGACAAAATGTCATCCAACAAGTAGATGTCTGCACGAGCATAAACTGCTCTTGCAATGGATAACCTAGCTTTTTGACCACCAGATAAACTTACTCCCTTTTCACCAACTTGAGTATCATCACCATCTGGTAATATTCTTAAGTCTTGTTCTAATTGACAGGCTTCTATAACTAAATTATAATATTCAGAATCGTATCTATGACCAAATAAAATGTTTTCTTTAACTGATGCATTCATAATCCATGGACTTTGTGCACAATAAGCTACAGAACCATTAATATTAATTATTGGGTGTTTACCAACTGTGATCATTTGACCCAATAATGCATACAATAATGATGTTTTACCACTGCCTACTTTACCAACAACACATGCCAAATCTCCTTTATTAACTTCAAAATTGACATCTTTTAAAGCATGTGGTACCTCTTGTTGATCATCTTTATAACTATCTCTTTTCCAATAAAATGAAGCATCTTTTATCTCAACTGCTTTATCACCACCATAAGTTATTAAATTTTCATCAAGCTCTTTACATACCAAGAATTTCCTAACTCTATCTAATGCCACTTTCCCTTCAATTAAAGAATTAATAGTGTCAGGTAAATCCAAAATTGGCGATGAGATCAAATTTAATAAAGTTATAGCAGGAAACACAATATCTGAAGTCAATGGCTTTTTTTGAGTTAATACGAAACATCCAAAACAAAGCAAATTCATCATTATAGGAATCATAGACCAAATAAAATTCGAACACTGGTTGAAAAATCTAACTTTTCTTAAATTTTTGAGTTCTTTATCATTTCTAGCTTCTGATAATTTAGCAAGCATAGGTTTTTCCCATGCATACAACTTAATGCTTTTTATAGTTGTTAATATCTCGTTTATTATACTTGTTCTTTGGTCTTTTAATTTCATTTGTTGTTTGTTCATTTTGGTGATATATTTAACTAAAACAGCGTTGATGGGGACGATTAATGCAATTGCCAAAAACCCAGCTAATGTTGATGAACCTAACAACGGCCATAATGAAATTAATCCAACTATCACATCAAATGGTGTATAAAATAATGCACTTATACTCAACATAGCATATGATATTCTGTTGACATCAACTGACATTAAATTCATTATATCACCTGAATTAAAACTAGATTTACTTTCACTAGACAAGTTTAATGATTTTTTATAAACTAAAGAAGTTAATGAACTTCTAATATTTAAACTATTCTCTAAATTTCGTAACATATATTTATTATTCATAGTATTTTGAAAAACAGTACTGGCAAATATCCCAAGACATATTAATAACCCTCTTAGTATAGGTGGGTTAGGAATAGTGAAAAATAAAATAAAATACCTTAATAATTGAGGTTTAACAAAGTTCAAGGCTCTTGCAATAATTTCATACCAGAATGCAATAAGTAAACCAATACCAAAGGATTTTAATATACTAGTGAATAAATTTCCACCAGTCCAATGAGATTCTAATAATTTGGTTGCATAAGATGTTGTTATTTCTTCTGGACTATTGGGTAATTCTGCATTAGTGACGGTTTTATTCTTATACGTGTTAACTATAAGCTCATTCATCCAAGTGAATGTTACTCTTTGGATAATATTTGGTTCCTCTAATTTAATACCTTCTCCTTGTTTTTTGTACTCTTTAATCAATTCAGAATTAGGTTTATAATAATAATACTCCATAATGAAAATATTTATCGAATTTAAAATAAGTAAAACTTCAATAACTGGATTGGAATATTGAATAATCACCCATGAAGTGAAATTATTTTGAAAATAAACCATTATATCAAGAACAGTAAAACATGGCCAAAAAATCAATAATATACTTAATTGAACAGATGAATATGAAGTTTCCAAAATTTGTGAAGGTAGTATGACAAATAATAACACTAAATTAATCAACCCAAATGCTATTACTTTTTGATCAGCCAATCTTTCATGTATGCTAATAAAACTAGATAAATACAAAAATAAAAAAATTTCAATCATTAAAAAGGCAAGTTTGAAATATTGTTTGAACCCAACACTTTTTAGCGAGAAATTACCATATCTCCTTTGTTTAAATAATTCGTTATATGTAGATATACCCCATAGCAAAAAGCATATTCCCAATATTGATATAGTATATAATAAAAAACATGGATTAAATGCATTGACATTATTTGGCGCCATTGGTTCCAATATTGAATGAAACCCACATTTTAATTCTGGGTATAATTTTACCATCTTTCTGTTGTTTGTTCTCTTTTGATCTTATTTTAAATTTATAGATACATTGGGTAACCTATTTATATTCCTTGACGAAGTAATGTGTTAGTTATCTCTTTGTAATTGTTATTGTTATATTTTTGAAAAATTAATTGTGCCGTATTAATTTTTCAATTTTTGTGTCACATGATTTGAACTTGTGTCCATATAAAACAGGATTTAAATTTTTTTTTATTTTGGTCATCTTAAATCCGTCTCTCTTTTTAATACTATACTTTTGAAGAGTCATTTTCATCTAGTTGAGAGCTATTCCAATGAATAAATTTCTACGAAAGTCAAAACTAAGACCTTGTTAATAATTTGTGACAAAAAATTAGATGATATAATACAAATTTTATGTCGAATCATTTGCCCAATACTATGATTTCGGTATTCCATAGAACATTGAAGACGCTTTAAACTACACTACATCCATTACATTCTTCCTATGATTTTGAAGCTACCAGTGCATGCTTTTGAACTGCTAATTCATCGAGATAATCAATGCTTATCTAGTGAGAGCAAAATTTTGAAGTATCAAAGTAAATTTTGGTCTAGTTTCAGATCTTCAAGTTTTGTGCAATTTTTCAAGTTTGAAACAATCCAATTTAGAAGAAAACAAATACAAAATCTATAGAATCTACAAAATCAGTGAATCAAAATGAATTGAATTGTGTATATATTAATTAATTACAAAGTAAACTTAAATCATAAGACTATATTCCTTAACACCAAAATAAAAATTAATCATCTTTCTCTAAATTTAATTCCAAAAATTATAAATCTAATATTGATAGTATATTAACAAAAAAATATCATTTAAAAATGAGGAACAATATTCGTCAAAACGCTGATAATGCGTCAACAACGTCAGTATAGTTTTAGCTAATACGGCGCATCTAGAGGGCCAGACTTCAAATGTTATTTCCCATAATGAATTTTCTCAATAAATAAGCTTTAAAAAATATTTGAAACCAAACAAAAATTCAAAGTTAATTCTCCGACAGTAAAAAGTAAAAGTCTTAATTAGTAAACTTAAGCAGCAATAGTAACTTCAACATCAACACCTGGTTGGATAGTGATTTGAGTAATTTTTTTAACAGTTGCAGCAGGAGCTTGTAAATCAATAACTCTTTTGTGAATTCTTAATTCATAAGCATCCCAAGTTTTAGAACCTTCACCATTTGGAGTTTTTCTAGTAGTGATTTTTAAAACTTTAGTTGGCATACGAACTGGACCTTTTTTAACAATATTGTTTGAAGTAGCATTTCTAATAATATTATTTGAAACAGCTTCTAATTCTTTAACTTTAGTTGAAGTTAAAGTAATTCTAATTTTATGAATTTGTTGTTCTGGTTCTTGTTCTAATTTTTCTTTGTTGATTGGAGCTGACATTTTTGATTATACGTGATTATAGTTGACGTTGTTGAAGAAAGAAAAGAAAAGATCAAGATTTAGACTGGTTCCGAAAAATTTTTGTTTTGTTCTGTTTGTAAGAGAATTGTTTGGTGCGTGAAAAATTTGGAAAATTTACGAGAATTTGAAGACTTGTCACGTTTTTCAACATCCGGTTCATACTTTATTTCATCTGAAACATCTCTAAAATCATGTGATTCTAATCACGTGTATAAATTATTTTTAGGGTTATAACTATCATAAATACTATTTAAATTTTTAGTACGAGTTTCGATTAAGAGCTTGCGTTCTAGCAATTGCTTTTGTCAATTTTATGGCGTATAAATGTTACGAGCTGATAAAGCGGTGCAACAAAACACTGCATTTAACAAAATTCAAAATACAGAATCAACACTGATTCTCAAAACTAATGATATGCTTCGTGCCAAACATGAACTTGGGCTATGCATGGCAATGAATTAGCCAATTGTCATAGTCATGACCGTAAAACATTTTTCAATCTTTTAATTCTATTTAAGATTTAGTTAGTAAATAAAAAATTCTAATAATTAAATGCCCATCTCAGATATATAATCAGATATCAATTAATAAATGGTTTTCTCCAGTTTGAAGTTTTTGGATTGTCAGAGAGATTCCCAATTGAAAAATTCATCATAATAACTTGATTGAGCATTATTTAATAAACTGAACATACCATTGAAATAAGTAAGTAAAAAATTTTAAAACTATTCGTTTCACCCGAAGTGATAAAGAAAACACTGATGGGATGTTTCAAAAAAGAAAGTGAAGTAGTTGTTGATGATACGTTTTTGATTTTTTAATTATCAAATTTCAATTTACGAGATGTTCTTGTTCTTGTTACACAAAATTAAATATTTGTGCACCAGATTTTTTTGCAACTATTTGAAACAAGATAAAAATAAATTTAAATTGTATTACATTGAAAAGTTAAGATTTTATTAGTATGATGAATTTAATTTACAAATATATACAGATTCTAAAATACCAACTATGCACTTTCATTCCTCAAAGCTTCTTTTTCCAAACCTCTCACAACTTTCCACATTAATTCTAAATCTTCAGGAGTTGAATAACCACTAGTTGCCCATCTAATTCTACCTTGAGAATCTAAAATATATATATATCCAGAACATTGATTATCACAATGTAATTTTGTTCTTATATCTGGAGGTAAAATATGCATTGGTAGTATGAAATATTTATTATATCTATCTGGTGATATTATCTTTTTGAGGTTTGATAAGGAAAGATTTGTTACAATTCCTTTTATCCAAGTAGTTGGCATATTTATATTTATTATTTGAAAATTTGGAAATTGTTTTTGAAAAGTGGAATAATCTTTTGAGTATAAATCTTTACCATCATAATCAAAATATGATCTCGTACATTTATCTCCAGTGATTGATGAAAATAATCTAACAATACTATATTTATTACCCAAAACATCATACAAACTTTCTTGTTTCCCATTCAAAGTCTTTGCAATGAAATCAGGAAAGAACAAAGATTTATCTTGTTTGAACCAAGATATCGGAGGTTTAAATATTTTACCTTTCGTATTTTCAAAAGATTTTGCTTCATATATTGGTGAATGTTTTAAATCATAATCTAAATTTTTTTGTCTTCTTTCTTTTGCTTGATCCCCAAATAATTCTTGTATAATGTTGGTTAAGGAATAAGTATCTGATAATTTATGATTTAATAATACTGGTTTGGATAATCCTATTGGTCTTGTTATTTCAAGCGATGATGATTGTGGTGGTTTTGATACTTCTTTTATAGTATTTAGAAATTTGAAATTTCTCGAAGATGTGGTAAATAGTCTTATACTTTTCATTGAATAAACATTGATTGAATAAATATTGATCTAGTCTTTGAATATTAATGGTAGTGTTAAATTGTACTCGTTTCTTAAACATTTTTTTTTTTGTTGATCTCTTTTAGAATAGAAAAACATCAAAACGAAGTCATAGAATCAATATACAACCATCACCAAGGATCATGTCAATACAACTCAGAAATGGTCTAGCCAATCAGACATTGGATCATGTACTAGAAGATTTAATAGTACGATTTTTAGTTAATGTACCAGAAGAAGATTTATCATCAATTGAAAGAATATTCTTTCAAGTTGAAGAAGCTCATTGGTTTTATTTAGATTTTGTACGGCAATTAAATCCAAATTTACCAGCATTAAAGATGAAACAATTTTCAACAAAGATATTGGAGAAATGTCCACTAATATGGAAGTGGGGTGATCCATCTGAAGCATTATCAAGATTTGGGAAATATAAAAGTACTATTCCAGTAAGAGGAGTTGCTTTATTTAATAAAGATTTAACCAAAATATTATTGGTCAAAGGGACTGAATCAAATACTTGGTCATTTCCAAGAGGCAAAATTTCAAAAGATGAAAGTGATATTGACTGTGCTGTAAGAGAAACTGAAGAAGAAATTGGGTTTAATTGTGGAGAATTAATTAAAGATAATGATTATGTTGAAAGAACTATAAGGGGTAAAAATTATAAAATATTCTTAATTAAGAATGTATCAGAAGATACTGAATTTGAACCATTGGCAAGATTTGAGATATCAGAGATTAAATGGTTTGACATCAAAACAGTACAAAAGAAAATTAAATCAAATCCAAATAATTTTTTCATAGTTGAAACAATTATAAAACCTATGTTGAAATGGATCAGCAAGAATCAAGGTGTATTAAATGAGGAAGAAATAATGTTACAAGTAGAATTAAAATTAAAAGATTTAATGGGATTAAATAAACCAGTAGAAAATGCAGATGCAGGTAGAGAATTATTAAATATTTTACAAAAAGTTGCCAACAAGGAAGAAATAAAACCTTCATCAATGATAAATGTTCCCATTCCACAAAATCAAATGCCATTTTATCATCAACAACATCCATTTTTCAATGTGCCATTACAACCACATCATCATCAACATCAACAATTTTATCAACAACCAATTGCACCAAATCCTGAAAATTTAAGAAAACCTTCAACAAATTCAAAAGAATTATTATCAATATTAACCACTACAAAATCAGAAAAGAAAAAAGAAGATTCTCATACAACTCAAAAAAAGAAATCAATAGATTCAGAAAATATTCGATCAAGAGCTCAACAATTATTGAGTGTCTTCCCAAAAAAGAAACAACAACAAATAGAAGAAGAAGCAGTAGTGGAATCACTGCCTGAACCAGCATCATTACCTAAATTAGAAAGACCTACAACATCGCTGCGTCAAATTCCATCTAACGAAATCGAAGAATCTATTAGATCATCATATCAAAGACAACCAGCAGTTGGTAAGAAGATCAAATTACTTAAAAGGTCAGATAACAAAAGTTCAGGAGATTTATTAAATTTGTTAGGTCAAAATAACAATAATAACAATATTGATAATAGTAATGAAAACATCGACGAAACTACTAATAATGTCACAAAAATTGAGTCTAACAAAGCTCAAGATGACTTACCACCACTGCCAAAGTCACAATCAATCAAGCCATTAAAAAACGAAGCTGCATCAGAACAATTAATTGGATTCTTACGTAAAAACCACACACCACAAGATGACCAACACAAGAACCCAAACAATGGATTCTTAGGATTACTCAAGAAAGAAGATGATAAATCCCAACACGCAGTATCACCAACAAAAGACTTTTTAAGCTTATTGAAAAAACCAACCACTACAGAAACCAAACCACTACAATCGTCAACATCATCATCGGCAAACAAATTATTAAATATGTTAACTAGAAAACCATCAGAGACTACCAATAAAGAAATATGGGGTAAAAAAGATCCTTCCCCCAATTTAACAACATCACCAAACATCTTGGCGAGTGTTGAACAATTCAATCAACCAATATCTCCATTTCCAGACATTTGGAGCTCACAACAACAACAACAACAACAACAACAACAACAACAACAACCACCACAATCAAACAATTTTCAAAATTTTGAAAATTTTGAAGATTTTGAAGATTTTGATGATAATTTTGAAAATGATGAATTTTTAACTAAAACTTACAAAAATTTTGATATTGAGAGTGATGAAGAAGATGTTGATCATCTTGTTGATCCAATAATATTAAAACAACAACCATTACAACAAATACATGATCCATTACCACAATTGCATCAACCACCCCAACAAAGTTCTATTCAACAAGCGCATAATCCACTTCAGCATGTACAACAACCATTACAACAACCACATCAACAATTCAATTTTCCACAACACACCAGTCAGCAAGAACAACAAAAACCGTTAGGGTTATTTGCCCAAAATAATACACAACAAGAACAACCAAAACCATTTGGATTATTTTCCCAAAGTAACGACCAGGGAAACGGGTTATTTTCTCAGAGTAACGATCAAGGGAAAGGATTATTAGCATTATTAAATCGTGGGAAATCATGAACTTAAAAAAGTTACAAACAGTATCTAGCCTATATAGAAAAAAATTCATTTGCATTAATTTTCAATTTTTGACGCTTTTTAGGTTGTGGTACTTCTTCTTCTTCTTCCACTTTGGTATTGGGTTTGAAATTTGGATCTCGTACGTAGACGTAACCTCTAGCTGATATTTTATTTCTCGTACTCCATAATAGGTCTAATGGTGCCGGGTATGATTTGTTGATAATCATAAGGTCGATTATGTTTGGGCTTGAGAAATTGAAATCTGGGAACATATCCTGTAGCACGTATAATCCTAAAGTCAAATGATATTGTGCTTGTGGTTTCATTAATAACCAACCCTCTTTTTTAATCATTATGTTTGTTTCAATGCATTTAATGTTGGAATCTAACTCTAAAAAATTTAGGATCCCAGTATTCGTAATTTTTGTATTCACTAATTTCATCATTATAAGTTTGTTTAGCTTCCCATGGTAGATTGAAGTTCTTAAGTTCGATAAAAATGAATCATCAACCTGATGATTGCTTAGATCTAAACAAATAAGACTTGAAATGTTAAAAAGCATGAAATAATCTTCTCTTTTAAATTCCTTCAAATGAGATAAATCTAGTACTATTTTTGACATAGTCGAATTAAGTTTTGAAACAACGTCGACAATAGGTACATTATTAAAAATTGTTTCAATTCTATGTTTGTTACCATTAGGTATACTATTTAGTAAAACTGCTTCATCCCTCTTGTTTATAAACAGTCTAGTTTTATGATTTTTAAAGTCAGATCTTAATCCAAAAACATTGTTAAATTTTATAAAAATCTCAATGGTATCCTTCCCATTTCTTAAAATACAATTCCAGACTGGTCTCCAAATTGACCAAGGTAAAGATTTCAACAAAGACTCATTGATATTGGAACAATTCAAAGATATTTGATTAGCACATAAGTACTTTAATGATTTTAATTTTTTAATTTTTGGTGGATCTAATACATGTTCTATTGTTGTCCATGGATATGAAGAGACTTGAAATGATGTATCTATGAAATTCAGATCTGTTTGACCATGTTTTGATAATTTCTTTTCGTATGTTTCAAATTCATCTTTCTTTTTATTAAATTTATGTCTTTTTGATCTCTTTTTATCTTTCCCCATTCATTTGAAGATTATTTTTGAAACCAGAAATTGAAAAATAAAATCTGAAACACAAAAAATATTTAATAGATGAGATATCAATTAAACTTATTAAACTTACTTCACTTCACCAACTCACAATGAAATTGGATACTTCTCACATGAGGTACTTAACCTCGGATGATTTTAAAGTATTACAAGCAGTAGAAATAGGTTCTCGAAATCATGAACTAGTTCCAACACCAATGATACATTCAATATCTGGAATGAAATCACCATCAGGTACACAAAGATGTATTGGAGATCTAGCTAAATTAAAGTTGATAAGTAGATTGAGAAATGCCAAGTATGATGGGTTTAGATTGACTTATAATGGGTATGATTATTTAGCTTTGAAATCTATGCTAAACAGAGATACTTTGTATTCAGTTGGTTCAACTATTGGTGTTGGTAAAGAATCTGATATTTTTTCAGTTAGTGATCCACAAGGTAAACAAAAAGTTTTAAAAGTTCATAGATTGGGGAGAACTTCGTTTAAGACAGTAAAGAATAATAGAGATTATTTAAAAAACAAGCAAACTTCAAATTGGATGTACTTGTCGAGATTAGCAGCAGCTAAAGAATATGAATTTATGGAAATATTATATAATAATGGATTTAATGTTCCTCAACCATTTGATTATTCAAGACATTGTGTAATGATGGAATGGATAAAAGGTATACCAATGAAACATTTGAACAGTTCAAATTTAGGTAAATTAGATTACAAAAAATTATATTCAGAATTAATGAAATTTATAGTAAAATTAGCCAATTACGGTCTTATTCATTGTGATTTCAATGAATTTAATATCTTAATCAAAAATCCCATAGATAAAGGAGAATTCGTAGTTATAGATTTCCCACAATGTGTATCAATAGAACATATAGACGCAAAAGAATATTTTCAAAGAGATGTTCAAGGAATACGAGATTTTTTCAAAAAAAAATTTAAATATGATCCACAACATGATTCAACAATGTATGATACTGATGGATATGGTGATGGATACAAGTATGCTTATCCTAATTTTAAAAGAGATGTTGTAAGGGAAAAACTGTTGGATGTTGAAGTTAAAGCTTCGGGGTTTGCTAAAAAGACAACGGGGAATAAAGAAGATAAAGATTTGGAAAAAGCTGTTTTGGGGATGAGAATAGTTACTGATGAGAGCGATGATTTATCTGAGGTTGAAGATGATGAAGATGACGAAGAGTATGAAAATGAAGAGTATGAGGATGAAGATTATGATGAAGAGGATTTTGAAGAACCAAAACAAGATGATGAAGAGAATGAAAAAATCATAGCTGCTTTATCAGCTGGTAATCAGAAATTAAAAATGGATAAACTAGGTAATTATATAATAGATGATGAATAGATAAATAAATTGTCACTACAATCATTTCTTCAGTTCGATTTATTTTATAATGTTTTTAATTATTTTATTTCATTATTTATACAGAAAAATCTTTAAATACATAATTTTCTTAACGAGTAGCCATACCTTTAGTAACAGCTCTTTTTAAAGTTAATTCAGCTTTTCTATAATCATCAGCACTTGAATCTTCAATTTCTAAAGTTTGTAAAGCATCAGATAAAGCAGTTTCAATTTTATCTTTAGCTGATTTTTTTAATTTAGCACTTAAAACTGGATCAGTAACAGTTGATTCAACTGATGCAACATAAGCTTCTAATTTTTGTTTTTGTTCATGTCTTTTAGCAAATGCATCATCTGATGATTTGAATTTTTCTGCATCATTAATCATTTTTTCAATTTCTTCAGTTGATAATCTACCAATTGAGTTTGAAATAGTAATGTTGGCTGATCTACCGGTTGATTTTTCAACAGCAGTGACCTTTAAGATACCATTAGCATCAACTTCAAAAATGGCTTCTAAGACTGGTTCACCAGCTTGCATTGGTGGAATGTTTTTTAAATCAAATTCACCTAATAAAGTGTTTTCGGTACAGTTGACTCTTTCACCTTGGTAGACTGGGAATTGAACAGTGGTTTGATGATCAGCAACAGTGGTGAAAGTTCTTCTTTTAATAGTTGGAACAGTTGTGTTTCTTGGGACAACTGGAGCAAAGACATTACCTTGCATAGCAACACCTAATGATAATGGAATAACATCTAATAATAATAAATCTTTAGTTTCATCATTAGTTGATTGACCAGTTAAAATAGCACCTTGAACAGCAGCACCATAAGCAACAGCTTCATCTGGGTTAATTGATTTTTCTAATTGTTTACCATCAAAGAAATCTGATAATAATTTTTGAACTTTTGGAATTCTTGTTGAACCACCAACTAAAACAACTTCATCAACTTGTGATTTATTAACTTTAGCATCTTTTAATACTTGTTCAACTGGATCTAAAGTAGATTTGAATAAAGCTGAGTTAATATCTTCAAATCTTGCTCTAGTGATGTTAGCTTGGAAATCTTCACCATCAAATAATGAATCAATTTCAACAGTGGTTTGAGTACCTGATGATAATGATCTTTTAGCTCTTTCACAGGCAGTTCTTAATCTTCTTAAAGCTCTTGCATCACCTGAAATATCTGAACCAGTTTTTTTTTGAAATTCTTTTTTTAAATGTTCTAATAAATTAGTATCAAAATCTTGACCACCTAAATGAGTATCACCAGCAGTTGCTTTAACAGTGAAAACACCACCAGTAATATTTAATAATGAAACATCAAAAGTACCACCACCTAAATCGAAAATTAAAACATGTCTTTCTTTTTCTGATTTACCAGCACCTAAACCATAAGCAATAGCAGCGGCAGTTGGTTCATTAATAATTCTCAAGACATTTAAACCAGCAATGGCACCAGCATCTTTAGTAGCTTGTCTTTGAGCATCATTGAAATAAGCTGGAACAGTAATAACAGCTTTTTCAACTTTTTTACCAATTTTAGCTTCAGCAATTTCTTTCATTTTAGTTAAAACCATTGATGAAATTTCTTGTGGTGAAAAAGTTTTAGTTTCTTCTAAGTATTCAACTTCAATTTGTGGTTGACCATTTTGTTCAACAACTTTAAATGGCCATGATTTAATATCTTTTTGAACTGATTCATCATCAAAAGCTCTACCAATTAATCTTTTGGCATCAAAAACAGTATTTTTTGGATTTAAAGCAGCTTGATTTTTAGCAGCATCACCAATTAATCTTTCTTCACTAGTAAAAGCGACAAAAGATGGAGTAACTCTATTACCTTGTTCATTTGCAATAATTTCAACTGCTGAATCGTATGTAGCAACACATGAGTAAGTAGTACCTAAATCGATACCAATAGCACCTTGGAAAACACCGTCAGCCATTATGTTATTGTTGTTATTATTATTTGAATAATAAAGTTGTATTAATATGAAAAAAAAAAAAAATTTGGTAAGGGTTAAATTTTAATAAAAACTAAATAAATTTTTAAGAAAAGAAAATGAAAAATTTTTCAAACCGGTGAAAAATTCCACAAAACAAAATGATTTGGTAGCATTGCCCTGAGATGATGATTTAATTAAAATTATTATACAGGTACATTTTAACTGACTGATTGAACTCCACATGTTTCTCTTTTTTTGCAACCATTTTAACAACAATTGAATCAATTGACATTAACCTTTTCCATTATTCTTGATTCAAAATTTTGTCAAACTCATCAAGTACGATTTGAACATTAGATTGTTTACCACTAATAGTAACAATTTGTTTCCAATCTCTTCTCCTTTTATTAACAATATTTGAATAGTCATAAACATTTTCAATATTAATCCAACATTTCAGTTAAATTCTAATTGATTTTATTAATTGACCTTGATGACCGAGTATTTTTGTTACTTGAGTTGAATTTAATTTTATACTAATTTCAATGAAGTCATCAGTTACTGATTCTTTGATTGTTTCAGTTTTTTTAGCTGGTTGTGGTATTGTACTTAGTGGTGGAATATCAAATAATGTTTCATCTTTTGTACATTTCATTAAGTTACCGATCAACATATCAATTGAAGTACTTTCAACTTTAATAATTCCAGGATTAATGAAAGAGCCTCTTAAATTAAAACAATCTTCAATTGAACCTTTAAACAATAAAAAATTTTGTTGTTGCAACAATACCCGCAAAATCACTCGTAATATTTCAATTGAATATGATAAAAATGCAATTTCCCAATATATACTCGGTGAACTTTTATTTTTTTTGAAAATAATTTCAGTTCTGGAGTCAGAATTTACAATAACCAAATTATGACTTACTAGATAAAAAAATAAATTTTTCAATTCCATAGTAGTTACTAATAATTTTGGCAACCATTGTGTTAAAAAATTAGACTCGCTTATTAAACTTAATTTGAGCTCTTCTTGAAGAATAAATGAGTTGATTTTTGATTGAATCTCCATGAGTAATTGAACCAACAATCATTGGAATGAATAAAAAATAGAATTGTTGATAGTAGAAATAATTCATATTTTTGGTTGTAAAAGTTTCTGACTTTTCTGTTTATTATTAATTTTTCAGTTTTGCAACCAAATTTATTTTTACATACAAATTAAAAAATTATCAACGAAAACATTTTACACTTACCAAACAAATCAATTCAAAAAATCAAACATGTTGTATTTGTTGTAAATTATCGTATTTATGTTTATATAAATAGTCTAAAAATTAGTTATTAAATATTAAATTAAATTATTAAAAAATTAAAAAATTGAGCTCTACTCATTATTATAAATATCTCTAGCAACGTCATATAAGAAATTATATTGATAAACAGTTTGAACCATCATCATTCTTTGAGTTCTTAATTGGAAAACAGTCTTATAAATTAGGTCTTTTGTTGGATTTGATTTCAAAATTTCTTTATATTTTGCCTTATTTTTAAATAAATGATCATAAACCATAAAAGTACCTGATCTACCTACTCCTGCTGAACAATGAACTATGGGTACTGGTGGGTTTTGTTCATCTAATTGTTTTATTTCATTTATGTGATTAGATAAATTTTGTAGTGGTATTGAAGATGGTGGAGTTCTTGCATCTGCCCATTTATAATAGTAGAAATGATATATTTTCTTCTGTTTTAATCCACTTTTTAATATTAGTTCAGTTAATAAATAATCATTATTCTCATCATATGATTCATTTATATTTTCAACAGTTAAATCATCATAAATTAAACCATCTTCTAAATTCTTAGAACCAAATGACCATTTCTCACCTAATTCAGGCCAGTATTTGTCACACTTCACTAAACCTTGTTCAATTAAGGGAGTAACCATTACTATTATTCCGATATCATTTTGTTGTTTTTCCAGTTCATTAAAACACATTGACCAAAATTGATTACGAGTATTGTCTAATGGTCCTTGACATGCAATATATGAATTTTTCATGGAATTTTTTGAAGTAGATAAATTAATATATGATGCATTAATATAATCAGAATAAGAATCTTGTTTAATTGGTAATTTGACTCTTGTTTCATTCCATGGCGTTACATTAGTATATCTATTTCTATTCTTGTTTTGTTTTGATATAGCAGCAGTTAATGACCAAATGGAAGTTGTTGGACTATTTAAACCTTCAATTATTCTATTTGATTCAACTTCATTTAATTCATCAAATTTATTTCGAATTTCTTGTGGCGTTATCGTTAATAGAATCGGTTGTTGTTGTTGTTGTTGTGATTGATTATTTAGTGATTTACCATTACTATTCCCTATATTATTAATCTGTATTATTGGTTTTTTAAAAATATTCATTCTATTAAATGAAAGTAGTTGCAGTGTAATCATTTTTGGATTTCTAGAAATTGCTTTTCTGATCTCTTTACTAATTTTTTTTTATCTTATTTATTATTGTGATCTTAATTATTGTTAAGCAGTACAAGAAGAATGAAAACCCCCTTAATTCCTGATAATTAATAATCAGTTCAATAACTGTAGTTAGATTTAAATATAAATTTGATTAATTGTAAAAGAAATGATGATATGACTCAACTTTTTTTTTTCAAAAGTTAGATAAAGAATTATAGATTGAAATATATATATTTAAAATAAAGTTGGTATTTAGATCCAAGTTTCTGCGGTAGTCTGCGGAATAGTTTAAGCTAAAAACTATGATTTCTTTTTTAATTTAATTCATGATTTAAAATATTATCGTATCATTTATTTTTCTAAATTCGTAGCCGTCGATGAATGGTTAAAGTTACTATAATTTCATATTTTACTTGTTAGTTTCTGATCTTATTCGATGGCAATTTTAAGATTAACCTCTTTGTTCAGAGCCTTGAAGAGAGCACAGATATTGAAAACTAGCTAGAACTGATGCTAGTTTGATCCCTGACATAGTTCTCGAAACGTGGTTCTCGAATTAGCACTAAACTTTTAAACCCCGAAATACGCTAAATAACTTTATTTTGTTCGTTCGTTCCCCACCACACCATTCAATTTACATTTTATTTGATTTGAACATCCTCACGTAAAAGATTCTTTGCATTTTGATCTTTCTCTATTTGCAAAGACATATTGACTCGTTACTCTTTCTTTAAAAACCAATAACTATGATCTCTCAACACAAGGATGGTCTGCCTCGTTTAGTAGATTTTATAAGTTCAAGACTCGAGAATAACATAGTTTCACCTTTATAAAACTCGATATGTAATTGAGTAAATTAGAATGTGCTTTCAAAATACACATCAAAGAGCTATTGCATTGTTTTGTTTTGTGACTAAAGACATGTGAAGGTTCAGCAGTATAATAAGAATATTATAAATTTTAGATTGGTGTGAATCTATAAACTTGATTGTTTTTAGGGGAGATTTTCTATAAATTACAGCTCAAACTTAAAGTCGACATTCATTTGTTGACTGACTAGTACTTCAATCTTGGAGGTCATTGGCTGCTACATTAAATGCAATTATTTAACCTAACGAGAATGAATAATCAATATTTGTGACGTTTCAATGCGAAAACATTACAATTTTGATGATATAATAAGGTCTCAAAAATCGACCATAAGTTATCTTACGGCCATAATGATAAAATTAGTTTACAGAATTTTCACTAATCAAACAATTTAAAACAAGACCAATTCAACCCAGGTTTAAAAAATATTTTAAAGAATAGTTTGAAATATACGGCAAGTTAACATCAATTTTGTGTAAAATCTGTCAAACTCATGTGATAAACAGCATGTATACTACGTGCTTTTAAGAGTACTTATTAGACATAGCATGTTTTTTGGCTACAAATTGAATGATTTGGAGTAATTGTACTGACTACTTTGCCTGGCTAGCTCAATCGGCTAGAGCGTGAGACTTTTAATCTCAAGGCTGCGGGTTCGAGTCCCGCGTCGGGCTTTAATTAGCTCTGTTGATGTTTTTTGCTGTTTTTTTTTTAGAGAGTGGAAATTACCTAATTTGTTTGAAGCTGACTGAATAAAACGAGTGCTTTATAAGAAAACGCAGTATATCAGGGAAGATTCTATCATCGAAGCAAAAAGCATGAGAAAGCGTTTATTGTTGAGTTGAGATGAACATACAGCTAAAAGCATTCTCAAGTGCATTTACTATATTAGACCAAAAAATCGTTGAAAGGATCTCCTTTCCTTTGTGAAGTGATAACATATAACTTTATTATCAACTATATAAAGTATAATTAAATATGTTTCAAATTATTTAATAAAATTCCGGAGTTTAAGTTGCAAAAATATTTTATCTGTCATCTTTTTTTATTTTCTCTCTCTCTTCTTTATTATTTAAATTTTTTTAAATTTTGCAGCCAAATATAAATTATCAAATTTGTGGTTTAAAAAATTGAACAACAACATTCAATTACTTATGACTATGCTCGGAGTTAAAGCTTAATAATAATCTTTTATTTGTCAACTCAGCTTGATTGAGCGATTCAAGCTCACCAGTTCAGATTTTAGTGTAGGAAAAAGAGAAATTACAATCTACAAGTCATTCTCTATTTAAGATTATTTATACTTTCTGGCAAAAGCTTTGTAAGATATATTCGAAATAATGTTCTCTTGAGCTACACTAACTCCGGATAAGAGCTTCTATCATCTAGAGTCACACTAAATTTTCAAATCTAATTTTTATTTATGTTTCAGATCATCAACCTATTTGTTTCACTTAATTATTATCTCTCCGGGTGTAATATTTTACTTCATTAAATCAACCGGGTCAATAATTTGCACTTGTTAAGCTCTCTCTCGGACTTCTGTTTGCGCAAAATAAATGCTACCAAATTTTATATATAATTATTGAGATTATTTAATTTGATAAATAAATAATAATTATTTTTTTTTTTCTTTTTATATAAGATTGAAATATTCAATTTGTTAGTTTGGTTTCATTTTAATAGAAGAGATATTTATAAACTCAAATTTTTAACTATTCCAACCAATCAATACTACTGAATATAACAATACATCACAACAATGTTAAGATCAGTTAAATCAATCACACAAAACTCAACAAAATTATCACAATTTATTAGATTTGCATCAACAAAAAAATATGATGTTGTAGTTATTGGAGGAGGACCAGGTGGTTATGTTGCAGCTATTAAAGCAGCTCAATTAGGTTTAGATACTGCATGTATTGAAAAAAGAGGAGCATTAGGAGGTACATGTTTAAATGTTGGTTGTATTCCATCAAAATCTTTATTAAATAATACTCATTTATTACATCAAGTTCAACATGAAGCAAAAGATAGAGGTATTGCTATTGATGGTACTGTTGGAGTTGATTTTGGGAAATTAATGGCAGCTAAAGAAAAATCAGTTAAACAATTAACTGGTGGAGTTGAAATGTTATTTAAAAAGAATAAAATTGATTATTTAAAAGGAACAGGATCATTTGTTGATGAAAAAACAGTAAAAGTTGAACCAATTGAAGGTGGTGAACCAATTGAAGTAGAAGCTGATAATTTTATAGTTGCAACTGGTTCAGAACCAACTCCATTCCCAGGTATTGAAGTTGATGAAGAAAGAATTGTTACTTCAACAGGTATATTATCATTAAAAGAAATTCCAGAAAGATTAGCTATAATTGGTGGTGGTATTATTGGATTAGAAATGGCTTCTGTTTATGCTAGATTAGGATCAAAAGTTACTGTATTGGAATTTCAAAATTCAATTGGTGCAGGTATGGATGCTGAAGTTTCTAAAACTACTCAAAAATTATTAAGTAAACAAGGTTTAAATATTAAAACTGGTACTAAAGTTTTATCAGGTAAAAGAGAAGGAGATGTAGTTAAAATTGAAGTTGAAGATGCTAAATCTGGAAAAAAAGAAGATTTAGAAGCTGATGTATTATTAGTAGCTGTTGGTAGAAGACCATATACAGAAGGTTTAAATTTAGAAGCAGCAGGGTTAGAAAAAGACAATAAAGGAAGATTAGTAATTGATGATCAATTTAAAACTAAACATGATCATATTAGAGTAATTGGAGATGTTACATTTGGTCCAATGTTAGCTCATAAAGCAGAAGAAGAAGGTATAGCAGCAGCAGAATATATCAAAAAGGGTCATGGACATGTTAATTATGCAAATATACCCTCAGTAATGTATACTCATCCAGAAGTAGCTTGGGTTGGATTAAATGAAGAACAATTGAAAGAAAAAGGTATAAAATATAAAGTTGGAAAATTCCCATTTATTGCTAATTCAAGAGCTAAAACAAATTTAGATACTGATGGATTTGTTAAAATTATAGCTGATGCAGAAACTGAAAGATTATTAGGAGCTCATATTATTGGTCCAAATGCTGGAGAAATGATTGCTGAAGCTGGTTTAGCTTTAGAATATGGTGCTTCTACTGAAGATATTGCAAGAACTTGTCATGCTCATCCTACTTTATCTGAAGCTTTTAAAGAAGCTGCTTTGGGAACTTTTGATAAACCAATTAATTTTTAAGGAAAATAGATAATTTTTATTGACGGAATTAATATATATTCATTTTTGAACAATTTGATGATTATATACAAAATCTCTATAAAATTTTGGACTTTGGTACCTTTAAAATCCAATAGTTTTAGCTGTACCTTTTGGCAAAAGAGCCATAAATTTATATACTTTTCCCATCTCTTCATCATCAACCAATCTTTTATAAGCACCATAAATTTTATCTTGCAACTCCTCGTTATCTGAATTTTGTTTAAGTAATGAATCAATCCTATACCCAATTCCAATATTATGTAACCATTCACCTTGAGTAACGGGACCTTGTATTTCAACTAAATTTTCAGTTAAATTTTTAAGATTAGTGAAATCAACATCGATTGATAAATCAACTTCTCCTGGTTTATAAAATGGTGATACAAATTTATGTTTGTAGATCCCACGTAATGAATTTTCTGGTATTTCATTAACTACTCCATAATCTATTATAAGTGCAGCTCCAGTCTTATTGTTTATTAATTGTGCAATTTTCATTATAAAAAGTTCAGCTTCAGTACATATTTCAATTCTTGAACCTACGGGTAAATCTTTGTATCTAGCACTTATTTTGGGTATCATTGAAGAAGGAGTTTCTTTCGGTGATATACTTAAGTGGAATTCAGTATCTAATGAAGGATCATTTTGATGTTCTTGTTTAGTTTCTAATTTTAATTGATCATTGTTGACACTAGGTGTATGTTCCACAACCAACTCTCTCCACCCGTCTTCTTGTTTTATGAATGATTTTATAGGTAATGCATCAAAAAATTCATGAGCTATTATATAATTTGTTACGTCTGATTCTTGTGTGATTGCTTTCTCTGTATCTATCCATTTTATAGAATTACCCCATTTAGTAACTGATGTGTTATGTCCTTCATCAGTTGTTTCAAAAGCTTGTGTCTCATTACATAATTTCTTATACTGTTCCATCCTTAATACTTTGGAAGCTTCAATCATTAATATCTCAATATTAGGTTTAACAGTACTAACACTACGTACAAATTTATTAAAAGTATTCATAACATCATAAATCAATGTTCCCTTACCTGGACCAAATTCAATAAATCTTATAGTAGTAGGTTGTTCTTGTAATTGCCATAAATTATAATACCAAACTCCAATCATTTCTCCAAATATTGAAGAAATTTCAGGACTTGTTATAAAATCCCCTGTTTTTAAATTTAATGGATCTCTAGTTGTATAATAACCAAAATCAGGATGAGTTAAACATTGTCTCATATAAGCACTTAATGGAATAGCACCAGTTAATTTTATAGTTTGTCTGAAAAAATCAGTTAAATTTGTGATTTGCTTGGGGGATGGACCTTGTTCTGGAAATTGAGCAATTTTCCCAATATTTTCACGTAAATTATGATCTCCTTTTATATCTTGTTCTAATTTTTGTATTTGTTGTTTGACTATTTTTGCAGCTTCTTCATATTCTTGTTTTGTAAATTTACCAAAATATAATCCATCTTTATGTGGGGGTATATCTTTTTGTTGTGGTTGTTTTGGATTTTTTTCTGGGTAATTTGTTGCAAAAAGTCTTTTATTTAGTATTGATAGCCTCGTCAGACTTTTGAATGGTATATATCTTAACATTGTTAGAATTTGAGAACTAATTGTCTCTAATCAAGTTTATTCTAAAATCATTAGAATTTTGAATGGATCTAGAAATATTTTATAAAGCCGCACCACACCAAATGCTACCAAATCGCACTAAAATTTTAACTAACACGATAAAGAGAGAAAACAGAGAAATTATTTTGTTTACTTTAAAAGTTTCAAATCAGAATTTCAATTGACAACCAAATTTTTTTATATTTTTAATTTCATATTCAACCCAACTTTCATTGCATTCATTTAATCTTCATTTCTCTATTATATTATTCGGGTTTCATCACTTTAGCATCACAATCACTTTAGTTAAGAACAATCAATTATAATGTCATTTGCTGAAAATTTTTGGTCTTATGATTATAATCTGGGGTTTCAAATATTATTTAATCAATTAAAAGAAGGTATTAATGAAAATAATGATTATATTGTGTTATTTAAAAAAAGAATGGAACTGGAACTTATATATGGTTCATCATTACAATCAATTCATTCAGACATAAAACCGACTTCAAAAAGACAATTTAATGACGATTATGTTTCAACTATCAAGAATTCATTCACTAAACTACAAGATAATTTTTCAAAACAAGGTGATTATCACTTAGTTATTGCTGAGAATATTGAAAATATGGTTCTAAAACCTTTTGAAAAATGGGTTGGTGAACATGAAGAAAGAGTTGATTATTCAATAACTACATTAAATTCAAAATATAAGAAGTTGAAAAATGTTCAATCACAGACTGATAAATTACAAAAAAAATATTTCAATAAATGTAGATTACTCGAAGAATTTAAAAATCATTATACTGAAGAAGAATTAAATGATGAAATTAATTTTTATACCCCAAATGAAACCGAGGAAGATGAACCAGATAGTAGTTTTGAATTTACACAAGCTGAATTAAATACAAAACAAGTTGAACAATTAATAAAACAAATGCTAATGGGTATACCTAGAATATCACATAAAGTTGCCATATTGGGGACTTATCAAAATGTATCTACTGGAAGTTCAATAACTCAATGGGTTCTAGATAATGTAACAGAAGTTGAAAAAAACCTCGAGAAAGCAGAAAAATTTGGACAAGATTTAATTAATAATAACTTTATCAAAAATATAAACCCAATTAATAAGACATTTATAAATTCATCACAATTTTATTATCAATGGAAACCAGAAGCGTTTACATTAGCACAAATAAAACTCAATGATCAAGAAGAAGATAAAGCATTCACAAAAAGTTTTGGACAATTTAATTTCGATGATGTAAAAGAAGCAATGGGTGTAAGTAGTATAGATTATAATGATAAAACTCAATACCCTAAATTAGTTAATGATGTTAAATATTTAGATCTTCAATATTTCGAAAAAGTGGTTGAGTTGGATCAATTGAGATGTGAATTTGAAGAAATTGCAATGGATCATTTAACTTTTATGCAAAAATGTGAATTAGATAGATTAAAAGCAGTTAAAAAAGTAACTTATGATTTTATTGCAAGTTTTTATACAAATACTAATGAAATTCAAGATATTTCTCAAGAATTAATATTAATTGAAGAAACAATTAACCCAAAGAATGATTTAAAATTTTTAATTGAAAATTATTCAACAGGATATTTTAAACCTCAAGTAACATTATATGATAATTATTATGAATCAAATATTAAACAAACTTTTGGAGTTGATTTAAATGTAAAATCAAGATTAGATAAAAAAATTGTACCATTAGTGATACAATGTATATTAAGTTATTTAGATCATGTATACCCTGAATTAACTGATGATGAAGAAAGGATACATTTATGGACTCAACCAGTTCATTTAACAAATATTCATCAATTAAGATCACAACTTAATAATATTGATGATGCTAATAAAATTAATGAAATATTATCCAAAACTAATCCCATAGTCATTACAAACGTATTAAAATTATATTTATTAGAATTACCAGATTCATTAATTCCAAGTAGTTTTTATGATGTTATAAAACTTTTATATTTAAATTATAATGATATAAATCAAAAAGATTCTCGTATCAATGGATTACAAAATGTATTATCAGAATTACCAAAATGTAATTTAGCTACATTAGATGCTATATTAACTCATTTAAAAAGATTGATTCTTATAATTGGATCAAAAGATAAATCATCTTCAAAAAATTTACAACTGTTAATTTGTCTAGAATTTGGTAAATTATTACTAAGACCTAAAATTGAACATTTCAATGAACACACTAACCAAAAACAACATTTAAATGATAAACATCCAGTTAATCTTGTACAAGATTTAATTCAAAATAAAGAAACTATATTTAATGAATTAAGAAGAATATCATCAACAAGATCAACTAAAAGTAATCCAGTAAGTAGAGATAACTCAATATCATCAACTACAACTCCAACAAAACCTCCAATAGATATAAAACCAACAGAATCATTAGCTGCAAAATCAAGATCAAGATTAGAATCAAGATTGAAAAGTGCAGTAAAACACAAAGATAATCAACAACAACATCAACATCAACAACAACCAAATTCACAACCACCACCACCTCAAGTCAAAGAAGAACCACCACATGACGAATCACCATCTAATGAAAAAGAAAATATCAAACCAAAATCAACATTATCAACTCCACCACCACCAACCCCAACAAAATCACCAATTCAATTAAAAAGATCAACATCACCAAAAAAGAAAAGATTAAGTTCAATGCTTTTAGATGATCAAGTTTCTACAGATAGTATAAATTCAACCCCATCAAAATTAGATCCAAGAAGAAAATCAACTGATTCATTAAGAACATAACTTTTAATTTGTAATTACTTTTTAATTTTTTTATTTAAAGAAGTTTAGAATGCTTTATATCATGTCTAAGTCTATAAACAAAAACAACCAACACCAATAGCACAATCACTAAAGGAATTAAAATCCATTTAATCAATTTATCCACCACCGAGTCATTTCCATTGGCACCAATATTTATTTGTGGTTCTTGATTTTTTTGTTTTTGATATTGATAAGCTACTTCTTTATGTTCATTCATTAATAAATCAACTTTTTTTGAAAGTTCTTCCATTCCATAATGTTGTTCTCTTACTTCCCCTATAACTTTTTTATTTAATTCTGAAATTGATTGTAAAAGTTCTATATATTGTTTTGATATAGTGGATTGTAAATTTGAAATTTGAAGTTGTGTTTGATCTAATGAATTTTTTAAATCTTGAAAGTCTTGTTTAGAAAATTCACCAGAATTTGAAGATGATGATGATGTTGAAGAAGATCCAACAATTTTAGAAAGATCAGCTATTGAAAATTCTAAATCATTTAATCTATCAAGTATAATTGAAAAATCTTGTCCTGAATTAGGTTGTTGTTGTTGAGTTTGTTTTTCAATTTGTAACATTTCTTCACGATGTTTTCTAGCTCTTTCCATTAATGATTCTCTAACAACACTAGGTTTTACATGATCATCATCATCTATAACTTTGTTGATGGTATCTATTTTAAGTTCTCCATCAATTATAACTCCATGATCATCAATAGAATCTTCAGTTAATTTATCCCATATTTTAATTGATAAAATTTCAAAACTTTCCAAAGATTGTTCATTTACAAAACTAGTTAATCCAAATCTATAATTATTATCTTCAGGAATTTTAATTTTATCAGTTTTGAAACATAAATTATTATCAACTTGAATTTTAAACCAATTTCTTTCAGAACTATATGAAATACGAATAGTAAAAGGAACGTCACTTTCCAAATATCTAAATCCACAATCTCCTATACTTTCTTCCAAAGTGTATTTATCCCCCAGGGATGATCCATCATTATTAAACAACTTTAAACCTTGTTGTTGAAAATTATTAATTGAGATTTTAAATCCATCGAAATTTTTAGAACCTATAGTTGACACAACATCATTATAAATCCATAAACTTAAATTATTATCATCAAATTGAATATCTTTAGTTTTTCCAGTTGATCTAAAAATTAATTCTATTGTGAAATCTCGTTGTGGAATATTTTGATTTGACCATAATGAATCTAATTTCGATAAAATTAAACGTCCAGAATCAAATTTTATACCATTTGATAATTGATAACTTGATATATCTGATTTATCATTTATATGTAAAAGATTATTTAATGATATATCTTCTATTATGTCTAAACTTGATGAAAATTGATTGACTTCTTTTTGATGTTGTTGAATATTTACATTAGGAACGAATGCAAATGAAAATGCAAAATTGAATAATAATGTTGTTATTAGTTTCATTATATTCTTTCGATCATGTGAGATCTGTAATCGATCAATTAAAAAAGATAAAAGTAATTATTATTTGTGGTTCAGATTGTTATTGATCTGAATTTTTCAAAGTTTCGCAAACTCGAACTAAAAAATTCAAACTCGAATGAAAAATTACGTCAAAAAAAAATTAAGAGAGAGAGAGAGAGAAGAATAAGAAAAATAATTATACATCAATTGAGAATGTAACCAAAATTTACAAACAAACAACTTTTTCTTATACATATCTAAGTACTATCTATCAAATTATCTATAAACTATCTATAAACTATCTAAGAACTACAAAACTATTTATCTATAATTTATTTAAAATTTATGATTTTCTTTGTTAAATTGGTTGAAGCTTTAATTGATAATAAATGCGTTAAAATTCTTGTAACAAATCGGGCAAAAATCAGCAATACACATGTCTATCTCCCCAAGCTCCTAAACAATTCCTAAATATAGTCCTATCATTTCAATCTGTCAAGTTGATGAAGTGGGTCCAATTGAAATAAATATTAGATCAAATTCAACAAAATAGAGAATTTCTGGGTTTGTGTAATGGCATTGGCTGCAAACTTGAAAAAATTAAAGAGGTTTAGCAGTTTGTTTTAAGGTGCAGAACAAAACAAACTACGAGAAAATGAGACTTTAGTCTCAACGATTTATAAAGGACGAAAATCAATTACTGATTTTATGGGGTTCGGAACGTTGAAATGATATTTAATCCAAGCATTTTTTTCTTAAAACGTTATAAAAAATCTAAACACAACAATATCCACCATCAACTCTAATATCAGATCCTGTAGTAAAACTAGAAGCATCACTAGCTAAATACAAGTATGCACCCGCTAATTCATCTTTTTCTGCTTCTCTACCCATTGGAGTTAATCCCCACCATTTAGCTCTTTGATGTTTTGGAATAGGTTCACTTAATAAAGTATTTGTATAACCAGGACTTATTGAATTACATCTTGCAAATCCAGCAAATTCAACAGCTAAACCTTTTGCCATTTGCATTACTGCAGCTTTTGATGAATTATAACAAGTTTGATAATTTGGTACATTATTTATATGAGCTGACATTGATGCTGTTATTATAAAACTTCCACAACCATTTTTTTTAAAGATTTCACCAACATATTTTGCACAATAAAATACTCCATTTACATTTACATCGAAAACTTTTCTCCAATTTTCTGGGGTGGAATCTTCATTTAATATTGAGCCAGTATACCAAGCTATACCTGCATTTGCAACAAATACATCAATAGTTTTAAATTCTTCTTCAATCTTGCTAACAACTTCTTTAACTTGTTCAGAATTAGTAACATCAATTTGATAAAATTTAGATTTTATTCCATATTCTTTTGATAATCTTTCAGTTAATCCATTATCAGTATGTGAATGATCCAATATTATAACATCACCACCAGCTTGTGCATAACCTTCTGCTATAGCTGATCCTATAGCACCTGCTCCTCCAGTAATAACTGTTACTTTACCCTTTAATGAAAATCTTTCAACTATATTTTTACTTAAATTGAATGGTTTTGTTGGAACTTCTAAATTTGGATCAGTTTCTGGTTTTATTAATGATTTAAATGACATATTTTTAAAATTAATCTATAAATGAATGAAATAGTGAATGAATAAATTATACTTAGTAAATGTTGAAAAAAAAGTGAAGGATTGTAAGCTTGTTAGATTTGAAGATCTACTTATATAATATATCTAAAAATTTTTCAACTGCAAATATCATCATCGTATCTTGTATAAAACGAAAAACGTTGAGATCAAGTAAATTATGAAACGCGGAATAAATGTATATATTGGTTCCCCCAATATAAATCGTTTCTTTTTCTCATCTTGTTCACTAAAATTGACTAGTTTCATATTTTGTGAAACAATCGGAAGAATTGCTTAATTAATGGAATAACTCTTTAAATTTAAATCTCAACGGTTTTTGAATTTTTGTGTTGTTTTTTATTTTTATTATGTCTTAATTATTAATTTTCTGTCACGACAGATAAATTTTAAATGTTCTATAATTTTATTACACTTCTTTCAATTAGTTTTAGAAACTGAAAAAAATTCCAAATTTTACGTATTTTTGTCACGATAAATTGATTTGGTGTCAATATATTAATAGTAAATAAGTAAAAGCAATTAGTCAATATACTGTTTCTTTGTAAATTTGAAGTTATATATGTTAAAAGGGTGGGAAATTTTATCGTTTCAGAAATAAAATTATTGATGCGTATTAAATTTTTTTAGAGCAGTTTGGAAGTCTAGTTGAATTATTTAGCTGAAAAAAAAGCTACTTTATTAAACAACTTTTACACTTGGTAATACATATGAAACTTTTTTGTCCTTATGAATTAAGATTTAGAGTTAAATTATCATAATTTAATCGTAATTAGTATTGAAGTAAAAATAAACACATATTAAATGAATTAAAAGAACTATACATAAATTAACCCAAAATCAAAATCTTAATTTCCATTTCTATTAATAGCTTGATCAACATCAATTCTTAAAATTAAAAGTGATCTTAATAATCCAATCATTGTAACAAAACTAGCTAATCCAACGGGAACAACTGCAAAAACAACAATATTATAAAAATCAAAAAATCTTCTTGGTTTAATTGACTTTTTACGTAATGTTTTAACTTGTTGAGATTGAGGACCTTGAATATTAGATATTTCTATTCCTGTATCTTCATTATCTATTGTAAGTGGTGGTTTTTGTGATTGTGGTAATTCCAACTGAAGATTTGAAGTTACAAAATTTTGAACAATAAATGTGAGCGTTAATAAACAACTTATTAAAATCCATATATGAAGACCATATTGATAACCTGTAGCTGAAAAAGTATTTACTAAATATAATTCTATTGTAATCATTATAGTAGACATTGATAAAACTCTAACAATAGCAGCTGAAGTTGAATAAGTTATAATCCATCTAACTAATAAAGAATCCAAAATGGAATATGATAAATAAGTAGCAACAATACACCAAATCCCAGTAAGAAAATGTTCTAAACTTCTTGCAGTTGTTAATTTTTTATTAATTTGTGTACTAAGTAATTCATCATCATCAATATATAATCTTTTCCAAGCTTGAAATAATCCAAATAATGGAGGTAATAAACTAACATCTCTACAACTAGCTAATAAAAAATGTTGTCTTGCATTTAAAAATTTTAATCCTAATTTTTTAATTGATGTTTGTTTGAATTTATTACGTATGGCTTGTTTTGGTTGTTGTTGTTGACGATGTTGTTGATTATGCTGTTGATGATGTTGTGGCGGCGATGGTGGTTGATGATGATGATGTTGTTGACTAGTGTTTATAATAGTATGATTCAGTAAAGAAGAATCAGAAGATTCTGATAATAACATTGAAGTTGAATTATTTCTAGGTATAGGTAATGAAGGTATTGGAGTATATAAATGAGATAATAATTCAGGTGAAAAAGTTGTTGATAAATTTCTATGAAATTCCTGAGGTTGTTGTTGTTGAAATTGATCTAGTAGTAACTGTTGTTGTTGTTGTTGTTGTTGTTGTTGTTGTTGTAAATCTTGTGATTGTGTTAATTCATTATTTAAATTATTTGAAGAATTTTGATGTAATGCTTGTGATATTTCATATGTGGGAACTGCTTCATTTGGATCAAAATTTTCTTGATCTTCTAAGTTATTTAGTAATGTTGTTTCATTAACTAGTGAATTAGATGAATGTAATGATTGTAATTGTAAATTTTGTAAACTTTGTTGATGATATAAATTATTAGAATTTAAATGACTTATAGTTGGAAAAGATAATGATCTTGAATTTTGTGAAAAATTAATATTTTGATGGGGAATAGATTGATTAATTTGAGATAATAAAGGTAATGAATGATTATTAATTTCGTAATCTTCGGAATATTGTTGTATTTGTTGTTGATTAGATGAATTGTTTCGTCGATTTAAGGTTGTTGTTGTTGTGCTTGATGTAGTAGGTGATGGTATTGAATAATCATCATCAATTTGATTTGATTCTAATCTATTTTTAAATCTAGATCTAAATGAAGACAGTATCGTCATTATAGATCTTTAAAGAAAAATAATCTATAATAATTTATTCTTAAATTCTTTTTAGTTAAAATTCTTTTGATAAAATTAATTGATATTAAATATATTAATATAGTAATGATAAATCTATTGGGGGTGGTAATGATATGTTGAATATCTATCTTAATAAGTTATACAATTTATTATTTGTGTTTATATAATTCTATTAGTAGTAGTTACTTAAATTGATTAAATTGATTAATATAAAAATTTAAATATTTTTTTTTTTTTTTTTTTTTTTTTTTTCATTAAGTTATTAGTCTAATAAATGAAAGAAAGATAAGTAAAAAGTAGTAGTTAGTAATATGCAACGAATGAAAGATTCTTTTGATATTAAGAATTAGTACTCAAATATAAGAATTGAACTAATAAGTAAGAAACCAAGACCCTTTTGGAAAGTGAATAAATTCAAAAAAGAATAAATTTTATAAAAAAATTAATTCTAATTAAAAGATTTTTATTTCTATTGTTTATTAATTATTATTATTATTATTTAATTGTTTCAGATTTTAATCAATAAAATCTATTAGATCTATAACCACATTCCCTAAAATCTATCAATTTTCCATTTTTTATTACTTATATTCAATATAAATTCGTTATAATTTTCAAGAATGACCTCGGAAAGATACATTATTATACATGAACAATTGATTACGTGAAGATGTTGGCTTAATAAACTCTCATCATAAAAGGATTATCATTTACCACGTTTATTATATTTAATTTTTAAACCTTTTTGATTAATTCGAGAATTTAAAAAAAGCCAATTTTAAGCTCAAAGTTGTACAATCCCCATTTACATTAAACATAATGAAACTAAAACAGGCTAATTTATGAATACAATGTAGAACTCAATTAATTTAAATAAAGAGATTTTTTAAATTTAAGAAAAAAAAAGTTTGAATTAACCAAATTAGGTCTAAGGGTTTTTATGTTGATTGTTTTTGTAATTGAATAAAAATTACGAAATTAAGATTCATGTTGATTTTCACTTTTCTTTAATTTACAATATTTTATTCTTTATTCTTTGTTCTTTTAATACAATAAGTCAATAAAGTTTATAATTTTCTTAAATTCTCTTATTTTTAATAATTATTAAAACGTTTGATCTATTGTTCTCGAGATATCGACAACCACTAATAGAGTTAAGTCTTTTAGGCTTAATTTAATCAGTAAAGCCATAGAGTTTTAGTATTATATAGAAGTATCAATAAATTAGTTTTCAAATTGATTTTAAAATGTAATAAACATTAATTAAGAAATTGGTATTGCTATATAAAAAAATATATAAAGGTAGTAAAATTGATTGATAATGATAATAATTATAATTTCATTTGGACCAAAAAAATCAATATTAAAATTGATTGTTTTTTTGAAAAAGTAATTCTTATTCACCTCACCAAATTTTAAATAGCTTCTAATTGTTGACTAATTTCATCTAATTCAGATTTAACATTATTATAAGATTCAGTTAATTCTTCATATTTTTTTTCAATATCTTCTTTTTCACTTTCTAAACTTGTAACTTTTCTTTCTAATTGTTCAGCTTTTATATCAGTTTCTCTTAATTTTTCATTAGTTAATTTTAAATTTTTATCACTTTCTTCTAATTCTTCTTCTAATATTTGATTTTTTTTAGTATAATTATCATTTGAAGTTTTTAAAGAATGAGATTCATCACTTGTCAATTTTAAATCTTTTACTGAATTTTCTAATTTTTCAACTTCTTCTTCTAATACTTGATTTTTTCTTGTTAATGATTGAATTTGATTATCTTTTTCTAAATTTTCTTGTTCTAATTCTTTAATTTTATCTGATAATTCATCTGATTTTTCTTGCCATTTTTCAGCATCTAATTTTAAATTATTAATTTTCTAAAAAAGATAAGTGAATAGTTAGTATATACAAATATTTTTTGACATATATTTTTGGTATACAATTGATAATTTGTTATTTGTATATAAAATTATTATCATATGCAAATATTATTGACCAAATCTAAGAGTGATTCGGTTGACATTGAAAATTTGAACTTCCAAAGGTCTCAATCCCTGAAGTTTGTAATCATTAAGACAGATTGGTCAAAGATCAAATGCATTATTAAATCGGATCAAAATCTAATCTTTATTGATCCATATTCCCCTCAAGTAGGCTATATCTTTAACAAATTAACTCGAAAATTGTGCCAAATAAAATACCAATTGAGTTCTCTATATAGAAATCACATACTTCTTTTAATTTATCCATTGTTTTAAATACTTGACTTAGTTGTTGTAAATGGGTAAAAAGGTATCAAATTGAATCAAAACTAAAGAAAGGAGGAATCAAAATTTATTTTTATTATTAAGAGATCAAAAAAGACAACAAAAAAATAAAAATAATAAAAAATAGAAGATACGACTTTTTGTATGGTTTTACTAAATATTTAACGTGTCACATTCATTTTTTAAATTTTTGTTATATTGTTGAGAGCGTAGATAGTGTCGTACAGTCTAAAATGTCGGATCGTCTATATAATTTTATTTTTTACAACTTCAATTTTCTTTTAATTTACAACCAATTTATTTTTTAATTATTTATAAATGGTTATGATGATAAGCTTTGGTTGATAAGTTAATTTGTTGGTTGGCCGATTGTTGATAATTGAGTAATGGTATTCACTGTAGTGATGAACTATGTAACAGTAAGTATTGACTTCTAAGACGTGTGTCTTTGTCTTGAAAAGAACGTTTAAAACTCAGCCCAATCTCACTCTAATTTGATTTATATTGTTCAGAATTTTTGACGAGGTTGAACATCTTCAATATTTTAAATACTTAAAATTTTTAAAGATCATTAAGAGTAATATTGTATTGATTCATTTCAATAACATATTAATGAAAGATCATAAAAAATCTTGAATTGAATTGATAGCAGACAATAACCAAAAAATTAAATGTTGCAAATTCAAAATTATTAAAAAAAATAATAATTTTATTTGAAACCAGCCATTTTTTTATAAACTTTAATTGAAATTATAATAATAACACAATCCAATAATTAATTATTATGTGAAAACTTATAATGATGAGATCATACTCACAACTTGAATTTAAAGTTACCTCCTTATAAACTTAGATTCATTAATTTCATGATTCAAAAATATTTGGTCTTAAATTTATAACTTTTTCATAATCCTTTTTTATCAAATCATTAATCAATTTTTTTTATGTTAGTTTATCATTTGCAACCAAAATTTTATATTTAAAGAAAATTATGACTATAGTATACAAAATATGACTACTGCAATACCTAGATCATCTCATGCATCAATTATAACTGGATCAACTTCAGATCCATTTAGACAAAGTTATTATCATCATAAACATTCAACAAGTATAGGTACAAATACATCATCAATCAGAAATCAACCATATAATAAACATCATTCAACATTAAACCCATTTGATATAATATATACAGATGAAGATTTTACTACAAATAAAAAATCCCCCAATAAATCATCAACAACAACTAACATAGATTTATCAAATAATCCATCAATTCCATTACATATATCACAAAATCAATGGCATAGTTCAAGAAATTATAATTTAATATCACATAATATAAGTACTGGTGGTTCAATAAATATGTTAAAAGATTCAATAAATAACAGTAGTAATGATACAAATTTATCAAGACAAATTCCAAATCCAATTGTAACTTTAATTGATCCATTACCAAAAAGATCAGGTTCTATGGTTTCTAGATCTGCTACTTTAAGAAATAGATATAAAATTAAATCTAGGAATAAAACTATTAAAAGAAAAGATATACATGAAGGATTTATACATGTTAATGGCAATAATAACAACAATAACAATGCTCATGTTAACACTAAAGATCCATCACCACCAACATCACCGACTTCATCAAAAAAACCAAGTTCAACTTCAAAATGGCCGAAATTTATATTCCCAGTATTACGTAAAAAATCATTAAAATATCAATCAATAACAAAACAAATCCCCAATTTTAAATCAGAAAATCAATTTCAAAATTATATAAATTCAACAAATTATAATAATAAAATATTGTCATTACTTCCTTCAACAATGAAAATGTGGAATTATACAGAGCAATTACATCCACATCCATTATTAAATTATAAAAGCATTCACACAACAAAATTTGAATCTAAAAATCATACAAGATCAAATTCAATTAATCTTATTGATCAATTATATTCATCTTATAGATTAAAAGTATTTCAACTAAATCAAAACTCAAATAATCAAATTCCTAAGAAATATCAAAAAATCCCACCAAAATTTCAAAAATTGTACCCTAAAGATTCAATACTTTTAACAAAAAAAGAACTTCATCAATTAAACCTTAAAATTTTAGTTGAAATCCTTTTAAGAAGAACAGTAGCAGCTAAAATGGAATATAGACTTAAAAATAATGGAGTAAACTTCACAAAACAACAACAAACATCTTCAATATTTTCATCCTCATCTTCATCTTCATCATCATTATCAAGTTCAACAATGAGTGATACTAATACTCAATCATCTTCATCATCAACTTCTTCCAACCATCAACAACATCAAAAAGATCATCAATCATCTTTTTCTAATTCTTCAAAACCTTATAATAATGATGATATTTTATTACAAAATCAATCAATGTTTGAAGATCTTTTAATGAGTAATTCAAATCCATCATATACAAATTCACCTAAAGAAAATTTAAAAACCAAAAAGAAACCAACTACATCACCCAAAAATCAACAATTACAACAACATATACAATCAAAAGCTTATTCTTTTTCTTCTTCCAAATACTCAGATTCACCACCAATTCCACAAACTAATTTAATGAATCCATTCAGTCTAGATCCAAAATCAAACACTCACACATACTCAACCCATCAAAATATCAATACTAATTCATCATTATTATTATCTTCAATATCTAACCCTACAAAAATATCATTACAAAATTCAATTACATCATTAACAAAACCACCAAGAAAATCAATAAATACATCAAACACATCAAATACTTCTCTCAATTCACAAGAAATGTTTATGGATTTATCACCAAAATCTCATTTGGATGATTTAATAAATGATTTTCAAATTAATGTTAATGAATTTGAACAAAGTAAAAAAAATGGATTTGGTTTTGGGGAGTTTGGGAAATTGGGAAAATTGGGAAAATTAGGAAATAAGAAAATCATACCTTATAATATTATTGAACCTGATCAATTAATTCGTAATATGAATGATTATGATTTGTATAGATAAGTAGAGTTAATATAACATTTTTCAATATGCAATTTATAAAAATTAATCTTAGATCTATGTGTAATTTAAAAGAGGTCGACTTACGACGTAGGAAACGTTCTATGAAGTATATTTTTAAACAAATATTATTGAGTGTTTCGTCTCGTCTCGTATTAAATATGCTAAGCTATTATAAATTTTACTCCAGAAAAAAAAAGTTCACGAGAATCTTTAAAACAGTGATTTACAACACAATATACATATTACAAACTATATTTGACTCAACCAAATCATATATACTTCTCATAGTATAAGAGTAACACCAGTTGGATCAATCAACTCATAATATAATGTCAAGTTCATACGCTCAACCAATAGATCACACTTCAAATCAACAACAAGATAAATCAAACACCCAAAATAAAATACCCAATCCATCAGAATCAATACAATCATCAATCAAAAATGAAATAATATTCCCTCAACAAACCACCATAAAAGATCAAGAAACATTACAAGAAATAATAATAGATTCAATAACTCAACAAAACGATTTAACAGTATTATCATCACAAATATCACCAGAAGAAATCGTTACAAATTCAGATATATCAACAACAAATGAAATAATTGAACAAAGTCGAGTATTAGAAGCTCAAGAACAAAACCTAAAAAAATGGGGTTATTTTTTAGACATATTAAAGAAATCATCAATAAATATTATACTACCATTTATTAATGGATTAATGTTGGGATTTGGAGAAATATTAGCTCATGAAATTGGGTTTAAATATAATTGGATTGGTGCTAAAGTTGAACCTGCTAGACGTTTACAACAAAGACGTATTGATTTGGATCAACAACATGAAAAAGTTAGGGTTAATGGGGCTAGATTTTTGTAAATAAAAAGTAGAAATTTAGGGTTAGTCAAATGTATTAATCGTTTAATATATGATTTGGTACTTTCTATGTTCAAACAGTTTTACTTTTCAACCTATAGAATGTTAATAGAACTGATCAGTAAGTTAAAAAAAGCTACTTTTTTACTCTTCTTAAATCTTTGACCTGAATAGTGCGAGCTCGACCTAATTTTGTTTCACAGGGCTTTACTCAAGAAAAAAAAAATAATATAATAATAATTTTTGACACAATCCCCCCATACGTAATAAAAAACAAAAACTCCGAAATATTATTTCGTATTTTTTTACCTAATTGATTCATCCTTACATTATTTAGTTTTAAACCAATTAGTCTTTTTCATTTTTATATTTTATATCCTTAAATATCCTTAAATTCTTCAAATTCTAAAAAGTCAATTGATTCAAAGAATTCAACAGTACACAAATTTACAATCAAATTTATTAGTTTCCAATTACAATGTCAAATAAACGTGTTGAATCAGATGCATTTGGTCAAATAGAAGTTCCATCAAATAAATATTGGGGAGCTCAAACTCAAAGATCACTTACTAATTTTGAAATTGGTAATATAACAATGCCATTATCAATAATAAAATCATTTGGAATATTAAAAAAATCAGCAGCTATAGTTAATCAAGAATTAGGTAAATTATCAATTGAAAAATCCACGGCTATACAACAAGCAGCTAATGAAGTTATTAATGGTAAATTTAATGATAATTTTCCATTAGTGATTTATCAAACTGGATCAGGTACACAATCTAATATGAATGCTAATGAAGTTATATCAAATAGAGCTATTGAAATATTAGGTGGTAAAATGGGAAGTAAAAAACCAATACATCCAAATGATGATGTTAATATGTCACAATCTTCAAATGATACTTTTCCCACAGTGATGCATATTGCAGCAGTTATGGAAATTTCCCATAAATTAATACCAAATTTAATAGATTTGAAAAATGCATTTGAATTAAAAAGTAATGAATTTAAAGATATAATTAAAATTGGTAGAACTCATTTACAAGATGCTACTCCTTTAACATTAGGTCAAGAATTTTCAGGTTATGTTCAACAAATTGAATTTGGAATTGAAAGAATTCAATCATCATTAAAAAAATTATCATATTTAGCTCAAGGTGGTACAGCAGTAGGTACAGGTTTAAATTCCCCCAAGGGATTCGATGTTAAAATAGCACAAGAAGTTTTCAAATTAACAGGATTACATTTTGAAACATCACCAAATAAATTCGAAGCATTAGCAGCTCATGATGCATTTGTTGAATGTTCAGGTATGTTAAATACATTAGCAACTTCATTATTTAAAATTTCAAATGATATAAGATATTTAGGAAGTGGTCCAAGATGTGGATATGGAGAATTATCATTACCTGAAAATGAACCTGGATCTTCAATAATGCCAGGAAAAGTTAATCCTACTCAATGTGAAGCAATGACGATGGTTTGTGTACAAGTAATGGGGAACAATTCAACTATAACATTTGCTAATGCATCAGGACAATTTGAATTAAATGTATTTAAACCAGTTATTGCATATAATTTATTAAATTCAATTCAATTATTAGCTGATGCATCAAAATCATTTAGATTACATTGTGTTGAAGGAATAATAGCTAATAAAGATAAAATTAATAAAGTATTGAATGAATCATTGATGTTGGTTACTGCTTTAAATCCTTATATAGGGTATGATAATGCTTCTAAAATTGCTAAAAATGCTCATAAAAAGGGAATAACTTTAAAAGAATCGGCTTTGGAATTGGGGATTTTAAATTCAGAGGAATTTGATAAATATGTACGTCCTGAAAAAATGTTAGGTCCTACTTAATTTGTATATAGTTGAGTATATATTTGAATTTGAATTATTTATTGAACAATTACTTCTGTGAATATCGAAAAGTATTGAATTAGTTTTTTTTTCCTGAATTTAACATGATTTAGAATCCCAAAATGTTGCAAAATTATGATGTGAAACTTCAAATTAATTTGGTAGCATAGTCCGTATCAGTATAAATAGAAAAAAACCCATCGCCAAAATTTATCTTTAATTTTACCCTTTCTTTTTCTTTTCTTTAATCAAAAAGTATAAAAAAAGGGAAGAATTTGCCACGACGAGATAATGTAATTACTTCCAAGTTATATTCGTTGCCATTTTTTAATTTAAAGTTAAAATTGTATTTCCCGAGATTAAGCTCCGTCACCCTTTTTAGGAAGTTTGAAATTTGTCTTTTAGAGAATTTTGAATGTCGATTTATTTGAAGGGTACATTTTTTTGATGATCTCTTTAGGTTTAGGTTTAGGTTTCTGAATTTTCTCTTTTATATATTGACGATATTATTCGAAATCTTCTAGTGCTTCAAAGTATAGAATTTTAATAGAACTGCGGAGAGTCAGTCGATTTCGAAATCAAAGGTAATTTTGAACTTGTAACTTTCAAAATTTAAGTCAAAGCCCGAGCATTATTTGTTTAATGATAAAAGTGTCTTAGAATGTTACTACAAGATTAAACTTAATTAAAACTTTCTTTAAATTTTATTAAAACCTATACATTACAATAATAAAAACTTAAATTTAAACAAAAAACCATCCGAATATTTTTAATTTTGGGAAATAAAACAAATAATAAGCAGCAAAATAAGTCAATAACAACTTCATATACTTGATATTCTTTTTTACCCTTAATCTATTCTTTCCCCAACTTTATCTTCTAAATTTTTATTTACAAACAATAATTTATCTAAATTTATGAAATCCAATATCATTAGCTTTTTCTCTAAAACATTGACGACATAAGTCTAAACCATATTTTCTAATTAAACCTGAATGTGATGAACAATGTCTACATTGTCTTGAACCTTTACCAAAATTTCTTGGGTGTGAGAACCAAACGTTTTCGTGTGCCATGCTGTGTCTAAAAAGAAGAAAATGTTAGTATAATGGATCTTTACTTGTAGAATGTCCAAATGAAATTCAAAATAAACTAAGTGAGGAAATGTAACTTGAGACTTTTGAGTTATAATATATTGCTTAATGGGATTTTATCGAAGTTGAGCGAAAGTTGAGCGGAAGTTGAATAGTTCTTGTGATTGTTTTTTACACTTTAAAGGATAATGTACTTATGATAAGCTATCTTTTTGTAAATGGGTGTTTGCCACCAAAAAGTTTTCATACACGGTGGACTTGGACTTAGTAATTAGTTGAAAATTGAATAATAAAAAGTTCTCACTAGTTTGATCTGGACTTAAATATTGGCTTCTTGTCATCTACTTGAATACATTACATCTTTTGTTGTAATTCTATGAATAAATTTCCCCAGTTGAGTTGAACTCCAATTTGTAAATCTATTTGATCTTTCCCTTTATTAGTCCCTGTCTCTCTTGATCTCCCTACTGTTCTTTTTATGGTTCGTCTCTCATATTTCCTCGTTACCTAGTCTATTCCATTTCTTCCATTTGATGATATTATGTAGTTTGTCACATACTATTATGTTTGTTGTTGTAACAATCTATCTAAGCTGGAAAATTCTATCAATTTAATTTTCTAATAATATTTGATTTTTTTCACTCACTAAGATAATAGCTACCAACTGTACTGTTAACTACTGAGTAGGTCAGTAACCCTAATTATAAAATAACTATTTAAAACTACAGCACGTGATTTGCAGATTCAAATCCGAGCTGAATGTTTCAAATTTCCGCAAATTGACAAGTAGCTTTTTAAGTTATCTCCTAAAGCTACTCCACTCGCAATATAATCAGCGTTTGAATTAACAGTCATCTATTGACTCCTGATTCCGATGAAATTTTAGCTTCGATAATTTTTGCATTTATTTGGTTTTAATGTTAGTTCAGATTTAGCTCAAGTCTGATGAACAGCTCAATATGAAAGTGGATGTTGAGCTAAATTGCCATATAGTCAAGACTGGCTTTGGTGTCCACTGTATTATTTAATCTTTCTGAAAAGTAGTTCATCGTTTTTGCAACCAAAATGATGCAATATATTTTTCACAATCCCAAATATTTGGTAGCGCCCTCGTAAATTGCTTGTTTACTAATCAAGTAAACATTGGCGCTTAAATATAATGAAATTAATGAAGGTAAAATAACAACTGGTCAAGCCAAGATACTCCTATACTTCTTCAAATCCAATGGATCCAAAGCCGTTTCCCCAATTGACACAAGATCAAGAAAATGAATTAAAGTTAAATGCTCAACAATGGTCATTATCAAATGGTTTAGTAATGTATCCACCAAATTTTGAATCATTTCAAACAAATGTGGCACCGATAACATTATTTCCAACTCCAATACCTAGATCAAGTTTTCAACAAGCAATAAAAGTACAGAAACTTTATAATGAGTTATATATAAATTTAATAACTAAAAATAAATCATGGTTAATTGAGATTTTAAAAGATTTAGCTAAATTTGATCCAGATTTCACGGGGAAATTATTTGAAATCTACCAGAAATCTACGACGGAAGAAATATTGCAACCACTCTCGTTGGGAATTTTTAGATCTGATTATATGATTGATTCAAAATTAAATGAAATTAAACAAGTTGAATTTAATACTGTTAGTGTTTCATTTGGTGGATTATCTACAAAAATTGGAGAATTACAAAATTTCTTGAATTCAACTGGGTTCTATGATAATAAATACAATTTTAAATATTATGATGATGAAAACTTACCTATATCAGATTCAATTTCAAAAATAGCTCAAGGTTTAGCACAGGGAAATTATTATTATAATGACAAACAAGACAATACAGATACAATTGTTTTATTTGTGGTACAACCAAATGAAAGAAATTGTTTTGATCAAAGATTGATAGAATATGAATTATTTAACAAGCATAAAATAAAGTCATTTAGAGCAACATTAGAAGAAATAGAGGACGTTATTACAATAAATGATGACAAGGCATATATAAAATCAACAATGGATGAAATTTCGGTGGTATATTATAGATCGGGTTATGGACCAAGTGATTATGAAATCAACCCAACAAAGACTTGGAATTCAAGATTAAAATTGGAAAAATCCAAAGCGATAAAATGTCCGTCTGTATTAACTCAATTATCAGGATCTAAAAAAATTCAACAATTATTAACAAATCATGAAATATTACAAAAAATATTACCAAATATAACAAACGATGATTTCAAAGAATTAATTTCAACATTTGTAAACATTTACCCATTTGATGATTCAGAATTAGGTGCAAAAGCTAAAGAATTAGCATTTGAACAACCAGAAAATTATGTTTTGAAACCTCAAAGAGAAGGAGGTGGGAACAACATTTACAAGAAAAACATTCCTGATTTTTTAAAATCAATACCTGAAAAAGAATGGGGTGCTTATATATTGATGGAATTGATTGTCCCAAAAACTTTTAAAAATAAAATTATGAGAAATAATGAAATATATAATGAAAATATAATATCAGAATTGGGGATATTTGGTAATATCTTGTTTAATGAATCTACTGGAGAAATATTAGAGAATGAGAATTCAGGTTGGTTATTAAGATCTAAATTTGAAACTAGTGATGAAGGAGGAGTTGCTGCTGGTTTTGGATGTGTTGATAATATTTATCTTTATTAGAACTATGAAAAAGTATAAATTTAATAGAAAAAAACCACCCTAAATTATCTAAGTTCCTCAAATGATGAAATAGGACGTTGTTTTAATTGACTAGAGTGAGCATCCATTTGATCTTGATTTTGATTTACTTGGTTATTATTGGCCATTTCTGATTTAATTTCAATTGGTTTTGCATTTTTAATTTCTGTATTTTCTATATCAACAGCCCATAAAGCAGCGCCAATAGTATTAGTGAATAACAATAAAACATTTACACATGGAATCAGCTCTAATAATAATGCAAAAATAGCAAACAATAAGTAGGAATTTTTATTCAACTTGTAAAAATTTTCAATTTCAATTAAATCAAACCCTTTTAATATAAAATATCTTCTATGAACTTGCACTGATTTTGAGTTAACTTTAATAATCAAGATAATAATTGGACCAACAACAGGGATAAAATTAATGAAAAACAAAAACAAAATCTTTGTAATTGAAAAAGGCAAGATTGAAAAATATTTAATTTCATAAATATACCGTTGTAATTTTCTAGCATATAACGTCAAAATATTTTCATCGGCACCAGTATATCTATCTCTTTTATTATCAATAAACTTTAAAAAATTCTCATTAACACATTCTTTTGACAAAATAGCATCAAGTACAATTTTTTGAATATATGGAATTAATAAAATAGTTATTAAAAATTGTGAAATATTTGATGATTGCAGATATAATGAATACCAAGCTAATACAATTCCCATAGGGCCCATAAATAATGTATAAATTGTAGATTGAATTGGATATAAACTTAAAAAGAAGATTGAATAGATTGTTAAAAATATAATTAGTTGCGGTATTAATATTGTTAAGTATAATGACCAAAGATTTGGTTGTTGAAAGAAATAAATTAAACCCTGTAAGTTGTTAGTATATTTGATAATAAAGTAAATCAAAGTTGATACTTACTTTAAGTGGATATAAACAAGTTTGAATAAAAGTAAATCTATCATAAAATTGATTATTATTAAGTAAATAATGATACATTGTTGATTAGGATTTAAATTCTATGATTAACTCATAAGTTTTTGGTTGTCAAAAAAAAAAGTGTTGCAAATTTTAATTAGTTTTTTTTTTTAAGATTTGCAACCAAAAGAATTAATTCATCATAGTTTTACTTAGAACTAAAAATCAAGTTATATTATAAATAATATTACATGTTTAAAAAATTTTTAGAAAATGAAATATCAAATCAAATAAAGTAAAAGGACATGTATGAATCATCCTTAATCGCAGAGCAGACAAGTTTAAAACAAATAGTTCTTCACTAAATTTATTTGTATATAACTATAGACCGAAATGATTGAAAAACAAATGTAGTTCAGAAAATAGAAAGTAAATGTATAATCTAAATGTATAGCAGTAGTTTTGATTGAGTATAATTAATTTGAAACCGAAAGTGTTATATTGTAAAAGCAAAAAATCATCATGGAAAAACTAAGAAACCGAAAGTAAATAATCATTTTAATCATCAAATGACAAAACTAATTAAAAGAACAACCAAACCAAAGAAATAAGATTCAATTTTAATCAAATTACCGCCAGCAACAGTAATAATACCATTAGTTGTTGATGAACCACTACCTAATTCTGAGCCAGATCCAATAATAGGTTGAATTGATGGGTTACTATTACCACAAGTATGACATGGTGAATTTGTAGTTGTAGTTGTAATTGTAACTGGATTAAAAGAAGTAACTTCGTTAGATACAATCACTGTTTCAAAAGATAATGTTTGACCTTGAGTTGCTAATATGGTAGTTGGATTACAAGCATCACAAGTTTTAATAATGACATTAGTTGCAGAAGGAAATGTAGTTGTAAAATGTTCGATAGTTTGAATTTCTGTAATTATGGATTGACTTAATGATGTATATGTTGAAGTAACAGTTTTACCAATTTCAATAACTTCAGTTGATGAATAAACAGTTTCAGTAGTGAAACCACCTTGAATAGTTGTTATAACTTCATTTGCTTCAGTTATAGTTGAGGTTTTACCACCAATAACTTGTTCACTAGTAAGTATGACAACAATAGTATCGAAACTTGGAATTTGTTCTTGACTTGTAACTGTAACAGTTGATGAACACAAAACTTCTCCTATAATTGTAACTTCTGTTGATTCGGTTATAGTAGTAACTGATGGATGACATAATTGATTTGAACATTTTGTGATTGTTAAAATTGTTGATTCTGGACAAATAGTTGTATAATCTGTAACTATGAATCTTGTAACTTCAATTTCTTCTTCAGTAGTAGTAGCTTTTGCAGTTGTAGTAATACCATTGTTTGTAGTTGTAGTACCACCTTGAGTGATAGTCGTAGTAGTTGGACACAAAATACTAGTTAAAGTTAAAGTAGTTGATTCAGATACCGAAATAGTGGTTGGAGTGCAATGACTATTTTCACAATGAGTAACAGTAATAATTGTTGTTGATGGACAAACCGTAACATATTCTGTTTCTATGACTTGAGTTGCAATAACTGTTGTATTAGAATAAGATGGACTTGCTGAAACAACAACTGACAAAAATGACCAATATAATAAAAATAAAAAATTCATAGCGATGGAATATTAGTTGGTTTAATTTATGTATAACAAGAAAGAAGCTGTAGTAATAGATGTATTAGTCTTTGAATCAGTACAAATATGAGTATGTAATTTGAAAATAAAACTTATGATATGTATAACTGAAAAAAAATTTAAGTTGCAAAGATTGAAATTTTGAAGGCTTTTGTAAGTCATATTTATATTGAAAAATTTGCAAATTTCTAGATCCATTTAAACTGGCATCTTATTAAATTTCTAGAATGATTCGCGTATCAGCCTATTCGAATTATAATATTCCTCAATTGATCTAAGTTGTGTAGTGATAACGTATATGCTTACATACAAATTTAGTTTTGTGTAATATCTTGAAACAAATTTATTGAACAATAAATATATAATAATTAAAATATTGTGCATAATCTTCTATTCACTTACAACCAAAATATTAAGTATTGTTTATGTTTAGGCCTGAAAAGATCAGCCAAAAATGGTAAATTGGGTTTATTCAATTGGAAAACAAGTAATACATAAATACAGAATCAATATACTATTTCTGTTGTTGATATTGCTAGTACTTTAGCTTATTGAACTATTAGAAAGACTTGTTTTACAAAACTGATCTGAGCATGCCAAGTAAATTAGGACAAATTATCTTGATTTCGCAAATTATGACTTAATAGAATATACATTTACGAGTAAGATTGAATCCACAAAACGACAACAATTTTGTTTTTACTGTAACTTAATTTTTCAAAGTGATACTAAAAATATATTTCGAAAAAATAAGGTTTTTAACTTTGATCGACATGCATTTAATCAAAACATCATCTCATCCCTTTCAAAAAATGTCTATCAAAATTATAGAGAAAATGGAGAAGCCTCCTTCCAATTCATTGAAAACAATTGTTTATGTTTCTTTTTTAGATTATTTTTTTTACGAAAAGAGAAAAAATCAGAATGTGAAACAAAAAATAGCCGTTGTGCTTCATAACTTTGATTATGGTTTACTGAAGCTAAATAACAGGGTTTTAAAGGAACTTTATTTGAAGTGTACCTCTTTCTACATTTTGAATAGTCTATTATTCAAAACATCATATGTGTTTATTATGCAAAGTTTGTTATATATTTAATTTAATTTTCTATTCTATAAACATCTTTGACATTTCAGGGTATACACGTTTATACATACTCATCCCAACAATATCTTGAGAAGTCAATTTCCCATCAAAAGTAGCTTTAAAATATCCATGAGTTCCTAAACTTTCTTTAATATATCCAGTTCTACCACTTTTGGTAAATAATTGAACAGCTTTGAAAAAATTTATATCTTCTGCATTGAAAAACATGTACCTTATAGTAACTACGTTTTTGTGGATTTTTACAGGATGACCTGTTAATACTATTCTCTCTACTACTATTCGTGAGTAATCACCTCCTAAGTAGGTTCCTTTTCCTAAAAATTCTACTTTTTCGTTATTCATTTTGAAATAAATTACGGGTGAGTTTGTGAAACAGATTGGTGTTATTGCAGTTGCTATTGTTGTCATACCTTGATGTTGGAAATTTTCTTGCTTGTGAACATTATTTGAGTTATTTGATGCTTGATTGAATAATGGGCTAATGATTTGTCTACGTGGTCCGTATTGGACTATAATTGATTCTTTGTTTGGGATAGGTTCTTCATATTCTTCCCAATTTTCAAATGAGAAGTTTGTGATGGCTAATTTATGTTCATCATGTAATAATTCAAAAAGAACAAATGGTTTTGTGGTATTGTAATTTGTAGCTATGACTTTTGGTGCTTTTATGAAGATTCTAATGTATGTCCCAGATTGGACTTCAATATTTTTGATAAAATCTTTATTTATTCTATTCTTAGTAGCTTTGAAATTTGAAACTTTAAATAATTCATTCCACTCCAAAGGTCTATCTGAATTTTCCTCATTGACATCCCAATCACAACCACCTAAAGATTTAACACCTCTATAGTTCTTCAATTTTTCTCTTGCCAAATCATGGGGATGTAATTCAATTTCATCAGGGAATTCTAAATCATCTTTAGCTAAATTTCTATATTCTTCTAATTGTCTTTGTTCTTCTTCTGGTGATAAGTCTATATGCATTTCTGATTCTGCATAAGTTGACATTGTTTCATTATCTTGATCCATTTGTTCATCTATATTTTCTTCTACCTCCGCAATGCTTGGTTGTTCTTCCTCTAAATCTGAAGCGTCTTCATCTAGTACATCATCTACAAACCATCTACTTTGATATTCTGATGTTCCTTTTGGTACTTTTTTAGGTTCATTAGTTTTAATTCCATCATCATTAAAATATATTTTACCTTCTGATCTAACTCCTAAATCATTCATATCTTCATCTTCCCACATTATATCATCATTTTCGTTGTGTTCATCTTTTATAGGATTCAATTCATCTAGAGAGTCTTGAGTTACATTGGGTACAAATCCTTCTTCAATATCTTCATCAATTGACATTTCATTTCTCTTTGAGTTTGTAGACTTTTTAATTTTTTCAACTCTATCAACTTGAAAATCTCCATAATTTGGTATATGAACTAATCTATTAACATTTAACCCCGTACCTCTACAAGTACCTTCCACTATAATTCCATCATATGATTCATTAACATATAAATTATCAGCAACAACCCAACCTCTTGAATCTCTCCAATTTATCAGTTGTGGAAATTTTTGACATAAATATCTTAAACAATTTGAGTTTTCTGAATCGTTCTCCAAACTAAATAATTTATTATCTTCCACTGGAAAGAAATGATTGAAAAATGATTGTAATGATTGTTTTACATCTAATTGTAAATTCTTTTTAGGGTAAGCAGTAATTAAATTTGGGATAACTCCAATAACTGATCCTATACCTTGAGCTAATAATGCACGTAATATAGTCTCACCAAAATCAGGTTCTACTTCACTTGTTGCTGATAATCCAAATATTATAAAATCTGATATTCTTGCACTGTCTAATACTTGTAAAATGTTGTTGTGGTCTGGTATTACTATCTTTAGGTTTGTTTTAAATTTATTGATTTTGAGGTTGTTGATTGATGGATGTGAGAATTGTATATTAGTTTCTTGATCTTCTGAATTAAACAATTGATTTGCTATAGTTTCTGGAGATATATCTTTAGTTAAACATATTATTGTGATGATTTTGGCAGCTCCTGAATTCCCTTCAAATAATTTTTTAGTGATTTTAGTTTCTAAAATTTTTTGATCTTTCAATTGTTTAGATAAATTTTTTCTCTCGAGTTTATTCAATGTTTTGTTTTGTTTGTTGTTGGTGGTTGTTTTTTCAACTTTACCTTTATATTGATTTTTTAATTGACCTTTTGTTGCATGTTTTGATTTGAATGGTTTGTGGTCGTTTTTCAATGTATTTCTATGACTATTACCACCTTTTGCCATAATTTCTGTTGATCGTATCTAATAATTTCTATGAATTGTGGAGTAATTTGAATATTGAGATGATATTAAATTGGTTGTAAATATTTCTAGATCAAAATGATCGAGAAGAGTTTAAGACCAAATTAGGCTATTGTGCGGCTTGAAAGGGTATGCGGCTCGTTTAGCCAAATTTAGCAAAAAAATAAAGGTCATGTGACTCTTGTGACTGTTAAAAATTTGTTAGTAACTTTTTTTCTACTAACAAAAGTGAAAAATTACAACTAATTAGCTAGTTAATTAACCAACAACAATAAAGCAAAAAGTATGTTCAAATATCAAGTAAACTATGGTCTGGGTGATAAAACTCTATGAATTCACGTATCAAATCATTTTGGAGATAAATAGTGAGAGATTCAGTTAAAAGAGATAACAATTAATAGGATTTAAATAGGAATATTCAAATCATTTTCAAGGATCCAATGATATTAATCAAACAAGCTATGGTTCACGCAAAATTAGCATTATTTGCGATATGTTTTAAAAAAATTCCAAGAATCCAAAGGTCCGCAAGAATGTTTTGAAAGTTTGTTCAAATAAAGCTTAATCAAGAATATGATTAAGGCACAACAAGAGAGTAAAGTACTTAGACCTAGGAAGAAATTCAAGTTTACAAATTGGATCGTTAACTATCATTTGATATCAGTTTTTTATCTACCATCCCTAGAATTTAGTCAACCATTTTGTTTTAAGTCAACAATACTAACAATATTTCAAGTGAAATACTTAGCAGCATATTTATTATTAGTAAGCGCAGGAAAAACTTCCCCAACAGCAGAAGACATCAAATCAGTTCTTTCAGCAGCATCAGTAGACATTGAAGAAGATAAAATTGAAAAATTAATTTCAGAATTAGATGGAAAAAATATTGAAGAATTAATTGCTGAAGGTAATGAAAAATTATCAAGTGTACCAACTGGTGGTGCTGCTGCTGGTGGTGCTGCTCCAAGTGGAGGTGCTGCTGCTACTGAAGAAGCTGCTGCTGAAGAAGTTGAAGAAGAAAAAGAAGAATCTGATGATGATATGGGATTCGGTTTATTCGATTAGGTTTTTATTTTATAGAGGATGGATCTAATTTAATGTACAATATCTTTTAATGAAGTCAGTGAAATAAGAAGTCAGATGTAGTTGATCAATAATTAATTCGTCTATTATAGTTATGTAAAATCTATAGTTCATCAGCTATAGCTTTCCTCATTCCCATAGGATTCCCAAAAACTTCATGTCTAACTCTAAGCATAAATTCATCAAACTCAATATCTTTTTTTAAGTCATCATCGATATGATCCAAATCTCTTTTTAATTTATTGTTGCTTTCTTTACGAGTTTCGACTTCTTCAGCTAACCAATTTAAGAAATTTCTTGAAGGTTTGAGATGTTTATTATCTGAATGAAGGTCAACTAGGTTTTTGAATTGGGTTTGGAAATTTTGATCGGAGAGTTTGTTCTCAGTAAATAATGATTGAAGGAAAGTTGATAAATTGGAAGAAGGATCTGTGTCTTCTAATGATCTTCGATCGTTTGACTTTGTGATTAGGTTTAAGTCGTTAATGATGTTTATACATCTTGATTGTGATGATTTACCTAATTGAAGAAATAAGTTGATTAATTTGCTTATACCTGAATTTTTGTCATTGAGATTAGAGAATTTTGACTTGAAGTTGTCGTTTTGGATTAATGCTTGAATTATGCCTAAAATTCTCTTCTGGATTGTATCATTTGTAGTTGAAGCAATTGCTGAGAATAACTCATCTAAGATATTTGGTTCTGAATGGAGGATACTTAAAACGGCTTCTGGATTATTTCGTAATGAAGATGCAATAATATTATAAGATTTTTCAGAAATTTCGGAATTGGATGTTGTTGAAGCTATAGATAATAATTTTGCAATGAGTTGATGATTAGAAGTGATTTTAACACCTAATTCTATATCATGACATAATTCTTCCAAAGTATCTAATGCAGTAACAAGTTTTTGATCTTCGGTATTTGAGTGGTTATATTCTTCAACTTCATATATAGCTGAGTCAAATTCAGACATGTCTTCAGGTTTGACTCTTGATTTATGACCAGATTTGTGTTTGAGTAATTCGTTGGTTAAATCTAGTATTTTTTGATCCGGTTGTGACTCTTGTTGAGGTTCTTGCTCTTGTTCTTCTGTTTCGCCAACAATTAATTCATTTTGTGGCTCCGTTTCATCTTCGGGTGACATGAGTTTAGCTTCTTTTTTCAAAGTATCCATATTTAATCTTACGTGTAAACCAGGAGGAATTTCTTGACCTTGTTTGATTTCTTGCCAGTTTGATGTTGCTTCAAATAATTTTGGGTAACAATCTTGTGGATTTTGTGGGTTGGGGCAGATTAATTCTTCTTCTATGTGTGTTGATTTGACCAAGTTTAGTAATTGGAGTAAAATTGATATTATTATTGCTTTCTTCATTATCTACCTCCTTAGTAACACTCTGAGTTTAAAGTATGTTCTTTAATTGAGTTGTTGAAGTTGAGTTGGTTGAAGAATTAAATAGAATAATTATTGTAATTTAAAAAGAACAGCAATTACCTCTTAATATTATTTTGACTTAATTGGTAGCTCGAATTAATTCAAATATTTATAACGATAAGATAGATAGAGTTAATCATCAAGCTCTACAATTGTAAGTTAAAAATTTAAAATCATTATATGTATTAAATATTAAAATATTAAATAATCTTGAAGTATACAATATTAAGTAGTTTCTATAAATATTTATCAAATTTGAAAAATAATGAAAAAAATTTATCTATAAATTATCAAACTTACAAACTTTTAACTTTTTGTAAAGCTTGTTCAACATCAGCTAATAAATCATCAGTATCTTCAATACCTACAGAGATTCTAACTAAATCATCAAATACTCCATTAGATTCTCTTTCTTCTTTTGGTATACCACCATGAGTCATTATAGCTGGAACTTCAATTAATGATTCTATACCCCCTAAAGATTCAGCTAATGTGAATAATTTAGTTGATGATGTAAATACAGAAGCACCTTTAGCACCACCTTTAATTCTAAAAGATATCATACCACCACCTAATCCATCTCTATGTTGTTTTAATACAACATCATGATTTTTATGAGTTTTCAAACCTGGATAATTAACATGTAAAACGTATGGTGATTGTGATAAATATTCTGCAATTTTTTGAGCTGAATTAGATGATTGTTTTAATCTAAGGTGTAATGTTTTTAAACCTCTATGAGCTAACCATGAATCAAAAGGTGATGGAATTGATCCAATTGCATTTTGTAAGAAACGAAATTTATCATGTAATAAATCATTATTAGTTGCTAATACTCCCATTACAACATCTGAATGTCCATTAATATATTTAGTAACTGAATGAACAACAACATCTGCACCATGTTTTAATGGATTTGAAATATATGGTGATAAAAAAGTATTATCTACAACTATTATAATTTTGTTCCCAGTTTTTTGTTCATGTTTAGTTACAATTTCTTTAATTTTAGAAATATCAGTGATTTGTAAAGTTGGATTTGATGGAGTTTCCAACCAAACTAATTTGGTGTCTTCAGTTAAGTTACTTTCTAAATCTTCAACCAAGTTTCCAACAAAAGTAGCTTTAACACCATGAGTATTTGCAACTTTTGTAAAATATCTATGAGTACCACCATATACATCACCACCAGAAATAATATGTGATCCAACAGGTAATGATTGAATAATTAATGCAGTTGTAGCAGAACCTGAAGATAAAGCTATGGCATATTTGGCACTTTCCAAAGAAGCAACAGCTTGTTCAAAATTATCTCTATTTGGATTAGCTGATCTTGAATATTCATAAATACCTAAAGGTTTTGAAGGTTCAGATTGTCCAAAAGTTGTAGATAATGAAATTGGTTCGATAACTGCACCTGTTGTTGGATCAATTGGTGCACCGACGTGAATAGCTCTAGTTCCAAATGAATAATTAGTAGTTGATTCAATAGTCATTTTTTGTAGTTGATTAGTGATTACAGTTAAAAAATTTTTTCAGTGTGGTTTTTCAATTGCAAAAAAAATGAAAAAGGTTGGACTTTTCTTCTTTTGTTATTAATTTGATGAATTTAAACTTTTAAAAAAGGTTGGACTTTTTATTAAGTAAATGAATTGAATAAATTGAACCTTTGTTAAAAAAAAATCTTTAAATTGAATTGGTAAAAAAATTCTGTGGTATAGATATATGATTTATTGAGATTATAAATAAAAAAAATTCTTCGGAGGGTTTTGAAGAATTTCTTTTTTTCTATGCCACAATTATTATTTTTTTTAACTATGGAAAGAGATGATCAGCCGCATTAGTTACTATATTTGGTATGTAGATACTTTAATTAAATTTTTTTTACATTGATTAGCATGGAACTAGTATAGAGTAGATTGGGGATTAGTAAATGATCTATTATAACTCAGATTAAGATTAGAATGACTGAACTTACAATTTATCATTTAGTTGCTGAAATTGTAATTTAATGTGTGTGTGATATGCCATAAATTTACTAAGTTGCCAAGGGTGCTATAGTAGCATACATTGTAATTGTATATATGTCATAAACTAAGTACTCCTATATTTTCGTATCCTCATTAGTCTCACTTACAATTTATTTCATTATTCCTGTATTTCATTTAAAAAATTTGGATTATTTTGTAATTTAGTCTTAAATTTATCCCACCAATTATCAAAAGCCTTTATAGGAACTTTTCCTTGATTATCAATAAAACTAGCTAAATAATTATAAGCATTTCCTACAATTTTATTAGCTAATACAGCAGTATCATTTGGTGATTTAGGTTGAGGTTGTTTAGTTGGCACTAAGGATGTACTTGGTGTTTTAGATTGAGCAATTAATTGCTCTGCTTGTGGTGTTGGTTCAATTGATATACCTATATTTATACTTACTGAATCATTTAAATCAATTGGTCCATGATCATTCATATCTAAATCTATATTATCTGAATTTTGTGTAGAAGTTGTATTAGTTAAATTATTAACCTTATATATAGCAGATGGTTTTGCCGGATTTATACCACCTAAAAGTTTAAATTCAGGTTGTTGTTGCTGTTGTTGTTGTGGTAATTGGAAATATATTAATGCAGTGAAATTTATATCAACAAATTGAGAATTTGGTAATATAAATATTGTTATATATGAAATATTTGATGCATTGTGGATATTTATTACAAATTTTGTTTGATCTACTTGTTCTGCTAATATCATTGGTCTTCCCAGACATATTGCTCCAAATATACTCATTATGATATTGATTTGTTTGACTTATATACTTTAGGGGTTGAGGTGATTTGTATGACTTTTTGACGGAAATAGGTATCAATTGACTGGGATTAATCGTTGTATTGGTGTATTAATGGTATGTTCTTAGTAGTGGGTTATATTTTCAACTCTTAGTTGCACCTTTTCTTTAAATAACAAAACTTGTAATGTAAGTTTGCTTCTTTCAAATCTAAATGGTTCTAAAAAATAAAGATTTTTGTGTAATTAAAATTTACGAAATGAGAAGAATGAAAAATTTGATTTCAAAATATTTACAATTCATTTCTTACTTTCAAGATTATTTAATGATCAATGAAATTGAGAGTATTAGGAGCAAAAGTCTATCAATAAGAGAGGCGAAATGGATTTGCCTACTTAATGATACTTAATGGGATGATCAAAACTTGGTGCTCAACAACCAACTGAAATATCAAGTTCCGATTTTTAATATTTTTTTCTAATTCTAGAGAAAGTATTAAAAATTACATGATTAATCCTAAATAAACTACGTTGAACATATTTTCCATCTTTCGTGTCTTTTACTAAGCCAATAGATGAATATGGAGAAGATACTTCGTTACATTTTTTTTCAACACTAATATTACGATTTATTATTTAAAGTTCTATACATACCCAACTTGTTGCACAACCACCTGTGAAATAAACAATCTTACCATCAAAAAACTCTTTGTTGGGAAACAACTGATTCAAATAATTAAAAGTATTGGGGTTTCCTGTTAAAGATGGACCACAATTGCCATGTTCTCCCCAACCCCATGCGTATAATTTATTGTTTTGCTGTAGTAAACCGTGTTCACTTCCTACTTCAAATTTAAAACCTTTTGAATCTGATTCTGGTATATTATATTTGAATAGTTGTCCATGACTATCCACTCCAAATGATTTAATTGAGTTAGATGAAACTTCTTTAAAATGAATTGATGCCCACATTGTCTTTATTTGTCCAATATCTTTCATATCTTTCATTTGGTTCTGTAAACCATCATCTGAAAATTTCCCATACACATATGGTTGTCCATTTGATGTAATAATAGTGAATTCTCTACCAACTTCCAAAAAATCTTCAACTGCAACTGGTTGCATTTGTAATAGTACAGGTTCCCAAATTGATCCTCGTTTTATCAATTTTTTTGATGTTTCACCTAATTGACCTTTTCTACAATTTCCCCAACCGTATAATTGTGCATTATCTAACTTGACTATAACATGATTCATCCCGCATTTTATATCAATAACGTTGTGATCGAATTTTTTAACTAATTTTAACTCTGGCTCTGAAGTAGTTTGTAAACCTAATCCTAATTCTCCCTTTAGACCCTGTCCACAACTATATACTTCATTATATTCAGTAACTAAAAATGAAGAATCCCAACAACACGAAATATTTCTAATTTTCTTTTCAAATTCAATTTTCTTGAAAATTGATTGAACTTTATCTTCTTGACAAATTTGTTTATATTCATTATTTCCACAACTGTATACATCTCCATCTTCAAGTAATATCAAAGTATGATTCCCACCACAAGATATCTTTAAAGGTTTGGAATAGATAGTAGTTGATATTTCTTTATCTTGTAAAAATTCACAAGTTCTCAAAGTAAATTGATCTTCATCGTTACCTTGACCTAGTTGATATTGACCATTTGAACCACATGATAGAATTTGGTACATTAAATCATTTATACCTTGGGGTGTGTTAATTTGTTGCTAAAGTAAGGTCAGAAGTAGTAGATTTGAAATTTGTAACGTACATTTCACATACATAATCATCCGGACTAGACACAAACACGTGATACTTCACGTGATTTTAGTTAATTAACAATAATAAACCCTCTGAAGTCTTGATCTATAAAGTCAAGCTATATTGAAATACGTAATTAGAACTAATTAGTTGAATTTTGCTATAAGAATAGTTTGCTATTAAAGATCTGATGTGTAGGAGGAAGAGGTAACAAGAAAACACAGACTAATTTAGTACAGGATTCACGTGATAGTGAATTTTACAAGATTTGAAACAATACTTGAACAGCCAAATAACCGAAGCTTTTCTGATGAAAAATAGTAAGTAGTCTCAGGTGTTAACTGGATTAGTAGATATTCTAAACTTTTAAGACTTCAAACGGTTAAGGTAAGCGTGTGTAACTTTTTTTGATTTGCTTCTCAGTTATTTACACAAACACATAAAAACTTGATTGAGCTCAATGTTTTATTCAAATTTTGTAATCAAGTCTTCACAATAATATAAAAATTCAATTAATTGTACCATTATTGAAGGCTCTTTAATATAAAATGTAACATTAAATAAACATATCAAATAGTTCAAGTCCGTTCCTCGCATCTACTTCTTACTTCTAATTACTTCTTATTCTTTACTCAATTTTGCTTTCGGTTGCTGACTAAATGAAAGCCACAATTTATTTTTTTGCAGCCAAAAATCCACAACCAAGATCCGACACTTTTTAATAGAATTATATATATATAAATAATGTGTTCCCACATTTTTGAGTTTGCTATCAAGCGGTGATTACTACTTTCTTTCTTCACATTTTATCAAAAATGGCTCCAGTTCCAATTCAAATAGATGATGAAAAATATGATGCATCACAATTCCAATCAGCACATCATGGTAAAACAAGAAATGGTTCATTTACAGTTAGTAAAGAAAATGCAACATTAGCTAAATATCCAGAATATTTACCAACATGGAATCCTTTACAAAAATTTCCAACTTATAAATTTCAAAAATATAATGATCCTGGTGTAAAAGGTGATATCAACTACAAGAATTTATTTCCTGCAGGTACTGAAGCTAAAGTTAATAGAATAACTCCAAAATTAGGTTCAGAAATTTCTAATTTACAATTAAGTTCATTAAATGATTTACAAAAACAAGACCTTGCTAGATTTGTTGCAGAAAGAGGAGTTGTAGTATTTAAAAATCAAGATTTTAATGATAAAGGTCCAGAATTTGCAACTGAATTTATGAAATTTTTTGGTCCATTACATATTCATCCAACATCAGGATCACCTGAAAATTTCCCTCAAATGCATATTACTTTCAGAGGTGCTTCGCAACAAGAAATTGATTCAGTTTTTGCAAGTTCAACAAATTCAATATCATGGCATAGTGATTGTTCATATTCATTAAATTCTTTACAATTAACTTTATTTTCATGTTTACAATTACCTGAAGGTGGTGGTGGTGATACATTATTTGCAAATACTGTTGAAGCATATAATAGATTAAGTCCAGCAATGAGAGAAAGATTAGAAGGATTACATATTTTACATTCATCAGTTGAACAAGCACAAGCTAATAAAAAAGCAGGTGGAATATTAAGAAGAGAACCAGAAACTAATATACACCCTATTATAAGAACAAATCCAATTACTGGTCAAAAACATCTTTATGTGAATAAAGAATTTGGTAGAAGAATAGTTGAATTGAAAGAAGAAGAAAGTGATTACTTATTGAAATTTTTATATGATCATATTGAAGGTGCTCATGATTTACAAATTAGAGTAAGATGGGAACCAAATGCGGTCTGTATATGGTCAAATTCAACTGTGGTCCACTCTCCAGTTGTTGATTTTAATGAACCTGTTGTTAGACATGCTTATAGACTTAGTGTTATGGGTGAAAGACCAGTTACTGATTTAAAATATTTAAATGATGAAAATTATTTGAAAGATAAATATGATGAATTTGGTATTAAATTCAACAATGGTATTTAAGAGATAATGAGAAATAAATATGATAAATTTGGTATTAGATTTGATATAGGTGTTTGAAATTATGATGTTTAAAAGTTCAGTTTTTTAAAAAGTTTTTTGGGGGGTATTTGAAAATATTTTGTGATTTTTTTAGTTTCAGTAAGTTTTAGTTTATTTCCTTCTTTGATAGAATGGTTATAACCTTTAATTAGTTTTACAAAAGTATAGTAGTTTAATAAATCTTGATTATTACCTTAATTTTGTAGAGGACTGTAGCTATAATACTTGTGCTGAAAATGGTTTTTGATCTTTTGTATTAAATTTGTTTTGTTTCATGAAACGCGTCCTAATTAGGAACTAATTTTGTTAATAGAATTCTTAGTATAAAGTATAGAACATGCTTCTGAGTAATAATCATGAGATAAATCATTAAGTGTTCAACAAGTTCATAATTAAATTCAAACCAAATTTATTCTCTACATTTTCTCAACTGGAAACTGTCAGTCAAATAAACTTAATTATAATATATTATGATTTAATTGAACTCATTACAAAAATAAAAGAATAAAAGATAAAAATTGCTTTGTAAATTTGAAAAATATTTATTTGTTTACTATGATCTGAAAATTAGTTTCTATTACATCAACTACTTTACAACATAATATTTGCTTGTTTAATAGTTCTTTTTCATTGAATTATCAACCTGATCAATAGTCAGTGCAAGAGGGATGAGTTGGTATAATAATAATAACAATGGTAACAATATAAATAGAGATGATGTGAACAAAACTCCCATACAAAATCAAGGTAATCAAGTACAAGTTCCTTCGTCATCACCAATAAAAATCACTTCATCTCCAAATTCATCAACTAATGATATTTCAACAACCACCATTCAACAACAACCAAGTTTATCAACAAAATTAGAACAAGAAAAACTACAAAATTTAGAAAGAACTAGACAAAAAATAAGAGAACAACCAAATTTTCCATTAATTAGAAAGAAATTCTATTATGTAAGTGAAGGTGACATTTTTAGAGCGTTCGTTAAAGGAAAGGGTAATCTTCGAGAAATTACAAAATACTTGGAAGAAAATTTCCCATATACTGAATATTTGGAGAAACAAAAGCAAATGGAAGAACAAAAACGTAAAGATGAAGCATTACTAAAGCAAAAGATTAAAGAAGAACAGTTCAAGAAAGATTATGAAGCAAGTTTAAGGAAGAAAGAAGAACCAGATGAAGAATTGAGTGATACTGATCCATTTGATTTTTTCAAACCTAAATCGATTAAAAAATCAGCGTCTGTGGAGGTTGAAGATGATGAAGATGATGATTTACCTACGAGATCAAAAGGCAAAGCAAGGACTAAAATAGAGGATATCTCACCAATGAAAGATAATAATCAATCTACAAGAGTTGAAGTTAAATCAAAACAATCAATTTTAAATAAATATAGAAATCCAGAACCTAAAACTCATCAACCTACAATTAGTTCATTTGGTAGACTAGGTTCATTATCAGATACCAACAACAAGAGAAGAAAATTAGTTAGGGGTTCAGATTTAAATAGCTCAAATTCTGGTTCAGTATCTCCAATACCTGCTCCGAATTCATTAAGTGCAAAATTTAGTTTTAAAGAAGGATTAAGTAATAATAGTAGTACTACAAGTTTAAATAATGGTTCAACTTCACAAATGGATGAATTAGAAGAACTGGAGAGACAATTGGAACTAAATATGAAGAAAGCAAGAATGGAGAAGAAACATTTTAAATTTAGTTTACAACCTGGAGCAAATAATATACCAAATTCGAAAAAAGTTATTACAATTAGTGATGATGAAGACATACTAGAAGATGACAATGCAAGTGATTCGATGTCTGATGCTGACCTAGATGCTGACTCATATGATGGTCTTACATCGATAGATGCCAAAATCTTGGAGTTTATAAATAATGCACCAGTTGATGATATAGTTGAAATAGCAGGTATAGATCCAGATACTGCTGAACTTGTTATAAAACAAAGACCATTTAACACTATTTATGAGATTTCAGAAAATGATTTTACACCAGATACTGTTGCCAAAAACAGTAGAAAGAAAAAAATTGGTATGAAAATGATTGAACAAACTGAACAAAGTTTAAAAGGTTATAAAGCTATTGATTCATTAATCAAAAAATGTTCTGAATATGGTGATATAATCTCAAATCAAATGAAAGAGTGGGGAGTTACGGCAACTGGAGATTCCGGAGAATTAGATATTGTTGATTTAGATCCAATTGAAAATATTGATGATGAAGAGAAACTAGAAAAAGCAAATGAAGATGATGATAATGATGATTTGATGATTGTTAAAAAGAAAGGATTAAAATATATCAAACATAAACCTGCATTATTAGCTGATGACATTACTTTAAACAATTATCAACAAGCTGGTATTAACTGGATCAATTTGTTGTATACAAACAAATTATCATGTATATTAGCAGATGAAATGGGTCTCGGTAAAACATGTCAAGTTATTGCATTTATAGCCCACTTAAAAGCTAAAGGAGAAGCATTTCCACATTTAATCGTTGTACCAGCATCAACTATTGAAAACTGGATAAGAGAATTCAATAAATTTTGTCCCGATATAAAAGTTCAAGCTTATTATGGTACACAAAAAGAAAGAGAAGAATTAAGATATGAATTACAAGATGTTAATTATGAAGTTTTAGTTACTACATATTCAATGGCTTGTGGATCTCCACAAGATGCTAAATTTTTAAAATATCAAAATTTTAATGTTATTGTTTACGATGAGGGTCATTTATTAAAAAATTCACAATCTGAAAGATACAACAAGTTGATGAAATTGAAAGGTAATTTTAGATTGTTGTTAACTGGTACTCCATTACAAAATAATTTGAAAGAATTAATATCATTACTTGCTTTTATATTACCTCATGTTTTCAATGAGAAGAAAGAAGATTTAGTTGGTATATTCAAACAAAAAGCAAGTACTATATCAGACAACAAAAAAACATCTACAAAAGAATATAATCCATTATTATCAATGCAAGCCATTAAAAACGCCAAGACAATGATGACACCATTTGTATTAAGAAGAAGAAAAGATCAAGTATTACAACATTTACCTGCTAAAAGTCATGAAATTGTCAACTGTACGTTAACACCAGATCAATCAAAACTCTATTTTGATTGTTTGGAAAAAGGAAGAACGATAAGAAAAGAAAGAATTAGAAGGAAAAACTTGTCACAACAAGAAGTCGCAAAGCTCAACAAATCTGACCCAATCCCAACATCGTCTAACGTTTTGATGCAATTAAGAAAAGCTGCATTACATCCATTATTATTTAGAACTCAATATCCCGACTCCAAATTAAAATTGATGGCGAAAGCAATAATGAATGAACCTGAATATGTTGAAGCTAATCAAACTTTTATATTTGAGGATATGCAAGTCATGTCAGATTTTGAATTGGATAGACTTTGTGTTAGATTTCATCATACTTTATCTAAATGGAAATTAGATGAGGAATTGTACTTAGATAGTGGTAAAGTTAAAGAATTGAAGAAAATTTTAGACATAATTATTAATAAGAAGAAAGAAAAAGTATTGATTTTTTCATTATTCACTCAAGTTTTAGACATTTTAGAAAAAGTATTATCAATATTCAACTTCAAATTCGTTAGATTAGATGGATCGACAAAAGTCGAAGAAAGACAAGAAACTATAGATTTATTTTATGAAGATCAACAAATACCCATTTTTTTACTATCAACAAAAGCAGGTGGGTTTGGTATCAACTTAGTAGCAGCAAACAACGTCATCATATTCGATCAATCATTTAATCCACACGATGACAAGCAAGCGGAAGATAGAGCACATAGAGTTGGACAATTGAGAGAAGTTACTGTGTACAAGCTCATCACTGAAAAGACAGTTGAGACTAATATGTTAATGGTTGCTGAGAATAAATTACAGTTGGATTATAGTATGTCTACAAATGATGAAAATGCTAAAGATAGTAATGCAAGTAATAGTAAATTTGAGGAAAGTGCTGCTTCTATATTTGAGAAGATCTTGTATCAAGATGATAAATAGAATATTTGAATAGGACAATAATCACGCTAATAAATTAATTCAGTTAATAGATTGTTTCATGTAAGACTGATTTCTATTATGATGTAATTTGAGAAAATACTAGGGCCCGTTTGAAGCGCATTACGCGAATATTAAATTTAAAAAATTCTAGAAATATTTCACTTCACTAGTACTCAGACCAAATAAAATCTACAACTAGTCAAATACAATCTACATATAAGTAAAAAATGTTCAGATCACTAAGTAGAACATTGCCCAGAATCATCAGAAGCAACAGCAATAATACTATTTCAATAAAAGTGCTATCAAAAAACGCCAACCTAATAAATCCAATCAGATCATCACCATATCTCTCATCAAAAAGATCATTATTCATCCAAACATCAGAAACTCCCAATGATCAAGCATTAAAATTTCTTCCATCAATGCAGATTCTAGGTGAGAATGAAACAGTAGAGTTTTTAAGTGGAAGGGAAGCTCATTCATCACCATTAGCCGTTAAATTATTTAGTATAGATGGTATAAAAACAATCATGTTTGGTTCAAATTTCATTACGGTGGAGAAAACTCCCGAATACGAATGGTCAATACTTAAACCTGAAATATTTTCAATACTTACTGAATTTTTAACAAACGGAGAACCAATAATTAACGAGACTGAACTAAGTGACGATTTAAAATTAAATGAAGAAGATGATGAAGTAGTATCAATGATAAAAGAATTAATATTTACAAGAATAAGACCAGCAATTCAAGACGACGGTGGAGATATAGAATTTATTAAATTTGATGAAGATACAGGAACAGTTTACTTAAAGTTAAAAGGAGCTTGTAGATCTTGTGATTCAAGTTCGATAACTTTGAAAAATGGAATTGAAAGTATGCTTAAGCATTATATTGAAGAAGTTGAAGCTGTTGAACCTATTGATGACATCGAAGAAGAAGAAACACCAAGTTTGGGGTTTGAGTCTAAGGTTTTGCCTAGGAAGAGAGATGAAGTTGCTGCTGATGGCCCACCTACTTTATAGACGAATTTATTTATCTACTTGTTTATAATGCACGTTTTCATGAATAACAAATCTGTCAATACTCTATTTATCAATCTTGTAGGATCGAAATGAAAGTTAGAGCGATGGAGTAAAGAGTGAGAGTGATTTGAAGTATCCAAATTCAAATTATTAATTATTAAAATATCCAAAGATCGAATTACCCTAACTATGACACCAAATTTATTGGTTTAAATTTGATGAGTGACCAGGTTCAAAATAATAAGGTAAAGGATAACCTGCATTTCCCCCAGAACCATTTTGATGTTGTCCATGTAATAAATAATTAGTGAAAACAGGATGATGACTAGTTAAGGATTGTTGACGAATAGGTTTTGATTTATTATCTTTTTCTTTTTCTTTTCCATTGATCTTTTTAGGAATTGTCTGAGAATTAGCAATTTTGGGGTAGGTTTGATCATCATTTGATATAATGTAATTGTTTAAAACTGAATTATTTGTTGACGCTCCATATTGGTAGGGATTTGGATGATATCCGTAATAATATGGAATACTTGGTTGATAAGTGTAATAAATTGAATTGTTATAACCTGTTGATGGGTTTAAACTTGGGTTTATATTCAAACTTTGGGAAGTTGGGGTTGGATTGTTCAGTGAAGTTGATGATAATTCAAAAGCTGGATTTATTGAAGTAGTCACTGGTTTTGGCTGAGGTTGTTGTGAATTTAAAGGTTGTTGCTGAGTATATTGATTACTGTAATTATTATACTTTGAATAATGATTATGATTTGGTACATGGTGTGGTAACGGAGTTTGTTGATGATTATTCAAATGAAGATAATTTAATGGCAAATTATACTTATAATTAAAATGACTAACACCAGTATTGTTATTATATGGTGAATTGTAGTTATTGGCCAAGTGCTGACTATTATGATTAAAATTAGTATTGACACTATTATTGTTATTATTATTGTTGTTACTTGATTTTTGAATAGCAAATGATGATTGAATAATCATTGGATTGAAGTTATCTATATGAATTATCTTATTATTTGTCATCAATATAGCTCTAATCGCCATCTTGAATGATTCATAAAATATGAAACCAATACGACCAGATTTTTGTTCAGATTCTTCTTCATCACCTTCGTCATTTAAACCCTCTGACTCTCTACCAACTTTATCATCCTTAATTTGTTCATAATCTTTATCCTCTGAATCTTTATTCAATTGCTCAGTACTACCATCTTGTTTATTTAATTGTTGTTGTTGATTATAAAATTGAGGCTTAATAATTTTTGCAGATTTTATAGCACCAAATTGTTTCCAAAATTTTTCCCAATTTAAATCATCATTTGCAAAAACTATTGATAAATTATTCACATAAATATTAGTTTCTTGATAATTTAAACTTCTTAAAAAGGTATTTATAGTATGTATTGGATTTGGATAATTAATATGAATATTTAATTGATTAGATTGTGATTGTTGGTCAGTTTGATTTAATTGTTGTTGATTTTGTTTCAAATGTAAATTTGCTCCATTGTTATATGATAAATAAAATTGATTTGCTTGACTGAATAAATAATGATTGTGTTTATGTTGAGCTATAGTTATTGATAATTTGTCATTACTGACAGGTTTATTATCGTTTTCATTGTTTTTGTCGTTATCATCACCACTATCAGTTTCATGATTTTCGCCATTTAATTTTTTGTTATCATTTGTTGACTCAATATCTTTATCTTCCAACAACGAAGGTAAATCCTTAATATTCAATGACATAAATTCATCATATTTTAAATCATTCAAATAGTACAATATTCTCAAAGTATTATCCATCAAATTAACATTTGATTTGAACTTGATGTACCCAAAATCAAAAAACTTGACATTTTTTAAAGTCGGATTTTCAGCACCACTATTAGCTTCTTGATCATCTTGAACAAATGGGAAATAAATACTTTCAATTATGTTACCGAATTTTTGAAATACATCTAAGAATTCAATAAATTTTTCCAAAGTCATCTTATTATGTTCATCAATTGATAAGAAATTATTCAAATTTTCCAATATTATTAAATTAAAATTATCATTTGAGGAGTTTTTAACTAAATTATTTGAATTTATTGAAGATCTTGATAATAAATTAGTTTGAATGTTATTATTTGAACTTTGAATTATACCTTTATTACCAAATGGAGATGATCTTTCCCTTTTATTGAGGTATTTGTTCAAGAACAATGGTATTGATTGGTTTTCATTGAATATGTTTGGAGTATGTCTATTAAATTTTTCAATCAAAATATCAACATCCAAATAATTTGAAAATTTAACAATTGCAAAAGCTGATGATGAAGCATTTGTATTATTTGAATTTGATAATTTACTGTCAGAGTTATTCTTGTTATTCAAATCATTGTTGTTGAAAATTTTTAATTCTTGTAAAGATTTAAAATAACAATTGTCAATCAAAAACTCATACAATTTATGTTGTTCATTGTTACTATTATTATTGATTGATTTAGGTGTGATAGTTAAAAATTCAGTCGAACCATTAAAACTTTCATTTTGATCCATTTCAAATATTAATTCACTCGATAAGTTTTTAATAAATAGTACTCCAGGATGTGAGACAAATTTAGAATAATCCAATTCGAATGGAATTTTTTCATCATATAACCTATATATGAAATCATCTAGACTTGATTTTGATTTGAAATTGATAATAAAATATTTAAGTGTATTGATAAATTCTTCAACAATTGATAATTTTGGGTATTCAGATACAAGATCTTTAATTTCTTCTTCAAATGGTTGAGATTCAATTTGGATCTTAAGTACAACTGGAAAATTACAATAACCAAGATCATTTGTGTTTGATTCAATAAATATGAATTCGTTTAATGAGGCAATTAAATCATTTTTGGGTTGTTGTTCGTTGCTATTGCTTGGTCTTCTTTGTTGGTAATGTTGATTTTCAGTATCATCAAATTGATGATTTTGTTTTTCATAAAGACTAGGTTGTGATGATTCTTTATTATTCATATTATAATTTTTAAAATCTTCATCATTATAATTGTGGTTCTTAGCTGGTCGACTACTATAATTTTTATGTTTCCTGTTGTTATTGCTGTTGTTACTACTATATGAAGATGAAGATGAATGATATTTATCTTCTTCAATTGTATAATCAGTTCCCAGTGATATAGGTTGAGACTCAAGACTTTCACTTGAAGATTTGGATATTTTACTTGAATTTGAATAAGATGGTGAAGGTGCTTTCATTTTTAAAATTTTCTCAAAATTGAAGAATCCAATTTTTTAGTCTTTTGAACTAAAATTTAATAAGCAATACAGATTCCTATTTTATATTTATGTTTGTTTTAAAAAGTAACAACAATTTAAAAAAGTTTAATCGTTCTGATGTTGATATGATGGGTGAAATATAATTAATGGTTTTGAATCTTTATTTTAGACCAAATATGTGTACTATCAGATTTATGTCAATTCAAGTTTTGAAACACTTCAATTTAATGAGACTTGTTTGACAAATTTGTTAATTTTTATTTTTGTAATTGTTGTAATGTAACAAGGGTTAAATTTTACGAAACACAATTTTGTTTTTGAGTTCCAGTTTGAATAATTAAAGGAAAAAAAAGAAATTTGATTGATAAAATGATTTGCTTCCTTTTTGTTTATGTAAATGCAAGATGTACTATCTTTTAATTTGCCAGGTTTTTTTTTTTAATATTTAATAAGTGTGTGGATGGTAATTAAAAGGTTAACTATTGTTGAAGTTATTGACAAGGTATGACAGTAAGATTTCCCTCGTAAATTAAGAATTAATATGAATATGGTGAGTTATCAATTTGTTAGTTTTTCTATCCACGATGTTTTTGAATATGGTGAAGTTTTTGGTTGAAAAAAAAATCTATAATTTAGAATAATATAAATAAATTCAATATTTTTCAGATTTTTCAAAAATGTATTTCTAAAAGTATTAAAATTAAAAAGGTTCTTGATTTGAAAAATTTTTCAATAAATTTTAGGAAAAGAACAAACTTGAAATTATTTTATGAAGTAAATTAATTCTGAATTAATACTAAGTGAATTTGGTCGTTGGGTGAAATTTTAAAATTGTCTTGATATAAAATAAAAAGTTTATTAATTATTTCCCTAAATTATAAATCCAAATTTTGAAATGAATAAAAAAATCTTGAAGTATACGAAATCAAATTTGAGGTAAATTATTTTCAATTAGCCATGTAATGAAGATAATTATTTATTAATATATAATTCAAAAATATAATTTGAAATATTAAATGATTGTTAAAAATAATTTAATTAATTAATTTATTATTTAATTTAGAGGTCCAAATATAGTTAAACAAATAAAAATAATATTAAAATTTGGATTGATAATAAATTATTATTTAATGTTGGTATTTTCTTACTTTTAATTTCGGGGTATTAATTATTAACAATCAGTGATAAATTAATTAATGAAATTAAGATAATAACTTATTATTTTATGAAAAACTTATCCTGAAAAGAAAAAAGTTTATTTAAAGTTGCAACTATTTGAGTTGAATTTAATTGCAAAATTTGTTAGGGGTAATTAATTTTTATTAAGAACAATGATGAATTTGATAAAATTATGATTAAATAATGCAACCAAGTATTTCACTTTTAAAAAATGCTTTTTCCTTTTGTTAAACTTAAATAATTAATACAGTAGTAATACTTGATGTTTCAAGAACAACTTGAAAATTGGGTCCCTAGGTTTATTTAAAAAATATAATATTATTGAAATTTTGGAAATTATAATAATACTTTACTAATAAAAAATAATCGTTCCAAATTTTCTTGTCTTTCACAAAAACTTATTATGAACTATAGATTTATACTTTTTGAGTTAAAATATTAAAGTTTCAAAATTGAAAAATACAGAAACGTCCTTGAATTTGTGATATAAAGTTTTTGTTGGTAAGGATAATGATTGAGTTGATTTTTGTCAAGTAGATATCTTCAATTGTGGATCTCAATTTATGTGTGATTTATCGGATCTTTTTTGGGTTATATATTATTAGTTGATATAATATTTATTATCATTGATCAACAATGATTATAACTATTTTTAATTTACTATAAGGATATGTGATATAATAAATTGATCCTATGATACACAATTTAGTTGAAGCAAAAATTTTATTATTTATTATCAATTGTTATAATTATTGATGATATAATAATAATATGAAAGAACTCAAAAAGTTGATTAGAAACAGGAAACTAAATTATATATCAGAGCTATGAAAAAGAAAATCTTACTTATTTTTAAATTAAAAATTTATCCTTATTAGGGTTTTGTTCTAAGACCATAAATGATAAATCTAGTTCAATTCTTTTAATTGTTTACAAGTATATGTATAACATTGAATGAAGTTGTCAATTTTGGGAATTTGTTAAAACTCAAAGACTCGAAACTTTAAATTTTTTATTTATTATTGTTCCAAAATAATTTTACTTTGTTTCACTTTTAATTTTTTATCTTTTGTTTTTTTTGCATTTTTGAAACTTATTATTTCCTATATTTAAATTTCATATAAAATTATATTTAATAGCGTACATGTATGAAAAACTGATTACATCACAGAATTTCAAGTTTGTAATTTCCTTAAATAATATTAAAATAATAATAAAAAAAGTTAGCTAACTTTATTCAACTTCATCCATTTGATAGTACAAAGACTTGATTAAGAATGCAAAAACGCTAAGTACTTAAAGAGATCAAAAAATAGGTAAGATTATGCACTAGCCTTACAAACCACAAAATAAAGTATTTCATTCTTTCAATCCACAAGCTCTCATCCCCACATTGAGTTACGTGGAAATATAGGCTAGACCTATCCTCCTGTTTGTTTATATGTCCTTTGAATAGCAAACAAAAAATTTGAACCCATAATCATGCGCTAACTTTTCATGTGATTCTTTGTTACATATCTCCTTTTACTTTTTGTCAACAAAGGGTTATCAACTCTAGCTTTACAACAATTATGAGGTTTTTAAAATACGTTTTATACTTACTTTATTTCATTGATCTTATTGCAAATTTAAAAGTTACACAAAAAGTCAAAAGTCTTGAAAAATTTAAGAATGACAAAAGATCAAAATTATTATTATATTTAGATAAAGTATCAAGAAATATCAATATTGATTACTGTTCAGACATTATAATGAATCAAATCATAGAAGAAATAACTCTAAATGGAGAAGATTACACAATTGTAATATCATACAATCACAAGATAAAACAAAAAGCTCCTATAACTATCTACCTAATTCAATCATCAGCATCAAACAATCCAGCTCTTAAAAATTATATATATGCAATTCAGGATTCAACAACTCAATTGATTGGTTTGGAAAATTTAGAATTGAAATTGTTTGTATTAAAGTTGGTTAAAAAATTAGAGGTGCCTATTTATTTTGGAGTTATTAGTGATGAAAATATATTGAGTTCTAGTACCGTGGAATTGTTTAAGACTATTATTGACTTGATAAAGGAAGAAGAGCAGAAAGAGCAGAAACTTACGAAAGAGCAAGAAGATGAATATGTGGGTAAAGGGGAAGTCAAAGTTTAGTCCCTTGATATGATCAGAAAGTTTATTTTACTATAAAACGTGTACGATATCACTCAATTGGTAAAAAAGTTTCCGACGACTATAAATATGGTTCGAAATTTTTCAAAACCCAGACAACAGGTGAAAGCTTGGTTAAAGAGGCTCCTGGGATGACGCAAACAAACTCACAGCGGTACGAATAATCCCTGCTTATGATGATCAATGCCCAATACTTTGACGTTCGGTTTATAGATGAGGTATGAACACATTTTATAGATATATCTAGATGTTATAGACGTTATATACCATAGATCTCATTTATTCTTGTTTTTTGTGTAATAGAATTTGTCATTTCGATCCGGTATATTTTAGGTCTAACCGAAAAAATCTCATAACTAATTAAACTTTGGAGCATCAAAAACTACAGAATCAGATAGAAAAGAAAGCAAAGATGATATGAAGCTATCACTATCCCATAGATCAATTTCAAATATGCTCAATCAGCTAAGACCATTGCTATTTAAAAGATTCAACTCATCAGCAATTAAATGGAAACTCACAGATTCAATAAAACAACCGAAATATGATACAGGATGTACTTGCTGTCAACCTAAACTACCACAAGATAAACAAATCAATTTCGATCAGCCATTAAACAAGAGTTCAGCTATTCCGGAGAGACACATCATGGCGCTAACTACTGACAGCAACAAAATGGAGCAGTTTGATTCCAAGATTGAAAATATGCCTGGTACATTAGCTCATAAAATTCATGAATTGAAAAGTAGGTTAGTCATGAAGCCTGGTGTATCTGTGTCGAGTATCGTTTTGAAGAATCATAATGATGTTTTAAAAGGTTTTGGTGTTGATTCAAGTGGTGGCACCAATGAACAGTTGGTATTTATCTATCCCGATATGAAAGCTATAAAATTTGACTTGGATCATACTGATCAATTTTTAAAAAAATATAACTTGCTTGAAACAAACCAGCAAGAAGTATACAATCCTTTTTTAACTTCCAAACAAAAAGAGGAACTACAAAAGAAGAACAATGAAAATGACATTACGGTAGTTGACTCAAATTTTGAAGAAGTTCCAATACGCAAAGATCTAATTGTAACCTGTGGTCATGCAAAAAGAGACATAAGATGTGGTGAACTAGGTCCATTAATAACAAACGAATTTGATCAAGTATTAAAATCAAAAGGGCTAGCTGATGAAACTTATCTTGGTGAGATAACTCATATTGGAGGTCACGCATTCGCTGGTAATGTCTTATATTATCCCAAACAATCTAAATCAAGTCGAGACTTTATATGGTATGGACGTGTATTTCCTCAAATGGTTCAATCTTTAGTGGATGATACTATTGTCAATAAATTAATTGTAAAAGAATTATTTAGAGGTGATTTATCCAAATATGAATAAACTCAAAAAACTTGTATATATTTATAGATCTATAGAACTTTTATAAAAACTTTTATTTATTTGACAGTCTAGTAATTTTAAAACCAGAAATCGACAACATCTGAAGCAGTGGCGTAATTAGCTTGAGCTAATCCAATTTTATTAGTATCTAAATTATAAGCGACATAAGCATTTTGTAAAAAAGTGTCACCAAAAAAATTACCTGAACTATCACTATCTTCCAAAAAGATGCTTGATCTACATACATTATTACCTTGATCTCTGAATAATAAAGTATATGGAATTTCGATACTAACTCCATCAAAGTTGAAAGTTAAATGATCATCGAAATTTACAGAATCACAATATGTATATCCAAAGGCATCAACATTTAATGCATCCAAGATTGGCCCACCAACTGAAGGAATCAAGCCAATGTAAGTAGTACCTGAATCTAAAGCTACATCTATTTGCAAATCATGGGTAGTTCCATCTGGTAAAGTATAAGATTGAACTGGAACTCCAATCCATGGATAATCCGCAACATCCAAAATAGTTAAATCACCATCATATTTTGCAGTATCAACACCACCAAATAAAATATTACCTGATTGAGCATCTGGTTTATTCAAATATAACGAATATGCAGCATGATCAATAATTCCAGCATTTTTCAAAGCAAACGGGAAATTTGGATATTCTTTAGGAGTATATTCTTTACTTTCTAATCCAATTCCTAAAAGACCACTATATCTTGCATCTTGTGTAACTAAACCAAATTGAAAATTTGGTAATTTTGTACCATCAGGAAAATAATAATCATCAGTTGCATAATATCCAAATGCATTATTTCCATCAACAAAATTGGCATGGATTGGAATTGATAAATTTTTATAAGTTGTTGAAGTTTTTTCATTAAATGTTCCATAGGCTTTACATGACATTCCGTTTAAACATGTAGCGTCTGTACTTGGGAACCATAAATTACTCAGACCTGTATCAAGACCAACATAGAGTGATTGTTTGTTTGAACCCATAGTGATTTGAGTTTTATATTGTAAATCCCTATATTGAATTGGTATTGTTTCATCTCTTGATTGCACTGGAACACCTGTATCGTTATTATTGGTGAGAACAACGTCGAATGATAAATTCAATGTTTTTGGAGCTCTTTTCTCCAATGGAGCAGCTAAAGCAACAGACGCAACAACTGTTTGAACAATTAAAGTTGTTATTGAATATTTCATTATATTTGGTGTTGTTTGATTAATTCATATTTGATAATTCAAGTTGTTGGATTTGATCCCTTATTTATAAAAAGCCTTAATCATTGTCTTGTCATAGCTGATTTCTTTGATTTCCAAGTATACGAAACAGAACACGCTTCATATTTGCATTATCGGATTATGTTGGTTTGTAGCATTTTGCAATAATTTTATTTTCTATTGTTTCAAACAAAGACCGCAAAAATTTATCATCAAGAACAATAAATTACGCGTAATTCAAATAGACTTCAATTTTGTTTAAAATGTACTTGTATAATCAAAGAATTAATTTCATAACCACTAATATTTGACTCTGTAATTGTTCTGTAATATAATTGCAAATTAGAATTTGTTCGAGTGAAATTTGCTATTGGCTTTTTCAACACTATTGATTTTGCAACCTTAAGATAGATTTTGATTTTCCTAAAGCTCAAAACTAATTGCACAGGAATTTCGTATTGCAATATTGACTGGCAACGACTATGATGAGTGTTTCATTAGCAACAAGTGAAAGTAACAACCTATTTACAGATCATGCAAAGTTGCATACCTAAAGCAAGTCGAGCGAAGTCAATCTCTATTTGATGCCTTGTTGTTTAAAATTTTCCAAAAAGAATACCTTGTATCGTTGCTTCCGTGCTGGAGCGACATTTGAAAAGAAAAGCTGGTTTTGTCCTTATCTCAAGCCCAACAAAATTCCTACGGTTTGTAGCTATTTAAAAATTCCAGATGCTTATTGTTCAAATATTTTTCAAACAATTTCGAGAGCTGAAAACGTTTTTCATCAACATTTCCCAAAATATATAACCATGAGAAATTATTACTTTTCATTTACTGCTTACTTTTCATTTGCTGCTTTTTAGCCAAAAGATTTTGACCTTGGCACTTGGTTGCTGATGAAAAATTTCTTAGAAACTAGTTTACTAAACCGTTTAAGATTTACAATCAACGGTTTTATGTAAGGTACAAAAATGATGTAGTAAAAGACTAAATTTGGATAAGCTTAAACCCGTTCATAACTTGACAGATTTTGAGGCCGTTCAATAATAATTTTATCAGTTCTTATCTATCTATCAAGTTTTAATGCCTTAAAACATGAAATTTTTGATTGTACTAAAAAAATATACTAACCATAATCTATTCTTATCTTTCCTGTTGGATTTTGTGACTTGATTATAATTTCAAAACAATAGACCACTGATGATGAATATATCTCGAAAAGTTAATTGAAGACGACTTCTTAGATAAGACATTCAATTATTTATAAAATTTTCACTTGATGGGGATAAATGGGTATTCTGTAAATTTAAAAAATTTAAAGTTCTAGATCTTCTGTAAAATTTACGAAATTTGACGTGAGGCCAATTAGTTTCGACAGTGTCACGTGAATTTCCAATGCCTACAATGCCTTACGTGAATTAAAATTGGTGACATGACACAACATTAATGAATATCTAGGCTACTTTATAAATTTGGTCCTAAACATGTAAAAATCATAAATAAATGTGTAGAATTTAGCAAAACATCAAACTGATATTTTTATAGCTAAGCCAATACAATTTATTGACAATTTGCTAGACTTTTATATTTAGTTTTTGAAAAGTTCCCTTAAGGTTATCAGTAAATAGCTATTCTATGACTAACAAATTGTGATTCATGAATTGAACATTGAGCTTAATGTAAATTGGAAAAGATGTGTGAAATAATTTGAGACCTTCAAGTTGTATGATATTTGCTTCAAAATATTAATGAATTGTACCAAATTAAAAAACAAACAAAAGAGGTGGATTCTTTAAAACTTGCACTTTTTGACTGAATCTACATTGACTATTATTCTAAGAATTAACGATTTTAAGGATCTGAGAAATTTAATATTACGTTTATAAATTATGTTTCAACAGTTTTAAACGTGAACATGTGTTTCATATTTTATAATATTGTTGTACGGTTGTAAAATATTTTGAATTTATTAACTTATAAAATAATCTAGAAAGTAACTCAAGTAATTGAAAATAGAATTGAAAAAATTCTTCAAGCAAAATATTTAAATGACACTCATGAATATATGTTAAGCAATTTAAAATTTCCTTGGTCTACAACACCAAGTTGTATTCATCATTTTTAACTATTGGGAAATGTGAAATTTTATTGAGGAATGGAACGGAACAAAAATGTAAATTATCGGAGTCTTAGTCCAAACGCATGATTTATAATTCAGCCAAGAAAGGGCTAATTGATGCATTTTCAGTTCAATTGCAGAGACTAGAGAGACGGAGCAGTAATACTACATTACATACATTTTATTAATGACACCTTTTTCGAAATAAGGGACTAGATGAAAAGTAATAGGAGGCTGATTTAAATAGACGTTTTTAAAAATGTACTTTCGTAAATCTATTACTTTCTAGGCAAATTAATGCACGATAAAATTTTCATAAACGTTAAATTTCAAAGTTACAAAAAGTATTTGGAAATGTGTATAAAAGTCGAACGTATTAAATTTACCCGTAATACTCCAAATCAAATATCCTATAGCATATCCGTTCCATATCAATGTTCTTTGCAAAAGTACTTACTTTTCTTTTTCACTTGAAATTTTATTTGAAATCAATGATCAACAAACAACTCAAGAGTTGAACGATCTTACAAATTGCGATAACTCCTAGTTATATGTTGATCATATGTAATATTAATTCAAATAGAAATTAATAATAAATTATTTTTCTTTCATCGTAATTTTATGAGACCATAAGAAAAAAAAAAAAGCTAAGTTTAAGGAGAAATAATTATTACATGAAAAATAATAAATGTTTTACAATTAATAATAATTGAACTCTTATTGGAGAAGATTTGTGTTTCTTGGTTCCTAATTCCAAGATTGTCATTACGGTTAGGAGTGAAGAAATTTAAGATTTACCTAGTCAAAATTAAGAAGAAATTTATAATACTAATGATCAACGAGTTGAAGAAAAAAAAAACATGCCATTTTTTAAATATTTGACATTAACTAATTTATGGATTAAACCGTACATCAAGTATGCACAAAATTACAATTGTTACAATACGTATCATTATACGATTAATTAATAACAACGTTGAGATTCCAATTTCTCAAAACCTAATGAACGGAACTTCATAAACTATTAATAGAAATGTATGACAGATTGAAAAATTATGGGTTTTGTGTTTCAGAATTATGAGCATTGTTTTAAAAATTGTTCTTTTTTTTTATTTTTTGCATCTTTATTTTAAATAACAGAAATTTGAAATTTAAATAAATGAATTTCAAAAAAATAAAATGATCCAACAATTTAGTGTACTTTCATTCCTTATTCAAATATTATTTTAAACATTTTTGTTATGTGATTTGAGGTCTTTAAAATATGATGATTATATTTTCTTTTACTTTTCAATTAAATTTATTATAAATATTCTTTAAAATATCAAAATTGATGTATTTTTATTAAAAATTTCTTGAACTACGATATTTTCAATATAATCAATATTATCAATATTTTCTACAATTACAACTAATTTTCAAATACATATCAATTAAATTAAAAAATTTCAAAAATGGCTGATATTTACAAACAACAAGATTTAACTCCAGAACAAATTGAATTAATTTTAAGTACTGTACCAATTTTAGAACAAGCTGGTGAAACATTAACTGCAAAATTTTATAATCGTATGCTTACAAATTATGATGAAGTTAAACCATTTTTTAATGAAACTGATCAAAAATTATTAAGACAACCAAAAATTTTAGCATTTGCTTTATTAAATTATGCAAAAAATATTAAAGATTTAACTCCGTTAATTGGTTTTGTTCAACAAATTGTTTCAAAACATGTTGGTTTACAAGTTAAACCTGAACATTATCCTATAGTTGGTACTTGTCTTATTGAAACAATGGTTGAAATTTTACCAAAAGAAATTGCTACATCTGAATTTATTGAAAGTTGGTCAATTGCTTATGGAAATTTAGCTGCTTTATTAATTGAATTAGAAGCAAAAGAATTTGGTAAAAATCCATGGCAAGGTTTTAAAAATTTTAAAGTTACAAGAATTGAACCAGAATGTGAAGATGTTGAATCAGTTTATTTTACACCAGAAGATGGATCAAAATTACCAGAAGTTAAACCAGGTCAATATGTTTGTATTCGTTGGTTATTACCAGATTCAAAATTTGAAAAATCAAGAGAATATTCAGTAAGTCAAGTTCCAAAAAATAATGAATTTAGAATATCAGTTAGAAAATTACATGGTGGTTTAGTATCAGGATATATTCATGAAAGTTTAAAATTAGGTGATATTTTAAAAGTTGCTCCACCATGTGGTAATTTTACTTATAAAGAAAGTGAAAATCCAATGGTATTAATAGCTGGTGGTATTGGTATTACTCCATTAATTTCAATAATTGAAACTGGTTTGCAAAACGGTAGAAAAATCAAGTTAATAAATTGTAATAGAACAACATCAACAAGACCATTTACTGAATTTTTAGTTGAAAATTTAAAAAAATATCCAGAAAATTTCCACGTTTTTGAATATTTATCAGATGAAAAAAAATCTTCAACTATTTTTTCAAAAGTTACTAATAGACAATTAGAATTATCTGATTTAGATACAATTACTCCAAATCATGATGTTTATCTTTTAGGTCCAAGACCATTTATGAAAGAAATTAAAATTTATTTAGAACAAAAATCTATACCAGTTAATTTAGAATATTTTGGTCCATTAGATGTTTAATTGAAAAATATTTTGAGTGTGATTCAAATTAATTTTGTTTATGGTTTTATTTTATGTTTATTTCTTATTTTTCGGAAGTTTTTACTTTTTAAATTGTTTGTATATACATTTATATAGTTATTATACATTATTATATACTAACTTGTAATTTTAAATTTAAGAACTCTAATATCAAGTTGTGAACAAAGTCTACTTTAGAGTATGCCATAAATTTACAAAATATATTATCGTATATAATCATTATCATGCATTATTTTATCATTACTCTATCTAGCTATATATAACATTAATCATCAACATCATAAATTTATAAAAGATTCATTCAATTTCCATCCCTTTTTAACCCCATCCCAATTTGCAATTTCTCTAAGCATACTACGGATCATAATCATATCTTCATCAGAAACTAATTGTAATTCAACACCAGATATAATATTTTGAGATGTTGCAAAATTCTCTGGTTGTAATTTTAAATAATTTATAATTTTTTCAATAGTTTCTTGTCTGTTCAATGATTCTTTATCCTTTAGAGCATCATTTTTTAATTCACTTTTTTGTTTTAAAATATTTAAAATAGCTGATGATGATTCACCAGTTGAAGAAGGATTTGGTTTTGGTTTTTTAATGCCAAAAGTACCTTTTAATTTTCCAGCAGAACCAAATTTACCAGTCCATGTAGGTGTACCAATTTTATTCTTACGTGTTTGTAATCTTGATTGTTTTAATGCTTCAACAGCTTCATTTGCATATTTGTTTGCTTCTCTTTCAACTAAAGAAATTTCTTGATCTTCTGAATTAATAACTTCATCATGTTTTAAAGCACTATGAACTCCACTTTGAGCAAATATACCAGCCATGAATCTTGAATCATCTTTTGGTTGTTGTTCTTGTTGTTCTTGTTGTGATTCTTCTTCTTCACCTTCTTCAAATTTATCTAATTTTGAAACTCCTGAAATTTTAGCAACTTTATAAAAATCATCATCATTTTTAAATTTTTTCTTTGTTAATGAAGCAGATTTACGTTGTTTTGAACCACCATATTTATCTTCTTTACCATTATTAAAAATATCACCAGTTTCTGTACCTTGTTCATTTTGATCACCCAAAGTAAATAAATCTTGAAGATCATTATTTTTAAAAAATCTTCTTTGTTTAGGATCTTTTAAAATTTTATTTTGTAAAAAAGTTTTGAAGATTTGTCTATGATATATTTTTTCTTCTATTGATCCAGTTGTCATTAATCTATAAATGGTAATATCTTTTTTTTGTCCTAATCTCCATGCTCTTTCTCTTGCTTGTATATCTGTTGATGGATTCCAATCTGGATCATATATTATAACTCTATCTGCACCAGTTAAGTTAACTCCAAGCCCACCAACTTTTGTAGTCAACAAAAAAACATTTAAATTTGGATCATTATTAAAATTATCAACTAATGCTTGTCTTTTCGAAATTGGAGTAGAACCATCCATTCTAAGGTATGTAAAAAATTGATTTGGATCATTTAAAGTAGATAAATTAGCAATAAATTTTTCTAAAATATCTAACATTTGTCTAGTTTGACAAAATAATAAAGTCTTATGATCTTCACTTTGCCACAATTGTAATAAATTTTGTAATACTTGCATTTTCCCTGATTTTTTGGGATCTCCATAACTTTCACGTTTCATTAAAGCATCTCTATAAATTAAATCTGGATGATTACAAATTTTTCTTAAAACGTCCACTCCCATAAGTACATTTCTTTTACCTTTTACAATAGCATTAAAATCTTCACTATCTAAAAATTTTTCATATAAATCTTGTTGTAATTGAGTTAATTTTACAAATAACACCATTTCATTCTTTTTTGGAAGGTCTTGAGCAACATCATTTTTTAATCTTCTTAATAAATATGGTGATATAAGATCTCTTAATACAACAGCACATTTATATGCTGTTTTAACTTGTAAATTATTTGAATTTGCATAACCACCAATATTTATAGGTATTGAAAATTGAGCTTGGAAAACTGGAAGTGTACCCAATCTTCCGGGAAATACAAAATCAAATAATGACCATAATTCAATTAAATTGTTTTGAATAGGAGTACCACTTAAAATAATTCTATTTACTGTTTTAATTTGTTTACAAGTTAATGAAATATCAGAATCTGGATTTCTAATCTTATGACCTTCATCTAATACACAATACCCCCATTGTTTCGGAAGTATATATTTCGAATAAATACGTAACCCAACATAAGTTGTAACTAATACATGACCTTTTGTCATAACTCTATTAACAATTTCTTGAGCATTTAACTGTGATTTTATACCACGAAGAGAAGTTTTGGAAGAATTTGGATCACTATTTTCTAAAAATTCTTCCATTTGAATTTCACTTAAATCTTTATCATTAGACATACCAGTTCCAATACTATGTAATATAATACATCTTAAAGGTGGCCACCATCTATGAAATTCATTCACCCATTGATTTAAAACAGTTGCTGGTACAACCACCAATACTGGTTTTTTTAATAAACCAGAATAATGTAAACCAGCTAAAAAAGATATAATTTGTATAGTTTTACCTAATCCCATTTCATCACCTATAATACCACCAGTTTTTTGTGAATATAATTCCCATAACCATTGTACACAAGTTTTTTGATAATCAAATAATGATGGATAAATATCACCAGGTAATTTAAAAACATCATTTAATTTTGCATCTGTTATTGTTGGATGTGGTTTTAACCATTCTTCTAAATCTGGGGAAGTGTCTGTTTTTCGAAGTGCTGATCTTTTGTTAATCCATTGTTTTAATCTTTTTTGATAAAATCTTTCATCTCCATCATCTATATTTCTTGATTCTATTTCTTCGTTTTCTTCTTCATCTAATTCTTCTTCAAATTCATCTTGTTGAGCCTGTGATTCTTCTTTTAGGAGGTCTTCATCATAATTATAATCTTCATCTTCATCATTATCTGGTACTTCTTGTTCTTCTTGTTCTTCTTGCTCTTCTTGCTCTTCTTGTTTTTCATTTAATGTAGTAGTCAATTCTTCAATATCTTCTTCAAATCCTGGTTTTTTCAAAAATACATGACTTTGACTTGAGCTATCCCCCTTCTCAAATGATTTAAACGCGTTTTCATTCCCAAAGGCAGTTATTTTACCTATTCTAATTAAATAATCACGTTCAGATTCATCTGGTAATTTACCACCACCATCTTGTTGTTGTGATTGTGGGTTGTTAGGTGATTCAACCAAAAGTTTTTTAGATTCTGATAATCTTTTTTTAATATCGGTTAGATCTTGTTGTGCTGGTTGTAATTCATTTTGTTCATACCATGATATATCTTTTTGGATTTTTTTACGTTCACTGATTTTGGTTCTTGGGTGGGATAGTTTTGAAGATAGGGAATTTAAATGTTTTATTTTTGAATTAACTTCTTTTATTTGTTTTTCTAATCTTTTTTCATCTTGTTCTATATCTTTTATTAGTAGGAGTTTGTTAGCTTGGTTTGTGATTGTGTTTTCTAAATCGGTTTGATCGAATACTTTAACATCTGTCATGTATTTTTGTTAGTGTGGTGAATATATATATAAATTTGGTTGTAAAAAAAAAAAAGAGAAAGGTTTGATATAGATAAATTAATTTGTTACAGAAATATCTCAAGATTACATAATTAAGATTTTTGTGATATAAAATTAAATTTAAAGTATGGCGGTTAGTGATGATCATCAATATAATCAATACAGTAGCAAACGAAATGATACAATAACCGCTTAAGAGAGTAAACACTACAAATCAAACGAGTTTTATAAAATGCTTTTTCATAATATGCATTAACTACCTACCAAGACTATTTAACGTTCAATGAATAATAATTATATATACCTCTTTGACTAAATTCCACTGGCCAAACATCTTCCTCAAAATTTTTATCTTTATAACTATTTAAATTATAATAACCAATTGAACAATTAATTTTTCTAGCTGCATATTTTAAAAAATCCGGTTTTTTAATTTTAGTTACTATTTTATTCCCAGTTTCTAGATCATAATAAACTAAATTACCTTGATTTATTTTTTTATAATCTTTTTCTGAAATCTTGTATATCCATGATCTTCTACCTTCATTATCGAAAAATTTAAAAATTTGAGGTTTACTATTAGTTGTTGATAAATCTTGTAAAAATGAATCATTAATATTCATAATTTTAAAACAATCTCCATTTGATGTATAATCATAAAGTGATTTATAATCAAATTCAATAACTTCTAAATTTGAATTAAAATTTGTTTTTAAAAAAGTCTTGATGTTTTTATTTAATGATTTTATACCTGTCAAATCCAAATATTTAATATTTTTGTTGTTAATCATAAATTCATTTAATTCTTCTAATGTTAATGATCTTGCATGACTTATATTTAAACTTATTAATTCTGGGAATTTTTCTTTGATTGTAAACAAAATTCTTGAATTTATTGGCATACCTCCAATATTTAAATATTTTAAATGAGGAGCATTTAAATGTTTTAAAGTATATAACAAATAAACATCACTTAATGGACTTATAACATTTGAATCAATCTGTAAATTTAACCATTGTAATGATCCATTACATATTGCTGGATGTGATGTTAAAAAATGTATAAGATCTTTAGTAGTAAGTTTAGAACATCTTGAAAGATTTAAATGAGTTAATCTTATATTTGTTGATAATTGTAATAAAGTTGATGAATTAATAGATGTATGAGTTAAATCTAATCTTTTTAAATTTGGTAATTTAATTAAAATTTTTTCCAATAAATTTGCTGATAAATTTGAACAATCATGTAATGATAATTTTGTAATTGAAGTATTTTCTTGTAAATTTAAATTTTCAAAAGCAATTGAAAGTCCAGTACTACTTGCTCCACAAAAATCAATAGCTTTTAATTTTTTTAATTTATTAAATAATATGTCTAATACATTAACATCAATATCATCTTGAATATTCTCTGAAGCTAAAAATTCAATTAAATTAGGAGTCATTGATAATGCATGAGTAATAGTTTTTGAAGTAACCATTTGAATTTCTTGATTCATTCTACCAGTACGACCTAATCCAATAGATGTAAATTGTTGAAAATCCATAAATTCAACATATTTCCCAATTATAGGATTTATTTCTAAATTATATAAAAATTTATCAAATGAATGAGGTCGATTAAAAATCGTATATTTATATATAAAACATAATGATAATTGATGGAATTTTTTAGATAATAATGGAATTGTATTTGCAAATTTTTCTAAATTTGAATTTATTGATGAAATATCAGTATCAATATAAACATATTCAAGAATTTTCATTAATAATTCAATAGGTAAATTTAATAACGGTGATGCCGGTACTTGTTGTTGTTGAATATGCTGTAGTAGTTGAGTTGAAGATTTTCTTGATTCTGTTACATCATTCATATCTTCATCACTATATGAAGAAGCTGGAGAAATATCATTTAAATCTTGTTGATTTAATTGTAGTTGTTGTAAATTTTTTGAAGATTGAGAATTTATGTGGTGAGGATATGGATGATGATGTTGATGTGGATATGGATCAATCATTGATGCATCATCTGAATAATAATTATATGATTCATTTGATGTTATTGGACTTAAATAAAATTGTGATGAAAAATGTGGTTGATTTGAAGGTGGTTCATCCGGAGGTGATGATATTGGTACTAATGATAAATCATTTGGAATATCTATATCTTCTTCTTCTTCTTCATCATCTTGTATGTTATTAGACTGTGATTTTGATAATATAGAATGTATATTTAATTTATTATTTGCTTGATAATTATTTTGAAATGATGAACTTGTTGCGATCTCGGAGTTTGATGAATCTTTTTTAATTATTTTATCATTTTTAGAAATTTGTTGTCCCATAATTTGTAAAAAAGATGATATTGAACGTCTAATACTTATATGATCTTCTAATTCTTGTTGTTTATGTTTTTTATTACTTGTATTTGATTTAAAGAATAATAATGAATCAGATGATTTACTTTGTTTTAAATTTTTGAGTTTATGAGTATTATTATTATTATTTTCTTGTTGTTTAAATGATGATAACTGAACAGATGAATAAGATGGATAAAATGGATCTTGATATTGATCCAGTATTAATTTAGTATTCTTATATTTATTTCTACTTGATTTATAATTATCTTGAAAATGTTGTAAATTTTGATTTTGTTTAAACATAATTTTATTTTATTTTATTTTTTTTGGTTGTAACCAAAAATTAGTTATTCTGTGTTAAGTATAAAAAGTATTTAAATAATTTAAATTATTAATATCATTTATTATTATAAATAGTTGAAGAATTGAATAAAGAAATCAATTGAATGAATGAAATGAATGATAATTATCAAAAATTTAATTGATTGAATTAATATAAATGACTTATTAAAAAGAAATTAGAAATAGTTTGAGTATTATATAATTTCTATTATAATTTTTATTTCTAATTGGTATTGAAAAAAAGAAGTATTTATTTTTAATTGTGTTACTATTACTTTTTAAAATATTATTATAAAAAGTATTTCGCTAACAAATGTCATTTTTAATTTACATAAGTTAAAGAAGAGAATTTATTAATTGATTCACCACCACAATAAAATTGAACTGAAACCAAATGGATTTAAATATAAATTTTATTGTCAAGGGAATGTCTTACTACGGCATTTTTTTATTTAACTTAATGGTTAAGTATAATTTTTATACAATACCACACAAATGCATATGCAAATTAAATTAAAATTACGAGAGTTAAGTTCTCAGTTGTTAAATTCCATTTTTAGGTCTTTTTTTGTTACTTCTATGCTACCAAGTCGACCAGAATGCTCTGATTTTTTTCTCCTCCTTCCTCTCGACCTTTCGTATCATAAACTTGTTTTGGATTTAGGTCGAGATCATTCTATTATATAATTCTACTCCGCACTTTTCATTTTTATTTTGAAAAGTAATAACAAAAAAAAATTGTGGGGTGTTTTTTAAAATATTTTAAATCATTTTTGAAAACTCCAATTAATAAAGCGGCAACTTATTTCCATCAACAATTTATTATAATAATTACTTACTATGAATACTAAACAGGTATTTGACTGATAATCTGTATATAAAGGTTTTGGTAAATTGATGTATTTTAGTGTTAAATTTCTTTAATATCTCCAAATCGGAAATATGTTTTCTCTTAAATGTATTCAAAGTATATCGTATTTAATATTCATATGTTTAATTGTTTCAATTTACGTAGCTTTTAGAAGTAGAGCATAGAATATGAGTTCGCTAGTTCATACTTAAAGGACCAAAAAACAAAAAAATTAATAAAAAAAGTTAAGAAATTGTACTTTAGAAACAGATGATAAATTAGATTTAAAGACTTTTCATGAAATTGTAATATCTGTTTGACTCTAATAAATAATACTGTCTACTATATAATACCTTAATAAATGCATCTTAATGATCTTATAATATGGAATTTTTCAAATCAATTATAATAATTTTAATACAAAATTTTTAAAGATTTTCTTCAATTTTAAATATTTCCCATCTTTCATTTAAAATAATAAAAATTTCATTACATAAAAATTTTGATTTTAAATCATCTTTGAATATAGAATGAGTTTTATCTGGATGTATTAAATTAATAATTTTTAAATAATTTATTTTAACTTGTTTTGGCATTATAACATCATTTGTTGATAAATTTAATAATTTTGGAGAATTTAATTGGTGAGGTAATATTTCATTTAAATTTATTAACATTTTTCTTAATTCATTGTTTTTTTGTTGTTGCCATATTTTAATTTTTTCAATTATTGAATCTTTGACTAGTGAATCTAATTCTTTTTCTTCGACAATTTTTGATTTCGTTGTTGCTGTTGGTTTTGAGGTAGTTGTAGTAGTTGGTTTTTTTGTTGTTGGTGGTGGTTTATGATTTTGTGGGTTAACTATTTTATCTACTCTTCTTTTACCATCCATTATTTTTTTATCATTTTTATTAAATTTTTGAATCAAAATGTTATACACTTCCAAAGAGTCTTTAAATTTCTCCATTAATTCTAATGATTCAGCTTTTATTGATAATAATTTAGTAAACCAATATTTCACTGGTTTATTGTCTATCTTAACTGAATCATTTGAACATTCATCTATTGAAATTAATTTAAATGCTTCTTCACAATTGATTAAACTTTCTTTTAAATGACCTAGATTTTTATTGATTAATGACAAATTTGATAAAATTATAACTCTGTATTCATGAGTTGGTGGTAATGCATCAAGACATTTAGTGTATAATTCTAATGATGTCACGAAATCTCCATTTTTAAATGATTCTGATGCCTTTGCTTTGTTTGAAGTATAATCGGATTCTATTATTTGATTTAATGGTGTTGAATCTCTAAGATTTGAGTTGGTGGTGTTTGGTTTTGTTGATGATGATATTCCTAACAAATCTACTTCAACTTCTTCTTTCACTGGTATTGATGTAGATGGAGTAGATGATTTTGACAATGATGATGGCGTAGAACTTTGTCTATCGTTGTTTCTTATATTTGATGATGGTTCCTGTTTTATTTGTGAAACATTGCCATTCTTTGAACTTGATCTTGAGTTAGATGGTCTTTGAGGTTGTTTTGGCGGTATTGGCGAAGAAGTTCTTGAAATTGGTCTTTGAGGTCTTGAAGGTAAGTAATCTTTCTCCTTTTGTTTTACTTCCTCTGATCTTTCTTCTGATCTTTCTCTTGATCTTTGTTTTTCCTTTTCTCTTTGTAATCTCATATATTTACTAATTTCTTCTTGATTTATATTTTCATCATCTGATCCATAATCTTCACCACCAAATGTTTTTTCATGTGCTTGTGATTTATACTTGTTTTGATTTTTCATCCATTGAGGTAAATTGTCACTATTATTATTACCGTTATTATTAAAATTTTCTAAATTTTCAATGACTTTCTTTTTAGAGAAATTGTAAAATGAATTAGCTTTTTTAAATAAATCATTTCCAATTTCATTAAAATTTATTTTATCTGGTCTTATACCTAATATAGAATCATCTTCTTCATAATAAGTAGTAGAAGTTTGTTGATGACTATTATCTCTAGTTGTAGTTCTTGATGATGATCTAGATGAAGTAGATGATCCAGAATTTTTATTCATTATATAATTAACACAATCCTGTAAATTTGGACCTAGCTGAGAAATAGCTTCATTTGAATCCTCTATGGAAAATCCGATATCTATTAATTCTGCAAGTACTTGATCTTTTTTTGTGGATTTGAATGAATTATTTGAAATATGCGAGTTGTTTGAGTTGTTTCTATTTACAGTTGGTCTGATTGGTTTTGGAGGTGCTATTGGATGTGAAGTTGATGACTTTGATGCAATTGATTGTTTTTGTTCTGGATAAATATCTATAAAATCATCATCATCTAGCAATGATTGTTGATTTGAATGTTGAGTATGGTTGCTGTTGCCATTTAGACTTATGGTTGGTGATTGTGATTGTGGACGTGATTGCACTTGCGGTTCAGGTTTATTAAAGATTGCAAAAGGATCATCATCTATATTTGATGTGGTTGAATTTATGCTATAATGATTGAAGTTGTTTACGCCTTGCGCCTTTGGAGTTGAAACTCTACTTGGAATTTGTGAAGAATGAGAACTAGATTGTGGAGATAAGATATTTAAATTAGACCAAGATGAATTAATAGAATTGGATTGATTTAATGGTTGTTGTTGTAATTTTTGACGTTCTGATAATGATAATTTGTTTAGCCGTGAATTTACATTATTGTTTGCACTTGCTGATTGGAATAAATCTGCAAATGCATCTTTCTTTGGTGGCATTGTTTTATGATGATGATGATGCTAATTATATATGCTAACGGTTAATGAATGACTAGATAGTTTTGATTGAATTGTATTTTTTTGGTTGTAAATTCTATTTTTTAATTATATTTCGTATATTTGATTTGAAGTATGATTCAAAGTTTCATAATTTTTTTCTGGTTGCAATTTTTAGAATTTTAACACAATCACGAGTCAATTATAACAGATTAATCAACAATCACTTTCTCCACTATTATTAAGTTAGAATCAAGATCAAAAGAATGAGTAATAATGATACCAATGATCAAGAATACCAGAATATAACATCAACCCTATCATCATTTTATAAATTCTACGAATACCAACTAGAAAAACTAGTAAAACCAAGAATTCATAAATTTGAAATACTACCAAAACAAGATCAACAATTATTATTATGGTATCAAAAACATACAGAATATATTCAAGAATGTATACATATCAACAGAATATTTACTCAGAAGCTCGCAATGGATGCTGCTCAAGATTGGGGTATTCCATTAGAACATGAAATTTGGGCACCTGCTTCACAAAAACAATTTGAATTAACTCAATTAATTTTATTACAATTAACTAGAGAATGGAGTGAAGAAGGATTAAAAGAAAGAAAAAATTCATATAATTTAATAATGAATCAATTAAATGATAAATTTCCCAATTTTTTAGAAAGATCAACTAAAAAAATCTTAGTACCTGGTTGTGGATTAGGTAGATTAGTATTTGAATTAATTTGTCAAGGTTTTAATACTCAAGGAAATGATAATGATTATCATATGTTGTTTACTTTTAATTATATACTCAAGAATTGTGATTTACCTTTTAATTTATCAATTTTCCCATATTTAGATAATTCATTAACGAATTTTACCAAAAGACAATTTCAAATTAGACCTATAATTATACCTGATATATCACCTATTGAAAAATTAAATGAATTAAATAAAAAATATAATGGAGAAGTACCGTATAATGATTTGATTTCAATAACTGCTGGTTCATTTATTGACTTATATGGGAAAGTTTTAGAGTCAGATTCAAAAGAAGCTCAACAATTAAAGTTGCAAAATAAAAACCAATTCGATATAGTAGTAACTGAATATTTTTTGAATACAGGAAATATGATAGAATATATTAAGACAATAAATAATTGTTTATCAACAAATGGAATATGGATAAATTATGGTCCCATAACAGAAGAAAATAATAAAGATAATGAAATAGATTTTACAAAAGAAGATTTAGGAGAATTAATAACCAAATTAGGTTTTCAATTTCTTGAAAGAAGTGATTTCAAAGATTCTTATTTTAGTAATGATTCACTGCTTTCTACAAATACTCAAACTTGTGAATTTTGGATTTGTGAAAAAATTATTTAATGGTGTTATATATTAGTTTTATAGATATTAGAATCCAACCTTTCTTCAATTTCAGAATCATCATCTTTTAATACTCCAGCTTCTTTTAATACTTTAGTAGTATTAGTAACTATTTTATCCCAGTCTAAAGGAACTTCACCAATCTTATTGTTGAATTCAACAGTTTTGGTCCAGTTTTGAGCATCTTCAGTTGAGTAATCCAAATTGTTAGCAATGTATTCAATTGACTCATCTAAATGATCGTTAAAGTATTTTATTCCTCTATTTATACAACTAATGAAATTTGAAATATCTTGTTTCTTTTCAATTACGGAGGTGGAATTACCAACAATAATCCAACTTGGCCATGGTGTATATATTTCTCCAATTTTTTTAATTTCCTTATTATCATAATATTTCTTACTTGTAAAAAATTCCCACATAAAAAAATCACTATTTTCAAATTCTGAACTTTTTATTAAATTAACAGAATCTCTTAAATTTTTAAAAGTAGAACAAACTTTAAAATCTTCAAATTTATCCAATCCAATAGAATGAGCTAATACAAAACTCATAACGTATGATCCACTTCCAATTCTAGATATACCTACTGCTTTGTGATTTTTTAAATCTTGTAAATTTGTAAGTTCGTTACGATTGTTTCCAGTTGACACACTCCATAACAATGGAGAATTGACATAAGTATCTAATAATTTTAAGTCATCGTTTCCTTTCCCAATTTCAGCTATGAATGCTTCAGTTAATCCAATAGCTAAGTCTACTTCTTTTGAGTTTAATAATTTTATGAGTTTACCACTACCTTCTGGGACTGGGATGAATTCGATTGATAGGTTTTTTTCTTTGTAGTAACCATGTTTTTCAGCAAGAAATAGTGGAGTTGAGAAATGTTCTGGTATGTAAGCTACTTTTAATGACATTGTAGGGATAGTTGGTGGTGTGATACAAGTTGGTTGTAAAAGTTAAGTATCAATTGAAAAATTAAGGTTCGGATAAAAGTTTGTACTTTTGTGTGATTAGATTGAAGACATTCTGATTACATTAACAACTTATTAAAAACTATAAATTTAATCAAATAAGCTTCACCATTGCATGGTCGAAGTATTTGATCTACAATTGATTAATCTATATGGCCCGTTTATTTCGAAAAAATAGGACATTTATTGTAACAAATTCAATTACTTGTTTATATAACTTTATAAAACTTCAAATGAAACTCTCTTTGATATATTTATGAATTACTATAACTGACACAGGACTGTACTTTATCTTAAAACTTACAATTTCTTTCTTTAACAACATGTCGATCTTCTATTATTATTTTCAGAACTAAGATCAATTCTATTATCATTGATTTCAGAATTTAAATTTTTATTTCCATTACCAGCTCCACCATTTATCAAATTATCAGGAATTTTTTCACCAATTCCAATGAATACTTCATTTACATTATATGAAGTTTTAGCACTTGTTTCAAAAAATAATAAATTTTCTTCTTGAGCCAAAGATTTACCTTCTTCATAACTTACTTTTCTTAACAGTTCTTCATTATCTTCAATTGATTCATCTTCAACTAAATCATATTTATTTCCAACTAATGCAATCGTTATATCTTTATTAGCTTGTTCATGTAATTCTTTAACCCAATGTCTTGCTTTTATAAACGATGCAGGTTTTGTAATATCATAAACTACTACTGCAGCTTGAGCATTTCTATAATACATTGGAGCTAATGATGCAAATCTTTCTTGTCCTGCAGTATCCCAAATTTCATATTTAATGGTTTTTTCACCTATTGTACATTTTTGAGTTAAAAATGCTGCTCCTATAGTTGGTTCTTTATTTTCTTGAAAATCATTTGATACAAATCTTAATACTAATGATGATTTACCAACTGCTGCTTCTCCTAATAATACTAATTTCACGGATGTTGCAGGTGTAGGATGATGACTCATTGTAAATTATGTGATTGTGCAAATATCTGATAGTGATTATTAATAGTTATAGATTGTGTTTGATTTGAATGTAACCTTCAAAGCAAAGAAAAAATGTAGTAGTTACTAAATCTAATTAAGGTATTCAAATGGCAAGATATAATAAGTTTACAAATGAAAATTGATTAAAATAAAACAATGAGTGAATAGTAATATCTTGACTTGCTATGGCTTTAGATGTATCGATGATAGTCAAAGAACGATATAGTTAAATATGATGTTTTGTTAATTAAATTATTGTATTAATGATTAATATCAAATGATAAGATAAGTGATCTTTTTTTTTTCCCTCACTAATAAAAAAAAAATAAATTGCCTTTATTTCCTTCTCCTTTTTATATTAGAATATAAACACTTACAATAGTTGATTACATTAATTTAATATATACTATATATAATATATACTCAGAATTACAAGTGAGAAAAGATGGAAGATTGTTGTGTAGTTGATTTAAATATTCACTCTTTAAACTATGAAAACTGTCAATATATCAAAGAATTCTTTACTAATGTTGTAATTTTTTATTGTTTAAGTAATTCTCAACGACTCGTACAATGCTAATGTCTGAGATCATACAAATATGTCACCGCTTTGAATGGTGGCTTCGCTTGATCTCTTCGTATATTTCAAAAATTTAATGACGTTTTAACTCAAAAAAGGTACATGAAGGATGGTAGTGTCATTTGTTACAGATTTTATAAAATCTTAGGAATTGATCCAAATTAATCCGAATCTATTTTTTTAGTAATATTATTAATCACATTGCTTTTCAACTAAAATAATATTATATAATTGAAGTACAACGGCATGTTTAGCTTGATTACCAACTATACTATACATATTTTTCCAGATTTCAAGATCCTTTTCTACTCTGTAAAGTATGTATTACCGACTTTGTGTGATATTCTCTTGCATTTGTTGGTAGCATAATTCAATAGTTTTGAGGGAAGTGTTATAAAAGAGAGACTCTTAACATTTCATAAAATTTCATTCATAATTTCACTCTATATATACAAGAGCCACTCATCGAGCAACTATTCAACTCAAAAATCTTCGACTTTAAAAATAACTTTACCATCATTATCTTTCAAATTCTTGATATACTTCTTATAATCTTTTCTCCAATCATGAATTCCATCAATTTTAAATTTTAATTTATTTTCCAATACTAAATTTAAAGCTTGAGTACACCAATCTGGTTTAATTTTTAAAAAAATCTCTTCAAAATAATTATAATTTGTCCAGTTGTTTAGTAAAGAATTTGACCATTTATTAACCCAAGGATTTAAATAATTTTGTTCATTAAAATCTATTAATTTATCAATTTGATAACTTGGTTCAGAAAGGTAAAATTTACATCCACTTACCACTGTTGATCCTGTTTTTTTAGGTTTTAAGATTTTGTTTAAAAATGGTTCCTTTTTTGACGAATTGAATAGTTTTTCTATTGATACTGATATATTTTGTTTGAATGGTAAGTTTAAAGTTTCAATCTCGTGGAATTTTGTTGATGATGATTGGAAATATTTTTTACATCCTATTAAATCTATGAATAAATCCAATTTGTAATTGTTGATATTTGATTCATTTATTAATTCATTATTATATGGTACAAGTAAAGAATCAATAATTTCAGTTGCGAAAAAATCAGGTTTTTTGTAACTTATTGGGATTTTTTCACCTGGAAAATATAATCCATTATTGAATATATCAAAAGTTACGATTTTAAATCTTTTGGTGGTGGATGGATCATAATATTTTTTTTCAAAATTTTTGATTATTGAGTTCATGTATTGTTCTGATTTTTCTCGTATAACTAGTATTAAATTTAAAAATTCAAAGTTTTTATATTCTGATAATAATATTTGTAATATTGTTAATCCAATATTTGTATCTGCTCCATTTATTAATATGTTGACTTTAGTGTTCTTGGTATTCAAATGTTGAATCATTTGTTTTGAATGGTTGTATAACAATGATATTGATGAAAATTTGGCTAATGGTGATAATGGTTTATTTTCGTCAAATGACAATTTACTAGTTTTAGACACAACTTCATCGTCTGCAGGACTTGATTCTTGACTTTCTTCCTCTGTTGGAGGTTCAGCTTGATCTTTAGTATTTTCTGTCTCTTCTTCTCCAACTTCGAATCCTGTTGTATCAATTTCATCTGGTTTTAAATTAATATCAATATCTTCGATTTGTTTAATTATGGATTCATCAACTTTGATCAACACATCTCTTCCAGGATAAATAATTTGACTAGTTGACAAAGAACCTCTTCTAGAAGTAGGATCAATTAAACCAAACACATAGTCTCCCTCTGCAAATTGTTTAGCCATATTTGTACCAACATTAGTTATAATACCTGAAAATTCATAACCCAATCCAACTTTGACATTACTCAAATTTAGTAAGTATTGATTAATTTTACACAAGTCAAATGAATTTAAAGATGCAAATTTTATATCAACGATAACACTATCACTAGAAGTAGGTAAGTTTAAAGTATTATAATGAAATTGTAATTCAGTTTCTTTATTTTGTACAGAAAGATCCTTAATATCGAAAAACTTAGCCTTGGATAAATCAGGTAAATCAGTTAATCTTAATCTACTATTTGGTATTGGTTGTTTTAGTAAATCTTGAACTGGTCTAGGAGAAGTTATATGTTGATTATCTAAATAAGCTAATTCAGGTGGGATTTTGTGGAATGGTGATGATTTTATTTCATCTTGTTCTTTTTGTTTCAAGTTGGCGTGATGTTCTTCTAAATCTTCTTCTGGTGGTGGTGCAAATCCTACTGATTTCTTTTTAGGTTTTTGTTGTGGTTGTGATGATTCTGGCTCTGGTTGAGTTTTTGGTGATTCTGCTAAATCTATTTCTGTAGCTAAATCTTGCTCTTCTGTTGACATATTAAATTGAGTATGTGTATTGTGAAATAGTTGATTTTATAATTGATAGTTTAGGGAGATGTTTTAAGGATGAATTGCGATATAAATTTATAATATGTTTTAATAGATTGTTATATAAATGGCTTTATAACCGATACTAAGTTGCGGTAATATTTTGACACTTTAAATTTTGAGGATATTAAAATATTTTAGTTCTTATAAAGATTTATTTAGAATAGAGGGAACTAGTGAACTAAGGATCACAATACAAAAGAACCTTTAATAATTGTACACATAAGGCTAATTTTATAACCATTCTGTATTTCAGCACCCATAGACGGAGTTTAAGGTTTTAGTTGTAGAATCAACATCACCACAAATATGATGAGCTCCAAATTCCTACGCTAACTACGTGCAAGAATCATTTATACTTGCATCTGTTAAAGGTTAATCAGCTGCTGATTTTGGTTAATTTACTCTGATAATATGTTGTATTCTAAATAAAACTGATAAAGCCCTTCGTTATCTAACAAGACTTCTTCAAGATCAAAATTTGAACAAGTTGAACGACCATGTCAATATTTAATTCTTGGACTGTCTGACTCTTTTAACAAAGTTGTAGTATAAGAAAATAATCAATCATTCATCAAACTTAATTATACCAAGCAGCCCCTTGTCAACTTAAAGATCAATCAATTCAAGATGTGGGTTGTTCCGGTAATATGTTATACTTTGATCCTACTACTATCATTACTTGGTCTAAGATTTCATATAAATATATTCAAATATCCATTATATCTAACAATTCCATTAACTTTGGGAGTTTATATACCCTTATCAATTATATTCACATTACCAATGGATTATGTATCACATAACTCAAAACTGGGAGATGATATCGATTGGTTCGCATTACCAGATAATGTTATTTTATATATATGGAAATCAAATTATTGGATTACTTTCTTGTTAACTTGGTTAATATTACCAATGCTTTTGGAATATTATAGATCAGGCCATAATGATCCAATAAATAAATTAAAGGATTCAGCCAAAGAAAATATAAAATTTCAGGTAATAATGTTGGGTGTTTCATTAATTGGTTTAATTTATTTGTTAATTGATGTTGGATTAAATTTTAATCATATTAAATTAATGATTATTGCCATTGCTCATGTTTATTCTTTAATCTTGGCGACTTGGTTAATGGGTCATGGATTGACTAGTATACCTAGGAATAAATGGATTCAAGGTTCGGTTTTGAAGGATTTGAATCATCAATATTTGAAAATACCGAAATTAGTTGATGAATTAGAAGATACTAAAATATCGTTTAGAGAAGATGTATTGAAAGTATTGATTTTGAAGCAAAATTACACAAGTGAATCAGAAGAAGATTTTAATTACAGAGATTGGATATTAAACTTATATGAATCGATACCTGGAGAAATTAAAGAGCAGGTTGAAAAACAATATCTACATGATACTACAAATATTGATAGGGATCAATTGAATGATTCATATATGACAAAACTAAACTCTGATTTCAATCTGAATTTGAATAGACTAATTGGGTATCAATCTGAATTTAATAGATTAATTGGTAAAATCATGAGATTAGAAGATGTATTAAATGCAGTTTCCACAAAGGAACTAGTTTTCAGAATTGATAATCATAAAGTTTTATGGAGTCCTAGATTTAATTTCATATATTGGTATTATATAAGGCCCACTGCGAACAAAGTTACAGCAGTTATTCTAGGATTAGCATCATTAATTATATTACAATCAGAATTTTTTCATTCAACAAAGTTGTCATTATTAAATGTATTAATATATTCAACTGGTATCTATAACTACTCAATTTTACAATTTATCATATTATCATTATTTTTTTCATATATGTTATTTTCAGCATTAAATTCATTAACTCAATTGAAAATCTTTAATATGTATCATTTAGTACCTCATAATTCGGATCCAGTTTCTGCATGTTGGTACGCAATGTATATTGCTAGAATGACTATACCATTGAGTTATAATTTCATAACATTATTTGTTAGTAGGAAATCAATTTTTGAAGAATGGTTTGGACAGTCTATCCATTTAACTGGCTTATTCAATTTATTAAATAATTGGATCCCAAGATTGATTTTAATTCCTGTATTATTAGCAATGTTTCATGTATATGATAAACTCAAAAGAAAATTAGGGATTGCAGACTTATACGATTCATGGATTTTATTTGACGAAGATAATGAAAATGATAATGATGATTTCGGTAAAAGAAAAGATTTAATAATAGTTGAAGCAAAAAGAATTATATCAAGAGAAATGTCTAAAAGAGAAATGCAATTGAGACCATTCAATTTATCAAACAACAACATCAATCTTCAAAACCCAGCAGATGCAAATTATGAAAGAAATAGAAGAGAATTTACATCTTCATTAGCTAACAGAATTGATATTTCAATCGAAGAAGAACCTGGTTATGATAATGGAACATTAAACATACCACAAAATGGATTCTGGGGTAAAGTTAGCAATACGTTTAATGGAATTATAGGTAATAATCTGGTAAGTAACCAAAATAATAATAATCGACAAAGACCTTATAGAGATGAACCTTTAGATGATTTTAATTATGATAATGATGCTAATGAAAATTTGATTCTATAGAGATGCTAGATATAACTATGATAATTTAATACTTCTAACAATAGCAAATGTAATAATTGTAATAATTGGTTACTCTCGCTAAATATAAACACAATTTTCATATCTTGTTTCATCATTCTAAAAAGTATGTTTCAAATTAAAGTGGGGAAGGAACTGGTAGCAACGGAAATATCAAATTCTAATAATTTAAGCGATGGAAATTAAAATCCGAGAAAGATTACAAAAACAATAATTTATCAAATCAATCTCTGTTTACTTTATCTATAGAGTTTGTAATCCAAAAAGGGCATCAAATACCTGTCTCCAACCAATTATTTAACAAGCCAACCTCACTACTATCATACATCTACTCAATTGATGTCAATTTACATACTATCGAAATGCAAAAAGGTCTCAAAAAATTATAATCTATATTGCTTGAATTTTATAAGACGAATATCCGACTCAGTAGTGTTTACAGCAGTTGATAGATCACCTTCAATTCCAATACGTGAAACTAATATATTAACCCAAGGTAAATTAAGAGTACAACTACTCAAAAGTCCATCACACTTAGGTCATGCAACTAGCAGAATTAATCGACCTTATAATGAAGATAAATATAGTGCAAAAGTTTTAAAAATAAAAGATAAAGAGATATTAAATTTTAACATATTTGATGGACATGGTGGCGATCAATGTAGTGAATTTTTGACTAAGAACTTAGCTGAAAATGTTGAAAATGGAGATTCGTTAGTTAAAACAAAAAAGGCGAGGGAAGACCTTATCAAGAAATATGTTAAAAATGTGGGGGGATATTGGAGAAGATGGTCAAAACATAGAGAGAAGACATTTGAGTCATGGCAGAACAATTACCTAAAACTAACAAATTTCAAAGAAGAATGTGAACAAGATGATCTAAATTTCAGAATTCCCTTAACTTTTTTAAAAACTGACTATGATTTTTTCCAAGATGAAACAAAATCAGGATCAACGTGTACATCAGTTTTTTTACAAACTATATATTGTAATTCTCAGAAAAAGTTCCAACCATTTTATGAAAATTATTATTTTAATAGGAATACTATTTCAAAATTAACAATAGCACATTTGGGAGATACAAGAGCAATATTAGTTGACAAGAATGGGTTAGCTAATGGAATAACTGAAGATCATCATCCTTCAAATCCCATGGAGAGTACAAGATTAAGAAGATACGCTGCAAATTTCTTTATGACTGATTCATTTGGAGAAGAAAGATTTATAGCTTTAGCCAATACAAGATCATTTGGGGATATAGATTACAAAGAAGTCGGAGTAACAGCAGAACCAGATATAATACAACTCGTAGTTGGAGATTCAACAGAGATATCAAAACAATTAACACCAGAAGAAATCAAAAAACACACAATAGGAGGATTAGGAGGTGATGAATTATTTTTAATATTATGCACAGATGGAGTAACAAATATTCTAACAGATCAAGAAATAGCAGATATAATAATGACCCAACAAAAGAGATTAGGTTCGAAAGCAAATCCACAATTTTGTGCTCAGGAAGTGATTAAATTTGTTGAATTTGTAGGTGGAGATGATAATGCCACTATTTTAATTATACGTTTAAATGGATGGGGTAATTGGCCTAATATTGATAGAACTGGAGAGTTGAGACAAAGTAGATTAGATGATTTTAATCCAAGACGTGGTGGGAGTGGATAAATTAAAATTTATTTAGATTAATTATTTTATAGAAACTTAAAATTTAAATTATATCTTCCAAATTTATTTATTGTAAATTTGTATGTACAATATATATACAAGTAGTCTATCATCATCATCATAAAATTGGGATAAATTTTTCTCCCAAATAGGACCTTCTAATTCTTAGAATATTTGTACATGAATCTCTTTCTCGTAGGTGCAAATTCCCCTAATTTAGAACCAACCATATCATCAGTAATTTCAACTTCAACATAATCTTTACCATTATGTATTTCAAATTTCAATCCAATAAATTGTGGTATTATCGTACAATTACGAGCTTTTGTTCTTATACTGGTTTTGTTTTGGATTGCTTTTGCGATGGGTAAGGGAACAATATGGGGACCCTTCCATACTGATCTACTTAGTATTTGTATTGATGGATGCATTATTTCTGTGGAACTGTGATTAGTTTGATAAGGTTGGTTTGATTTGGTTTGATTTGAGTTAGTTGGTTCGTACTGATTGAAAAATTACTGATTTTTTTTTTCATATTATTGTTTTTGTGTAATAATTTACGAGGGTTTGTTTTATGTTAGATGAGACATTACAAAATTCTTGATCTTAACATTTTCAACTAATTTCAAGTCTCATATATGTTTGGGGTTAGATATGATCCAGATGAAGGAGTGAAACCAATTAGTAATGGTAACGATTTCAAAATAAATATAAAGAAGAGAATTAGACCGGTAGAAGATGAAGATGAAGACGAAGAAGAAGAAGAAGAAGATGAAGAAGAAGAAAAACAAGAAGAAGAGGAGGATAGCTCAGACCAAAGCGAAGACGACGAAGAAATGGAAGAGCAAGAAGATAGTAGCTCAGAGGAGGAAGAAACGAATGAAAATGGGGTTACAGATAAAATGGAGATAGATAATCCCGTACTCAATGATTCAGAATATACAAAAAAGCATCAATCAGTATTTGATAAATTCAAACAAGCTTCAAATCAAAGTAAGAATCTAGACGACGATGACGAAGTAGAGGAAGAGTCAATAGAAAAACAAGATTTAGCTCCATTACCACAACCCCAGCTACCTAGAGACAAAAAACTATCATCAACTTCACATCACCTTAAGAATTTGGATTGGTTAGCAAAACCAGAATATATACTACCAACAGAAACAAGACCATTTTCAGAATATAAATTAGAACCTTTTATACTAGATAACTTGAAATCATTAGATATTACAAATGCGTTTGCTGTACAAGTTAGTCTATTAAATAAATTGTTACCAGAAATTGTGAAAAATAAAATTATGCCTGATGCCTTTGGAGATATTTTAGTGAATGCATCTACAGGTTCAGGTAAAACATTAGCATATTCAATACCTATAATACAAGCATTACATGATAGAATTGTACCGAGAGTCAGAGCAATAATATTAGTACCTACAAAACCATTAATTAATCAAGTTAGAGCCACATTATTACAACTATCTCAAGGATCAACTTTAAATATTGTTAGTTTGAAAAATGACATATCTATAAAAGAGGAAAGTACCAAATTACTAAATTCAATCCCAGACATTATAGTGAGTACACCTGGTAGACTTGTTGAACATTTGAACTTAAATTCAATAGACCTTTCAAGTTTGAGTTTTTTAATAATTGATGAAGCAGATAGACTATTGAATCAGACTTTCCAAAATTGGTCACTGATACTAACAGCAAAACTTGAACAACAACAACCATACAACATTTTAGATGTTTGGAGTATAAAAGCCAAAAAATTAATTTTTTCAGCTACGTTAACTACTGATGCTGGTAAGTTAGCAAATTTAGATCTTTATAAACCGAGGCTAATTATAGTCAATGATTCTCAAAATTTAGTTAATGAATTATTTTCAATCCCATCAACTTTATCTGAATTTAATTTACATTTTGGAGTTTCCAAAAATTCAATAAAACCACTAATACTAGTCAAATTCTTAATATCACAATCTAAATTATCAAACGTTCTAATATTCACGAAATCAAATGAATCATCAATTAGACTATCTAAATTACTACAATTGATTTTTGATCAACTTAACTTACCAATAATAGTAGCATTCATAAATTCTACAAATAACAGAACATCAATCAGGTCGAAAATTTTAAAAGATTTTACAACCCAAAAAATCAACATTTTAATAGCAACAGATTTAATAGCAAGAGGTATAGATTTAACAACAATAACAGATGTCATAAATTATGATTTACCAAACTCGTCTAGAGAATATATTCATAGAGTTGGTCGTACTGCAAGAGCTAATCAATTAGGTTCGGCGTATAATTTTATTTTTGGTAAGGGGGAATTGAAATGGTTTAATACTTTTTCAAAAGATGTTAGTAGACATGATAAAGAAGTTGAAAATTTTGAATTTGATGTTGCTAGTAATGTTAGTGATGATGATGAGAGAATTTATCAAAATGCTTTAAATGAATTACAACAACAAGCTAAGAATTGAAAAAATATTTATAGAGCAAAATAATACATCTTTAATTACAATAAATATCTTGCATCCTCTACACTCTATTAATATAACACAATAATTATGTTTCAACGCTTTTACACTACTTATTTAAATTTTGCAGCTAAAAGATAGCATAACAAATATTTTGCCATTTATGTATACAGATCGATTTTTTCCATTCAAGAATATTTTGTATACTTTTTTCTTCTGCAATTGATCACTGAAAATTACTTTTATCCATACTACTTATATCCATACTACTTTTATCCATACTAGTGTAGAACTATTTATTTATTTATTTACATTACTAACATCAAAATTTTAGTATTCATTATGAATTGAGAAATATTAGTGAGACATTTCACCCACATAAATATGGAAACAATATGAGTTGACTACCCGAGACGCTATTCCGACCCAATGAGTTCAAATAAACAATTTTATTAAACTTGAAAACCAACCTTTGGAGTACAAATTTAACCAAATGACTGGACTGTGATTTAAAATAGACACTGGAGTGAAGCAGATATTTGGAGTTCTAAAAAATTGACTGACAACCCTTTTTGACTTTGGCACTTGAGATATATGACTATGAGTGGGCAGGTTGTCTGATGGAGATAAATAGTTGATTCTAATGCAACTTTTGATTTGATTTCATTTCATATTTCAACAATCATTCGAACTAGACAAGCGATGCAATGCTATTGCACTTGTTTTTATTCGACTGATCTTCAGAAACTATGATTACTAGCCAAAGCTTATTTACCAATTTTAGTATAAATTTATACACTTTTAAATTCTTTAAATTGGATATTCAGATTAACTGGAACTTGATGTGTCAACCAATTACGATTTCCAAAACACATTTCGGTTATATCATACACCAAGCAAGACTTAGCGACCAGTTATAAAACATAATTCCATAAATTTATGTTAACATAGCTCCATATTAGCACCTGAATAGCACTTTGAAAATTAAAACAAACAATTAGTCTTACCAATATTAAAATTTAAGTTCGGTTCTCGATTAACGAACTTCATGTCATCCATTTTTGAGATAATAGATATATCAAATTCGATCTGATTTTTTTAGCGTTTGATTTGATTGCCTATCATTTTTAGACCAATGACAGATTCCCCTTATAATGACATAATAACTACCCGTCGTATTCTTCAAATCAATGAATGGATAAATTTATATCATTAATTTATCCGTATTGATTAAAATGTTAAAATATTATACAACGGCTTTAAATGATTGAAATATGTAGTCACAAAAACTATTCAATCAATTTTAAAACCGTTCCCCACAAAATAATAAATAAATTGAAATTTTATTTAAATCAATAATCTTCTACAATTCTTCATTTTAAAGACAACAATTAAAGAACAATTAGAAATGGCCGAACCACCTTCATTAACAGATATTAGATCACCAATAAATCTAGACAACTTGAAGACTTATTTATCAAAAGTTAATAAATCATCTTCAAAATCTTATATTGGTTTCAATGCAACTATTCCAAGATCATTCACCAAAGTAAAACAATTTACATTTGGACAATCCAATCCAACTTATTATTTAGAGGATTCTCAAGGTTCAAGATTTGTATTGAGAAGAAAACCAAGTGAAAATGCAAAATTAATTTCTAAAACTGCTCATGCTATTGAAAAAGAATTTTTTATTATAAATGGTATAAATCAATTAAATAATGATATAGGGGAGGAAGATTTTAAAGTACCTGTTCCAAATGTTCATTTATTATGTGAAGATGAATCTGTGATTGGTTATGTGTTTTATTTAATGGATTATGTGGAAGGTTTACAAGTTAAAAATCCATCAATGCCTGGTTTTTCAAACAGCGAAAAAGACATTTACTACAAATCAATAATAAATACAATAGTGGCAATTCACAAATTAGATGTTGAAAAATTATTAGAAATTTTACCAGCTGAACATTTCCCACAATTTCAGAATATACAGAAATTAAAATCTACAAGTTATTTTAAAAGACAAATTAAAACATTAACAAATATTCATAATTTACAATCGAAACATGTTGATCCAATCCCAAATTTTGATAAATTAATCAATTGGTTCATAGAAAATGCACCACAAGATCCAGCGAAATTAACTTTGATACATGGTGATTTCAAAATTGATAATGTTTTATTTGATCCCAAAACTAAAAAAGTTTGTGGTGTTTTAGATTGGGAACTTTGTACTATAGGAAATCCACTTTTTGACTTATCTAATTTTTTCCAACCATTTCAATTGCCTAAACAGATGAATAAAATAATATATCAAGATCCCAAAAATGAAATGGGCATAGAAAATATTAAATCACAAGAATTCTTGTTATCACAATTACAAAACTACAACAAATTAATAAAATGGAACCCGCATGATCTTTCAAATAATCCAATAAAATTATGGAAAGTTGGTCATACTTTTGGTCTTGTGAGATTAAGTATTATTACTCAAGGTATAGCAATGAGAGTTAAATTAGGTAATGCATCAAGTTCGAGTGCAAAAAATTATGCTCAAATGTATCCATTTTTAAGTGAATTAGCTGTTGATTATGCTTTTAATGATCATGATATTGAAAATAAATCAAAAATTTGAAACATCGAAACTGTTTAGATAATAAAAAAGTAAACACATAGAAGAAAATAAAACTAGTTCTTTGAATAGTATGGCTATCATAAACAGGAGAACTCAGAAAAAACCACCTTTAATTACGTGCATTACCTCTCGTATCTCGTTAAGAAATCATCATTGATTCTCATTGTGGTTATAATTTTCTTGTTATTCTTAAGTAATACTACCTATTCTTTTTTTCTTAATAATTATATAAAGTGTATTGATTATTATTTATTCAATTTCTACCACATTACTTATCATTTTTTGTATATTACATTTTAATTAACAACCTAATTTTAAATGTTGGGGAAGTTCTAAACTTGGAGATATTAAATCAATTGATAATATATGTCAACAATCAAAAGACCACATTTACCAATTAATATAGTAGAAAGAATAATAAGTTTTATTGATGATGAAGATGTATTAAGAGAATTATTAGAAAATCCATCTATACAATCAATAGTTGCAAATTTCAAAATTCCAATTTATATTATACAAGATGCAGATAATTCGTCAAGTTTAACTCAACATAGAGGATCTATAGATAATTTTATTGAAATTTGTCAATTATATAATTTTGTACCTGATTTAATTGAGTGTAATTTAAAGAATTTAAAAAAATTATATGATTTGCAAATTATTAATTTAAAAAATTCTTGTTTTGAAATTGAATTTGAATATGATGATTTAGTTGTTGATTTAGAAATAATTTTGAATAATCTTCGAGTTTCAAAATTTTTTAGAATTAGTAATGAATTTTCCAGCTATTATAAAATTGAAGTACATTTAAATAATTCAATTTTAGAAGATAATTTTAACAATGAGAATAATGACTATTTAAAGGATCATTACTTATTTTTGCTTACATTGTTGAATTCAAGAAGATCAAAGCAAACTAAAAAATTAAATTCAATTCCAAAAGTTTATATTACTTCAATTAATATTGCTGATTTTTTTGATTATGAAAATAAGAAATTTCCTACAACTGTAAAAGAATTGAAACTTGTTATTAGCAATGGAATGAATGATAACCTTGAGTTTGGATATTTGACTAATTTAAAAAAGTTGGTTCTTACTGAAGGCTGGTATAATCGTCATCAAGGCTGGATGCCATTTCCACCAAATCCTAGTTCACTTACTTCATTATCCCAAATAACTTTTCCAGAAACATTGGTTGAATTAGAGTTATTCAATGCTGACATTTCGGATTTTGATGATTTGGGTCAATTACAACATTTAAAAATATTAAAAATTATGGATTGTTTTAAAATTTTCACTATAAATGGTGCTTGTTTACCGGAAACTTTAAAAAGTTTAACAATAAATTCTGCATTTTATTTTAGTGGTAGGTCAGATGAGATAATGGAAAGATTTTGGAATGCTTTAGATGATGCACTTGAATTTGATACAAATAGAATAGAAGTTGATAACATTGGAGTTTTGAATTTATTTAAAAATGATATATTACCTCCAAATCTAACTCATTTAGAAATTCAAAATTTGCCAAATCATAACTTAACTATTGGTAATGAATTAAATCTGCTAAAAAATGTAATTATTGAAAATACTTGGAATATTGATTTGCCTCCAATCATTAAAAATGCTGGAAGTAAATTGGAGTCTATGTCATTGAAGGGTCAGAATGCAATTGATTTTAGAGAAGTAAAACTTCCATCAACTATTCAAAAATTCACAACAAGTATGGAGATACTTACATACGATGGTGAAGTACAATTTGGTGATTTGATAAATTTGAAAGAGTTGAACCTTTTAGGAAATGAGGAAGGTACCAAGTTTGAATTTCCACCTAATTTAATTTCATTGAGAATTCTTGACTCAGATGAAATAAAATATTTTGATACTAGGCTAACTGACAATTTAAATAATTTTAAGTTTTTGAAAGTTTTAGAATTAGATTATACCTATTCATCTGTACAAATTTTTGAAATTGAATTACCAACAAGTTTACTCGAATTAAAAATTCTTGATTATTGTGAAAATAAAATAAAGGTGAAAATTTCGAATCTTTCAGAATTAAATCAATTAGATCAGCTATATGTAATCAATGTTCATTTACAAAATAGTGCCAATGAGTTACCATCACTGATCAAAACTCTATACTTGGTTGCAACAAAAGGTAAACCAGTTTTTAAAGGTAATATAAAGCATTTAACAAAATTAAAAGACTTAGATTTATGTCACTATAGAATTAAGTCTTTTGATTTCAGTAAAATATCACCAACTATGAAGACAATAAGAATTCAAGATTGTACAATGAATGAAATTATGGGGGACTTCAAAAACCTAATTTATTTATCATCCTTACGTTTAAGTAAATCAAGAATAACCAATAACATTTTGAAAAAACTAGAATTCCCACCATCATTAAAATGGTTAGACTTGGATGAAAATCCAATTTTGGATCTAGCATTAGTTAACCTCAAAAGTTGCTCATTATTACGTCATTTGAGTCTTCGTAAATTAATTGCTAAAACAAGAAATCAGATTATTAATGATGATATATTAATGAAAGATATTAAAGAGTATTGTCCTAATATGTGGTTAGCTTCTTGTTCTTATGGTGTTAAAAGTCGTGATGTTTTTGTATTCTTTGGTGGATAGTGTTTGTTGATTTGAATATTTAAAGTTTTCTATATTATATTGATAAATATTTTGCATCCAAAATTTTAATGATTTCGCTTTGAATTCCAATCTAACGTAGTATAGACAAGAGTCAAGTCACAAGTCATCGAACTATTCACAGAAGGACCTAAGAATATACTTAATGGGAACCATTACTGATTCAATGGATTGCGATACAACAAATATTATAGTTCAGTAACTAATTTTGTCTACACTACGTTTTTGTGCTCTATTTTGGTTTCAAATATGTAAGGGCACAAATTAATATTATACATAATAATTATTTTACGTGTAATTTAATTTCATCTTTTATTTTACAACCAAAATTTAAATGTTGGAATTATCCACCACGTTGATGATATTGTTACTTGAATGATAAAGTGATATATGTTCAAGACAAAGAGACCATATTTACCAATCAATATAGTTGAGAAGATAATAAGTTTCGTAGATGATGATGATATACTTGGAGAATTGTTAAAGAATCCATCCATACAAACTTTAGTTGCAAAGTTCAAAATTCCAAAATTTACAATAGAAAATGAATACAATGCATCAGCGTTAACGCAACATGAAGGAAACGTAGATAATTTTATTGGAATGTGTTATCTTTATAATTTTGTACCTGATTTAATTGAATGTACTTTAAAAAATTTTAAGACTATATATGAAGCCAAATTCATTAATTCGTCAGAAAATATTAATTTAAAGAATTCATCATTTGAAATTGAATTTGAAGAAAATGATTCACTTGTTGATTTAAAATTTATTTTAAATAATTTTAGAGTTACGAAAATTATAAAAGTTGATCCTATCGATCTTTATAGGATGGAAATTGCGTTAAATAATTCAGTAGTGGAAGATCACTTTGATAATGGTAATAATGATTATATAGAAGATCATTATTCATTTTTAATTAATTCATTGAATTTAGAAAGAACAGATGAAGCCAAAATGTTAAGTCCAATCCCAAAAGTTTATATCACATCAATAGATATAGAGGATCACTTTGATTATGGATCCGAGACACTCCCCAAAGCCTTAAAGGAACTAAAACTTACTGTATCTCGTGGCATGGGTGAAGGTCGAGATATTAGTTACTTGACCAACTTGAATAAATTAGTTGTCACTGATGGTTTTTATGATCGTGATGAATATTGGCCATCGGTTCTAGATAATCCTGCTTCATTTACTTTCTTAGATCAAATCAGATTTCCAGGCACATTAGTTGAGCTAGAACTATACAATACTGGTATCTCAAATTTTGATGATTTAATAAAATTTGAACAATTAAAATCATTAAAACTTATGGATTGTTTCGAATTATTTACCATTAATAGTCATTGTTTGCCAAAGACTTTAGAGTCATTAATTATTGACTCATCATTCTATTTCAAAACTCCTGAGATTCATGTAATGGAAGAATTTTACTCAAATGCAGAAGGAATGTTAGAACTTGAACCAGGCAATATAGAATTTATTGATGAAGATGAAGGAGGGTGTGTGAATTTATTTAGAAATAATATTTTACCATCAAATATAATTAACTTAGAAATTTTATACTTACCAAACCACGTATTAAGTATCGGAAATGATTTACCATATTTAAAATCCATTAAGATTAATAATATTCGAGAATTTGATTTTGATTCACTTATTGAACATACCGGTGATCAATTGGAAACTATTTCCGTACTAGGTGGTAAGGAAATGGATTTTGATGATTTTAAGTTTCCAACAAGCTTAAAACAGTTAACAGTGGATTATTCAATATTTAATATAGGGGTAGATCAATTGGAAAATTTGCAAAATTTAAAACTACTCAAATTATCCGGGTTTGATGATTCATCTGACTTATTTAAACTACCACCAAATTTAAAGTATTTAAAATTACATAATTCTCAGGATTCTAAATTTTTTGATTCAAGATTTCATCATTTCAATAATTCAATTGATTTCAATTTTTTAAAAGAGTTAGAAATAGATTATACTTATTCTAGTATCAACTTTTTTGAAATTACTTTACCTAAATGTATTCAAAATATCAAACTTTATGAAACTGGTGATAGTAAAGTTAAAGTAAATATTTCAAATTTATTTGAATTGAGTCAATTAACTACATTAAACGTCACTAATATACATTTACAAAATAGTTTAAATGATATTCAATCACTGGTTAAAGATTTACATTTATGTGCTACAAAAGGAAGACCATTATTAAGAGGTGATTTTAATCATCTAAAAAATCTAAAAAGTTTAAAAGTATCTCAATATAGATTCAATAACTTAGATTTAAATCAAATATCCAGAAGTGTTAATGCAATAGAATTTGACAAATTAACAATCAAAAAGGTAATTGGGGATTTTGAACATATGACTTACCTCAAGTATTTAAATATTAAAAACTCAAAATTTACAAGTAATATTTTAAAAGAAATTGAATTTCCAAGTTCACTAACAAATTTATCATTAGATTTAAATCCAATTCATGATTTGTCTTCAATTAATATTGAAAATTGTTATTATTTAGAATATTTTTCTTTAAAAAATATAATTACTAAAAATCGTAATGAAATTATAAATGATGGCATATTGATCAATGATTTATCGGAATTTTGCCCTAATTTGATTCACGCTACTTGCACCTATGGTTTAAAAGGTAATCGGCTTCTTAATATCACAATTCATCGTGGTTGAAAGGGTGGATTAAATAATGTATAATTTATAGTTTTTGTATATAAAGAATAAAGAACTATAAATTATCATAATTATGTATTTATGTATTACCATCACTGATCAAAATCTCATACTGGGCTGCAACAAAAGGTAAACTAGTTCTAAAGGTGATATATGTCATTCAACAAAACGGAAAGAATTAAATATATGTCACTATGGGGTCGAATCATTTGGTTTCAATAAAGTCTCACCGACTACAAATAAAATAAGAACTTAGGATTGTACATTAAATGAAATCATGGGAGACTTTAAAAGTCTAAATTATTTATCATCCTTACGTTTTTGTAATTCAACAATAACCGACAAAATTTCAAATAAATTAGATTTCCCATCGTCATTAAAATGGTGAGAGTTGGATTGGAATCCATTTTTGACCTTAGTATTAATTCTAAATTATCAATATATATAATTTGTTGTTTTGTAAATACCATAATCAAAAATTTAGGTCGATATAGCCTACTCTTTTGGTAGCTCTACTTCGCTAAATATAACGCGTTATAATAATTATAAAGTTGTAGTACAAAATTAAAATTTTACACGTAAAGGGAATCAAAAAAAAAATACTGTCAATAAATTTTTCAATCAACCTTCAATCAATTATCATAAACTCACTTCATAACCTCAATTCAACCAAAAATGAAGTTATTAATTACATTATTCATATTTTTCACATCCATATTATCCCATAATGTTTTATTACAACCATATGGAAAACAATGTTTTTTCGAAACTTTAAAAAAAAATGATGAATTAGCAATATCATTTCAAGTTGGTTCAAGAGATCCTCATAATTCAGAACAATATGATATAGAATTTTATATAACTTCACCACAAGGTTCAACATTATTAAAAAAATCAAAAATTGATCATGGTGATGAAAAAATAACTGCTATAAGTAATGGAAAATATCAATATTGTTTTTCAAATGAATTAAGTTCAAGAGTTGATTTAGATGTTAGTTTTAATATTCATGGTGTTGTATATGTTGATGTAAATGATCCAAAATCAAATACTTTAGATTATGCTATTCAAAGATTAAGTCAATTAACTGATGAAGTTAAAGCTGAACAAGGTTATTTAGTTATAAGAGAAAGAACTCATAGAAATACTGCTGAATCAACAAATTCAAGAGTTAAATGGTGGTCTGTTTTTCAAATCTTGGTTGTTGCTGTTAATTCTATTTTTCAAATCTACTATTTAAAAAGATTTTTTGAAGTTAAATCTGTTGTATAAATTGAATAAAAATTGAAAACTAAAAATATTAAATATTTCGTTATTAAAAAATCTATTTACTGAACTTTTTTTAAAATTTAATTCTATTTACTAAAATGCATTGAAAACTTACTCTAATAAATTTCTAGTAGTTTTTCTTGCTTGTTGTATTAAATATTGATCAACTAAAACCAAAGCAGCCATTGTTTCAACAATTGGAACAGCTCTTGGAGTAACACTTGGATCATGTCTACCTCTTGCAGCTAAAACACCATTTTTACCATCATAAGTAACTGTTTCTTGTTCTTGACTTATTGTAGCAGCAGATTTAAAAGCAACTGAAAAATAAATATTTTCACCATTTGATATACCACCTTGAATACCTCCTGAATTATTAGTTTTAGTTTTTAATCTTTTATTTTCTTCATCATAAATAAATAAATCATTATGTTTTGATCCAGGAATAGTTGTACCTATAAATCCAGAACCAAATTCAAATCCTTTTGTTGCTGGTAAACTCATCATTGCATGAGCTAATTTTGCTTCTAATTTATCAAAACATGGTTCACCTAATCCAATAGGACAATTTCTAATAACACAAGTTACAACTCCTCCAATTGAATCTTTTGAATCTCTATATTTTTCAATTAATTTAACCATTTCTTCTCGTATTGATGCATCTGGACATCTTATTGGACCAACTGAATCTACTTCTTCTCTTGTTATTGTATTTAATATATTTTGAAATTGAAAATCTTGTGGATTACGATTCATTGAAATTTCTCCAATTGAAGAAACAAATGCAACAATTTCAACATTATTTATTTTTGATAAAATTTTTTCAGCAATTGCACCAGCAGCAACTCTTCCTATAGTTTCCCTTGCTGAAGATCTACCACCTCCTGAACCTGATTTTAATCCATATTTTTGTATATAAGTATAATCAGCATGACTTGGTCTTGGATATAAATCAGTTTCAGAATAATCACCAGGTCTATGATCTTTATTTTTTACCATCATTCCAATCGGACTTCCTAAAGTTATACCGTTTTCAGTCCCACTTTGAATTTCAACTGCATCTAATTCATTTCTTGGTGTTGATAATTTACTTTGACCTGGTCTTCTTCTTGTTAATTGTGGTTGAATATCTTCTTCAGTTAGTTTTAATCCTGGTGGACATCCATCAACTATACATCCTACTGATTTACAATGTGATTCTCCATATGTTGTGACTTTGAATAATGTACCGAACGATGACATTTGTAATTGTGCGAGTCTTCTTGTTTAAATTAAATGATCTATTTGACTTGGTTGTAAATTTTTCAGTTTTTTTTTTTAGTGTGTTTCAAAAATTAAAAAAAGAAATACGACTCATAAAATGAGTCAAGATAAAAAAATGGTTCAATTATTAAAATAAGGGTCATTGAAGTAATTCGATGAAGTTCACAACTCTATATTGTACTTTGATCTGACTGTGATATATATCTAGTAATGTCAACTTATTAGAATATTTATTTCCTTGAAGTATTTTGGCATAAACCCTTTTTTTTTTTCATCCCAGCAGCTCAAACCCTCTCAGGTACATATAATCCATATAAACTGTGCAATCCTAGTTTTCAATTTTTTTAAATATTTCTTTAAAATCTTATAAGTAGGCTCAAGTTAAAGAGCATTTAAAAGTGAATGTAATTAGTATTTGGTATCACTTTATTGGATCGAAAGTGAAGGATATGTGTAATTTTTAAAATAATTTTTATATAGATGTAGAAACTATTATATTTTCAAATAGGAACAACAGAAAAGTTAGATCTTGAATGAAAAAAAAAAAAGAAAAGTTGATTAGTGAAATTTATAAATTATTTACAAAAGGATTTATAATATAATTCTGAATAATAAATAATTAAATAATTTGATATTTTTAGTATTAGTTTTGCAACCAAAATAATTACAATTGAAATAAAAAAAAACAATAGTAAATATTACTAACTACAATAATTTATTCTATTATGATAAAAGGTTAACAAATAAAGAGATCTTTCATTAAAAGTCAAAATAGTTTTACTCCATTTCTAATTTAAATGTGATCAATTCTTTATTTCAAATATTACAGAGAGTAGTTAAGCGTATCTTTAAAATTTCCTTGAGATTACAGTAATAGATTTGTAGAAACAACTACAAGTCAAGAATTTAAAAATCTGGGGTTAATCAAATATTAAAAATTAAAGTAAAATTATGCGAGCCGTAATAAACCGTATTACTTTTTTGATGAAATTTGTGCAACTGTAATGTTGTGTGTATTCAAGTATATTAAATTCTTCCGATTAAAAAAATTGTTATTTTTGAGGGAAGGTTATTAACTCTATAATCTTTTTTATAACAATTAAACTCCCAAAGAAGTCTTTTGAGTTCTTTAGTTTTTAAATCTCAACCGTTAGATTTATATAATATTAAATGTTTTATTATAACTAGATAAAAATAATTTTATTATATAATGAATTTTGGAATATGAGCCATTTTATAACCGATCTATTTTTAATTTTTCAAATTACTGCTACCATATTAATATTATCTCGTATTTATTTCTACCCCTCAATTTTATTATCTTGTGCAAATCTTTGTAATATAATGGATGAATGGAAGTGTCAAATTTACACTACCTTTCTTTTTTTTTATTTACACCACAAAAATTAACAAGATTTAATTTCTATTTATATAAGAATTACTGGGGGAATTTTTATGATAACAAAAATTTAGGGAATTTAATTCATTTTTATCAAAAAGGGTTTATTATTTACAACCAATTTACAACCAATTTATAACTACTAATCCCCGACAATAATGGCTGAATTATTTACAAATTTAACTGAATTACCACCTGATCCATTATTTGGTTTAAAAGCAAGATTTTCACAAGATTCTCGTTCAGATAAAGTTGATTTAGGTATTGGAGCTTATAGAGATAATAATGGTAAACCTTGGATATTACCAGCTGTTAAACAAGCTGAAAAAAAATTAATTGAAGATCCAAATTATAATCATGAATATTTATCAATAAGTGGATATGAACCATTTTTTAAATCAGCAGCAAAAGTTTTATTAGGTGATGATTCCATAGCTATAAAAGAAGATAGAATTATAAGTCAACAAACTTTATCAGGAACTGGTGCATTACATTTAGCTGGTGTGTTTTTAAAAAAATTTTATCAAAAATCAAAAGATATATATATTTCACAACCAACATGGGCAAATCATAAACAAGTTTTTGAAACTTTAGGTTTAAATGTTAAAAGTTATCCATATTGGGATAATTCAACAAAATCATTAGATTTAAAAGGATTTTTAAATACTATAAATACAGCAGAAGATGGATCAATTTTTCTTTTACATGCATGTGCACATAATCCAACAGGTTTAGATCCAACTGAAAATCAATGGGATGAAATTTTAAAAGCTTTAGAGGCTAAAAAACATATAATATTATTTGATTCTGCATATCAAGGTTTTGCAAGTGGTGATTTAGAAAAAGATGCTTATCCTATTAGAAAAGCTATAAATGAAAAAATTATAACTTCACCAATTATAATTTGTCAATCATTTGCTAAAAATGTTGGTATGTATGGTGAAAGAGTTGGAGCAATTCATGTTATATTACCTACTCATGATAAAAATTTAAATAACGCAATAAAATCACAATTAAATTTAATTATAAGATGTGAAATTTCAAATCCTCCAGCTTATGGTTCTAAAATAGTTAGTGCAATATTAAATGATCCTTCATTATATTCACAATGGAGAAAAGATTTAATTACAATGTCAAGTAGAATTAAAAAAATGAGAAAAGAATTAAGAAATAAATTAGAAGAATTAGGTACACCTGGAAAATGGAATCATATAACTGATCAAACTGGTATGTTTTCATTTACTGGTTTAACACCAGAACAAGTTTCAAGATTAGAAAAAGAACATGGTGTTTATTTGGTTAGTAGTGGAAGAGCTTCAGTTGCTGGATTAAATGAACATAATATTGATAAAGTAGCTCATGCAATTGATGAAGTTGTTAGAAATGTTAAATCAAAACTTTAAATTTTATAAATTATAAGTTAATATTTTAATAAGATCGGTTTTTTAATGCATAAGAATTAATAAAATATAATATTTATTTCGTAGAGTTCACTTTTCAATTGACAAATACAATAAGAACATCATTACAACATCATTACTTTTTCTATTTTACAGTATTTTAAAATTTTTATATATTAAAAATGTTTGAACTTTATATATGATACAAAACTTTTAAACCAAAAAAGTATGACTTAACCAATTAAACCTCTCTTTTTCTTTTCACTTCCCATCATCAAATTCACCTTTTCCACCTCACCAAAAAGCTCTTCCCTTATTTTCTTCTAAATGAACAACCTTCAGTTAATTTAGCTTTACCACCAGTTGGAGTACATAATACAGTAGAACAAGAATCACAAGTGACTGAAGTTTGAGCATGTGAAAATACAGTAGTAATATTTAAACATCCTTGACATTTAACATCCATAAAAAATGATCTTGGTTGTTGTACAAGAGTTTTTAATTTATATTTTTGTAATTCTGTTTTTGGAGTTGGATGTAATAAATCTTGGACTAATACCTATAAAAGTGTGGATGTTAGTATATATTTTGTATATTTCGAGAATGTTTTGTTTTTGGATATCATTACTGAGGAATTAATGGGGTATGGGTTTTCGTCGAAAGAAGTCTGTTTGGATAGTTCTTTGTAGATTGTTATTTTCTGAAGTTTGTCGAGGTAGAAAAATTCTAAATAATTTATTCAATTCTTATCAAAACTAGTTCCAATTTGTTACTCTAGTTTATGGTCTTCTTTTTAATTTTTCATCCTTTCAATCCTCTCCACTTTGGGATATAATATTGTTATTCATAAATTTTCTAATCCATATTTTGATAAATAATCTAAATTAAATACTCTTGATTTGAATATGACAGTACTGCTAAATTGATCTCTATACATTCAAAACATGACTTCTCGAACATTATATTATCCTTAATGCTATTTCTTTATTACTCCTAATCTTGAGATAATAATATGTTGAAAAATTTGTGCAGAACTTTCCCTACTGAACTTTCCCTACTGAACTTTCCCTATTCAACTTCCAATATACTCTATTTCCAATCCTCTAATTTCCTTGAACAAAATGATATCCATTCCCTAACTGAGACATACCATTTTGACTCTATGTAATGTATGTGCTTTTATTAATTAATATCTGAAAAATTTTTGAAAAAAAAATATATAAATATAATTAATAATATATTGTAATATTTAGTGCGCACTATGTATGTATATGAGGTTAAATTTATTATAGTAGTTATATGCTAAAATTGCAAACTACCAAATGTCAAGGGCTAGAGCCCTAGCTGATTTTGCAACCAAAATTTCCAAATCGTTTTTTGCAACCAATTTTAAATTGGTATGTATCATCACGTCAAATACTCTAGATAAATTGACTAAAGTGACCGGATATTAAGAGAGTAAACTACAGAAATTCAATTAAAATTATAAAATAAAAACGTATATTAAGATATGTATTCGCTAAAAACAATAAGGAAACTCACACAATATGAACTAAATAATAAAAACAAGGTAATAAATTAGTTTCCAAATAAATAATGATCATGTTAAAAATACGCTAACTCTAGTTACTTAAGCACTTGATACTGACTCGAAATTGAGTTAAAATTTAATAAATTAGTAATTAAAAATATAAAAAAGCTATAAAAAATTTGAACAACATCGCTCTCAACCGTCTCTTAATAACTAGTCTCAACTAGTCTCCTAATTTCACCAAATTGAAAACAAATTTACAAAACTATTATAAACATTATTAAACTATTGAAAATTATGTAAATTATAAAAAAAAATTGCCCAACAGCATAACCAATCTTTACAACAAACAATCAATATCTTATCTCTTCAATTTACTATTATCGTAATATATATATATATGGTATTAAAAATTTAAATCATTTTACCGAACAAGTTTTACTAATATACAGCAGTTTTACTAATATACAAAAAAGTTGTAAAAAAACTATATATAAAAAGATGGATTAAAATCTATAAGTTTTAACTTTTAGTAAATTGTTTCTTTATTTAAAATACCAACTTATTTATTTTTTGATAAAAAATTTTAGATAATAATACAAATTATTTTGAAGTGAAATTTGTTATTCGTTGGTGATGAATAATATTGAGTTGGTTTAGTGTGTTTAGTAGGTTTAGGTGTATATGATTGTAGTTTGTTGTAAGTTATGCAGATAGTTGAGTTGTTGGATTGATGATTTTAATTAAAAGGAATGTAGTAGTGTTGATTATGTATTACTTGTATTAATTGTAATTGGTTGTTAATATGTTGATTTAATTGATGGTAGATCGTATTTGTAGTATTAATAATAATAATGATTTAATAATGATTTAAAAATTGGTTGCAAAAAAAAAAAATTATAAAAAAAGCAATTGCCTTAAATTATGAGGATAAACAATAGATCCATTATTTCACTAGATTTTTTACTTTGTTGCTTTTTTAGGTTTTCTTTGAGCTTGATTTGGTCTATTTGTTGAATTTACATTTGAATTTTGAAATCTTGGTTTTTTATCAGCTGGTTTTAAAATTTGAAATGAACATAATAAACTTTCATCAACAGACATCATTGCTCCTGCATTATCAAATTCTCCACAATAATTTGGTGCAGAAAATAATGTAACTAATTGTCTTTTACTAAAAAATTCATAACCATCTTCAACAACTTGATGAGCTCTACAAATTAAATCCATATCATGTTTTTGTAAAAAACGTGAAACAACATCTGGACCAAAAGTAAAAGAAACACCTCGATCATTTTCTGACCAACCAGTAATATCTTTATCAGGATCTGACCATAATAAATCACATAATAATCCAACATCAGGAATATCAGTTGGTCTCATAACTCTTCTTATTTGTTCCATTGAATTTAAATCTGGTGATAAACCACCATGCATTGTAAAAATTTTTTCATCTATAATTGCAGCTATTGGTAAACAATTAAAACAATCAGTAAAAGTTTTCCATAATTTTATATTATATCTTCTTTTACATTCATCATAAAATCCATAAATTCTATTTATTGATGCACATTCATGATTACCTCTTAATATAAAAAAATTTTCAGGATATTTTATCTTGTATGCTAATAATAAACAAATAGTTTCTAAAGATTGTTTACCTCTATCAACATAATCTCCTAAAAATAAATAATTTGCTTCAGGAGGAAAACCACCATATTCAAATAATCTTAATAAATCATAATATTGACCATGAATATCACCACATATTTTTATAGGAGCTTCTAATTCTAATAATATTGGTTGTTGAATAAAAATTTCTCTTGCTTTTGTACATAAATAACGAATTTCTTGTTCAGTTAATGAAACTTGTTTACCAGGTCTTGAACCTCTAACTTCTAATAATCTATCAACTATTGAATCAATATCAGCTTCTTGATGATCTGTTGACATTATGTATGTGAGTGATGTATTTATAAATTTATTATTTGATATTTGTTGTTTAATATTTAATATTTAAACAATGGCTATAGTAGTAATTGTGATTGGGGTTATGGTAGTGGTTATTGATAGGTGGTTGTATTGACTAAAATGTAATTGATATAATTTGGTTGTCAAAAAAAATAGGGGAGGATTAATATTAAATTATTAATTATTATTTTTTTTTGTTGGTTTTAATTAAAAAAAATCGTCTATTTGTTACGGGAACAATTTTTTTTTCTTGAAAGATTAATTTATATAATGATGTGATATATAATATTTAAATTATATATTAAGTAATTAGATATGATATGATGTTTAAACCCTCTTGGTAAATGTAAAAAGATGATATTACAAAGGGTAAAATAGAAGTAGTAATTTAAATAAAAAGGAAAGATGTGATTAATAATTAAAAAAATTGGACTTTAATAAAATTAAAAAAAAATAGAATAGAGAGAAATTTAAAAGAGATAAAAAAAATTTAGTTTGCTAATTTTAAATTTTTAAAAATGAGTCTTTTTTTTTTCTGTATTAATTGGTTAAAAATTATTATTATATTATTATGTAATATTCCCTTATTAAATTATATAATTATTATATAATACAGGTAATGTTAATTATGTAATTTATTATGTAATATTTTTAAATTTGTCTATATGATACGTGTTTAAATTAATTCATCTTTCTAATTAATGTTTCAAATTACTTCATTTATATTCAATTAAAGTAAAACTTGAGTTCAAGATATATTAAATCTAATTCAATTGAGCAATAGATACAACGGATCTAATCTTGACTGAATTATTGATCATCTTATTCATTTCTCTATCTTGATTTTTTTATTTTTGTTCATCTGATCAAAGTCACGTGTATCGTAAAATGATCATTAATTAATTAAATTAGTGATGGCAAAGATAAATGAATTACTATACAATTTTTACAATTTAATTGCCACTTCATTTACAATTTATTGATGAATTGAATAGACTTTCAGAGTTAAAGTTAAAGCTGGCAAAAAGTTTAAGAATTTGAACGACATCAATACAGAAACTATTATAACTTTATTTATGGGAAAAGCTTTGGTTGCAAAATTAAATTAGATTTTAACTTAATTAGGATATTATTTACATTTAATACACTACTTTTCTATTTATAGTATATTTTTCAATATAGTTTTTATTTTTGAAATCCATATTAATTTAAACGTTTTAATGATGAAGTATTAATCTTGTCAACAAATAAGATTTGAGCTTGACCAATAAATTAATTCATGCCATTCTTATCTAACTAATCTTCTGAATGGTCCTAACAGAATAACTCGTACGGTAATTATATTAATTGTTTCTTCACTAGGAATTTGCATTCGAAATATCAAGAAAACAAGAGCAGAATTCTTTGCCAAATTACTAAAAGCTGAAAAGGACCCTCCATCCAAAGTAATTCAGTCTTTTGAACACCTTATCGAATGAAGAGTTGAACAGACGTAGTTGATATCAAAATTTTGGTTGCAAAAAAATATTAAGTCACGTGATGACTTTTATCTTCTTTTCTTTTATCTACATAATCATTTACTTACTGATATGGAATTGGACTATTCTAACGTGGGGTTAAAATATTTCAATTTATATATGAGCAAACAACAAATTCAACCACCATTTCAAAATAAATACAAGTTAAGATTAGTATCACAATCAGATTCAAAATCATGTCTAATATGTTATAAACCAACAAATGTAGTATTAATAACAGAAAATAATGCTGATTTCTTTTTTATATGTAATCTGCATTTATTAGATGAATCATTTGCCAAACCAATAGAATCCAAAGAATATAATGATTTGAAAAATGAAGTGGATAATCTAGAGAAGCAATTGACTGAGGTAAATAAAAAAATTGAAGAAACTAAACCTTACTTGTGGGGTATTAATTATTGGTCAAAAGATAAGAAAAAGAATGATAAAGATGATAAAGAAAAAGAAAATAAAGAAAATAAAGAAAGTAAGGAAGATAAAAGTAAAGCGAATAGTCATGAATCATATAAATCTAAAGCAACAGAAATTGAAAAGAACCTAAGTACGAAAAAGGAAGAATTGCAAAATCATAAATTTAAACACTACAACTTAAATTCTACAACTTATAAGAATAGATTAATGTTAAATCAAAAGAAGAAATATAATAAAGAAAGATCAGAAAAAATACAAACTGATGGGTTTTTCCCATCAGCTCCAACTCATAATATAAATTGAATAAAAATTATGCATTAAAAAATTAGAACAACATAAACAAAAGTTTCATTTTCATGGATTCATTACTTTTTCATCTAACCAATCTTCCCATTTATCAATGTTTCCCTTAAGTATAGAACCACCAAGAAAATCCATATTACCTTCTAATTTATCAAATGTAAAAACTTGAGAATTACCAATAATACTTAACCAAAATTCTCTTAAATTTTCTTTATTAGAATCATCAAATTCATCTTCTTCAATTGTATTATTATCAATACCTGATGTTTTATTAACATTATTAATTTCATTTTTAATTAATTTATTAATTTCTAATTCTAATATAGTTTTAATTTTTGGAGTTGGTAATGAATCAAATAAATCTAATTTATTTATAGCGAATAAATAATCAATACCATTTTGTTTTCTTTCAGTTATTGATATTAAATTATATAAAAATTTTGTAATTTTTTCTAATTCTTGATTATTTAACCATTTTTTAGAGCTTGAATCTAAAACTACTATTATTCCCTTTATATTATTTAATTTAATATCATTTAAAATAAGATTCTTAAATAAGTTCCAATATTTTAAATGACCTGGATAATCCACTATCTGAAATTTTTTACCAATAGTCGGTTTTGAAATAGGTAAATTTATCATATCAATATTTGGTTGAATTGAAGATACTGTAGTTTTAAAATCTCCAGTTAATAATTTATAATATAATGAAGTTTTCCCACTATTTGTAATTCCACATATTAAAAATGTTGGTTTATTTAAATTTTTGGATGATTTGGTTGATGTTGATGATGATAATATTGAAATTGGATTTTTGAAACCATTTGTTTGGATGTAGTATTGAATTAATAGAATTGTAAAACCAATCAGGACTGACATTAGTATTAGCAAAACTTTGTCCATTTTTGCTAGATACTATGTATGAATCAGTGGACTTTAGTTGAGATAATATTGTGATAATTCAATGATTGATATGTTGGTTGTAAAAGATCTAAATTTTTTCAGAGTGTAGCAAAAATATTGGACTGTCATTTTTTTAATTCGCAAAATTTATTTCTTACGACGTGCTTTGGTTCAAACAATACAAAATCAAAATCAAAATCAAAACAAAATTTATCTAAATAAATTAATTACTTAATCAATCAACTAAACATCATCAAAAATGGAGAATCCACATGAACAAACACATAACATGCTTCTTTCAAGAATAATATCAAATATAGTACGTAATGCAAAAAAAAAAAACTCTGCTATTCACAATCATCTTTACTAACATTACAGGAATGTTTAAATACTTCAATAAATGATTGTAATTCAATTTTAAAAGATATAAATTCTAATGCATTATCAACTGAAGTAGTTGCAAGGTTATGGGAATCTTATTTGAGGAATAGTACTTATAATTTAAGTGTTACTTCTAATTTAGGAAATGATGAAAATGTTCAAGAAGAAGATGAAGAAAGTAATGAAGAATAAGATAATGGAAGTTAAGACAAAAATTTGAATCATTTATTGTGGTGTTTGGAGTGAAATATTTTGAATTGGCAGCTGGCTGTAATAAGTTAATAGTATTGTTTCATGACTCAACTAAGAATTATCACTCATGCATAGTATATTTAAGGAAACAGGATTATTAATTACTCAAAAAATGTCATGTCTAACTTAATAGTACTGAATCATTTCGTACTAAAATTATATTATATGAATTATTTAAATATTGTAATTTCAAAACCATTGAAATTCTGCCGTTTTAAATTTTTATTTTTAACTGATGCAGTACACTTACAACGTCATTCCTTGACAGTTCTCAACAGCTATCATATCATTATATAGGTTTAGTACCTCTGATAGTCGAATTTTTGTTACGTAAACTAATATATAAACGTTAGTATTAGTATCATATATGAAGTATTTTAATTTGGAGCGAGTCTAGGGCGCTCTCGTGATACTCTCGCCTTGTTCATAAAATCTTTACCACAATACTTTAGAGTTTTGCTCGTGTCGTTACCAAAAATATCTAAATTTTTTAACCTTAGTTTCTGACAGAATTTGGGCATAAAATCACATATTTGCAATTTTCTAGCACATTTGAGTTGGTAAATGATATTTTGGTAATAACCAACATAATTGTGAGGCTTAAGGGTTGATGGTGGAATTTTACTAATAATTGAAACGGCAAAATTGAGCCTTCAGTCTCATTTTTTTTAAATATCAAATATTTGCGAAACCTACTCGGGGAGTGCTTTAAAACAATATTAGCCAAACATTTTGTGCTCTCTAGTCAAAATGTAATGAATACATGAAAGCTTAGCTTTATAACTCTGAAGGCCATTTTGTTGTGTTGAGAATTTTACAAACTACAATTTCTTACAGGGGTGTGAGTCGCAAAAAAATGAAAATTTAGTCCTTTTGCAGCAATTTTGCCAATTTTTAAAACATTATAATTTCATACTCCAAGTACCGTTTTTGACCTGATTTCATATTAGTTATATTATTCAAGAGTCATATGACATTTAGTGTAAAACTTTTGAGAATAATTGGATATTTAGTGTATGTTTCAAGCACTTGAAGACACTTAAAAATAAAATTTGAAAAAAGGTCTAGTTCTTAGTTTATTTGGTCTTCTTGATATCTAATTCATTGGTTTTATAAGCTGCTCATTTGTTTGTGTAGAGTTATGGGCACAATACTCCCGACATAATCTTAGAACTATTTATTTGCATATTATTCCAACTAAAACAGTAGGTCAAATACTTCATTCAGAAGTATTTTTCTTGAAGGAATTACGAGCTCTAGATTTGTTCAATTATGAGTATAATGCATTGTCTTGATGAAACTAATGAAATTAAATTGGGTCCGTAGTTGATTAGGCTCGAACTAGCTTCGCATCATTTTTCGCTCTATACCGCACAAACATTGTGGCGCGAAACCTGAAACATTCTTCAATTATCAGTTGTATTTAACATTGCAATGCCAAATAATTCGACACATCGCGGTAAACAAAGACTAGAGAGAATTAAGATGAGCTCGTGGAATCACTCCAATTTTTCCTTACTAAATTTTACTTTAGCATTAATTTAGAAAAACTGTTCCTCCTCATAGCATTAATTTAGAAAAACTGTTCCTCCTCAACCTCGAAAAAATTCTCATGATTCATTTCAAGCAGACTCCAGCTGTTGTTCAGAACAGCATCGTCACAATCTTTCAAACACTGAACATTCGCTCACAATGATTTTCTTTGCAGAAAAGACTAGCCAGCTGGTGAAATTGCTCTAGTTTCAACTTTGGGCTATTAGTATTCTTGGGTTCTCTCTATGCCTTTAGTTAACTTTGTTCTAAGTTAGTTATATTCAGAACTCTCATTACTCAACACCAGTGAGAGTTTGGTCTCTTACCTACTACTTCAATAGAGATTTCAAAATTAAAAATCTGAATGAATGAACTTGTTACATTTTATCTGAAAATTAAATATACCAAGAAATTCAAGTACAAACTGTCGTAATTCTTAGATGATAATCTCCTGTCTGTTTTTTTTCAACCCAATATTACTTTAGCCTAGCTAAATCTAACCAAAGACTATTGATAGAACCTCTTTTTCTTACCATGAAACGAATCGATATACAGGGAATGATTTACTTTTTAACTTGCATTAAAACTAAAATACCCCCAAAAACCTCTTAATATAAAGCTTGCTCAATAGAACGCGTCTCTTTGTAGCTTGCACTAAAAAAAATATTTGTTAATAAAAATAAAAATAAAAATAAACAAAAGTTTTACCAGTTTAAAATCTGAAATTCACTAATCATTAACAACCAAAATATAATCAAGTGGCTTTCAGATTAACCATATACCTATCGTTCGTTATACAATTACTTCAATTTTGCATTACCACTTCGTCGAGTTTGTCATAAATTAGCATTTAAAAATTGTCTTTCCGCATTTTATTCATTCATCATTTATTTACAAATAGTCTTTCTGCATCTTTATTCATTTATCAATTATTTACAATCAATTACGTATAGAATTTACAATCACCTAATTATTAATGGTACCGTCAAATGTATATAAATCCAAATCAATATTTTTCGACATATAAAGAAATCAAACGAACGTCGTCATCACATTCAACTTGTAAATTAGTAATATTTGTATCAGGTTTAGATGTTGATTCATTATGTGCAGCTAAATTATTTAGTTTATTATTAAAAAAAGAATTGATACAGTTTCAAATAATTCCAGTCACTGGGTATAATAATTTAAAATATCATTATTTAAGGCTAGATGCTGATATAAGTAATATACTATTGATTGGATGTGGTGCTATGTTGGATGTTGAAAATTTCCTTGATATCAATCCAAATGAATTACTAGATACAGACTTTGATACTTCACCAACAAATGATGAAAATTTAAACATTATACAAAAACATAAATTCAAGAGAAAAATTTACATAATAGATGGTCATAGACCTTGGAATTTAGATAATTTATTTGGATCAGAAATTGTGGTGTGTTTTGATGATGGATTTGTTGATGGTAATTTAATTGAAGAGAAGAAAGCTTATGAGATATTGATACTACAAGAAGACCTGGAATCTGATTCAGATTCAAATTCAGATTCTGATTCTGATGGTGCTAATACCGATACAGAAGTTGATATTTCGGAAACTGAATATCAAGAAAATTCGCAAGATTCGTTAGAATCCGTAACCAGAAAGAGAAAACTAAAAGAACTTCATTCAAAACAACTAAAGAAAAAACAAAAATTAGTGAATGAATCAATATTACAAAATTACTACAATCAAGGATCAACAGTCACAAATTCAAATTCAACTACAGTTTATGCCATATTAACATCAATTGGTGAAACAAATTTAGAAAATCTATGGATCACAATAATAGGAACATCATCATTAGATAATCAATTCCCCGATGTTTATGATAAGTTACAACCACTACTCAAAGATGAAGTAATGAGATTAAACCCTCAACATCAATCAACCAAAAAAAAAGCTGATCATACAATGCTTAGAATTGAAAGAGATTATCAATTATTTTTACTACGACATTGGACTTTATATGATTCGTTTTTTTATTCAAGTCATGTAAATTCAAAATTAAATCTATGGACTGATGAAGGTAAAAAGAAATTACATAAATTATTTGCAAAAATGGGAGTTTCATTGGCTGTTGCACAACAAAAATGGCTTTATATGGATACAAAAGTTAAAAGACAATTACCAATAATTTTCAGGAGGTATTTACCAATATATGGACTAGAAGGTATTATAAGGGAGGGGTTTGTTAAGACTTATGGATATACTGGTTCATTATCAGCAATGGAATGTGTTGAAGCATTAAGTGCTTTGTTAGAACTTGATGAAAAATTTATACAAGAATCAAATAAATTAAATGAAGAAGATAAAAAAACTTCAAATAATGTTTTGAATAACAATACAAGTAATGAAGAAGAACTTATAAGAAAAAGAATGGAAAGAAAAGAAGATTCTTGGTTGAATAATTTTTGGTCATCATGGGATGCATTAAATTTAACAAAATCTTTAAACTCCACTACTGAAAATTCATCACCATTTACTAAATTAAAAGGGAGTGAATTATTATTTAAAGGTTTGGAATATGCAAAACAATTACAACAAATTACTTTTAGAACAGGAATGTCATTACTCGAGAGAAAAATGATAAAAAACTTGAAATTATATAGATTATGTGTTTTAAATGATGGATCAATTCCAGATTTAGAAATTTTTTTAAATCCATTAATGTTATCAAAATTAGGTTCATGGTTAATTGAAAATTTAGCAGAATTAGATTTTTTGAATGGTATAAACAATTTAAAACCTTTGATAGTTGCAAGTTTAGATTCTAAAAGTGATACTTATTTGGTGATTGGTTTACCACCTCGTTATCCAAGAAGTATGAATAATTCAGAGAAAGCAAAATTGATACAAGAACATAGAGCAAATGGAGATAATACTCTTACTATTGAATCTTTAAATACTAGATTAAATACTTTTAGTACTGCTTTCCAACAATTGAGTAATACTTCTGGTGCTAAGATTAGAGTTGATAATTTTGAAAGTTCAATCATTGAAATTAGAAAAGATGATTTAGCTCCATTTTTAGAGAAGTTGACTTTAAGTGGTCTTATATAAATTTTGGTTTGTATTGGATGTATAAAATTTTCATGATGTAATAAATGATCATATAAAGTAGACTTTGTTTATTTCTTTGTCTAGATGGTTCTATTATATTTTTAGTAATGATATCGTACAAATTATCTTAAATATTGAAAATTACAAAACCAAGCAATTTTATGATAAATTACCAACAAGTATACGATAGTAAGTCGTTAGAAAGTGAGCCAGTAACTCGTTTTCAAAACCTCTTATACTGTAGGAGTGGTTGTTCTGGTTTTTCCATATAATTATTCACGAACACCCAAAGACTAATTGAACTAAAACCATACCCCACATTTTAAAACTACAATATCCCTTGCTCTTAAAATCTTCTCCAGGTTTTATCAATTACAATCATAACCACCAGATTAGATCGAGAGAATATTAAGCCATCATTTTACTAAGACTTTAAAGTTTGTTCCTTAGTGTTTACTTGAAAAATTGGGGGACACTTACTTTAGTCAAGTTTAGTAGGAAAAAAAACAAATCATCCCACATTTAGAAGAAATAAAATAGATCTAAAATTGTAGTTTTGCTAGATTAGTTATATTGCATGTTAATCTAAATTTGTATTGTTCTCTTCGGAGGATACAATAGCGTGAATTTTTTGTTCTCGAGATTCTATTGTTAGTATTCTATTATATTAATTTGACTTTTCTATAATAAAAAAGCAAGATTTCAAATTAATTAAAGCTTTGTCGGAATAATTATTTTTACCATGTCAACGGTTTTTGTACCTAATTTGGTAATTATAATATGCCAACTTTAAAGTTAAAAAATATAGACTAGTAAACATACTTCGAAGAAGTTGAAGTCAAAAAAAGTCACAAGCTGGTACCCCAGGAAAATTGAAAGTTATTGAGGCTAAATTAAAGTATTTTGACTACTCCCTGAGCTCCTACTCCTCCAAGATTCCCCAAATTACCTCCACGTTTTGCCTCCAAAAGTTCGTAAATTTTAGAAAAATTGGGGGATTTTACAGAATTTAAGTAGTATGACCCAATTTTGTCACTCAATAAAATTATCTAACTCTTGGGGGATCCCGTGGAGTCATTTTGTTTCTAAAATACTCCTTGTGACTGGAGATATCAAAATAGCCATGGGTTGTAAATTTGCGGTGACAAAAAGTGCTGGAGTATAACAATAGATCAAGAGATTAAGCAATCGAAACTCTTAGTTATACAAAGTCGCAATAAATAGGTCCTAATTTGAACATTGTCAAATTTTCTTCGATTGAGCTTGAGGCTTAATGGTTTGTTAAAATATTGAAGATCTTCGGGATTCAAAAAATTAAGTTTGCGACACAAAATCTTTATATTTTTTAATCATTTAATAAAATAAAAAAATAAAAAAGTAAAAAATTAAAATTAAGAAAATTTTTGTGAACCAAAACCTTTTGGTTTAACACAAACTAAGAGAGGTATCAAAACGTATATTATAGTATTCTTCCCCACAATGTCTTAATAGCAAGATCAGAAGATTATAAATATACTTCAAATTCAGGTTCAAAAAAAGTTATATTAAAGAGTATTTTATTTGTTTATTCAATCATTACTTATAATACAAGGAAAGCAAGAGAGCATTCAAGTATTTGTTATCAATTCATTTTCACTTCATTTCATATTTAGATTATTAATTTTTATTTTCATTTCAAAATAGTAGGTTTTATCTGGGATAACAACCACTACATCATCAAGTCATATAATGAATACATCTCATAGTATATCGCCAGAGTCAATAGCATCTGATGAAAAATTAGAACCAAACACAAGTACACTTTCAAGTAGATCGTCCAAGTCCCAAAAAATGTCACCAACTAAAAAATCTTTTCTTAGCAACTTCAAGATAAAAAACATATTTGAAAAAACTGAAGACAGACCTACCCCACCTCAAGTTTATAATATTAGAATATATCTTACAGCAATAATGGCATCAGCAGCAGCAATTATTATTGGTTATGATAGTGGATTCATTGGAGGAGCAGTTAGTTTACCATCTTTTCAAAAAGAATTCGGTTTAGATACAGCACCAAATTCAGCTTATATAATCTCAAATGTTATTTCTGTGTTTCATGTTGGTTGTTTTTTTGGTGCACTTTTTTCGTACTTTGGTTCATATTATTTTGGTAGAAGAATTCCTTTAATTGCTGCTGCTCTTTTAATTACTTTAGGTTCTGGTGTAATGCTTGCTTCTAATAGTTCTGCTGGATTAGGTCCTATTTATGCAGGTAGAGTTTTAGCTGGGTTAGCTGTTGGTTGTTCGACAAATTTAACTGTTGTTTATATTTCTGAAATTTCACCACCTGCGATTAGAGGTCAATTGACAGCTAGTTACGAGATAGGATGGAGGGTCGGGGACCTAGTAGGTTTTTTCATAGCATTTGGAACTAAACAACATTTTTCAGATGATCTGAAGATGCAATGGTATATACCTTTTGCAATTCAATTGATTCCTTCAGGATTATTTTTAATTGGTAGTATTTTTATGAAAGAAAGTCCAAGGTGGTTAATGCAAGTTGGGAGATATGAAGAGGCAGTTAAAAACCTTACTTGGCTTAGACAGTTACCGGAGACTGATGAGTATATCATTTACGAAATTAATCAATGTAAGGAAAGTATTGAGGAACAAAAAGCAAAAGTTGGTTTGGGAATATTGGATCCATTTTACGAGGTATTTTTTCACAATCGAAAGGTATTATATCGTTTATTCATCACCGTTATGCTTTTCTTGTTTCAGAATTTTATGGGTATTCAAGCTATCAATTATTATTCGCCAAAAATTTTTCAAAGTTTGGGGGTTAAGGGTGTAAGTGCTTCATTGTTATCTTCAGGTTTATTTGGAGTTGTTAAATTCGTTATGACCTTTGTCTACATTCTTTTCATCGTTGACACAGTGGGAAGAAGACCAGCATTCATGGTATCATCAACAATTTGTTCCATATGTTTTTGGTATATTGGTGCTTTTTTGAAAATAGCTGATCCAACAAGACCAGGAATACAAAGTTCAGGACCTGGTTCAAAGGCAGCTATAGGTTTGATTTACATTTGGATTTCAGCCTTCATTAGTAGTTGGAGTGGAGGTCCTTTCGTACTCGGCACAGAGTTATTCGATCAGCATATCAGGTCCTTTACTCAATCGATAAATGCTGCTACATCATGGGTTGCTATTTTTGTTATGTCAAGATGGACACAAAATATGATAAAAACTATGCAATACGGAATTTACTTTTTCTTTGCCTCGGTTGCTTTAATATCTATACCATTCGTTTACTTTATGCTTCCTGAAACAATGGGTATAGCTTTGGAAGATATGGATAAATTGTTTGATACAAGAATTCCTGCTAGAAAAGCTCACAAAATTGTTTTAAGTAATGTCAAACGTGAACATGAGGAAATATTTCAGGAAAATCATGAAAATCATCTATTTAAGATGGATACAAACAAACCAGAAGTTGAGAATGTTGAGAATATTTTTGTCAATGACAGGATCAGTGATAAAGAAAGAGTTTGAAAATAAAAAAAATTGGAGTATAATGTGCAGGATATTTTAATGTTTTATTTTTTTTTAGTTGTTTTATAGTTAATAAATTTAATGAATTAGATATAATTTGTAAGCAATACATTGATTAGTCATTGCTCAGTCATATAAACAAACCTTCAAATAAATTTTGGAATATGCACTATTGGTAATTGTAGTTCTCACTTCTTTATTAGAGTTACGAAAATGTTTCATATATTGCAACAAAAAAAACAAACGCTACCTATCTTCAGCCTTACGCAACGTTTTTAGTATATAACAATCAAAGGAAAATATTAGTCATCAAAATAGTAAATCATATTATAAATAAACTTTTTAAACTCAATAAGGATTGATTTACGTGACAACTACTATAGCCTTAATACAAGTTAATTAGTAATCTAATATGTAAAATATCCTATAAATAGACCTCAATCTGATCAATTTTATAGATCAATTGAATGATTTTTTCTCAATATTAGATATATCTACTCAATTGAAACTATAAAATACAATTAAAAATGTCTGACTTGAAAAAAATAGATTCTGCAGCTGTTTCAGTAAAATCAACTACATCAACAATTAATACAATTAAATCAAAATCAAAAGATTTATTTAAAAAGATGACAACTTGTCAAAGAAAATATTCTGCTCATGATGAAAAAACTAAATCAATTACCAACTTAAGAGCTACTACTGAATACTTGGCTTTGAAATAAATTAATTACACACAACAATTACTTCAAAAATCAATCGAAATTTTTGCAATTTTATCATAAAATAGATTTGTATGAAGCTTTTTGAAGTTATTCAATTCTTTCATCATTTAAAAATGACAGGGGTAATAATATTTAGATAAGCGGGACTTAGTTAGTTTTGATACCAATATATATAAAACGGGCCAGATAATAATGTTTGAGAAAACTTGACCCTTACGGAGATAGTTGTGAGGACATAAGGAAATGGTCACAGTTTATTTTCTTTACAAAAAAGTCGAATCTTTTAGTTTGTCTTTTATCTCTTTATAAAAACAACTTCAGTTCTTGCTCCCAAATTTCCTGTTTTTGACTTTCTGATTTAATTAAATATATGCTAATTTAATGAAAAGTCCATTTGTTTCAGTTGAAGTATTAAATTTATAATTTGTTTCAAATTTGCGGAACGGAAAATCTTAAGCGGTAATGCAAATACAATTTTAGTGGTTTTTCTGGGGTAGTACTTCTTAATTTTTTATTATTACATAAGTCTAATTTAATACACTTACCAAATGACAAACGCTTCAATAAAAGATTAAATGCAATTGCCTAAAGCCTGCAATCTGACCCAGCTGATGGTTTTACTAGCATTCAACTGTTTATTCTTTATTGAATTATTATAACTACTATTAATATTCCCAATAGGTCGTGTAAATAAAAATTTCAATTTATGAACCCATTTCCATTAAGCCTACAATTTAGTTTTAGAGTTAAAAATTGACTAACTTTTTCACTTTCAACAACACGTTCTCAAATTAAGATGTCTCAACATTTCAATGATGAATCAGATAATGATCAAGATCAAGAATCATTTTTAGAATTTGAAAGATTAGAATCTACTTTACCACCAGCTTTAAAAAGATCAGCTTCATCATTATTAGAAGCAATTCATTCAAATAGTTGTACACCATCTCCTCAAAACAATGTTCAACATGATAGATCTATTGTTTCACCACAACCTCAACATCCTAGAGATGCAGCAAATCAACCACATCATTCTTCTTATCAAACTATCCCAGGTAGAACTCATAATGCAACTCCAAATTTAAAGAATTTGAATCATAGACAAATTCTTATAAATAAATTATCGAAATCTGAAAATGGTAGAGAAGCTTCACCTATCCCTTTACCAAAACCTAAATTTAATGAAAGTATATATAAACCAGCTATGAACTCGAAGAATTCATCAACTGGTGTATTATGGGCAACTGAAAGAGCAATTGAATATGGATATGATTCAGAACATGTTAGAGATTGGGCTAATTTAGGTCAAGGTGCTCCAGAACATGGTGATACAATTCCAGGATCATTTCCAAGACCTAAAACTATTAATGTACCAGAAAGTTCTAGAGAATATGCTCCAACTGCTGGTATAAAAGAATTAAGAGAAGCAGTTGCAAATCTTTATAATGAAACTTATAGACACCACAAGTCGAGTAAATATACATATAAAAATGTATGTATTGTACCAGGTGGAAGAGCAGGTTTGACAAGAATAGCTTCAATTATAAGTGATTGTTATTTATCATTTTTTTTACCTGATTATACTGCATATGCAGAAATGTTATCATTATTTAAAAACTTTTCACCAATCCCAGTTCCATTAAAAGAAGCAGATAATTATGAAATCCACCTCAAAATGATCAAAGAAGAATTAACAAGAGGTGTTAGTGCTTTATTAACTTCAAATCCAAGAAATCCCACAGGTCGTTGTATGAAACCTGAACAATTAAAACAATTACAAGATATGTGTCGTGAAAAATGTCTTTTAATTATGGATGAATTTTATTCTCATTACTATTATGAGGATGGATGTACTGGTTCTTCTATAAGTTCTGCAGAATTTGTTGAAGATGTTAATCGTGATCCAGTTTTAATTTTAAATGGGCTAACAAAAGCTTTTAGATTACCTGGTTGGAGAGTGTGTTGGGTTTTAGGACCAGAAGAATATATAAGTGCATTATCATCAGTTGGTTCCTTTTTAGATGGTGGATCAAATGCTCCTTTACAGTATGTTGCAATTGATTTTTTACAACCTTGGAAAGTTAGACAAGAAATGAGAGCTTTACAATTGCATTTTAAAATGAAAAGAGATTACATTATAGGTAGATTATCTAAAATGGGGTTTAAATTCACTGAAAAAACAATCCCCAACTCCACATTTTATCTTTGGTTAAACTTATCTCATCTACCAGGAAAATTGAGTAATTGTTTAGGTTTTTTCCATGAATGTTTACATGAAAAAGTTATTGTTGTACCTGGGTTTTTCTTCTTAATAAATCCTCAAAATTTAAGTCATTTAGAAGAAGTTATTTGGTATAATTATGTTAGAATAAGTTATGGTCCTGAAATGCATCATTTGGTAAATGGTATGGATGGAATAGAGAGAATTTTAAGTAGATTTAACTGTTTACCTTATGAGTTGAAATAGAGCTTTGGTTATATTTTATAACAAAATTTGGTAGCATTTGAAACGTATATATAAAATAATAAATTATTTTTTTCTTTCTCCACAAAATTTACCTATCATTATTTGTTACGACTAACTACATCTATTCAACTATGATATGAGTGAATATAAACTACTACCGAGTCATGAACAATATGATAATTACGGTAACACATCATTAATCATTAAATTGATTGACATGACTGGTTTATTAAACATTCCAAGGTTGATTTTATCAAAAAATTTTGAAATACGTCTAAATTTATCATCATTATTATTGATTATATCATCAATAGCTATTATAACTTTATTGGTGATTAGATATAAATATTTAACCGGGTATTCTAAAGATTTGGATAACAAAGGAAATCGATCAAATTTGTCAAACACCACAAATAAAACAGATAAAATTCTGAAACAAAATCCATCAAACTTATTTGTTGATAAAAAAAAGGATGAAAAGACGGGCAATTATCTTGACGAGTTTTTAATGGCTTTGAAAGTATTTGGGTATCTAGATAAATCTGTATTTCATGAACTTACAAAAAGTATGACAACTCAAAAATTATCAAGAGATGAAATTTTATGTTTGGATGAAAAAATTGGTTTTTCAATAGTTGTTGAAGGTACTGCTCAAGTTTATACCAAAATAGCTAAAAAGAGTAATTTATTAAAAGATGACTACAAAAATGATGGTGATTTTTTTGAAGTTGATGACTACCAGGAAAATGATGAATTTTTTAAACTTGGTGATCAAAGTTATATATTATTAAATGAAGTTAAAAGTGGTGCTCCATTAAGTTCATTGATATCTACTTTAGAATTGTTTAAACCTATGAAAAATGATTTGATCAGTACTCCAATTGAAGAAGATGGCCATATAGATGAATTGAATTTAAATTTTACTGATAAAGCAGGTGCAAAATTAAAAGAAAATTTAGAGGTGGTTCATGAAAAAGTTGAAGAAGATAGTTATCCAGAAATCATAGTAAGACCAAAAAGAAAGAAACATATGGACACTATAACTGTTGCTATAATACCTCATTCTGCATTTGAAAGGGTCCAAATTAAATATCCAAAAGCTACTTCACATATTGTTACAATGGTTCTAATTAGATTGTATAAAGTTACCATGAGTACAATTCATAATTATTTGGGTCTTACTGGAGAAATTTTCAAACTGGAAACTGAATTAAATAAATCTACAAATTTGAGATTACCTAGGTACTTGGTGGATGGACTTGTTGAAAGATTAAATCAAGGTAATGATAATGCAAAGAGAAGTGTCAAACATTATAGAGTGAGTCCACCATTAGTAAGAGCATCATCAAGATACGTACTATTGAATTCAAAAGTCAAAAGTAATAACCCTGGTGATTTATTATCCTCAGTACCTATATCAAGAGATGACCCGAATCAAAAATTACACAAAACATATTCATCATTATATATGGAAGATGGTAAAAGAATAAACTTTACAGATAATATAGAAGAAACAGAAGATAATTCATTGCGTATTGCAATTGTGGAAAATATTTTCAAATTTGTGGGCATTGATGATTGGAATTATTTTCAAGAAACTGCACATTTCCAAAGTTTGAGTTCTTCTGCCAATAGTTCAATTGTTGGGTTGAATAATATTGCAAATTTGACCAAAAGTCCAAAATTGAATGGCAATTATCACAATGTATTTAAATTTGATACAGATGAAAATCTAATGAATACAATAAATGTTTCACAATTAAAAAATAATTTTACACCACCAACTTCAAATCAATCACCATATTTGAAACCACACTTTAAAAGAAAAAACCCATTGACAGGGATGAATATTAAAGATGCATTCGCTAAAGTGTTGGATTTAAAATACATTGAACCAGATACCACTGTTGTTCAACAAAATTCAGTTAAATGTGGGCTATACTATGTCATTGATGGTTCATTAGAGGTACACTATAAACACCTGGAAATTTACTCACAACCAGCACTTTCAAAATACGTATATACTGTAACTGAAGGTGGTGTGGCTGGTTATCTTTCATGTGTTGTTGGATTTAGGTCATTAGTGTCTATCAAGACACCTAAAAAATCAGGAGCAGTTGTTGCTTACATTTCTAAAAATGATTATAATCAATTACTTGATAAATATTATTTTTTGCAATTACCAGTTGCTATAAAATTAAAAAAGCTTTTATCTAAGCAAATTTTAACTATTGATTATGCATTAGAATGGTGTCATATTCCTGCAGGTAATGTCTTGTGCTCACAAGGAGATCTAGCTAACGGATTTCATGTTGTGTTGAGTGGTAGGTTTAGAGTTGTTAGAACAAGTAAAAAGAAAAACTCAGATAAAGATGATGTGGAAGTTTTAGGAGAATACGGACATGGAGAATCAATTGGAGAAGTTGAAGTATTAACAGCATCAAGAAGATCAAACTCTCTAGTAGCTGTTAGAGATTCAGAAACTGCAAGGATTCCAAGAACTTTATTTGAAATGTTATCTTTTCAGAATCCATCAATTATGGTTAAAGTATCAAGATTAGTTGCTGCAAAAGTTCTATCTTCTGAAAAATCTATAAATCAATCATCTCATAATTTCATTACCTCAACAAGTAGCGAAAGTTTTATATCTGCTAATTATAAGACAATTACAATCTTACCAACGGTATCAGGTTTACCAGTTCGTGAATTTGCTGAGAAGTTAGTGCATGCTTTGAAAAATATTGGAAGAAATGTTATAGCATTAGATCAGGCATTAACTTTAACTCATCTAGGAAGACATGCTTTTGATGAAGGATTAGCAAGATTAAAATTATCAGGTTATTTTGCATACCTAGAGGAAGAATACGAAACAATTGTATATATTTGTGACACACCGGTACAATCAAATTGGACTTCAACCTGTATTGCTCAAGGTGATTGTATATTATTATTAGCTGATGCGGAAGATGAGGAAACTGCATTATCAATTGGTGATTATGAACAACTACTTATCAAGATGAAAACAACTGCAAGAACTGATCTTTGTCTCATACATCAGGAAAAATTTGTAGTTTCTGGATCAACAAGTCAATGGTTGAAAAATCGAGTTTGGGTACAAGGTCATCATCATATTCAAATGTATATTGAAAGAAATAATGATACAATGGGACCAAGCAAAAAATCTTTCATAAGTGATTTAGCGGCAAAACTTTCACAAAATAAAGCTATAATGTCGAAATTTGAAGATGCTACTAGTAGAGCGTTTAAATGGAGTTCAAAAGATCAACAAAAGAAGATAACTGTAAAATCTCATAGAAATGATTTTTTGAGATTAGCTAGAATTTTATCTAATGAAGCTGTTGGATTAGTTTTAGGTGGTGGTGGATCAAGAGGAATTGCTCATGTTGGTGTTGTTACTGCATTAGAAAGACATGGAATACCTATAGATTTAATTGGTGGTACTTCAATTGGATCATTTGTTGGTGGGCTTTATGCTAAAGATTATAATATAGTTTCAATTTATGGTAGAGCTAAGAAATTTTCCAAAAGGGTTGCTTCGCTTTGGAGAATGCTATTCGACTTGACATACCCCGTCACATCATATATTACAGGTTATGAATTTAATAGAGGTATATGGAAAGTTTTTGGTTTTGTTGAAATTGAAGATTTTTGGATAAAATATTTTTGTAATTCCACTAACATCACGAATTCAACAATGGATATACATGAATCAGGTTATGCGTGGAGATTTATTCGTGCATCAATGTCATTAGCTGGATTATTACCTCCTATTGCATTTAAAGGGTGTATGCTTTTAGATGGTGGATATTTAGATAATTTACCCGTGATGGAAATGAAAAGACGTGGCGCTAAACATATTATTGCAGTTGATGTTGGGTCAGCTGATGATAGAACTCCAATGAATTATGGGGACACTTTAAGTGGATTTTGGGTATTATTTAATAGATGGAATCCATTTTCAAAACATCCAGATATTCCAAATATGATGGACATTCAAATGAGATTAGCTTACGTTGCTAGTGTTAATGCTTTGGAAGAAGCTAAGCGTGCTCCCGGGGTATATTATTTACGTCCGCCTATTGATAATTATGCTACTTTAGATTTCGGTAGATTTGATGAAATTTATCAAGTTGGATTGGGTTATGCTGATAAAGTTTTCACTCAGTGGGAGAATGAAAATCAATTACCTAGAATTGCTGGGTTTGTAGAAAAAGATAAAATTAAGGAATTTGGAGAAAGAAAAGTTTATAGAAGAAATTCCATATAGATAAATATCTGCATTCATAATAAAAGTCATAAATAGAATTGAAAAAATAATCTCTACAAATCAACAAACTCCGAATAAATCATCAACGACATTATATTCTAGTTTTAGCTTATTAATTTCCAGCACTATAAAAAGAGGTCTGTGATTGATTGATTTTGTAGAATCTTTATGATTGATTGATGTGAGAGCTAATGCCATTGCCTGAAGTCGAGGGTCGCAAATAAGACGTCTATATAGAAAATCTATCTAGAAAATCTTATGTATTTAGATTTCCGGTCTATATACTATTTAAAGATTTATAGAATTTCATAACTTTAGGATGAGAGGTAACTTTATTCTCCATAAAATTTAATACTTGTAAACCATCTCTTGAAGTAGCTCTACTCAAGGCGACATAAGATTGACCATTTTCAAAAACACGTTTCAAATCAACTTTAACTCTTGATAATGTTTGACCTTGAGACTTATGAATAGATAATGACCATGCTAACATAAGGGGAAATTGAACTCTAGACACTAAAACTTTACCATCTTCATCTTCAACTGTCCATTGTTCTGGTTCAACTAAGACAGTTCTTGTGTTGACTCCATCTGGTGATAAAAATTTAACTAATGGGAATTTTCTATTTTTAAAATCTCCCATCAAATCATTATTAATTTCTTGTTTTCTTTCCGCCAGTTTGATTTCATCAGGTGATGAATTCTTTTGTGATATTGCTTGAGTGGTGGTTGTATTAATTTTAGAACCAAAATTTTCATCAGTTTTTTCACCTGGTATTTTATCAATTTTTTCATTAAATACAAAATCTTTCAACATTTCATCATCCATTACATTTTCTGCTTCTTCTGGTCCATAAGCTTTCATATAAGTATCTTTATCCATAAAATCAACAATTGTACCTAATGATCCGTTAACTAAAGTTTCATCAAAATTTTTGATACACATAACTTGAGCATTTACTTTTAAATAAAGATCCATTGGTGCTAAAAAGTTTGATAAACATGAACTTTTTTGAGGTTCTGGTAATGAACCTGAATCCATTGCTCGATAATGAGTAGCTTCTCCCTTAATTGCGTTTAAACGACGTTTATTTGCCAGTTCAACTTCAGTTCTTGTTGCGTATAATTCAGCAGGGACAATACCTTCAGGACAAATTAATGGTCTTGATAACCTACGGAATTCTCTAATAGTTCTTTCAGATAATCTACCATCTCTCATTTCATTCAACATATCAATAAAAGTTTGATCACCTTTTTGTCTAAATACTTCTTTTAGTATAATGGTTTGTTGTATAGTTTTTCTCCAAGCTTCACATTCAAAGGAAAAAATAACTTCAATATTTTCATTTAATTCACCTTCTGCATTATGTTTTTTAACAACTGGTGGTAATTGATAAAAATCACCACATGCAACTAATTGTATACCACCGAAAGGTTGTTTATTGTTTCTTAAAGTTTGAGCAATATGACTTAGTTTATCTAATAATTCCCCGTCAACCATTGATATTTCATCAATAACTAAAACTTTTGTTTCCAACCATCTTCTAAATGATTTCTTATTTCTTCTTATTTTTTTAATCAATTTATCAACTGCTATATTACCCAATCCTATACCTCCAAAACTATGTAATGTTGTTCCACCAATGTTACAGGCTGCCAAGCCAGTTGAAGCTGTAACTGCTACTCCAGTACCATGTTTTTCTCTTAATGCCTTGATAATTGATCGTAGAAGAACCGACTTACCTGTACCTGCAGAACCAGTATAAAATAATGAAACTCCTCTCAATACTTGTTGTAGCACTGCTTCTTGTTCTCTTGATAATATTATTGGTTGTACTATTTTTGTAGTTGTTTCACCTGTTGCAGGTTTTGATGATTCAATTGATGGTCTTTGAGTTGCCAATAATAAAGTATGATTCAGCGGTGGTTTAATCGTTCTTGTTGTTGTTGTGGCTGTTGTGGTGGTTGTTGATAATGTTCTAGTGGTTGTGGTGGTTGCGGGTATATTGAAAGTATTGACAAATTTTGATGGTTTAGTTGGTGAATTTCTATTAGATGTATGAAGAACGGAACTACCAGATGAAGGTCTATAAGATGGTGATAAAGGTGAAGACTGAATGGGAACTTTGTTCTTTCTTGAAGGAGCTATTATTTCTTCCGATGATTCATTGCGTGGAGAACTCATACCTATTCTTATTATATCTGATGATGAAATTCTTGAGTTTCTTGGTGGTGAATGATGACGTTTTATTACTGATGAAGATTTTTGAGATGATGATGGTCTTTTCTGTGGTGGCGTATTTGATTTTTCATATTTTATCACTGGTAATTCATCATCACTTCCAAAATCAAATGAATCTAATTTAACTTCTGGGTGTTGCGATACATGAGTAATTTCCAGTTCACTAGCGGACTTATCATCAAATAATTCTGGTGATGGTTCTTTCACTTGATTATTATACTTATTATTATTTGAATTTGATGCGTCAGAAAATTCAAAGGAATCTTGTAGATCTTCTATCAATATTGGACGCGTTTGACTGCCATAATTTTGTATATTTTGTTTTGTAATTATTCGATCTTTATTTTCATTGTTGTTTGATTTATCACTATCAAGTTTTGACTTAATGGAGTCACTAAATTCAAATGAATCTGTAAATAATTCATATTTAGGTAGTTCACTCGTTATTTTTGGAGTTTCTGTACCTGATGTATTTGTTTTACTGCTTGCTGGTTTCGCCGCTACTATAGGTAAATCGGTATCATCTAAACTTCCAAATTCATCAACTTCACTTTGTTCATCATCCCCAAATGAATCACTAAAATCAATCCCATCTAATACTGCGAATTTTTTATTGATCGCATTGTTTGAGACGAGTTTAACGCCTTCCATATGCGATAGTTTACTCGTGGAATGTAGTAGTCTATTGAAAATAAGTTGAGTTGAATATTTTTGGATATAATTTGTTAAAGGTTTTATTAAATTTCTTGATGTAAATTTTGTAAATTGTAAATAGTTTTTCATTAGCTTGTTGCTTCTTATTTCAACTTCTGTTTCTATACCCCATTAAATATTATATTTAATATTTAATTATGAGGATTTTATATTCCCTTTCTTTACTTTAATTGTATGTATTTGACTTTTGTTATTTGTTACTTGAAATGTGTATTGTGATAAAGTGATAATTAATTTAATTCTTATTTGGTTATCGCGTATTTTTAGCTAAAGTTATAAGGTCACATGATCAGTCACATGATTCATTACATGATTAGATACATATACAGAGATATCGAATTTTAAAATTATCATCAATTCATTCAATATTATAAAGATCCTACTTTGTTTAATTTTTACTTTTTGGCCCCTATAGCCCAGCCTAAACCAGATACAAATAAATTGGAAATCTTTTCACCAGCATTATTTGTAGTATTAGTAGCATCATTAATAATTTCTTTTGCCAATTTGTTCATTGGTTGTTGTAAATTAAATCCAACAGAGTTATTATTTTCATTTTGATTTAAAGACTTAATTTGTTCTAGTTTGTGTTTGAAATCTTGATTCTCTATCTGTTGATTGATAGTGGACCATTGATCTAATATAATCTTAATATTATCACCACAATTTAATTCAGATATTGTTAATGATAAAATTTCTCTTTGCTTGATCAAGATTTCTAAATGTTCAATTTCATCATCTGATTCAAACCAATCTGGTGATACAAACTTACCAACTTGATAAAATGTTAACCAAAAATTCTCAATGTTTTGTTTATTTGATTTGCTGAAGTGTTCAAATAATTCTATACTCTGATTATATGCGTATTGGAAATTATTATCTACCAAAGAACTTTCAATGCATGCCGTCTTTAGTTTATTAAAGTAGTAGTTAGTATCATTCTTTTCAATTTTATCATGATTGTTGAAATATAGTAATAAATCATTAAATATTCTAAATAATTTTTCAAATGCTAAATATGATTTGGGGTTTTGCTCTAAAATTATGTTAATTAATTTAATACAATTTTTTTCATCATCTATATTACCAGAATATTGTAATAATTGTTTTGGAGTAAATGATTTATTTTTTTCAACCACGATTTTGAAATTTTTTAATGAATGAATAGCTTTGAAAAGGTGTTTAAATCTAATAATTTCTTCACGAGTTTCATGATCCAAATCTTTTTCTAGTATCAATTTGTCAAATATATCAATACATAATTTTGCATTATGTAAATTGCCAATCTTGTCATTTATATTAGTTGATTGATCAATTGAATCCCAAAATTTTTCTAATGTGATTTCATAGATTTCTTTCGTGGATAACTTGATCTTCCTATCATCATATAATTCATTTACTGACTCAAATAAATTTGCCATATAAAGTCTCTCAAGTAATAATCCATCAACTAAGGAAGTTTTGGTGGTGGGTATGAACTCGGTTTTGAACAATTCTACCAGGTTGAGTAGTTGTTCCCAATTCGATGATGTGATATTCGAAGTTATTTTAGTTACTTCTCTTTGTAAATCAGTATCATCTAATGCAAATTTATAATGTAAAAACTTATTTAATGTTAATTTATTAATAGGATATAATCTCTGACAAGTTAGTAATGCATCATATAAGTAATGAACTTGTTTTGGGTGAAATAAAGGTGAAAGTGGATTTTTGTTAGATGCAAAATCATCAAAACTTTCAAAATTTGAAAAATCTTCAATTTGAATTTGTGGAGTTGGTGATGAGTTCTCTATACCAATTGCTTTAAGTGTGTCTAGTATAGTATCGTAAGTCTTAGTTAATTCCATAGATGATATATTTGTATCATCAACAAAAGCATAAAAATAACAAGAAGCTAAATAATCCAGAATCAAGGTTTGTAATTTTGATTTATCAATTCTCTCTAATAATAATTTGATACAAATATTCCAAATTCCATATTTTCTTAAAATTGAACCATGATGAGATTGATGAAACATCCAATTTTGTAAAGGTTCTATATCTTCATTATAATATATAATTATTGGTAGTATTGTGTTTCTCATCCACGAGTCTATAGTTTGTATGTGATTTCTGTTTATAGGGTTGATAAATGTATCGAATTTCTCTTGTAATGAGTTCAACAATAAGTATTTGTTAAACAATATTGCTTCATCTGGGTATACGTTTCCATAGTTTGACCAATAATATCCATAAGGTTTAACAATTCTTTCATACCACACTTGCAATGACGGTATTTGACTATTTTGAAACAATCCACTAATTTCATTAATGTCGTTGTGAAAATTACTTAAATGTAAAGTTTTTGATTGTATGAATTTTTGTATTATTTCATCTACTGACTTAGTTGAATCAATATTGAAACCCAATGATTGTGCATTAAATGTTGTTTCTTGTTGTAAATCTCTAGCTGTATTTAGCAATGAAGTTTCATTTGTAATTATGAATTCATCTGTATCATTGATCTCCGAGTTATCCACCGTACCCTCGTCGAGTAGTATCTCTAATATAATAGGTATTGATTCATATGGAATAATTCCAGGATATGTGAAGATTAATAATGCATTGATAAAATTATTGGTTGTACAATATTTTGAATCAATATTGATAAATGATTTGACCAGTTGTATAAATTCAATTACACTATTTACATCGTTATTAGCTGAAGTTAATAAATTAACAAATGATATATAAGTTGAAGCATCTCTTGACTCTTCTAGTGATTCATAATTCATATTATATATTATATAGTTGATCTTGAATTAAATTTGGTTGTATAATTTTGAATCAAATTGCAAACAACACAAAAATTCTATGAAGTTGGAAATTTCAAAACTTTACAACTACAACTTTACAACTTTTACAACATTATCTACCAATGGCAGCTACCCCAAGGCAATTAAAGCTAATAGACGAAGCAGTCAACAATCATCTTAAGTACTATGACACGGCATTTTCAGATTTACTAAAACATAGAGTAGAATGTTTATTATTAAATACAATATTATCAAAAGATTATAATCAAAATGTAGAAGAAGAAGAATCACAATCAAAAATTCCATCACTGACAAGATTAAGACTTCATAAATTTCAAGTAGAAAATTCAAAGTTAGAATTATCAATAACGAATCATATTGATCAATTTTTAACAATATTATCAATACAGAATAAAATGAAACCTGATATAATAACTGATATAACAAATCAACTTACAAATATATTAAATCAAAATGATCATTTAAAATCTAAGATAAATAGAATTAATACAATTGAAAAACCATTAATGGATAAAATTACGGGATTAATTGAAAGTTTTGAAACTAATGTAAATAAAATGAAAGTAAGATTAATGCATCCATCAATTATAAAAAATCTTGATAATCCATCAAGAACAGAAGAACAAAAAGCGAATGATTTATTACAAATAGACTATAGGTCATTTGTATTACAACTTGAAGACATAAAGCAAGAGTTTAAGAATTTCCCAAACTTTGATGATGAACTACTTAATAAAGAAATTGAAGAAAATTTAAACAATATTAAAATCTTTGATAAATTAGATGATGACCAAATAATTTATAAATTATCAAGATCAACTTTGCCTGATATATCAGAAGAATTAACAATAGATAATTATGAAGATTTAATTTTAAAAACAATAGATGATATTAAAATTTTAAATAATGAAAATGAAAAAACTAAAACAAGTTGGAATTCAAATGCTGAAATAATAATGAAATTTAAAAATATAATAGATGAATCAAAAGATGATGATAATGATATTAAAATGGAAGAATAATTTTAGGAAGTGTATATTTTCAATTTATATAACAGGACTTATTAATATTACTGAATCACCTCTCACAAATACCATATCAGTTTTTTTCGTTATTGGTTCATCATCAGTTGTTTCAGAAAATATAGTTTCTATAGCATCACTTAATACCATATTACAGTGACTATCATAACCTTGTAATTTACCTTTTAACTCTCGTGCTCCTCTTAATTTTACTATAATATATTCATCTAATTGATATCTGACTAAATCAAGTGGTTCTTGTTGTTGCTCATGTTCTGTTTGTACTGTAGACATTTTGTATTATATATATATATGTATGTTCTAGTGGATTGTGTAAAGTATTATATTAATTGATGATAGAATGAATGTTGAAATTGATAAAGCTTTGGTTCTTGTTGTATTGAATTTTGATAATTGTTAGACTGAAAAACAAAAAAAAAATTGAAATTTTTTTTAACAACCAAAATATTAAAAGAATCAAGAAGTTGAGTTTTAAAGACATTATGTCTACCAAAAATATAATAAGAACACTTCTGAATAGTTCCAAAATACTATCAAGACAAAAACCATTAAAATTTACCAATTTAAATTCAATAAAATTAAGAGCACCAATAACACCAACTGCAAATAATTTTGAAGTATCACCAGATCATCCATTATGGCAATTTTTCCCTCAAGGTAATAAATCAACATCACCAATAAGAGAATCAGAAGATTTGGATTTAGACTCAAGAGAATGGACAAGTGCAGAATTAAGATCTAAATCATTTGAAGATTTACATAAATTATGGTATCTTATATTAAAAGAAAGAAATATTTTAGCTAGAGAAGTTAAATTGGGAGAAAGTTTAGGAATGGCTGATTTTAGACAATTTAATTCAGTTGATAATAAATTAATCAAAACTCAGAAGAGGATAAAACAAGTTTTATTGGAAAGACATATTGCATTTGAAAGATCACAAGCATCTCCAAATGTAGAATTGGAAAAAAGTCAATATTTAGATGAATTTGAAAATAATTATATAAATTGTGAAGTTGATGAATTAAGTGAATGGGATTCAAAATTGTTGAGATTACAATACGCATTTTTTGGAATAGAACCTGAATTGGATATTGATACCTTAAGTGAAGATATTGATATAAACTTTATAAAAGGAATAGAGTATACAAGTAAATTAAAATTGGGTAGATATTTAAGAGAGAATCCTGATACAGATTTCAAATCGCCATTAAATGGTCCAATGGAACAATTACCATTTTTCTTATATGATGTTGAAGAAGCTTTAAATCAAGTAAATGAACTACGAGAATCAGGACAATCTCGTGAATTATATAAAATTGAAGTTATACCATTCTTGAATAATGCTATAAGTACTCACTTGAAAAATGCAGCAGTTGCTAATTCAATTACTGAAGAATAGATTGTATATAAAACTTGTAAATAAATGATTCATGAAGTTGGGAAAGAAGCTTTATTAGTTGGTCTTTACTTTAGCGCAATTTCGATTTTTCTCGCAATACTTTTTTTACAACCAATTGAATAAAAATTTCTTTTGCTTCTTTTCCGATAAAGTTTTACAACCAATACCTAATACAAATTCAAATCATACAGATAGACTCAAATTAAGCACAATGGTGGGAAGAATACATGGATTTTTAGGAGGTGTTTTATTGACATCAACAGTTGTGTATTATACTGGCCAAATGTTTGAAAAGAACTCAAAATTTATATCACAACATTTAAAACAATCAAATAATATTATACAAAACAAGATATTGACAGATTCATTCTATAAGAATCAAGAAATACCCAATAATCAAATAACAACATTGGAGAGACCTAATTTTAAAGAAACATGTAAAGATATTTGGAATGACGAAATTATAAAAATGGTTAATTGGGTATATTCGATAAATTGGTATAAATTAGGTTTAAAAATTGATGATGAAGCTAATAAATTAACTGATGTTATAGCTGAACAATTCATAAATAAGAAATAATTACTAAAAACTATACATAATTAATTAAATACATAATGTTTTACTTTTTTTCAAAAGACTTTGAAATATCATTTTCAATTGACCAATTTAATATTGGTGCAATAATCAGTATAATAAAACTCATGATGACTTGAAAAAATGACCATTGTCTAGGTAACATACCTAATACACTACAACCTAAAAACCAACCAATAAAATCTGTAGTTATAGTATCATACCCTTTTGATAATTGATCAACAATCATATTAGCACATTCTTCGCCACTTATTGGATTACTTGGACCTTCAATTTTTCTGGTGATTTCTGGTTTAGTTTTTTGTTCTTCTTCAAATCCTTCACTTTGAAAATTCCCTGGAAATACACATGATACTCTATAGTTGTACGGTTTTAATTCTTGTCTTAATATTAATGATAATGATTGAATAGCACTTTTCATAGGTCCATATTGTCCATACCCTATGAATGGGAAAAATGAAACAACTGAACTAAATAATATAATATGTCTTTTTGTCCATTCCTTTGGTAGTTTTGTTTTGTTGAGTTCTTGAGTATGTTTGAAACCTGCGTGTATTACATTCAAAGCAGTTTTGTAGTTAATATCTATACCTGATGATAAATCTTTTGGTGTTAAATCTTGAAATAATTTAGGTATACTTGAACCAGCACAACAAAATATTATATTTGGATCGTACCCTCGAGTCGTTATTTCTTTCCATAATGTTAAACAATTGTCGTATTCCGATACATCACATGGTATATATGTTATTTTAGCATTATGTTTTGTACTATTTTGGTCTACTAAATTTGAGATTGAATCAACTTGTTTTTCTAGGTTTAATTTATTTCTTGCAACTAATATTATTGAACAGTTATTTTTGTATAATTTTTTAGCCAAGTCTACTCCAACTCCTTGTGATCCACCTATTATCAAAGCACATTTACCATCTACTGGAAAATTGGATTTGGAAAACCACATTGGTTGAAAATTGATTAAATATTCTGATATAAAGATCAGAAGTAAACAAAAGATAAAAAGATTTAAACGCTAAACAGATTATGGGAAAAAACTATAGTGCGTAATATTTACAAATTATGTATTGACTATTATTTACAAATTATCTATACTTGAGCTGATTGTTGTTTCAAAAATGGTGATTGAGGTATTATTGATTCATTTTCGCTTGGTCTTGGTTTAGTTTTATATTTTTTAGAAACTAATAATTTATCTTTTAAGTCACCAGTATGTCTTTCCATATTTGGTAAACTACTCAACAGTTGTGAAGTTTCATCATTCATCTCTTCAACTATACCATTATTAAAAAATTCCTTTTTACAAATTTCAACACAATTATCAAATTCTTGTTGACCATTTTCTTGTCCTTGAATTAATTTTTTTATATTTATTTCAGTTATATCATCTAGTGGAATATTTTGTAATTGTAACTTTGCAACTGTTTTTGCAGTATACCATAATTTAAATTGATATTTAGAATCTACTAACTCTATTATACTCATTGGTGCATTGTCTTCTCCTAATCTTGGTTCTAATTTAATTATTCTTGTGAAACCGTGATCTCTATTTATGTATCTTTTTTGTAAATCTTTTATTAATTTTAATCCAATTTCTTGTTTATCTGATGGTTGTAAGTAATTTAGTGATTTTATTTTGTTTAGTTTATCCCCTATACTAAGGTTTGGTAATTCTTTTGTTTCTGATAATGCTTTTCCTAAGAATTTTTCGATATGAGGTTGAGCTTGTCTTGCTTTTGCTTGTGTTGTCATTATATATTCATGACGAATCAAATTTGTACATAAGTTCTTATATATGCTTTCTTTATGAGCTGCCACATTCTTATTAAAATGATTTATTGTGACCATTGTTTAATGTTTGGAACTAATTGAATCAAATAATTGATTATTAAAATGGAAATTGAAATTTTTTTTTCTATACAGTGTGTGTCTGAGTTTTAGCTTTCACGTCATTTCCAAAATTTACGTCATCTTCACAAATTCAAAGAATAATTTTTCAAAAAAACAAAGTCTCATCACAAGATCTTTAATTAAATAACCAAACATAAAGCAATAACTATTCACAATGCATTTAATGTACACATTAGATAACGAAGGTAAAAGAATATACACTTTAAAAAAGATAACAGAAGATGGTAAAATTACAGATTCAGCACATCCTGCAAGATTTAGTCCTGATGATAAATATTCAAGACAAAGGGTTACTTTAAAAAAGAGATTTGGAATGTTACCTACTCAAGTTTAAATAAGTCGGACGTTGAAATGGTTTTAGTTCACGGATGTTTATATCAAGAGGTTTGTGGTTAAGAATTTGCTGTAAATTAGATTCATTTAATAAATAATGTCACTTTATTTTTTGAAAAGATCATCAAAATTTTATAAAACTCTTGACAAGTCATCAGTTTCATTGGAATAGTCTAAGTACTAAATTTGATGATTGAGAGACCAAGTGAGCTATTTCTTGTAAAGCTTATCATATAAAAGAATTAAAATTTTGCATTATGTACATAACATATAAATATTTCTAAAAAAGTTTCTAAAATTGAACAGTCAAGTAAGCTGTACTCGATCTTGGGAAAGAAGGATGTCATATGATCAGACTGGATTATGGATATTCACTTGGTCTTAATCCAAAGAATCCGCCTGGTGCTGTAGTAGCATTTAACCTACCTTGACCACCTAAACCTTCAATACCTTTCCACATAACATCATTACCCCACCAACTTAAATAAACTTCTTTATATTGAACTGCAAAGAAAATGATAATCTAAAATTAAAAGTTAGTATCAACATATCATTAAACTCGAAAGACTTTAAGTAATCTTAAAAATTTTGAAATTCCAAATCTTTAACAACTTAAAATCAATAGCTTTTTAAAGCTTATACATACGGCTGAGAAAGCAACACCACTGTCTAATCCACTTGATAATAAATAATTGTATTTTTGCCACCAAGCACTGTATCTTGATTTCAAATACCACATGAAAAATATTGAAAAATAAACTCCCATGGTATAGAATGATAAATTATATGGTGCGTAGTAAAGGAAACCACCAATGATCAAAGTTGGTTGGAAATATTTGGTATATTTCTTTGGAGCATAAAATTTGAAAGCAATACATGGGAAAGCTAATAAGAAACCAATTAAGAAACACCATTGTAAAACTGGATATAATCCACCAAATACTTTCTTTGGACCAATTACACCCCATAGTATGGAAGCATTATAAAATACAGTTGAGTTTGGACAAGTGAATTTTTGAGTATTTGTTGGTGAACAATAATTTGGAATACTTTTAATTTGGAAGTTTAAGACTGCTAAACCAACAAATGATGAAATAAAAACTGACAACATTTGACATCTAAACATTGCTCTTGGTGGTACTTTAACATAGAAACCCATTTTTTGATCAGATATATAATTTTGAGCTTGACCATTAATATTATAACCAAAAGCTTTAATAAGCATCAAAGCTAAACCATTACCTGGAAGTGCAAAACCAACAATTAATTGAACCAAAACATTTAAACCAAATGAAAAACCAGTGGCTGCGTAAATTGCAGTTAAAGGAATCAAAAAGACAAAATTTATACCAATAGCAAAGAAAACACCCCAGACTGGAGTTTGAGCTGGATAAAGTTTAACACAAAGTATAGCTAAAGTAGTTGAAATAACCAAGACACATAAAAATACCCAATCTGGAACTTCCTTGTACTTTTTCATCATAACTGTATGAGGATCATGAAAACCGTCATAAACTGAACCTTTTAAATTCTTGAAATTCCTAGCTAAACCTTTTAAGGCATTCCATATTGGACGCCTGTTCATAAAACCTTCATAGACAATTGAAAATGGGTATAATGAGATAAAAGCACCATATAAAACCAAATTTGCAGCTGAATAATATGGTGGTCCAACTTCGTCATATTTTGCTTGATCAAACAAACTATTTTCATCAACAATCAGTTGAACACTGTATCTATTACCGAAGTGATCAAACAATGATGAAGAATTAATTGGAATATAACCAGTCCATTTAAAATTTGTAAACCAAAGTGCAACAATAACTAAAAATGCTAAACAAGATCCCAAATATTGATTAATTTGAGCATAAAATGGGAAAATTAAACAAGCGTTTGTATTAATGATATTCCAATCAAAACTTGGTAATGGATTTAAACCTAATCCTGATGCTGTACCAGTTATAGCAACTAATTTAACATTATTTGGAGCAATCCAAGTTGGCCAATTGAAATATGAAAAAGCACCAAATAAATATGTAGGAATCCAATTATAAAAGAATGAACCTGCAAACACATAGAAAAACCATCTATATCTACTTATTCTCCAACCTGATATATTTTCTTTAACTTCTGCTTGTAAAAGTGCTTTATTTAATGCAATTGTTGGTAAGATAGTTGGCCAAATTGATCTTGTTGGGAAAATAGCAAATCTTCTAATGATACCAGCGAATGAAATACCTAAGAAATTTGTTGATAAGATAACTAGAAAATAATTGTTAGTAAAATCAGACTATTGTATTTTTTGTGTAATACACGTCGTAAAAACCTTCGTAAAAAATTTTACGAGTAAAATTGGTAGCATCGTAAAAATCTGAAACATGACAACAATAAAAAAATCACCAACTCAAATTTCACGATAACTTCATCAATTTGGAGGGTTTTGATAATTTGAAAGTACATACGTAACACCTGATATCCAAAGTCAATCCAATTACCATTATCATACCATTGTGGCAACAATTGCGCGTGGAGATTATAGGAAACATAAGAAACACCATTTGAAACTGAATAAAAAATAGTTGCCAACATTTGTTCTTTATGATTCCAAGGACCAGGATTCAATTCAATATGCCATTTACCTAATTTGATAGTGTATTTTGGTAATATTAATTCCATTAGTTTACCGGATGGATATAAAAATAATTGAACAACAGCTGATGATAATGAAATTGAAGGTTGTCTTTCTGAAAAAAATTGATTAATAAAAGTACCAATACAAGTCCAAATAATTGATACGATATAAACTCTCAAGGTTTCACAAGGGATTGATGGATCATCATATGGATCAGTAACTGCTCTAACTTCTGGATATGGTGAATGATAAGCTAATAATGCCGCTTCTAATCTAACTTGTAAATTAAAATCATGAATTTCAAAAAATTCATATTTATCTTCCATATCTTTTGAACCTTTTGAACTAGTCTCATCAACTCTTTCTGTTTTTTCAGTCCATTGCTCTTTTGAATCTGGTGAATGCAAAGAAGAAACATCACGATCTTGACTATAAGCAACTAATTTTTCCATAAATTCATAATCTTCAGTTGGAAAATTAACATCATCATCATGTTCGGCCAAAGCTTCTTTAATAATTTCAATTGATTCAGGAACAGTCAAATTTGAGATTTTTTCAATCATGAATATAGCTGATGGTGGTAATTCACTTAAATTTATAATATTATCAAAATTTAATCTTTTTAATATAAATTGTTTTTGATAATCTGTCAATGAACTACCAATATCTCCTAAACTAATATTAGTTGATCGAATAGCTTTCAAATCAATTTCATGATCTTCTGTTGCAAATCTATGATCAACTGATGTAATTGATTTTATAGCTTCAATTTTAATTGCTGATTGTACTTGTTGATTTTTTTCAGACATTTTGAAAGTTGAAAATGAATCAAAGTAGTGGTTGCAAAATTAATTTATTGATATTGATTTGGATAATGTAAAAATTAAAATATTCGAAATTAAAAAATGATGAAATGAAAAGACAATTGGATATCTTTATATACAACTTGAGGAAGTGATAAGATTTTGTCATAATTTGAAACATGAACATTAAAATTAATAAGAATTCCACAATATAAATGAAACATTAAAATCACCAACTAAATGATCATCCTAAGCGTATTGTTCATATTCACCAAGAAATTTTATTATAATGGAGTATATTAAATTTTTTTATCATCTCAATTTGTATGGATCAAAAAATAGAAAAAATGCAACCAAAATTAAAAATTCATTGATAAAAGATAAAAACAAGAATAAAAAATAATAACAACACTGATAACGAAATTGAATTAAAAAATATATGGCACGGCTTCAAATTTTCTGAAACAATTAATAAAGTTTTTGATTTGATCTTCAAAGATTGAATTTGATATGATGGATTAACTTTAATAATTAAATTTGAAAAAGAAAAAAAAATTTCAAGAATTTGTTTTTAAAAAGAAGAATTAAAAATTATTAGCTTGGCATTTGGGCAAACAAAAATTGACAGACTTATAATTCAATGGTAAGCAACAGAAGAATTGTCTGTGAGATGATGTAAAATTACCAGATCTACTTATTTAACATAGAAAAGCACTTTGGTGTTGATTGTCTCTGAGTTGAATACAATTTGAAACATTGACAAAGCCATTTGCGAAAATAAATGTACGTTTCGAATTCACCAAATTTTCAAGTTTTGACGTAAAGTTTTGAAAATCAAGATATCAGCCATACCTGCAAAGCGGGATAAAACTTGCGGCTGATTTCTTTGAATTGGAATCCTATGTTAATTCTCCTCTCTGAAATTAGTGTGAAGCTAATTCCTTTACTCTTGGCAAATTAGATTTAACTAACTTGAATCCTTATCTTATCAGTTTGATCATTCTATAAATTCTTAGTAATTATATGAAGCTTTTTAAATCAACCCTCTATCAATCGGGGAAATTAAATTTTGATTCACAATTCAGAGGTAAATGGGAAAATTAAATGGAATTTTAGACTAAAGATTAAACTTTTGTAACTTGGAACTAAAAGTTGAACTATTTTTTATCGTATTCTTCAATTTTACGAGTGAAAATTTAATTGTTTGTTCTCTCTATCAATCAGATAATCAAAAACAATTATACAATTCTCCATATAACTAACTTGATGTTGGTAAACTGAAAGCCACGGTAAGGATCAACCTCAGTTCGAAAGCTCATCACCTTACTTGTGTTTGCTCAGGTTAAGAAAATACGGGGAAAATATATAACTTGTGCCGTACGCCAAGTCTAAAAACTTGCAATATTATTTTCTTAACCAATTAATTTTTAAACACTTCTAAACTTGAAACAATCATTTTTACATGAAATTTTTTTCTTTTTTAATATGTCAAAATTATTATAACTCCAGTTGTAATTTCTCATTTGGTAACTGACTAGGAAGAGTATTTTACCAAGCAAAATGATTTTTGATTAATTGATCACAAGACTTTTTCATGTTCTTGACTGATAAGGTAATTTATAGAATTTAACCGAGATTAACTTATATCGAGCCATAGACCATATTGGCTCCTCTGATTTATTTTAAATAGATATGGTGTTGATGTTGTTATCTTTTAATTTGTCAGTCAACTTCAACGTAATTGCCAAATTTAAAATTTTGATAAAGTTAGTACTTTTTCAACAAAACATTCTGAAAACTCAAGATAATGTGACCTTGATATTAACTTAAGATGTTGGGCAGTTGATTGATTTAGCAAATGCTTTTCAGGTAATTAAACAATTAAGCTGACTTTTTGATGATGTTTCTTTTGGTTGTAAATGAATTTCATAGTTAAAGGGTTTAAACTAAATTGAATTCATTTGCAACGTGGTAACAAATGAACCCTTTAATCAAACTTTTAGTACATTGCATTGACGAATGAGACGCTTTATTTAATATCTAAATTTGTATTAATTTGGGGACTAAATTTTGAATTTTGGTTGCAACAAATTTTTTTACCTTTCGATACGAATTGTAGATAACTATAAGCTACATAAAAAAGTCACTGATAACATCAAGTTTCACAAAGCTCGTAAATGTCCCCGCTTAGCTCTCGTAAATATTACTTAGATGTGTTTGGCAAACCTTTATTCATTCGTTCAGTTAATTTCAAGAATTAAATCAGTAGATTTCCATGTTATTATTTAGTACTGACTTGACAGCTGCCAAAGCTATATAAAATGTTTAATAGCTGAGTTCGAGGAATTTTGAGTAATGGAGAATTGTTCCTAAATATTGAACTGAACTCAAGTTTTATTTGGTTCAACGAATAATCGCTACATTGATCATTTTCAAGAAGTTTCCAAAATTGTCAAGAAGTCACGAGTTGGCTTGAACTTAGTAACGCATATCAAAACCTCTTTAAGTTTCATAATTACAAGTAAAGATCTCGTATTTGTACATGAGGTAAGATCTGTAGTTGTTGTAGATTCTGTGTTGTAAAACAGTTGGTGTTTCAAATGAAACGAATGTACTATGTACCCTCAAAGTATAGAAGTTTGAAGTTAAATTGTACATTGTAATCACATATTTAAAGAATCATACTTAGCACAGTAAAAAAAGGGCTTTTGACCAATAATTGAAAGTATACATATTGACATCAATCATATCACATAATATACTGACTAAAAATTATAATTCGCGATAATCACATTTTGTAAGACACTTTCACAAAACTTTAATATATAATCAAGATCAGCCTACAAAAGATGAAAGTGATTATGTAGCAGCTCATATTAGTTCTCATGGAAGGTTTTTTTTGAAAGAGTGAGCTATTTTATTTGTTCTAAATTTGTTTGATCTTGCATTAAGTAAGGGGTTAAGTAGTAAAGAATAATAAATTTTTAATGGATTATTAGATCTGTTTAATGAAAAAAGTATAATCTATAAAACTTTATATTTTTAATAATATTGATGTTGTTTGGGAGGTTTCGTTTAAATCTAAAAATTTGGGGTACCTAAATTATTGTACTTAACTCTAATCTATGATTTAGTGGATAACAAATCGTATAAACTTTAACTAAATTTCAGTTAAATTAGTTCAAGTGTTGAATAAACTGATAAGTCCATTATTATGCTGATTATTCACTCCGGAATCTGGAATATAAAGTTGATTCCGAAAAGATAAACGAGACAAAGCAACAAAAGCAAAACATGTAAAATTAACAATTGATACATTTTGTAATGTATGATATCTTAACCAAAATTAAAGCAACTTTAGCTAAACTTGAAAACTAAACCGACGATCTTTTTTATAAGCACCAAGTGTAAATTTTAAACACAAACACCAAATTTTATAATTTTAAATAAACTAACCAAATGGTAAAATCATACGATTAATAGCGGGTTAAGTTTCTTGATTTATTGATTTTTCGCTTTTTTGACTTCTTGAATAGTTGTACAAAGAAGTTGTCAAAAGTATATGGCATAATACATGATGTGATATGATTTTCCTTGTTGATGAGTTTGAAAATAGATTTTGTAACTTTTTGAATTTTGGTCAATCGATTCTCTGCGGCATGAGTTTTAAAACCCTTTTTTTACAAACTAAAAATACCTTTATCCAAATTTTTCTGTCTAGCAGTTAAGAAATCAGTCATTAATCGATGTGATAGTGTGAAGATGCTTTTTATTTTCTACTTAAGTATTTTGTAAGAATCTTAGATCTTGAATTGGTGATTAAAAGTTTTCAAGAGATCTGAGATCTGAAAGATCCCTGCGATAACCGTGATTTTCAAATGGTAGCTGGTAATTTACTAGAGGCCATTAAGAGTGCAATGTTTTAAGTGAATTAATAAACAAATATAATGAAACTCTAGATTAATAGTAAGTTTATAAAGTGACTAATTAACAATTAATAAATTAAATAGTAGTGAGTGAGTAAGAATTAATAATACATTAATATCACCAAAAATTTTTGAGTAGATTGAACTATATTGATAAAATGCAATTGGCAGTAGAAAAAGTAAGCATAGAATGCTCTTTTATTAATTTTGATTTTTAGGAACAATTGGCGATTGGTTGCTTTGTTGCTGTTGAACTTGTGGTGATGTATTTGATGAAGTTTGTGGTGGTTGTTGAGGCGATTGTTGTGCAGTATTTGAATTTACCGGAATTGATGATGAAACATTACTGGTTTGTTGAGGATATGCGTAATTATATGGTTGTTGTTGTTGCTGTTGTTGGCCAGGTTGTTGTGGTGGTTGTTGTTGTTGGTAATTACTATTTCCACTATAAGGGTATGGATAATATGGTTGTTGACCTGGTTGTTGAGATGTTGATGGATTATTTGGATAATAATTTTGTTGTTGATAATTATAGGCTTGCTGTTGTTGTTGAGGTTGTGTTTGATAAGAATCTGATTGAGTTGAAGACTGAGCTGTTGGTGGTGGTTGTTGTTGTTGATTTCCATTATATGGATATTGTTGATAAGTAGATGCATAATTTTGATAATATGAAGAACCAGATGATGTTGAAGGTTGAGTTGAAGGATTTATTTTATTATTTACTGGACTTGTTGATGCAGTTGGAGCTGTGGATGGTACTGAATTATTTGTATCTGAACCTCCACCACCAGAACCACTTGAAATACCAGTATTTGGAGTTACACCGGTTTGAATAACTCTTTTTATATCTCTAACAAATAAAGGATATAATAAATCAACTATATTTTCCTTTTGAGCCATTGTTAATGCTCTTTCAAATGGAATCCATACTCCCTTTAAATGCATCGAACCAATTTTAACAACATGTCTTTGTTTTTCAGATTTTAATATACCATCTCTTCTACCTCTTGTCATTTGTGCAACATTTAATAATTTTGTACCATTAATCATATTATTATCAGCTCTTCTAACAACTGATACATTATTTGCATCAACTTGATAACATAAAGTTTTTTCATCTTCCCACATTGTTGTTGTTACTCTTGGTCTTATACCTGGTGGTTGGAATTGTCCAACTGTCGATGTAACTCCTGGAACTAAAGCATCTTGTAATGGAGTCGATTGAGTTTGTAGTGGTTGTGGTTGTGATGGAGTTGTAGATTGTGGTTGTGATTGTGGTTGTTGTGGTTGAGCTTGAGCTTGAGCTTGCGTTGAAGGATGCGGTGGTTGCGGTTGAGTTTCTGGTTGTTGTTGTTGTTGAGGTATTGATGATGTTGAAGATGTTGGAGGAATTTGAGGTGCATTTGTATAATTACGATTTAAATTATAAGGTTGTTGAGATTGTGGAATTTGATTTTGTTGAGGTTGTTGTTGATAATAAGATGATTGTTGAGAAGTTGGATATTGATATCTATAATTATTATAATCTTGTTGAGGATTTTGTTGTTGATTGTACATATAATAAGATGCATAAGGTTGTTGTTGTTGTTGTTGTTGATTTGGTTGTTGAGGATATACTTGTTGTTGTTGTTGCAGTTGTTGTGACTGCTGGTTATTTGAACCGGGTACTGTATTATTATAATTTCCATTCATTTCATTTATATGTGGTATAGAATATGTTGACATGAATTTTTTGAAAATTCCAAAATTGTTATAATTTGATTGAAAGTTTATTGGTTGTTTATGTAGTGATACGGAGTATTATAATTGTTCTCTAATGAGTTGATATTCTTTTAAATCAGATTGTATACTTGGAATACTTTAATAATGAACGATATCAACTAGTGATAAATGTAATTGATTTACTTATTTGATTGCAATAACTAAAACTGACTTGAAAAAAAAGTATAAATTTATTTGTTTGTTTTTATTTTGTTCCCTTTTTTTTGATTTTTTTTTTTTTATTCCCTTAATTTTTAATTTTTAAAATTTTTTTATCAAAAGATTTATTAAAAATAAACTAAAAAAAAACTTGAACTAAAAGTATATTAAAGTTTTTAGTTGAGTAAAATTTTCAATAATTATTGGAAGGAATGATCAGTTTTCAGATTGATCTTAATGAAGCTTAAGTTTTATAATCTAAGTTGAATATTGTGTAAAGAAAAAGAATTTATGATCTTTAATTTTTACTCTAACTGATATAATATTTAAATTAATTACCAATTGATATTCTTGAATCTGAAGTTATGATTTTGTGGAAACAGTTTTGATGTACTAATTGTATTTTAAAACTTTAAATTATTCTTAGAAAGACACTTACCTAAATTAGGTTTATAAATGAATGGGACAAAAAGTTAAAGTAAAAAAATTGGTAGTTGATGAAACTTTTGAACTGGTCTTTTTAAGCTGAATAATTTTAGTTTTATAGTTGAATCTAATTTATGAGAACTATTGGACTTTTTTAGTTTAGATTTGAGTAGATCCAGTAATAATTAAAACAATTAGTTAATTAAGTATTTTAAAAAAATTTCATAAAAATGTAACTGTATGCAAGGGACAAAATTGTTAAATAATATTATTTCTGTTAAGATCTTTTTCTTAAATATTGATTTTTTTTTTTTGAAGTATTATTTTAATAATTTTTTTTTTCTTAATTTCTTAATCAGAACTTTGACAGATTAAAGGGTAGCTTGGTATGATTTTGCCTTGTTGTTGGTAATTTATTTTATTAATACAAGGAAATGACCGAAATAAAATAATTTATGGTGATAACTGAGTTTGATTATTATTGTTTCGATATAATGTAGTAACACTAATTACTTTGATGAATTATATAAGTATAATAGGATTTTATTTAGCGGAAAATTTGAATTTTTCTTAAGATCTGGATCTTGATGGTGAGTTTGTATTCGTATCGTGGATTTGATGATGAGATTTTGAGTAAGTCTAATTTGTTTCAATGATTGATTGATTGACTGAAATGGTGATGAAATACTCAATCTACTATTGACTTAACTTTATCAATTAAGTTGTTCACAATACTGACTATGAATTGTGTATATTATTTTCTCAAAAAATTAATGAAAAATTCAACTAAAATCAAAGTTTTAAATTTGTATATATATATGAACTATAAAAAATAAAACAAAGTAAAAAAAATTGTTGAAAAATAGAACAAAAACTTTGTTTTGTTTATACTTTAGAAAATATTTGAATAGAATTATCTTATAAGTTATTAATTAATTATGAAAGTATTCTGGCTTAAATTTAATCAATTTATTTCATAATAAACGAAATTATTTATTAGATAAAATGTTTTGTGTTCAATCTACAATTCAAAAAGTATCTAAATTTAGTAAAAATAGCATTATTAATTGGATATGTATAATGTGATAAATATAAAATTAATATTAATTAATCATGTAAAATTGAATTTTTTATATTTTCAACTTTGCTTAATTTGATTTTGTTGATTAAATAATTAATTCTATCAATTAATTTGTAGGTGATAGTTAATTTTCGTAAATTAATGATCAATATCAATTTTGGAGGTTTTAATTAAAAATTAAAATTAATAAAAGTTTGATAATTGAACAAGTTGAGAAAAATTGATAATTTAGTAAAACATAATAATAACAATACTTAAATGAAAAATTTTCACCCAAGAATGAAGCTACAAATTATTCTATTATGAAACAACTACTTTATTTTAATCAATATTCTATTATTCTAAAACTTGTTTCAGGTTTTTATAATTCATCATGCTCTATTGTGCTTGAATGTTTCATATTTTACTTGATGGAAATATGAAGTCATTTGAATTGCATGCTGATTAAACCTTAATTTTTTATATATGATAATCAAAAATAAGTTTTGGTCCATTTTATTAAATGGGGAATAAAATAAATTCGAGAAATATTACATTAAATTTTCATCTATTTGTTTTATTTGATTGTATATATTTTTGTAACTAGTACAAAATTGTAATCCTGTATATTATTTAAAAAATAATGTATGTATAAATCAATATTTACTAATAAATTAATAAACTTAACTTGCAAATCATTCTCCTTTCATTTTACAATAACAATTGTTGTTTACAAAAAGAGATAAGAAAGATATGTTAAAATTCGAAACAACAAAAGAACAATAAAACAATTCAAATTAATATACATATAATTTTGATTCGATAATGAACCATATGAAAAGAGGTGCTAGATATCCACGGATTCTCTTCTATTCTTTTATTCTTTTTCTATACACAACATGCAACCATCACATATGAAATGTGCTAATTTTCAAGTACCTACTTTCTATCTTATATGCATGTAAGGTTTCCCTTGAATTTTGAAAATCATTCTATACTATTTACTTGCTCTACTTTTACTATAATCTCGCTTTCATTCTTGCTTTTACGTTCGCCTCTGTTCTCTCCATATCTTTGATATAAAAGATAAAAAGGGAAAAGCTTTCTACAAACGTTCAAAAATAAATTAATCAAAATTTTTTAGCGTGTTATTTACTTGACGATCAATTTTTTAATCATACGATTCATTTAATGTTAATAATTTGTATGTATTAATTAACAATAAATACTCTGAATTAATATAGTAAAATCCTTACCCTTAATCAATTATTCCTTTGCTACTTTCTTGATCGATTCACCTAACCATATATTATGAGCCATTGAAGATTTAATTAATTTATGGGGGAGAAAAGCGAATTATTATTTCAACAAATTTTAATTTTGTTTTTGTGGTGTGTTATGTTTTTTTCAAATTTTATGTTTTAATATTTTGTTCATACATTCGCCTCAAATTTTAATTTCAAAACTTTTCGGAATTATTTTAGTTTATTTATATATTCCGTTCGATAAAATTTTATTTAGCTTAATAAAATCAACGGATCATGGTGGATGGACAACTAAGCTAATACATACAGACCGCTTGGACACAAGATTGAAGAGATTTGAAAACTATCCTTTAGTTAAATTTTTTCATGCATTGTAGATAAATTTTAAGATTTTCAACAGCTTCATTTGCTCTTTTCTCATATCGAATACAAAAAAAGGCATACCACTAATTTCCGGCATGTAAGAACTGTTAAATTAATTATTCTACATTATCAAAATTTATTCAATTCACATCTGATCTTATTTTACGCTATTTTTTTAAAAAATCGAGTCTCATTTATACATGTCTATACAGTATACAGTATGTATAGAAAAAGGCTGTATTTAATTCATGTATTTAGTTATGTAAAATTGAATAAGTTGATGACTTTTTAATTCTGAGTTCATATTTGTCATGAGAATCAACTTGAATTTGATAAATAGAAAACATCTTTGACAAGATTTGATAGAGCATTTTAAATAAGAAATCTAGATTTGTAATAATAAATTTTTATTTTTTTACTATATTCGTAGAACTAATAACACGTTACATTAAATATGTAATAACATTACATTAGTTTACTACTCACTCATAGTATTAAAAGTAAAATTAATAAAAAAATTCTAAAAATAAAATTATATTCAATAAATGCAAAACAGCTTATTATAAGCTAGCAAACACAAATACAAATCATTCACAACTTTTAGATTATACATACACAAAAAATAATTTTAAAGATCGCCTACGCTTACTTCAAAAATTTTATTGATTAGGTATTACTCAAGTTAATTCTCAACTATTTCGCTATTCGACCCCATCCAGAAGTGTAGATAGCATCAGATAAGTATTGAAATACAGAGAAAGAAAATGGAATTTTATAAATGGGTATTCACTAGTACATTAATAAGCTTGGGTTTCTAGTAATCTTCGAAATGATTTATGACGATAACCAATAAAAAAATTAAAAAAAATAGATCCTAATATAGTTGATGCGCAAACCCGGAATCGAACCGGGGGCCCAACGATGGCAACGTTGGATTTTACCACTAAACCATTTGCGCTTTCTCTTGGTTTGGAGTTGAGCTGGATTTACTAGTCGATAATTTTGTACCCTCCTTCCACTAAAGATGACACAAATCAACTCCATGTGGTTTTTTTAGGCTAAAATTCTTACGCTTTAATTTTTCCACCATAGCTTAAGACACCATGTGCATCAGGTGTCCCTTATATAGATTTAGTATTATAATTACATTTTATAATTGTATACAAAAATATATATTGATTACAAGAAAAAAAAAAAAAAAAATCCTTCCTCCTATCATTTTAAGATCATTTAAATTCATGAATAAGTTTGAGTATTANTAGATTTAGTATTATAATTACATTTTATAATTGTATACAAAAATATATATTGATTACAAGAAAAAAAAAAAAAAAAATCCTTCCTCCTATCATTTTAAGATCATTTAAATTCATGAATAAGTTTGAGTATTACTACTTATCTACACAGTCAATCAGCTAGTTTAGAGGGAATATGGCCAAAAAGGACTACTCTCAATTTGTGTATTTTTTTGCTTCAAAACATTATTAATGAGAAATCACATTTTCTTAAAATTATTTTTGTAAATGTTTTTGCAATCAATTTTGTAAACAACAAATTCACAATTCTGTAATTCCCCTCTGTTTCTTTTTGACGTAAGTCATAGCTAGCTTTTTAATTAAGTTAATAGTCCTTTAGAGTTCAAATAATAGTAAATAACATCAACCACAACCACATTGAATCATGAACCATACACATTTTGATTCTTTAAATTTACTACTTTGTTCTATCTTCAAAAGATCACAGATATTTCGTCATAATGACCATGTTAGTAGAGATATTTAGAAGATCAAAATTTCTTGGAAAATGCAAAGCCATAACTCAACTTTTCAGGGATCATCTATCCTCATTTTTAATCTTTAAAGTGAAAAGAATTGATAATGTGTTCGAAAATTTTGTTGATTTAAGTATCCACCTCAATTTAAACGGAGTTGTGGAATTTTTTGAGTGCAATTGAAGTATGGTGGTGGTTTTTTGGTTTAATAGTTGAAAATTTAATATCTGATTTGGTGATGTGTATGTTAAATTTTGCAACCAAAATTCCACACTTTTTTTTCGCAGCCATTTTTTTTTACTCCATAAAAATTTCCACTATACAAAATGTATGCTCTACAATATACTTCTAATGAGGGACCACTATTTCTTAAACATTCAAGTAGTCAAAAATAAAATATATAAAGAGGTGAATCAACCCTGAATTTACCCATTTTTTTTTTCATATTCATTTTCACTTCACAACTATCTACAGCTCAATTTACTATTCACTATTCTACTCAATTCGCTATGAAATTTTTAACTGCTTTAGCTTTCCTTGGTTTATCATGTATTGCTCAATCTTCATTAATTCAAGAACGTGGTGATTATGGTGACGATGATTATGAAAAACATTATCCAAGTAAAACTTATGATCCTTATCCAGTTGGTGTAACTGATTTCCCAAAAAAATTTGCAATTGGCGCAAAAGTTGATGGTAAAATTTATATTGTTAATGAAATTGATGATGGTCAAATTGAATTTGGTCCTGATGAATATAAAAAACCAAAAAAAAAATGGTCAAAACATCCAAAAAAAAAATATTCAAAACATGATTGGAAAAGAAGTGATGATGATGAAGATGAAGATGATTACGATTCAGATGATGAAGATTATTCCGGTTCAGACTATTTAACTTTTAGTTATTATCAAGGATTAGCATGGTTCAAATTAAAAAATTCTGTTTTAACTGATAAAAAAGGTAGAATTGGAGAAATTGTTGCAAATCATCAATTTCAATTTGATGATGCTATTCAACCAGATGCTCTTTACTCAAAAGGTTGGTCAATTGTTAAAAAATATGGTTACTTGTTATTAGCTATTAATGGTAAAACCAAATTTTATGATTCAGCTGTTGATAGTTACGGTCTTTACAAAGTTTATGATGAACCAATTACAAATGAATCAAGAGAAATTAAATTGATTGTTATTCCCCTTCACTATTAAAAATTTTATTGGTGTAAGCTAAAGAGTTGAATTGATAGGTGTTATTAATCTAGTTGCTGCTTTTATATTTTTATTGGTTTTTTTATTTATTTGTTTTTTGCTATAGCAGTGTGGTTGAATTTTCCCTGGCTATTATTTGTTTCAGTGTCGTTGTTTGATGTTTACAATTTTCGGTTTGACAAGTTTGATACTAGTCATAATTTTTTTATTTTTATCTAGTTCTTTCATTCTTTAGCTTAAATATTAAATACATACATAATAACACCTAAATTAAAAAATCTTAGTAGATCTGATTGTCTAAATTACTAATAACGTTTGATTCTAATATCTTACAAATCTCTATAATATGGAATTATGCGATAGCTACCAAATTTACCCCAAATTTATCCGCCCCCAGATTTAATAATTTTTTAAATATCCATAATAAATCACAAGATTTTTAAGTTTTTGATATAATAAACTCAACTTTAGAATTAACTTTTAATTGTTGAATTTGTTTCCCGTCATCCTTAATTACAAGTATAAAGCCAATTCTTCAATTGAGCTTTAGAATCATTTAGTTATCATCTTTTTTTCCAATTTTAAATTTCATCTAGTTACTCCAGTATTATCCGAAAATCATTATACATATCAAAATGTCAGATCCAAGTGCAAGAATCATTTCTCATATGAATAAAGATCATCAATTATCTTTAAATGATTATGTTATCATATACGGTTCAGTTAATCCAAAATACTTAGTTGAAGACTCAGTTCAAATCACAAAAGTTGATACAGATCAAATCGTAATTGAGTATGATGTTATTAAACCACCAGCAACAAGAACACTAGCTCTTTATTGGTCAGATGCTAAAGAAGATTCAAATTTAGAGGTTAAAGAATATTCAGATATCAAAGGGAAATTAGTATCAATGGCAAAATATTGTGCTGCACAACAAGGATATGCAGTGAAAAAGATTACAAAAATTGTTGGACCTAATATTGTTGATTTTGTAATGTACCCTGCTTGGATTGTATTAATATTAAATGCTTATAATCCTTTAATTTTAAAAAATTTGTTTGCAAACGATCAATTATTTAATAAAATTATCAATTATTTACCATCAATTGCATTTTCAATTTATAAATTTACTGAAACGCATGCTTTAAAAATTATTTATGCTTTAGCTGCTGCTCATTTAGGTGAAGTTAGTTTTATTACATTACCATTATTGAAAAAACATAGAGCTCCTACTAGGGTTAAATTAATTTATTCTATTATGAATTTTATTGAAGGTTTTCCAGTTTTATTAAGATTAAAAAAATTAACTAAATAAATTAAATTTAGATTATATTAGACGATACAATATACAATGCTTATGAAGCCCATTATGACATTATTTTCGTTTTTTGGTTATTACTTCTTCCTTAACTTCTTCTAGTGATCTTTTATTGTTGCCGTTTTCAAGATCTTCAAGATCACTTAAATCCAATTCTTCTCCTTCTGAAGTATCCTCCTCGTCATCCTCTTGATCATCACTTAAAGACAAAGCAATTGTATAATACTTCAACGCGTTTACAAATAAATCATTCGCTATTAAATTAGCTAAATCTTCACCATTTCTAAATTCTTTACCAGGTTTTGAACCAGTCCATGAAAACCATGAAAAAATTGACTTCATACCTAGTCTATACTTTTTCTTATCTTCACTGGACATTTGCTTACCTTTTGAATTTTCTTTCAACAATTGAGGATTAATTTTTTTCAATTCTTGTGGCCATTGAATTGAAACTGGTGTTGACTTTAGACTTTCTTCTCCATTTTCGTCTATCACAATCTTAAACTCTTTTGTGATGGATTGCTTTGGTAAGTACGGATTTTCACCGAATCCAATCGTTATATTAAAATTTCTAGGATTTAATTTATCAGTTTTCGTTTCATCAACAATTGGATAGTTTACATAAACATCATCGATATATTCTAAATATTTTAAATCATCAGGACTTATATAATCAACAAAATCATCATTTTCTGCTAGTATTATGTACCAAAATTTTTCAATTTCTTTTAGTATTTCTCTTCTTTTGTAGTATAATGGTTGAGCTTTTTTAATTCTTATAATATCTGATTCAATTTCTGCCTTGTGCATTTCACCTTCCCATGATGCAAGTTTTTCTAATCCAACTTGTAATTTTTTTGATGACTCTTCTAGTAAGTCAGATTGAGCATTTGACTCTGACATTATTATAGTGCTTGGTCGTTGTTGATTGTTTCTTTTTTGTTGTTGCAAAAAAATAATAAATGTGTTGTAAAAAATACCACACGATAAGATTTCAATATCAAATTATAGAAAGAACAGTAAAATCTAAATTATACACTAAAGACCATTAGATAGTTAATGTTTAATCCAGTTAGCTAGAAATAATTATTTAATAACTACATCGAATCAGGCTTATAAAATTATGGTCAATGAAGATGAAGTAATCTCGAAAGTCTTTTTAGCAATTGATAAAACCAAAGGTAACATTTCAACATTCAAAAAATCCATATCAGACGGTGAATATACCAAAATACAGCAACCTTCAACATTTCTGAGACTACTAATATGGAAATCAATATTGATACTAGATACTTTAAAAGTAACAGCATGGGAGTCTAAATTAAATGATTCAAGAATTATATTTCATCAATTGATAATGAGAGACGATTTAAATATACCTTGGCATGAACTAGATGAAGATTCTTTATACTATCAAAGTCATGATATTAAAAGAAAATCAAGTATTAATAGGAAACTGTCATTACGTGGAACTAAAAGTTTAAAACAAAAATCTCAAAGAGAACATGTTTCTGAAGATCCATTAGGTAATTTAACAAGTCAACTACAGAATCATAGTTTGGAAAATGAAAACGTAGAGTTGCTACAAACTATTATACTTGATATAGAAAGATTGTTTCCTGGAGATTCATTTTTCAATGATTCAACTAATCCAAATTTACTATATATAAAGAAACAATTGATCGAAATATTATATGTTTGGTGTAAATGTAATGAGTCTATTGGTTATAAGCAAGGTTTTCATGAGATTTTGGGATTAATTTACAAAAATATTTACCTAGAGTCAATCAATTTTGATATAAGCGATCCAAGAAATAGTAAATACTCAAACGATGAATTGGCAGTTTTAAGTCTATATAACAAAAATTTCATTTGTCATGATTTATTCATAATTTTCAATAAGTTTATGCTATCAAGTGGCATACTATCAAACTTTTTTGAAACAGAAGCCAAATTAACAAAACTGATAGAGTTATTCAACATCTATTTAATGAAAATTGATCAATTTGTATACTACACATTAACAACAAAACTAAAATTAGATACCCAACTATGGATTATAAGATATTTGAGGCTTATACTATCAAGAGAATTAGGTAACGATATGGAATTAACAAATTTATTGTGGGATAAATTAATATCCTCACAATCAACAGAATCGAAAGAACTATCAAATAAATTACCGGAATTAATAATGTTTATAACAATAATACTTTTAATTCAACAGAAGATGGATATAGTAACTTGTGATTTCAGTGAATGTTTATCATTATTATTACATTACCCAATAGCTCATTTCAAATCATCATCAAAAAGAGATTCATACATTCAAAATTTATTCAAAGACGCACAAAGACTTTATGAAAAAAGAAACGACGACCTAAAACTATACGAGTACGGAAATAAACTTAACATAAAGTACAATCCAAGTTTAAAGATATCAATGAATTATCATAGAAATAGTGGTGAATTAAGTGATACTAGTAACAACAACAGTGCTCGTTCAAGTATTGATTCAATAACATCCATGAAAAAGCAACAGACACCTCCAAAAAAGGTAAATGATCGTAACGAGCAAATGAAATTTGAAAAGACAAGGTTAGAAATGAGATTAAAGAAGAAAGCTCAATCTTTAATGCAGAATAATTAGATAAAGAAATGAATAAAATAGATAAAGTTAAAACAAAGCATTTTCTTCACATAGGTTCGATCTACAAGACTGTACAAGAATTTTTAGTTGCTCTTCATTTGGTCATGACTTTCTTTTCATCTGACAAGAGTTTTTTGAATTCTTTACTGGTTTGTTTCATACGTATTGTGTGTAGATAGTGTAAATTTAGGTTGGGTAAATAATTACCGCAACACGTGAACGGAGTTATATACCCCCTTTTGTGTCATTTGAACCTGAAAATTGCATTTTCTAAATTGGCCCATATCTCCTTAACCATTGAAGTTATACTAGATTTAGCGTTTTTATTAAGCTAGTAGAATCAAGATCTAACTTTTGAACCCAATTTTAGACCTTTAGCTGCTCATTTGAGAGAGTTAGACGTTTTGCTCAATATCTCAACGACTAAAACTGATCCTTCAAGAAGACCTAGTGCATTGTAAAGAAGAGCTGTAAGGGTATCTGAATATGCAATAAAAGTATTTAGAGATAAAAAAGTGAAATGTCCGGGCTCAATTTGGAAAATCCTCAAATTTTACAGGGGGTAGATTTACAGACTGTTTAGCCATATTGCGAACTCTGAGTACCATCAAGAACCAATAGGCAACATGTTTGCATCACTTCAGCACATTGTGATCCAATTTGTGCTCTTTTTGCTAGTACATGTTAATTTATTCTATTGCTCACAGCTGTAAACTCCCCCTGTTTGAGGATTTTTTAGGGTACGTCATTGTGATCAAGTAACAGTGGTTCGTTGACTGTTAAATAATGTAATATCAGTTGCTTTAGTATAATGCGTTATCATATTCTTAATGTCTATTTCAGTTGTGACTACTTTTGGTGTTAATTATTTGCAACTTTTTTGCCTGCAAAATGCACGTAGACAATAAGATAATTTGGTAGCATCTTCTGAAACATTTCTATATTTTCATGTCATAACTTTTTAGTTGTCAGTTTCTAAATGATGCATGTCTAGGTATTTTTAACCAGTTTTTCAATCTTATTGACCACTTTCCTATTTTAGTGGCCAGTGTCAAGTTAGTCTGAGACCGGTTTGTGTCCAGTTTGTTGCATTTGTCCTATCTCTTTAGTCTTGTCAATTACATTAAGTATAAACTGATAATATGAAATGAACTGAACTAAAGTTGAATCAAAATCAGCTTATCTATCTCTACCAAATAGCCTTCCAATTCTCAGTCACGTATTTCAAACACCAAAGTCAAAAAGGGTTGTCAAACAATTATCCAAAACACCAAATATCTCACTTGCTTTACTCCAGTGTCTAATTCAAATCATAGTCCAGTCAGTTAGTTAAGTTTGTCTCCAAAGATGGTTTCTAAGTTTGATAAAATCATTAATTTGATCATTGGGTTGGAAAAACGTCTCAGGTAGTCAACTCAGGTAAATTTCATACTTCTGTAAGTGAATTGTCTCACAAGTATTTCTCAATCAATAATGAAACTAGAATTTTGAAGTTAGTAAATAAATAAATAAATATTTCTACAATTGTATGGATAAAAGTAGTATGGATAAAAGTAGAATGGATAATTGTAGAAATTGGCGATTAATTGGAGAAAGAAAAGGAAACAAAATCAAAAAAAAAGACAGCCTGATCTATATATTCTTAAATGGCAAAATGTTTGTTATGCTGCAAAAACTTATTACGTAAGTTATGAGAAAAACACCGACAGTGTCATTTTTTAAAGTTTGCGACTTTATGTATTTATGCGACGGATACAAAATTATATTTATAAAAATGAAAAAGCGAAATATCAATATGAATAATATTACAATTCAGTTTACAGTCATTAAAAAGTCAACCCTAGAAATTTCTCATTTGCATTCACAAACTTAACCCCCATTTCAAACAGGAACCACCACCACCACCACCTGATATAGTAAATAGAGAAGCACCTAATATACTAAATAAAAAATGGGTAAAAAGAAATCAACAACAAGAAAACCAGCCAAAAAAATAAAACAAGTTCTTGACGTTCAATTCACTTGTTTATTTTGTAATCATGAAAAATCAGTAATATGTAAATTAGATAAAAAAAATCTATTAGGAGAATTACATTGTAAAATATGTGGACAAAATTTTCAAACTTCAATACATAGTTTAAGTCAACCAGTTGATGTATATAGTGATTGGATTGATGCTTGTGAAGATTTAGCTGAAGAAGATAATGGTGGGGAAGAAAGTGTGCAAGAAGAACAACAAGATGATGTATTTACTGATGATGAAGATGCTAATAATGGAAATTCAAATAGAAGGGATCCTATACTAGATTCTGATGATGAGGATGATTACTAGGATGATTTATAGGTGAAGAGTTTTAATTTATACATTGTATTATTAGTATTTATTATTATTACTCACTAATTAATTGAAAAACTTGAGTGTCTAAGACCAGTAAGAAATAGCTCTTTGTTCAATTTATATTTATGTCGTTAATTTGTTTAATACTTCATCATAAGTTTCATTAATTGTAGAATCAATTTTATCAACTGATTCGTCATAATTATCATCATCGTCATCATTCAAAAAACATACAGGTTTCTTTAAATTATCGTTATTGGTTGTATTTGTCTCATTATTTGTATTCTCATTTTGCTTTTTATCAGTTGATAATTTCTCCAATCTCAGTTTAATCTCTTCAATATTCAATAAATCATGATCTTGTTTATCATTACTTTCATCACTTTGTCTCTTGATGGTATCATTTTGATGGAAAACTTTCTCCAAAGATAATCCTTGATCTCTTAAATTTCCTAAATATTCAATGATTTTATCTAAATCACTAAGCTCAATACTCATTAATTTTGTTCTTATATCTTCACCAGATATATTATAATTAATTTCACTTGGTTTATGATAATCTTTTAATTTTGATAATTTTAAAACTGAACCTTCTTGTCTATCTAAATTAGCTAAATTTGTTCTAGAGTTGGATTTTGAAACTAATGGTGATTTACTTCTAGGTATGGAGTTTGTTGAATTTGTAGGTGCTAAATGTGTGTGTTGTTGTTCTTGATCTTCTATATTTTTGTCAGTGTATGAATTACTTCTTGCTTCTCCTTCTCCACCTTTAAGTAAGTACATGTTGGCCCTTGTTGTTGATTCTGTATTATAATTTGGATCAATTAATTGTAAACCCTTTTCGATACTTGCATCTATGAAAATAAAACGTATCAACATTTCTTTACCATCTAAATCTAATGCGTTTTTTAATTGTAAATTATTAAGTTCGTCTATTGATTCTTTTAATTCGTGTCTTATAGATTGAGCTTTTGCGAAAAATTTAATAACTTCTGGTGATGATAAATCTAATTTTTGCTGTGATTTTAGTGAAAGAATTTCTTGTAGTTGTTCAGTTAATGAATCAGATTCCTTTTGTTTTTCAGATAATATAGACAATGAAGTACCTGAACTATTTGGATTAGTTGAATTTGAATTGTTGTTTGCAGTGTATAATAATCTTTCCATATTTCTCATAGTATATAAACCAATTCTTTCCTTGAAAAATTCTGGGAAATTGTCTGAATTACAATCCAAATTGATCAAAGATTTTGAATTTTTAGTAGCGTTAACTAATGCACTGGCCGCGGTGGGGTCTATATGATTACCTAGTATTGAAAAATAACCCAAATTTTTACAAAATGGTAAAACTTTTGCAATTTGTAGTATGGATTGTGAATTGAAATTTTCATTTTCTAAATGTAATCTTACTAGTTTAGGGAACAAGGGGAATTTTGACGTAAAGTATTGAACTCTTGAACTTTCAACTGAATTCTTATATTCAATTTCTGAGTTCTCTGTTGTGCTAGTTGCTGCAGTGTCATTATTAAAAGTTCCAAATAATCTTTGGTTGTTTGATAAATCAAGATACTTCAAATTTGGTAACTTCAACAAAACTTCCTCAAACATTTCTTTAATTGAATCATTGAAAACAGCATTTGTAGAATTAAAACTTAAAAATGTGATAGTTGATTTATTGATTTTTTCCGAAAAATCAGGTCTTTTAGTAAAATCCAAAAATATTTTTATCATTTGTGAACTTGAAAAATCATTATACCCTAAATCCAAACCTCTCGCAAAATCTTCAAATAACCAATGATTTACAACTATACTTAAATGTTTTGGAGTTAAATTATTAAACGCAAGACCTAATCTTGATGTTCTTTTCAGTACTGCTAATTCTATAAGGGATTCAAATATTTCGACATTTGTAATACAACAACCAGTTAAAATTAAGTCTTCAATCCCACCTCTTGCTACTAATGTTGCAACAAATAATGACCAATCCATATCTGATCTATTGTCTTTATTACATGTCATTCTTGTTAATTGTTCTTCAAATTTATTTGTTTCTGTTGTTACTTTCTTCTTCTTCTTTTTCAAAACATTAACTGTTAGACTCTGACATTGAGTAATATCTAATCTATTGAGTACTGTATTTCGTGACAAGAACCAACATAGTAAAGACCAACCTTCTTGATCAATTGGTGTATTTCTTAAACTTAGTTTCTCCAATTGCTTCTTAGCACTCATTGCAGATAACAATATTTTAAATTGTTCAACAGTTAAATTTACACCATCTAAAGAAACACAAATTACGGGAGCTATTCTCAAAAAATCAGCAAAAGTTTGAATTTCAATCATCGTTGGAGTAGGATTTCTTAATTGTAAAACAGGTAATGGTGCTAATGAACCAGGTGGGATTTGTTTTAAAATTGCTGGAATAGGTAATATTTCTCTTAAATGACAACATCTTGAATACATAGTATCTAATGCCATTTTTTTTACAGGGCCGGAGTAATAATTTGGAGCTGATTGATGATGAACCATTGGTTTGTCTATTGCTATCGCTTTTGCATGTGCGCTAACCTCTGGTTCCTCTGGTTCATCTGATGATGTTGTTTTTTCATCATCTAAATCTGTTGATTCTTCATCATCTTCGTCATTATTTTCATTATTATTATTTTCTTCTTCTTCCTTTTTAATATAGCCTAAAGCACCTGTTCCTCCAACTACTATACCTCCACCTTTACCCATTTGTGATAATTCCATTGCTTTTTTATCTTCTTCTGTTAAAGGGTTTATTCTAACTTGTCCATTATTTAATACTTCAACATTACCTTTTCTTGGATGTCTCGATGGGATTTGTTGTGGTGGATCTATTAAAAAAGTTGAAGAATGGAATGCAACTCTCTTAAGAGGTTTTAATCCCTTGAATGAAGGATCTTGTTCTAATGCTGAATCTATTGGTGTGTTAGGCAGTGTTGAAGAATTTATTGATGAAGTTGAAGTATTTGGTTGTTCTTGTTTCAATGAAGCTTTTCTTCTAATAAAGTTGGAAAGTCTTGTTGAATTTGATTCTGGAGCTTGAGTTAAAGATGTTACTGGTGATATTGGTCTTTGATAATTTATATTATCATAACCATTTACCAAAGCACTTGGTAATGGACATTCACTATGATTTGAACCCATTGATGTTGTAGAAGATCTTCTTGACGCTATGGATGAACGTCTTGAATCTCTTTGTTTATAAAATTTTATATATTCTTCTAATCTTGAATCTGGATTTGATTTGGTTGATGCTGGTACTGACATTGTTCTTTGAAGATGATTTGGACGATCGAAATAAGATGATATTTCTTGTTGATTATCAGTATCGACTTTGTGCTCTATTGGTGAACTTGGATTACTAGTGTTGTTATTATGGTGGTTCATATCATAATTAGACTTGAATAAATTTGTATCATGCTTCAGTATTGGTATAGAATTGGTTGACACTGATTCATTAGAATCTTTACTAAATTTACCTTTTAATTTCGAAAATAATCCACCACTACTTTTCCTTCTAGTTTTTTGGAAAATACTATTACTTCTATTACTATTATTGCTATGATTATTATTATTATTATCATGAGATTGATTTGACGCTATATTTTCTTCTTGTATTGGTGTAATTGATGGTTTTGATTTTGAATAAATTGCATCATTTGAATTTGATATTGTTGTACTTAAATGTGCATTAACAGAATGAGAAGGTGAACTTGGAGTATCATTATTTGTCTGAGTTATAGCAGGTGAAGAGGGCGGCGATTTATAATTGGTTCCATCACTATTCCCTGTTGTTATTTTATTAGCAGTCGATGAATTAAAAGCTTGATCCATTGAAGAATCTCTCATAAACCAATCAACATCAGTATCTTTAACTCCTTTTGTATAAACATCAGTCTCTTGTTCTAATTTATCTCTCATTTTATCAATTTCTAATAAATTATTGGTTAATGTTCTAGTTAATGAATTTTTATTCCCATTTTCTTTACTTGTTGAATTGTTTCTTGATATTGAAATTTTGGGTTTCCCCACTTCATCATTTGATATTGAATTATTTAAATTTGAATTATTTGATCCATTTATAGACTCATTATTCATTTCTTCTTGATATTAGTTTGTGCCAGATAATTGAATTCATAAGTTAGTTGGTTGAATAAGAGTGTAAAACTATGATGTTATCTTTATTATTGTTGTAAATTCCAAACGATAATTTAGTGAGAATTTGTGGAGATTGTTGTTTATTTTACTATGTTATTTTTATTGATATCTCCAACAATGGTGAATTGAAGGTGGTTTATAATGAAATCTATAACAAGGTCTCGTATTCAATATTAATAATGATATTGAAAATTTTAATAGTATTTGTTAATCCCTCGTTTCTTTTAATTGTTGATTCGAAATAAAAACTTGTTCAATAAAGATTATTAAATTTATTAACAAATTAATATTTTATGTTCAATTCAATTTCTTTTATATTTATTAAGTGGCTTTTTTTACGAAATATTTAACAAATTGACTATTTAAGAATTTGATAAGTTTTATGGAATGTTATACTTATTTTATGATGTAATCGAATTATTAATCTTATCCGAATCAATAAAAGTTAATAATTTAAGCCATTAACAAAGTCATTGAGAAATATTATCTAATGTATGATGCACACCAATAAATAATACTTCAAAATATATTATTTCTTTCTTTTTTGTGAATTTCATACAATTATTGAAAAAAACTTACGATCCGATAAATTTTTTAATAATAAAGTATAACATCTTATTATGTATAATTAATAATTAATAAATGTAGACTAATGAAAGTTATCATTTTTCAAAAAAAAGAATAAGGATAGTTGATTTTATTAGTAGTAAAGCATATGAGCACTGCATTTTGATAATCATCAATTGATTTTATTTCAAATTTTACTTTTTACATGACAATTGAACTTTGTAAATATGAGATTTAAGTAGATTCTTAGTTCAACAATATAATTTTTGTTATACCTATTGTTCTTCCTTAGTCGTGAGGTACAGAAAAAATATCTATGTTGTGATAATACAAAAACAAAGCAGATGGCATTTCACAAACGACAACTGCAGGACTCGAACCTGCGCGGGCAAAGCCCAAAAGATTTCTAATCTTTCTCCTTAACCACTCGGACAAGTTGCCTAATTCCGCAGAAATTGTTATGCTGAAACGATAAACGTTACTCAAGCTCCACCAAAATAAAGACTTTTAATTATGTAAAATACCCCCTAAATAAATATTCATTTAAAGACCCTGTAGTTTCAACTCTTCGTTTCACAATTAGCCTATTAGCATAAGTGTTCACTCATAAGTTTGTTTAAAACCAGCCAAATAGTTTAAATTTTACTCCTTTGCTATGAGTTTTATAAATCCAACAAAAATTTTGCAACTTTCACGAGTCCTATTTTGTCGTAGATAAATAATGCTTGAAAACTAATCAATAGTTATAACTGCACTTATATCAAGAGATTAGTTTATATAATAATGTTTTGTACATTTGATTTATTTTTAATTGCATCTTAATTGAAAGCGTAATTTTGTTAAAATATCGATCAATATTGTAAGTTGAAACACAAAGGCAAATTTGGTCTAGGATGAATCGTGTTTTTAGTTGCTTTAAATTCTAAAGCTTTAGAGATATTTTAGAAGCTATTAATTTAATTATATAAAGTTATAGATCAATATAATGCACTATTTGGGAAACTAATGAAACCTTATAAACACATTAATTATAGTATCGTATTCCTATTTATTAACTTCTTTTAAATTTATTTATTTTAGCCCCTGAACTTGAAAAAATCTCACTATATAAATGTCTGATAAAAATTAAGATATGCAATAAATTTATAATTTACAATATTCAGAATACACGTATCAATTAATTGAATGAATCAATTATCACTAATAATCATAACAAAGATTATTTAAGAATTCATATATATATATAGGTTATCTACAATATAATATTATTAGTTCAATTAAATAAACTTAGATTCAGATTCATCATGCCTTATTACGCGGTAGCTAATGGTAGACAAAATGGTGTTTATACCAATTGGAATGATTGTAAAGCTCAAACTAATGGATATAGTAATGCGTCATTTAAACGTTTTGATACTGCTGCTGAAGCTAGTGCATTTGCCTCTGGTGGTAGTAGTTCTGGTGGTGGATCATCAAGTTATTCTTCAAGTAATAACGCGTCTTCTGGTGGTTATTCAAGTGGTGGTTATTCAGGTAGTTATTCAGGTGGCTACTCAGGTGGTTATTCAGGTGGCTCAAGTTATTCAGGAGGTAGTTCAGGAGGCTATTCATCTTCAACAAGATCAAATAGTTCAAAAGCAGAACGTATTTATGTAGATGGAGCATCAAGAGGTAATGGACAATCCAAAAATGCACCATCAGGATATGGAGTATATTATGGTCCCAATGATTCACGTAATGCAGCAGTTGCATTAAATGACGTTGATGATACTTCAAGATATACACCAACTAATCAAAGAGCAGAATTACATGGTATGAAACATGCATTAACTAATATTAAAAATGATTTAACTAATGGTGGTAATGGATCAAGAAAAGCGGAAATTCATAGTGATTCCAAATATGCCATACAAAGTATTAATGAATGGTCAGATAGATGGGAAACTAATGGATACAAAACTTCAATGGGTGGTAATGTTGCCAATTCGGATTTAATTAAAGAATCAGTTTCATTGAAAAATGATATTAATGATTTATATAGATCTAAAAATATGGGACCTTTAGAATTTGTTCATGTTAGAGGTCATTCTGGTAATGAAGGGAATGAAGCTGCTGATAGATTAGCTAATCAAGGTGCTGATAAAATGTCAAGAGGTTATTAGAATATTTCGAGTTGGTTTTTGATATATTATATGATTTTGAGAGTGAATTATAACTACATGAGTTTATGTTTTTACGTGATTTTTAATATTAAGTTTCTTTCCAAATTATAAATAAAAGAATTAAAATTTTTTACCAACCTTTACTTGTAGAATTATCAAATTCTTTTATTGCATTACCTAATCCCTTTAAATCAGTTTTTATCTGTTTGACGTATTTTTTAATTTCTTCAAATGTTTCCTTTGTATATAAAGAATTATCATTTTCAAATGTAACATCATCTGATTCAAAAAAATTCTTGATTACTTCTTGTTCAATTTTTGATTTTTGAGTTTGTTCATCAGTTTGTTGATTTGAGTTAGTTTTTTTGTTATCATTTTCATTTTCATTTTCTTCTTCTTCTTCTTCTTCTTCTTCTTGGACTTTTAGTAAATTTTCTGAGAGATGACCCATTGAGGCATTAGTTGTGGCTCGAGTTAATGGACCTGATGCATGAGCTCTAGAATTACCTAATTGATATAATTGTTGTTTTTGTAGTTCATTTGTGTTATTCATATCATTAAATTTTGCATTTGACATAGTTCTTAGTAATTCAATTTGTGATTGTTTGAGTTTTGATAATTCATTATTAAACTTGTTATTGAAAAATGAACCTCTTGTTTTCACTTCTTCTGATAATTTCTTAACGTCATCTAATACATCTATTTGAGTCCATAATTTATCACTATAAGTAACGCTTGGTTTAACACTAGGAATCTTATCTATAGTTTGAATACTATTATTATCGTAATTAAGGTATGCTTCATTCGTAGTGTTTGTATTTGTTCTTGATAATCTATATTGAGAAGCAGTTGATGTTGGTTTTAGTAAATTTGATTTTGATGAGTTTGGAGCATTTTGATTAAGAAAGAATTGTGGTGATACATTTGACGCTATTGATGTTGAATATGAATGTTGTGATTTGGGGACTGTTAAATTGTTATTGTTTGAGTTAGTTGATTTTGTAGGAACAGCATTGCTGCTCATTTTTAAAACCAATTAATCAGTTTATTTGGTGGTGAATTTGGTTTGTCTCAGAAACAAAGAAATAAGTTTATGCATTTGTTTTATTTTTTTGGAACATTAATTATACTACATCATTTTACAACCAAAATATCAAAAATGTCTAAAATATGACAGACCAATTGCATTCAAAAGAAAATCTATTGACAGTACCTACAAGATTAAATCATGCCAATTCACACCAAGTAAAGCACACCACAGAAAATCCACCATGGAAGAAATTGTTATATCTACAACAGCCGTATCCAGATAATTATAATGATGAGTCTTTTCTATCACAACTCAAGAGAAACACAACAGTTGCGAAATATTCATATTCTAAACTAGTTGATGATTTCTCATTAATTATGTTTTATATATCTTGTATATTGTTGGTAATATTGATGTTTATTGGGATATATGATAAAAATTGGAATCCTATAATACCAACTATAATAAGTTCAATATTATCAATTGTAATGTATTTAATACTAAAGTATCAGAAATCAAACCTATCAATCAAATTATTATCAATCAACTTTAAATCATTTACTATTATTTCGTTCATGTTATTAATTGCATCACCTATTTTAAAATCGTTAACTAAATCTACTTCATCAGATTCTATTTGGGCAATATCACTGATTTTAAGTATTACCAATACTATATTTTATGAATATTCCTCAAATTCTAAAATATATAAGCCTATATTGTCAACGAATATTTCATTAAGTAATGCAATTGTACTAGCATCAAGATTAAATTCTACTTTGGATGTGTTTTTATTCATGTTATTTGCTATACAGATTAATATTTTGTTACCATTATACCATGCAAGTTTGAGAAACTTAAAAAAGATGAGAATTCTACATTATTTTACAATTTTCATTACTTTTAATCTAGTTAATTATTGGATTTATGACTTATTAAATTATAAATTCTTAATCTATTGGTTAATTTCAGTGGTGATCATTGTATTAGTAATGCCAGCTTATTTCCTATCATTACAAAGATACAAAAATGAATTACAAGGACCATGGGATATAGCAAAACCAAAGTTTAATAATTAATTTAAAGTTGATGTTGGGATTATTCAATTTCGTTCAAGTGTTCTTTTAAAAATACATAAGCATCTTCAACTTCTGCTTGAACTTCTTGTAATGCTCTCAGTTCTGATCTTACACCAAAATACCAAATCATACCATTTAATAACCCCGTTATAATGACACAAGTTGTAGCAAATAAAAACAATACTGAAATCCAACCTGCTACATCAGCTACAAATACTATACCTATGTGCATACCAATTACAATTGCAACAGATGTTAGGAAATGACATTTTCTCCAGATTGCTTGAAAAGGAATAGTTATTCTTCTATAATGTTTAATCTCAGCTATTAATTCTTTATATACTTTTTCACGTTCTTGAGGAGGTGATTCTTTTATTAAAGGAACATATTGAGAAGCTGCATTAATATTAACTTCAACAAAATATGCAAAATGATCAGAATAAGAACATGATAAAGGTGGTGGTAAAAGATTGGTAAATTGAACTTTTGCTTTTATGGGTATTACATTAATATCATCAATTAATGCATAATCTAATCTACATGCTTCCCAAATTGGTCTATTGGTTCTCCATGTATTTAATCTACTATTACATGTAACTCCAGCATAAGTGATTTGATCTTCTAAACTCATTCCACTTATTTCTGCAACTGATGGATTTTTTTCAGGATGTAATACATTCCAAGAATCTTTTAATCCACCTTCAACAGTAAAAATTTTATAAGGTAATGAATCGGGTTTTGAATTTAAATCACCAACTTGAATAACTGCATATCCAGCTTTTTTCAACATTCTTACAAATTTAGCAAAATCCCATGCTTGACAAGCTCTATGAGTTGAATAACTTGAATCACCTTTACCATAAGGTGCATGCATATGAGAATTTAATAAAGCTATTGGTAATGTATTTGGTTGATGAGATTTAAAAATTGTAACTGCTATACTTTTACCAACGTACCAATCACCTCTAAAAAATGCAGATGATCTTCCATTTATTGGAAATCTATAAAGAAAAGTTTCTTCAATTGGAATTTTTGACAAAATGGCTAATCCTGGTCCTGCAATTATACCAGATTTAAAATTTCTTCTATAAGGATAACGTTGAGAACAAATTGAATTTAAATAATTCCAATCTTCTTCACACCATATTTCTTGTAATGCAATTATATCATAATCTTCTTCCTTTGTGGTGGGATTAGCAAATGCATCTGCAATTGCTTTTAATCTTTGTTTTCTATGTTTTGATATAAATTTTAAACCCCATGTATTGAAAGTTAAAAGTTTAATGGATTGATTTTTGGTAGTATCACTCGGTAGACTCGTTGTTCTTATAATTTCTTGATTCTTGGACATAATTTGATGAAGATAAGTTCAGTAAAAGTTCTATAAGAAGAAATGTGTAAAATTAATAAATTGATACGTTTTAAATCTTAAAGTTACAAAAACGGAATAAAAATGTAAACAAATAGAAATTTAAAAATTATTATTATAAGATCAACTAAAACATAATCAAACATAACATTTAACTATTACCACTGAAAAATGTCTCAAAGTAAAATAGATCAAGTGTTTGGCTCATTCCAAAAACAAACAAATGAATTTGAGACATTAAAGCTAACAATGGAAGAATTTGTCAACGATATAGACTTAAAATTATCTAATAAACAATCAATTTACTTAAATCAACAACAACAACATAAACAACAAATTCAAGAATTAAATCAAATTACAAAAAATCTACAGTCAGAAATACGGAAACTAGATGAAAAAGAATCACAAACTACAATAAAATTAAATGAAGCATTACATAATTTAGAATCATCAAATCTAAAAATAGAAGAATTACAATCTCAAAAACAAAACCTAATAAATAAAAAAACCCAACAGGAAACACTAATAACTTCACTTAAGCAACAAATAATTCAAGGACAATCACAATTAACAAAAACCACAAAAGATTTTGAACATCAATTTCAATTAAATTTAATAGAATTATCAAAATATGAATTATATACTGGATTAAAAATAAAACCAAAATCAATAAATGAAATTTTGTTTAGTTTTTTTAACCTAAATCCTGAAAATAATGAAAATGAATATAGTATTTTATTAGGTATAGATGATGATTTATATAAAGTATTAAAAACTGAACCAAGTTTACCAAATGATAAAGTTGATGAATTATGTGATGAATTAAATAAACATCAACGATTGATTAGGTTTTTGAAAGGTATTAGAAATTTATTTAAAAGTTATATTGATGGAGAATTGTAACGTTTTGTTAATATCATGGGAAAAATTTAATGATAAAGTAATGTAATAAATAATAGAGTAATTAAGAATATCAAATTGTGAATAAAATTTATTGTTCATAATGTTCATATAAATATATATTTGTCCTTAGTGTCTATTTATTTATTTAAATCACAACTTAATTTCCAACCACGATCATCATCAGTTTTATATAAGATATTAATTTTCCATAATTCTAATAATATTAATTCTTGTAATCCATATAAATTTTCAATCTTGTATTCAACTAAAGAAATTTCATCACTATTATAAGGAATTTGTAAATGTTGTAAATCAGCTATAATTTTAACTATTTTTGAATATTTTTGAAAATTTATTACTTTTCGATTTAAAAAATTTTGTGTTGAAACATATTTTGGAATTCCTTCCGTGGTTGTAGTTATATCTGATATAAATAAATTTATGTATGGAACTATGGGAATTTTTTCATTTGAATTTAACAAATTTCTAATTTTATTTCTATAATTTGAGTAGTTTTTTTCTATACTTATGATAGATGTTAAATAATCATATAATTCTAAGTATTTTGGTGATAGGTTACTCCAAATAGGTGAGATTCTTGTTATGAGATGACTTTGTAATGATGTTATTATTGCTGCTAAACTATTGAAATTTCTTAAATATAATGAACTTATTGATATTTTAAGCCATATTTTAACAATATTAATTCTTTCTTTTAATGTTAAATTTGGTTGTAAGATTGATTCTAATACGTAATTTGATAAACAATTTGTGAATAATAAAGATAATCTAACATTGGGAGATAATTTTAAATGAGCTCTTTTGTTTGTGAAATTTTGATTTAATAATTCTTCAGGTTTTATAAAACAAAAAATTTTAGATTCAATAATTGTTAATTGTTTTGCAATTTCTAATCCATTAAAATCTAATAAATTAGGTCTATAATTTGTTAATACCCAATTTTGTTCACATATTATTGCAAAATGACTTAATAAATTTGTTAAATCTAATGATTTATATTGGTTTATATATTTTGTTGAACACCAACTTTCTCCCAAAATTGATCTATAAGTAAGAATAATTTTTTCTATAGTCTGTAATTGATTTTTAGATAATAATGAAGTTGTCTTGGATGATTCTATATTATTAATTGGTAATGATTTTATACTGGAAGAATTTGAATTAACTCTAGATAAATTAAATTCACCAGATGATGTTAAAGATTTTAAACTTGTGGATGAAGAAGATCTCAGTACTGATTTTAAAACTATTGATTTTTCAACTAATTGTTTTGTTGGCTTATGTCTTCTATTTCGATTTTCAATTAATGGATTTGAAGATAATTTTGCACCAATATCTATTAATTTTAATGAATCAAAAGGTAAATAAATGGATATACCTTCATTGAAAAAATTAATAAGGGTAGTCAATAAATTATAATCAAGTTCATGATTCCAATAAGATTCCATCCATAATTGAAACATTTTAACTATAAGTTTTCTCCTTTTTTTCAATTTTAATTCATAATTTATATCCTTTGTTATAGTATTTATTTCAAATCTTGTTATTAATTCTTCAATTAAATCTATCCCATTGGCAAAACTTCTAAAACATATGAAAAAAGTAGAAACAAAAAAATATTCTGGTGGTGAATCTTCATTTGTTAATGTATAAACAAGACCTTTAAATGAGCCACCAACTAAATAACCATTTTTATCAGTTACTAATTCAGCTGATAAGTCTGTTGGAGCAGGCGTACTGTGATTATTTTGAATGTGATGATTTTCTGAAGTAAATGGTTGAAATTCTGCTGCTTGTACTGTAAATGGAGAATTCTCAAATTGTTGTAATAAATTAGCGCCACCTTCAGTTAAACTTAAATCACCAGTTTTACCAGCTCTAACCATTGAATATCTATTGGCTTTATATGGTTGACTTACACTTGCATGAGGATTATTATTATTATTGTTATTATTATTGTTAAGATTTAATGGTGGTGGTTTTTTAGTTTTAGATTTTATACCCTTCATACATTTTTTAACAAAATCTTGTGGTTCAATTTTAATTTTAGAATAATCTGGATAAGATCTTTCTGAATTCAATTTGAAATCACCTGTTAATTCTAATAAATTTCTTATTGAATAAATTGTATTACTTATTGCTTTTATCATTTTTGATGCTATGGTTAATAAATTACCACCTTCTTCAGTATAAAAATAATCCCTTTCACCTTTAAAATTGTGGACGTTAGAATCTTCACTTTCATTTAAAGTTTTAACCACCAAGTCTTTAACACTTGATACTAAATCACTGACTAATGATAATAATCCATCTAATGAATAATCTAAATCTTCTGGTTTTTTGGAACTAAAATCTGATCCAGTTTTAGAAATGAACAACAATTCTCTTAACAATAATATTATTTGATGAGCAATAGTTTCAAGTATCTCACAACCATATTGATTATGTTCAATTAAATCTAATCTTCCAATGATTAGACCTAAATATGAATATAATATCCCATTAATTTCAGTAATTCTTTGTTTTGCTAAAGGTGGAGAATTTAATAATGGATAATTATTTAAATCATCATATAATTTTTTTTCATTATCTCTTTTAATAATTTGTTTACTTTCAGTTGACCAAACTTGTAAAAAAATTGTAGCTTTTCTAGTAACTTGATAAACCATTAATGTTAAAATTTCAATCTTATTAAAATTTGAAGTTCCTTTATATTCATTAGCTTTTACCATTAAATTATACCAATCTGCTAATAATGATTTACGTGATTTTCTTACAATTTGTCTTTTAGTTACTATTTCATTTGATCTTGATAAACAATCTGTTTCTTGTAATAATAATCTAACTCCATCTCGTATTGAATTTATTGCTCTTATTGAAAAAGTATATTTACCTTTTCTATTTTTATGACTTAATGGATTTATTAAGAATTTACCACATGCATTTAATAAAGGTTTTAAGTAATGACTGTTTGGTAATTCATTATGTTCTGTTTCATCATCATCTTCTTCTTCTGCTTCTTTTTCTTCTTCAGTTGTTTTATCAGATACTGCGATATTGAAATAATTCATTGGAATCCATCCTCTTTGTAATGATTCAATTAATGTAACTTCACCCCAACCAGATTCATCTATAGTATGTACAAATGCTAAATCATCTTTTTCAAATGAAAGACATATTGAAGCATCTGATTCTGATTTTAATGTTGATGAATCAAATGGATGTAATGCTCGTATAAATAATGATGATAAATCTTCATCTTCCATTGATTCTGTTGTACTGCTTTTCTTGCTAATATCTCTTGATTGTGGGTCTAATTTTGATACATTGTTATTGTTGTTGTTATCATATATTATATTGAGACCACCAGTTTGTGACATTGTATCCTTGGAGTTGTTATAAATTTGAAATTTTTCATCAGTTGGAGTTTCAATTAAATCTTTCCTTATAGGTATTTCATCAGCAACTTGTGAACCTCTAATATTATAACTTGATGGGAAATTATTATTTGTTTGAAAATTGAAATTATTTGTCGATGATGAAGAAGATTTATTTTCATTTATACTAGCATTTGAACTACGAGTACTTGAAGCTCTTGTACTTATTGAACTTACTTCTGATATCTGATCATTATGACTTATTATAATTGTTTTTTCAGCTTCATCGTTATCTCCTGAACCTGCTGATCTTGGTTGTTCTGAATTGTTTTCATCTTGTGTATAATCTACCGTTAAGTTTCCAGGTTTATCATTTATCTTTTTGTAATATGTACTTGTTCTTGTTTCATTTAATTCAAGATTTGATTTATTTGCCTTTTCAACATTTTGATGGAAATTATTCATAAATTGATAAGAATTTTCTGATGCAACTGTATTTTGTAATTTTACTGAAAGTCTTTTAAATTTATTACTTAATTTTCTTTGGGGTAAAAATGTAGAATTACGTTGATCTTCTTCTGATTGTAGGTTTTCATTATTATTATCGTTTTTATTTTTTTCATTAATTATAAATCCATTTATATCAACTACTGGTGTTTTATCATTATTTATATTCCTTGAATGTGACGAGAGTATTGGAGTTTCATCATTATCTGTGATATGGTTTAAATCATTTATACTAGTATTTCTTGAAGAATAATTTGATAATTGTTGTTGTTGTTGTGGATATTCATTAGGTAATCTTGTTTTTGCAGTCATAAAAGTTTGAATTGTTTGTGAAGATATATCAGCACTCATACCATAATGAGTATCATCAGAATATGAATTTGAAGAATTATTTTCATGATCATTATCATGATCATCATATAAGTTATTCTCTCGTGAATTATTGATATGATTATTATTATGTATTATCTCTTGATTAACTTCATCTTCTTCATTATCTTCTTCTTCATTGATTACATCATAATTTGGTTTAAATTCTGTTTCTATTGGTGAATAAACACTTGATGACATACTAACATGTCTTAAATCTTGTTGATGATGTTGTTGATTCTGGGGCTGCTGATACATTTTATATTACTAAAATTGTGATCACGAGGTTATCTTTGTATATTTTCTAATGAAATGTTTTAAGGGTTGCAAACGAATGAATTGATTTTCTTTTTTGATTTGTACTTTGACTGTAAAATTGGTTGTAAGAATTTAAAAAATTGGTTTAAAAAAAGTTGAAAAAAAAAAAAAAAAAAATTAAAATATATTAAATTTTTAATCTCCCCTTACTTTTAATTAAACAAGATAAGAATTAATAATAATGAAATGAATAACGAGTTATTAATTATGAAATAAAGTTGTTGATTGATTGTTTCAATAATGATAGATAGATAGATAGTAATAATAATAATACAAAAGTCAAAATAATAAAAATTGAATTTGAATTTAAAGTTGGTTGTAAATTGAAGAATTTACATTGCAAAAATAATAAAATTTAATTTTTAACGTGATTTAAATTTTGTGCAAATTTGGTCTCAATATTTTAATTGAAGATTGTTAAAACACTTTACTTCAATTTACAACCAGATATCTTTTGGTTTTTTATATATAAGTAATTAATAATTTTTTTAAATATTGTTCATAATAATGTAATGTTAATAAAGACTTTTTACGTAATATCTTATATGTTTAATTTTTTGTTTGCACCATGAATTTAAGACATCAATGTTTAAGTTTTTAATTATTAAGACGCGTCTGATTCAGCCTTACATTAAATTATATATATTTTTATATTTATTTTATTTATAAAGAAAATTTAATTAATGATCGGCTTTACATAAGTCATTAACCTAAAATAGGAGATCTTGTACTAATTTTTTGAAGATTAGATATTGATCATTGATCTAACATTATCTCAAATAATTAGATCCCTATATCTAAATTTATAAACTTTCGTTCATTCTATATGAAAAATAAATGATAATTAGATCTTTATATTTTGCTACCAAATTTTTTACCATTTATAATATGGTGAAAAGATCTAACAAGGATTTATTATGATAGGTACTTTGATAATAAATTACTTAACTAAAACAATTATTTATTGAGAGGAATTGAATTTCAGTGATTTAATTTTGAAATAAAACAAATGTAGAATTCTGTTGTGTAATACAAAAATTATTGATTTTATTACTATGAAATATAATTAGGACTTCTTTAATTAAGTGAGAAAAAAAAATAATAATACGTCAATAATTAAAATATTATTGCAACCAATTTAATTTATACGAAATTTACCATATACAAAAATTAATATCAATTGATGGCTAAAAACAAGAAGAAACTTAAAAGTAAAATTGAGGAGAAATTACCATCTATCAAATCTTCTACTTCTTCATCATCAACCATAAAAGACTCCCATAATAAGAAGAATGTTAAACTGAAAAACTCACCCACAACCAAAACTACAACCAAGGATTCAACCAAGAATGTACAAGCAAAACTTCAACGTCAACCAATAGAACAACATCATCAACAAAGTATATTCAAAGATTCACCAGTGTATGATCTATTACATTATTTTGAAAAAGCACCAGATCAATGGGCAGCAAGATATATTCTTATATTAACTTCAATTATATTAAGAACATCAGTTGGATTAGGTAATTATTCAGGATTTGGAACACCACCAATGTATGGAGATTTTGAAGCACAAAGACATTGGATGGAACTAACTATAAATTTACCTTTGGCAGAATGGTATTTTTTTGATTTACAATATTGGGGATTAGATTATCCTCCATTAACTGCTTATCATTCTTATTTAATTGGAAAAATTGGATCATTTTTTCAAAAGGATTGGTTTGAATTGGGTAAATCAAGAGGTTATGAATCTTTGGAATTAAAATTTTTTATGAGATTAACTAGTTTGGTAAGTGAATTTTTAATTTATATACCTGGAATATTATATTTATCTAATTTATTAGGTAAAAAATTTAAATTAAATAGAATGGATCAAATTATTTTATGTTTAGTAATTATAAATCAACCACATTTAATACTTATTGATCATGGTCATTTTCAATATAATTCTATAATGTTGGGGTTTTTCATTTATTCAATTATTGAATTATGTTCAAATAATCTTGTAGTGGCAAGTATTTGGTTTATTAGTTGTATTAATTTTAAACAAATGGGATTATATTATTCACTATTTATATTTTTTTATATTTTAAGTCAATTGAGAAATTTTAAAGAGTTAGTTATGATTGGTTTTACTGTTATTTTAACTCAAGTCTTGTATGTGTTACCATTTTTAGTACAAAAAGATTTTAAGTCGTTGATTAATCAAATTGTTATTAGAATTTTCCCTTTCAATAGAGGATTATTTGAAGATAAAGTTGCAAATTTTTGGTGTACTACTAATTTACTAGTAAAATATAGAGAATTCTTGAGTATATCACAATTATCAAAATTATCATTAATTACAACTTTAATTTCAGTTATACCAATAAATCTTTTAATTTTTTATAAATTAAAGAAGTCTACAACTGAGAATAAAAAAATTTCATTATTAATTTATGGATTTGCTCAAAATTCATTAAGTTTTTATTTATTTTCTTATCAAGTTCATGAAAAATCTATTTTAATTCCAATAATTCCAATATTATTAATATTATTTATAAATCATCAATCAAAACAAATTTCTTTAATTCAATGGATAAATAATTTAGCTACTTTTAGTTTATATCCATTATTAAAGAAAGATGATTTAATTTTACAATATTTTGTTACTTTGTTTGTAATAAATTGGTTAATTGGATTTAATAAAGTTTTTCCATCACCACCTAAAAAATTTGAATTTAATATTGTTAATCTAAATACCGTTGTGATTTATTTAACTTATTTATTAGTGGTGATTTATCGTTTATTAGATGCTTTTATAAACCCACCTGTAAATTTACCTGATTTATGGATAATTTTAAATACCAGTATTTCTTTTGTGGGATTTGGTTATTTCTGGATATGGTTAATTTATATAATTATTATAACTTAAATCGGAGAGATACAAAAAAGTTTTATAGATGATTGAAAATAAAAAGAGTTATATATTTTTGATCTTTGATTAAAATTTGTAGAATATATACACAAAAAGGAGGAAGATCTACAAAAAGTGGGAAAAAAGTGTCTCAGATTAAATAAAATTGAGGCGTATATATACTTTAATAGTATATGTTTAAGTAGGAGTTAAAGATAAAAGAAATCTTAAAGTAAGAATCAAATCTATACTTCAACAAATAAAACATGTAGGAGATAAATAAATCAAAATTTTTAAAACAATAACAATCAAACAATTTGTATTATATTTAAAAAAAAAACTTTTAAAGTAATAACAAACAAACTATAAAATTCTTTACAAACTAAATGAATTATTATTATCATTATTATTTAAAGATTGATTAGATTCAGAACTATTAAATCTTCTTCTTTTAAATTCCAGTTGTTGTTGTTCTTGTTGTTCTTGTTGGGGTGGTGATTCAATTACTATAGGTTCTTCTGATTCTGAATCTAAATTTATATTTTTGGTGGAATCAGGAATATTTGATAAATTACTCTCTATAATTCTTTCAGTAGGGGAAGGAATATAATTTAAATTATTTGGTAAAATATTTTCAAGTAAATCTAAATTTTGTTGTGAAAATTGGGAAATTTTAGGTAATTTAATTTGAAAATTTATATAAAGATTTCCTCTTTTTTGGGAGGGCTGGTTTTTATTGGTGTTGGTTGATTCTAATAATTGTAAATTTGAAGAATCTTGAATTAATATACCATTTGAAAATTGCGTGGATATTGGCATACCTAAATTTTTAACTAATTTTGGTTCATTATTTTGTATAGTACCTATAATTTCACCATTTGAAATTTTTTTAGAATCTAATGATGATTGAGATGAATTATTTTGTTGTTGTGATGAAGTTGATGAATTTTTATGTTGTTGATTACCTGTTGAATTTATATAAATTTTTAAAAATTGACCCATTTTTAAAAAATTGGGGATTAATATAAACCCACCTAGTAGTGCTGTTTTTAAATCTATTTCATAATTCATAAATAAATCATTATTTTTACGAATTAAATATTTATGAGGTTTTTGATTTATTATTATAATTAAATCTCCAGGTATTATATTTTTACCTTCATCTGATTCTTCCTTTAGAATTATTTTAGAACCTTGATGAGTACCTGGTGGGATATAAATTTTCAAAATTTTTGTAATTTCCATATAACCTTCACCATTACAATATATACATTTATCTATTGGTTTTATTTTTATACCATTACCTTGACATGATGTACATATATTTGTTTGTTTATATGAACTAAATTGATTATATTGAATTATTAAAATTTGACCAGAACCTAAACAAGTTTTACAAATTTTAGGATTAATTCCACCATATCCATTACAATTTGAACATTTTGAATTTTTTGGTAATGATAATTTTAAAGTTTTTCCATACATTAAATCTTCTAATGTTACATCACATACATGACGTATATCATCACCTCTTACGAGCTGGTTTTGTAATGGTTCTCCATATGGTTTTATGATTTTTTTCATTTCTTGTTGTTGTTGGGGGGGTGGTTGTTGAAATGAAGAATTTGTAAAATTTTGTTGAAAATTTGATGGTGATTGGAAATTTGTAAATGAATCAAATGAATTTGATGATTGAAAAAATGAATTTGAATTTGAAAACATTGAATTTAAATCTTGGAAAACTTGAGAAAAAATATCATTTGAATTAAAATTTTGAGAATTTGATGATGATGATGATGATCCTTGTTGTTGAAATTGTTGAGTTCTTTTTTGTCCAGTTGAATTCTTGGTGGATGATGTAAAAAATTGTTGAAATTGTGTATTTGGTGTATAATTTGAATTATTCTGATTATTGTTGGCATTGTTACTCTGATTATTATTATTATTTTGATTATTATTAGATTCATTACTTTCAATAATCATTGATTCCAAACCTTCTTCTCCAAAATTATCATATATATAACGTTGTTTATCATCTTTTAATATTTCATAAGCTCTTTTAATTTCTTTAAATTTTTCAGTTAATTGAGGGTTATGATTTGTTTTATCAGGATGACATTTTAATGCTTGTTTTTTAAAAGATCTTGAAATTTCTTCAATTGATGAATTTATTGAAACTGATAGTATATCATATAAATGAGTTTCTTTGACCATTGTTTATGTGATTGGTGGTAAAAAAAAAAAATAAAGTTGTTGTTGTTGTTAATTAGTTTGATAGTTATTTGTTATAATAAATTTGTTATTGATTATTAATATAAATTTGATATGAATGATTTTAAAATTTTGATATAAAATTTTTTAGAAATTTGATTGTAAATGATTTATATCATAGATGGTAATTTTGAGACTATGATTGAACAAATGAAGTTAATGAAATAAAAAAGAAAGATATAAATGATAAGATATAAAATAATAATACAAGGTTTGATTGAATAAAAAATGGTTGTTAAAATATAAAAAATAAAATGTAACAATTAAAATTAAAATAAAATCTTTTGATATATAAAAAATAAAANAAAAAAAAAAAAAAAAAAAAAAAAAAAAAAAAAAAAAAATTAAGAATTTAAAAATGCAAATCAATTTTGAAATTTGAAATAAATATATGAAGTAAGAGTATAAAACAAGAGTATTAAGTATAAGTGGAGTTGCTGATTGATTGAATTATTAGTATGAAAAGAATAAGCGAGAAGGGGTGGGGGTGGCAATGTAAAAATTAAAGTTGAATAATAAAAAAAGGGTATTGCCACTTGTACGAGAATTAAAGATAATATAAATGATTGATATTGATTAAAATATCTCAATTGAATTAAAAAAAAAAGAAACCAAACGAAATATACAATTAAACTTCTCTCTAATACTTCTAGTTGTATGTTAATGATATTAATATTGTCAATTAAAAGTCATTCTTTTAAATCATATCAAAGATGTTAATTGTTGCTAATGATTTAATTTAACTGAATTTTCATTACATTTCAGTTAAATATTATTTATTATCATTATAATAATATATATTATAATATTTGGACCATTAGAATATTTAAATGTAAAACAATATTAATACATAATACAAACATAATATTAATAATGTGATGTTTTGTAGAATATTCTTAAATATTCTTTTTTATATATTAATATGCAGGTAGTGTTATATATATATTTTGATACATTTTGATTTGGTAGCATTGTCTTTATATTTTTATTTTTAACTTTCTTTCGTTAAAGTAAGGGAACTTTTTTAAATTTAATTATTCCGAAACATTATTATAATCTTATACTTTCCATAAATGATTTGATATTAATATAAATTATTATTTATTCGATTCTTAAGGAGTTATTTAGTATGTATTAAATATGTCATAGTTAATAGTTTGGGGAAAAAATTTAAATTTTCAAATTCAATTTCATTAATTGTATTCGGAATACTTTTTTTTTTTAATCCGATCAGTTTACGTAAATGCAAATGTATATATAAACATATTTCCATATTGATAATATAAAAGAAATTTTAAATCCTACGTTTATTATATTGCAATGTAAGATTATTTGAATTATTATCACTTTTATAATTTGATTTCATTTTTTATTCAACTTTTCTGAAATTTTGTATGCGTATTATCTAAATTTATTTTATTTATATGGGGTCAATTATTGCTAATACTTCGAGTATACTTTCTAATTTATTTTGACTGAATTCAATAATCAAATAATCCAGTTATTGTCACGTTCATTGCATCTTCAAAATATTATTTCAGTAGTTTTTTCTCGAAAATACTTTTGAAAGTTCTTTTGATTTCTTTTCTTTTCTTATATTTTTAATTTGTTGATAATTTTGCAGCTAAATTTTGTATTTTTAAATTTTTTAATAATTTTAAATAATTTTACCTAATTGAGTTAATTTTTTTTATTGCACTTTCTTTTTTATTATTCATCGATTCAACTTAATGGGATACGTTATAACAGATACTTTAATTGCGTTTTAGATTAATCCAAAACTGAAATCTAATAGCAAAGAAAATAATTTTCCTTGAAATTTATTTCAGTTAATTCACTGAATATCATGAGAAATCACAATCTGTCAAACGGTGGAGTTAATATATAAATATTTTGTGTGAGTTTGTTATTTTCGTGTTAAATTACTCCCAAAACTCATAATCTAAGACATAATTTATTGACATTATTTTAATTTTAAATGCAAAATCGATTAAATGATGATTGTTTTTTCTTATAGTTTAGAATAATTAATTTTACGAATATTATACTTCACTTTTAAAGACTAAAAAACGCTAAAAAACTTTAATTTTTTATGCTTAATTTGGACTTTTGATTAAGAACTTGAGATGAGAAAGATCCATTCAGATGTTCAAACTTAACAACTGTTCACCTAGTAGTATTCAAAACTGAATTAAATTGATCTTATCTCATTCAATTAAACTACAACAGCAAAATTACATCATAGATAAGAATATGCAATGTACGGATTTAATAAACTAAACTTATCGTAAATTACTAAATTATGAATAATAAAAAAATTCAATAATACAATTAAAAGATTCACTATTGTAAATAGATGATTGATGGGTTAAAGCTGTGAGTATAGGAGATAAATTTCCTTATTGTCTAACTATAGTGTTCCATGGATATTATGGTATTAGTTGGCTCATAATTGTTTTTTGTTCTTTGCATTAACTCTTTGTTAGACCGTTTCTTACTTTTTTAATAAGTTATTAAATATACTGGAGTCTAAAAATAGCAAGTTGTTTCATATAATCAAATTTAAATTGTCTAGACTTTAATTATTTTCTTCAATTATTTTTTGAACACTTGAAGGAATTGTGTATATTCTTTGTTTTTTCATTTTTTCGTTCAATTCTATATATGTTTGCTAAATGTCAATTTAGTTTGCTAAACATGATGAAATAGATTAAACTTGAGAGGAAGTAAAGTTCTTTTTTACTCAATTTATAATAGCTTTCAACAACAAAAATCGATATTAGATTGGTTTATTGTTTTTTTAATTTATGTTTGTTTCCAATAATGAAAAAAATAAAACTTAGATTGAATCAATATATGTAAGTGATCAAGCACAGAAATGAGACGATGGAGAAATGAGACGATGGAGATATGTAATTTCTAACACTTTCTTTAATTGAATATTACATTGTAGAGAAGATTAGCACTACTTCCTATGTTGAGCTCATTCAATAGTTCAAAAACTAAGGTAAAACCAATTAGCTTTTGTTTTGCGATTATGACATTAGTTTGTTGAAAATAACGAATTTGAATTTAATAGAGGTACAAATCTTAACTACGAGATGCTCACAGAAAACCAACATCTTAATAGGTTTATTAAAAAAATTTGCATACAAAAACGAATTAATAGAGATACCCACCATTGAAATTGAACTCTCAATGTGACTATAGCAATTGCTTTGTGGTTAATTTAGATTTAGTGAAGAGCATACTTTTTTACATACAATTAACATTGAGAAAAACTCCCGTTAAGCACCTAATAATCAAGTATTTTGAAATCTATTTGTAAATACTAATAACAAATAAAGCTCTGAATCTCGGATCTAAACAAACCAAAAGTAGCTTCAAAAATTTAGCTATTGTATGAGAATAATGTTGTAAACAAAAAAACCAATTTTTACAAAAATCAAATATTTGATTCCATACAGTTCAAATTTGTTAGCAATTACTTTTTTTTTTTTTGTTTTTCGTCTCATTTCTGTGCCTTATATACATTTTTTTCGTTTCAAAATTTCTAAACACCCTTTGAATATCCAAATAGCTTTCTCAACAAAACAGAATTCGTCTGTCAAAATTTAGAAAAGATTTTTTGATAACTATATTCAAAAGAAGATAGTTTTGAATAATCAATGTTTATTTTGTAATCATTAATTTTTATTCTCAGCTTGCTTTAACTCTTAGTGACAAAACTTTTGTATCATTATAAACTTGTATGAGACATTCTAAATTTTTAAAATCTTGATTAATTTAGGTTCATAAAAGTAAAGCAAGTAATCAATCAAACTTTCGAACTGCTTTATTCTTTAACTATAAAGTTGATAATCAAATCATTCTGCTTGTTTTGTGTTATTTACACAAAAATGAGATAAACTTTAAAATAAATAATTAAGGTAAGATTTACGAGATTTAAAAATTAATAAATAGATAAAATTAAACGAAAACTTTGAATTTAAATCTAATTCAAAGATTAATTTGACGAAACAAACATTTTATTACTTTCTTTTCAAGTAAAGGAATTTCAAAAATTAATATTTTAATGATTATCTTATACGTGATGAATTTTAATTTTCATCTAAATTAGTCAAATATAATTTAAAAATAGAACTAAAAAAAACTGACGCGTTTTTAATTTTTTAGGTTAAGTCGTGTTAAACCAACCAAAAAGCTTCCCCCTCCCCCTTCTTAAAATTTTTTATTTGCCCCCTTAATTTAAATTTCCTAACCTGACAGATCTCAGAAAATTATCATTGAGAATTGATTGAAATTTTACAAAAACAAGGAATAAGGGATAACTTAATCTCAGATTCAGTATACTAGTATGTTAATGAGATATCTATTAAGTAGTTTCCGAGTCTATGACTTGATTATTACTCAATAAAAAATGTTAAGTACCTTAAAAATGTCTTTAAAAGTTTAAAGATTAAAATTGCGTTTTTTTTTTTTAATTTCAATAATTTTATTGTTTATTTTTATAATTATACCGATATTTTCATAACTTTAATAAAATGAATTGAAACTCTATCGTAAATTTGAGTAATTAAGATGGTCTTATTTTTGTTTGAGATATGAATGACTATAAATAATAAATATTATATAGAACTTTTAGTAAAAATTTTATTCTATTATTTGTAATAAATTAACTTTAGAACGGCCCCCCTTACTTAAATTATATGAGTACATTTATTTACATAAATTTATTCAAGAAGAGAATAAAGTTAAGATGATAAAAATATTATTATATAATTTAATTACTTAAAGTTGATAGAAATAAATTTAAAATAGTAAATTGAGTTTCTTCTCCAAGTAAGTAATTAAGAAAATTTATAAAAAAATGGGACCTTTTTTTTTTTGATGATCAAAAAATTTTTAATTTTTATTTTAAAAATTTTTTATTTTTTTTCTGTTCCTTTTTTTTTTTTATTTATTTTATTTTTTTAAGGTACATACATACAAAAATATAAGTAAGTTTAATAAATTACTTTAATTAGTAAGTTGTATAACTTAACTATACAACCATCTTACATAAATCTCTATTAATTATTATAACTATGTTTAAATGTATTGAATTATAAATTATTATATTCAAATGTTTAAGTATTACTTATCTACTGTACCCTAATTATATATTATATTAATAAATTAACATGAAATTTTATAATATAGTATAATTATTATAAATTCACTTTAATATAATATAATATTTTTAACTTTCGGTCATCTTATATTAGCATCATTATTATATTATTAATAAATTATTCAATTATAATATTTTTTTCCAGCATAAGATGAACAGATTATAAATTTAATTGATAGTTATATTCAAGAATGTATTATTGTAATATGTAGTGTACCTTTTTTATATTTTTAAGTTAAGATTTTCGATTTTCCTGACACTTTTTTTTTAACACTAAATTTTTGAAATTATTATTAATATTAAAAGCCATTATTTGACAATTAACTTATTATTACAATGCAATTTATTTAACTTAGTGCAACTTAGATCATATATTTTCAAATAAAACTGAGATAATTAGTAAGTTAGCAATCAAATATATATATATAACTCAGTAGTGTTATTGTTTAATTTGATACATTCTTTTAATCTTTTATTGTTATTAATATTTAGAAAAGGTCTTCAATAATTTTTAAATAATAAATAATTTTTAAAAGAAAAAAAAAAAAAAGAAAAAAAAAAAAAATTAAAAAAATTCTNTTTTAAAAAAAAAAAAAAAAAAAAAAAAAAAAAAAAAAATTAACAAAATTCTTTAATTTCATCAAATTTTAAATTTTTTGATATTGTTTTTTTTTTTTACAACCAACAAATATTTTATAACACTTATAACATTTTACCTTTTTAACTTAACTACTTCAGTTTACATCATCATCATTCATTTTAAATATATCCACTGTAATTCAATAATATTAAGGCATCATTTGGAATTAATTGAAAATTTTAGTTACATTCCGCTCGTTACTTACAAACATCATAACAACAAATACTATAACTAATTATACACAATATATTATAAAATAAGGAATAAATTATAAGGTTTAGAAGGAATATTAATGTCAACTTAATCAACACATTATCAGTATCATTTATTTTAACATTATCAATCAATCTTTTAAAGCATTTTTTTAAAGTGTATATTTATAAATTATATTTAATTTTTAACATTCACAACAACAAAAATTAAAAAGATTTTTACAACACAAAGAATTATATATACTATAAATAATTATATATAATGTTGGGGAATAGTCAAATACTAAATAAAGAGGTAACTACTCCTCAGCCACCATCAACTCAACAACAACAACAAAGTTTACCATTTTCATCGTTACTTCAACATCAACAACATCAACAACAACACTCAGTAGTAGCTCCACCGCAACATCAACAACATCAATTACCGTCATTATCTAATATAACTTCTATGACTTCTGGGCATCATAGTCATCATCATCATTCACTACCACAACACCATCATCACCAACAACAACAATCGTCGCATTCTCATCAACATCAACATCCACATAATTATTTACATCATAGTAATAGTCATCCACCTCAACCACCTCCTCCAATAACTTCATCTCAACATTATCCTTTACCTTCATTAAGAGTTCCACCTCCACCTTTAACAAGTTCATCTACTTCATCATTACCACATTTAACTCCAAATATAACAAATCATTCAAATCATTCAATAATAACATCTTCATCAGCATCTTCATTACCACAATTAACTCCTACAATTACTAATGCAACTCATTCAACTATTTCCTCTTCTTCATCCACTGAAAGTGCTGCATCAACATCATCAAATAATACAAATGGTAGTAAATCTAAAACTAAAAGATCAAATAAAGGTAGAGTATTCCAATGTACTGGATATCCAGGTTGTAATATGTCATTTACAAGAAGTGAACATTTAGCAAGACATAAAAGAAAACATACAGGTGAAAGACCTTTTAAATGTCCTTATTGTTCAAAAAATTTTAGTAGATTAGATAACTTAAGACAACATAAACAAACTGTTCATGCTTATGAAACTTATTTAACTAAAGATAATAGTGATAGTAAATTATTAGTTGAAAGATCAAAACAAAAGAAGAAATTAAAACAACAACAAAAGAAATCTAATTTAGCTTTAGCTATGCATAATCAACAAGAACAACAACAACAAGCTCAACAACAGCTGCTGCAAGTACAGCAACAACAACAAGCTCAACATCTTCAACACCAACAACATCATCATCAAGCTCAACATCAACAATATACATCTACTATACCAATGCAACCTAGTGATTCCTTACACTCAAGACAACAACAATATATTTTCAGACAACAGCCAACACTACAAAACCATCATTCAGTTCCAATCCCACAATATTCAATTCAATATTACCAACAACAACCACATCAACAACAACAACAACAACAACAGGATCAATCTCAAACACAACAACCACCACAACCACAAAGTTATCATAAGCCATTACCACCATTACCTACTCAATCACCACAAAATCAACAACCTCATCAACAACAACAGCAAGTATCTCCACAACAACCAAATGACTTAAAGATCCCTTCAACAAATTTCAAACCAAAAAGAAGACCAGAACCCTTATCTTTACAACATTCAACTTATGAATCAGAATCTCTTAATTCAGCCAATTCTCAAACTACAAAAGATTCTCTTAATTTTTCACAACAAAGTATTCCAACATCTTCACATAACACATCATTCAATTCAACTTCGACTTATCCACCCCCACCTAAATCTGCATCATCATTAGCTTCAATGACTCCCAATCTAGCATCACCATTATCACCAATGTTTCATTCATCATTTAGTAATAATATTATGAATAGTAATCAAAAATTCAGTAATAATAATAATCAATACCAGATAAAGTTAAATAGAAATTCAAGTGGATCTACAACAATGACTAATTCTTCATCACTTTCTAAAGTCAATGATTCAAATTATTTTGAACTGGAAAACCCTCCTAGTGGTGGTGAAACTAATGAAAATAAAGTTGAAATTAATAATAATAATAAACCTAAATTACCTCCAATTTCTCAATTATTAAAATCTAATTTTAATTTAAATAATTTTGGTAATTTTGAAGAATCAAAAGAATCAGATAAGAAATCAAATTGGAGAAATTAAGTTAGATATTTGGTTTATGGTTTATGGTATTTGGGTTTTTTATTGGTTGTATAGTTTTAATAAAGTTGTATTATTAATTTTTCGCAAAACATATACATTATTCTTTCTTATATTTTACTCTTTTGAATAAGGGAATATTGATTTATTCTAATTACAACAATTGTAACTTAAATTTGAGTTTTATTTGACATATTTAAATACATTTTGGGTTTTGTGTAAACTTTTGAGATAATTTTATGTAAGGGGAATTTTAATTGATTTGATGATGTTGATGATTTATTTTTAGCAATTGTAAATTTAATCATATTTCTCCAAATTAAATTATTAGTATATTATTGCGTATATTATTTCTAGAATTAATGATACGCTTTAATTCTAGCCATTACATGACTCGAGTTTTTTATTTAAATTTAAATCTGGAATATTAATCTATTAATTTATTGATAGAATTGTAAAATTGACTCCTAATCTCAATGAATTACGCAATAGACTAGAGAAGGAGATTGTGAGAATCCTATCCATCTATTGCACCAAGTATTGCTCCTTTTCTCTCTACTATCATTAATTCCATTTCAGCTAGTTTTTAGTGCTCGAGAATTATAACAGAAAATGAAATGGTCAAAGTTAAAGCTTAAAGCCGATCAAATTACAACCGATTTTTTGTACAGCTGGGTAAATCTGTCAACTAATTTGAAATATTTTAAATAATATTGATCTGGGGAAGATGTTGCAAGTCTTCACTAAAAACCATATTGAATGTGATAGAATACTTCATTCACATATACGACTTATTGATGTATATTTCTTGGCCTATTTATTTTACTATCAAAGTTGTATTCATTTGGGTTCATCGGTTGGAAACTCAAATTTATACTTCATTGATTTTGCGGCACAAAACTTAAAAAGCAATATTTCTATTTTTAAACTTCTATAAATCATCATTCCAAATAAGCCGATCTGTCTCAGAGTTCTATAACCCATATTTCCATTTAGATAACAACCATTAAAAAAAAAAAATTGAGTATCCACTCACTTTATTCATTTTGCTATCTCAAGTCTTTTAATTTTACTATTTGCTTTTAGTAACATTTCACAAATCGGATATTTTTAAAATCGGATATATTCCATCTCAGATCTCAGATCTACTAAGATTTAAAAAGAATAAATTCATTTATAGTTCATTAAAATAAATTTCAATAGTAATTAAAAACTCAACGTTCATATCTCAAACCGTCTTACATATAAGCCATCATAGCTCATGATCAAATGCTAAATACTAATACAAGATCGCCTTTAAGATCTCCGTCACCAAGAAATATTGATGAAGAAAATGATCATCATTATGCATTACTGCCTCAACATACAATTGATCCACACATTGAAATTGGAGATAAATATACTTTTTTAGATGATGATGATTTCTCAAATGATGAAGAAGAAGATACACAAGAATCAGAAGAAACAAGTGAAAATAAGAAGAGTTCTATAATTGAAAGTTTAGATGATGATTTAGATGATGATGAAGAATTTGAAGAAGTTAAAAATTTTGAACCTGAAATAGAAGAAAAGGTTGAACCATTACGTAAGAAATTAACAAGAGAAGATGCTGAATCAATAGTTGGTGGAGAATCTATCGAAAGTGTTTATAAGGAAAATCAAAAGGAACATAATGTAGATCATCCACAAGCTGATCCTAATAAACCAACTGAAGATCAAGAGATGAAAGTTGGTGATAATTCCTTTTCAGGGTATAAAATGAAAAATTATAATCCTTCACAAAAAGTTTTTTCATTTTCATTACCGTTTGGTGGATTAGAAAGTATAAGGAATGATTTATCAAGAAAATTACAAAATTTAAAAATTGATGTACCATTTGTGGGCAATCATGAAGATGAAGAAATAAGAAAAAATTTACAAAAAAATGTTGAATTAAGATTAGAAAGACAACAAAGTATAAGTACAACAGATGAAGAAAATTATTTTAAAAATTTTAAAGGTACTGATGCAGGTAGATTAAGAGCTGTTAAACATACTATAACTTCAAATTTAGGTGATATCATACCACATAAAAAAAAGGATTTAAAAGATTATGAATCTATATACGATAGAATTGATGGGAATATAGTAATAATGGGTGGATATAGAGGTTCAATTCTAAGAGATACAAAGACCAAAAAAAGAATATGGATACCATTAAAAGCTGGGTTTCATTTGAAAAAAATTGATTTGTTACTTGGACCAAATAAAGAAGATGAATTAAATGCAGAAGAAAAATTATACCCTGATGGAATATTAAAAAATGTTGGACCAATAGATATATGTAAAAAATTAATTAAAAAACTAGATTCTAATCCAAATGTCAATATTAAAGAATTTGGTTATGATTGGAGATTAGGTGGTGATTATGTTTCTTCAAAATTAGAAAAATTCTTGAGTGATATATATGAAGAAACAGGTAAACCTACTTTAGTTATTGCTCATTCAATGGGTGGATTAATGGCTCATGGAACAATGCAAAAAAATCCTAAATTATTTAGATCAATAATTTATGTTGGTTCACCAAGTGAATGTTTAAATATTTTAGGACCAATTAGATTTGGAGATTCAGTTATATTATCAGATAAAATTTTAACTTTTGAAACTAATTTTATGATGAGATCAAGTTTTGTATTTTTACCACTTAATGGAGAAACATTTTATAATAAAAATACTAAAGAACATTACGTAATAGATTTTTTCAATCCTGATAATTGGGTTGAATATAATTTAAATCCTTTAGTTGCTGAAAAAAGGAAAATTGCAGCTGAAAATGCAGAAAAACAAAAAAAATTATTATCAACATCTACTTCAGGTTCATTAAGTTCATTAAATCATAATTCAAATCATAATTCAGTAGATTCTCAAATTGGGAAAAAATCATCATCACCTTCATCATCTTTATCATTAGTTTCTAATTCAACTTTCCCAAGTATAAATTCAATATCATCAACATTTTCTAAAATTTATAGATCTTCATCATTAAAAAAAAATTCTAAAACTTCAAATAATCTATCATCACCACCATCTTCTTCACCACCAACTACATCACCATTAACTAGCACAAATTCAAATCCAAACAACCCTAATGACCAAGCTGTACCAGAACAAGAACATTATTCATTTTCATTCGCAGATTCATACAGGTACTTAACAGAAACATTAGAATCAACTAAAGAATACGTCTTATCACTAAACCATGATCCACAAAAGGCAGCAGAATATCCACCAATGGCAATAGTTTATGGTAATACCATCCCATCAGTACGTGGATCAGTAGTAACTTCTCGTCAAGATATAAAAGATGGAAATTATTATGAATTTTTTTATGGTCATGGAGATGGTGTAATACATCAAAAATGGTTAATGCCTGAAAAAAAAGGTTTTACATTTTATGATAATTCTACTGGAAAGGGAGAAATTGTTGGGAAATTTGCAAGTCCTGCTGCTCATGTTAATTTATTAACTGATTTTGATGCTATTGGGAAAGGATTAAATGCTGTTTTTGAAGCTGAAAAATTTTGGGAGAAGAAAAAAATGATTCAAAAATTGGAGATGAAGAAGCATAAAAGTGGTGAGGATTCGTAGACTATTTAGACCTTTTAATGCATAACTTATTTATTTATCCCGTTAATTTTTTTTCAATGTTGCAAAAGTCTCAAAAATTTGGTAGCGTCTAAATTCTGAAACATTCTAAACTTAAATAATAATCTCTACTAAACATAAATAATTAAGACTTTTCTATTTTTTGAAAAACTATACGAATTATACAGCTAATCTTGGTTTAACAAACCTATCTGAATCATTATGTTTTAAATCTTTTTTAGGTAAAACATTAGAAGATTGATCCAACATAAACCCATTAAAATAATCATCAACATTTTTCAAACCAGATTCAGAGAATTCAACAACTTTAGCAATATGGGAATCAGGTCTAATTACCAAAATTGCACCATTTTGGGAATCAATACCATATGTTTCATAAACATTTATAGTATCACCAATGTGATTCTTGTCATAACCTGAATAAATCTTCCAATAATTAATTCTACCTTTAAAGTCAGTAGGTCTTAAAAATTCAGGAAATTCAAAAAATTCTAAATCGTTTCTTTTTGATGCGTGGATTGCAATTATTTGAATAACTGAATCTTCAAATGCATTTTGTGGAGTGAATTTTTTCAAAAAATTGGATTTGGAATTTAAAAATTTATTGAAATTATGTAATTTTTCAAAATTTCGAGGGTATGTTTTTAAATCACCTGGGAAAATTAAAACTCTAAATCTACCATCTGATGATAAGATTTCACCAATTTGTTTTGTTTTGAAATCAACTTGACCAATTACTAAATCACTATATAATCTTCTACCGATAGCAACTTTTGAAGCTAATGAATTAAAATCTCCATCTTCATTACTTAAATTCTTTGATGATTTATCTACTAAAACGGAATTTTGATAATCAACAGTTGTACCACTTGCAAATTTACTACCTTGTAAATAAACTTGATGGAATTCATTCATATCAACTTGATCTTTTTTGTGTTCCAAAATTTTAGAATTTGGTATCATTGGCTTACCACTAAATAATCTTGAAAATTTATGATCAAATTCAATTAAATCACATGCAACTTTATGTCTTTCTGGTTCATAAGTTGATAAAATTAGGGGATCAGCTAATCCTTTACATACTAAAGCTAATTTGAAACCTAGGTTGTATGTGTCTTGCATAGATACATTCATTCCTTGACCTGCTTTTGGTGAATGAGTATGACATGCATCACCACTTATAAACACTCTATTACTTCTTTGAAAAGTTGGAGTAACTCTTTGTCCAATTTGATAACCTGTAAACCAACTTAAATTACACATTTCTAAAGTATATGGTTTTAAAATTGATTGTGCTTGTTTTAATATAACTTCAGGTGTAATTTTTGATCTATCTACTCTACCTTTTGTAGTAGCAGTTTTATCATCACAATTACCCATAAATTCTCTTTTGTCAGTTGAAGTAGAAGGATCCCGCTCGACTTCTTTTAATTGGATGTAAAATCTAACTAAATCATTTTCTCTTGGTATAATCATCATTGATCCATTATCTTTTGAATGAATGGCACATCTACTTCTAATATCTGGGAAATTTGTTATTGGTACAATATCCATTACTCCCCATACAAAATCCGTGTGTTCTCCTTCCATATTGATGTCTAATTGTTTTCTTACCCAACTATGAGCACCATCTGATCCCACAACATATTTTGCTTTAATTAATTCAAGTTCTTCGTTCTGGGTTTGATTGTTGTAAGATTTATCTTGATCACCGTCAAATTGTCTGAATAATCCATTAGCAATGTTACCATATTGTTCAGGTTTAGCTTGTTCAGTGTTTAATTTTTTGACCATGACTTCGACTGGATATTCTTCTTCTTTATCATCTTTTATTTCTAAACCAATAGGTAAAATTGGTCTCTCAATTTCAACTTCACCATTAGAAAAATTTTTAATAGATTCCAAAAACCAATTTTCAATATTACCTTGATGAATAACAACTTCAGTAAAATTAGATAATCCAGGAATATTATCAGGAGTTCTTGATTTTCTAACAAGTTTTTCTTCTTCATTAGGTGACCAAAAACACATTTCTTCAATATGATTAGCAACTTTCCAAGCTTGATCCATTGTTATAAAATCCATACTTGGTTCACTAAAAGATTTGAAAATTTCTAATGATCTACTTTGTAATCCATCAGCTTGACCTGCAAAAATTTCATTATTTCTTTTATCCATTATTCTAAAGGGGATTCCACATCTTGATAACCAAAGGGCACACATTAAACCTGATGGACCAGCACCAATTATTAACACATCTGTTTGGGATTCTTTTATTGAGTTTGTAGTAGATGGCATTTTTTGAGTTAGCTTTATAATTTGATCTCTTTGGATTTATTTCAACATAATTATTCTTCATTCTTTTGATGTTCTATTTATACCATTTTGAAACAATATGAATGCTAGGTTACTTAACCATCATTCTAAATAGTTTAAAATACTCATAACTAAACAATGGAGCTAATTACAATCAATGGAAATACCAATATTTGGGTTTGCTTAAAAGTTCTGTATTATAATTATAATTTATTTTTGTATTTTTCCGAAACTTTTCAGACTTTCTTTTTGTGGGGTAAAATATATTTTTATAATATCGGACTTTTTATTTCATTAATTAATTAATTATAATATTTCAAAATTATTATGATTTTCTTTAACTAATTATTTATTTTTGACATATTATTATCTTTTAATGATAGATTGATTTATAGTATAGTAGAAGTTCTGAAATGGATGTTGTAAAGTATTAACATCTAAACTTAATTGTAAATAGTATGATCAATAAAAAAATTGAGTTTACGTTAGAAGATAAATATGATTATCGGAAATACCATAATTAATGAACTGTAAAAATTAAACCTTTTTTTACATTTACTAAATAATTAGTAAAATTTTGATTAAATTAATACCAAACATAAAAAATTTAAAAAAAAAGGAGTTATCATCGATAATATGCGCAAACCCGGAATCGAACCGGGGGCCCAACGATGGCAACGTTGGATTTTACCACTAAACCATTTGCGCTATTTCTTGTTTTGCACACATCTAGAATAGCTGAATCTTATATGATGTTGCATTACTTTTTAGTACAATTGGAGGAAAAACAGCACAAGCGTCTTTTTGATTTTTACATCAGGAGTTCAAAACGAATCTAAGTTCTATTACAAACACGTTTGAGAGGAATTGTCAGTAATGATTATCTTTTCTAAAAAGAGGGAAAACAATGTACAATACGAATTACCCACTTATGTCATTATTATTTTCATAGTTCAAGTTATTGTAATCATCTTTTGGTTGATCAAATCCAAAATCCTTTTGACAATTAAATTTAAAGATTATTGGACTGAAATAGTGGAAATTTATTATTCAAAAACTAATGGGGCAAAGAATTTGTGGGATTATGTAGTACCCGCTAGTCATGTATATGCCGCATTGGTACTTTTTATTGGTTTCGTATCTTTATTTACTTTCACTTTCATATTTCATGTCCCATGGGCTATCATATTATTTTCAACAAGTAGTATAATTATAGCTGTTATTTCATCTTCCAGAGCTGCTCAAAAAGAAAAAATTCAAGTATGAACTCAAAGATCATGGACGCAAAAGAATTTTAAATATCAGCAATTCAAATAATTCAATCAAACAAGTACCTAAAAATTGTCTTTAAAGTTTTTGCCTATCAACGATCGTGGCCAGGAAATGATGAATCTTTCGATGAAGAATTCAAAAAAGCGGCATCTCGATTTATGCATATAATGATCATACTTCATTAACAAAAACGGAACGAACAGAACAAACAGAACAAAAGCAAAAAAAAATATCAATGGGTTTGTGTTCAAACAACTATGAAAAATTAAGTGAGTTACATAAATAACTTTTCTTTCTCTCAAATCTGGTTTAATTCTTTATATTTAGCAAGCTAGATGGACGTTTGATATAAAGTATTCAAGAAAGAAAAGAATAGGAACTTGGGAGAGTATAGTAAATATCCAAGGGAAAGTTGAGACAGTTTGAAACACAAATCTCACGTAAAATTCAACCCCAAACTTGAATCTGTGATACCTTTTTAACACTTACATTAGACATAAATAAGACAAAAATAATAAATATTTATTATGATACTTTCTCTTTTTTGTACTATATAATATTTTAGAGTCGGAAAAACTTTATATTAATTATTCCGGAATATAATATTAAATCTAAAAATAGTGAAAATTATTTACGAGATCCATTATTTTGTAAAATATTTTGACAGTTCTTGGAGTTATTGCTACAGACTTTGATTAGGTAAAGGCATTTTGGTTTACAGTTCTGCCTATCGAAGGATCTTTTCGAAAAAAATTGCTCCTGATCGAATTGAAATAAAGCTTATCAGACTCGCCAGTTCAGAAGATCTCAATTTGATGTTTGTATAAAAGTCAAATTTAAGGAATTTGATTTACAATTAAAATTATTTGGGGTTCCAAAATGTCATGTAATATCTCCATAAATAAAACATGAATCTGATGTTTAAATTCTTATATATTTTCTTATGAAATTAAGAATTTCAATGAAAGATTAAAAATATTTAAAAGTATTTCGGACCTCAGAGATAAAAAAAATCTGTTTTTGTGCTACAATAAAGATTAAAGAAAAATTTATAAAAAATCGGAATTTTTCAAGGCAATTCAACAAATCATAAAATTACTATAACGGATACAATTTTTATTCATTTCGTATTCTCATATTCAATTCACAGATTTGACAATTCTTTAGGATAATCTTGACTTTCATTAACAAATATTCGACAAATAGTTGGATCTTTTCATAGTATAGCAACTAAAGATTATAAAAATTAAACTCATTTAATCATGGTTCATTTAGGTCCAAAACCACCTCAACATAGAAAAGGTACTTTCACAGATGTTTCACCGGAATTATTAAAAGAATTAGCAACTTTAGAAAAACAATTCACCGTTGATGGTGCCACATTAAGAAAAATAGTTGATCATTTTATCACAGAATTAGATAAAGGATTAAGTAAAAAAGGAGGTAATATCCCAATGATTCCAGGTTGGGTTATGGAATATCCAACAGGTGAAGAGACAGGTGATTATTTAGCTATAGATTTAGGTGGAACTAATTTAAGAGTTGTTTTAGTGAAATTATTAGGAGGAAGAAAATTTGATACTACACAATCCAAATTTGCATTACCTGAACATATGAGATTAGCTAAAAGTGAAGAATTATGGACATTTATTGCAGAATGTTTGAAAAAATTCATTGAAGAAGTATTTCCAGATGGTTGTGATGAAGTTTTACCATTAGGTTTTACTTTCAGTTATCCAGCAAGTCAAAGCAAAATCAATGAAGGTGTATTACAAAGATGGACTAAAGGTTGGGCTATTGAAGGTGTTGAAGGTAAAGATGTTGTTCCAATGTTACAAAAAGCTATTGAAAAAGTTCATGTACCAATTGAAGTAGTTGCTTTAATTAATGATACTACAGGTACTTTAGTTGCATCAAGATATACTGATCCAGAAACTGAATTAGGTTTGATTTTTGGTACTGGTGTAAATGGAGCTTATTATGATGTAGTAGAAGATATTCCAAAATTAGAAGGTAAATTAGAAGATGATATTCCAAAGAATTCACCAATGACTATAAATTGTGAATATGGTGCATTTGATAATGAATTGGTAGTATTACCAAGAACTAAATATGATATTCAAATCGATGAAGAATCACCAAGACCAGGACAACAATCATTTGAAAAAATGAATTCTGGTTATTATTTAGGTGAAATTTTAAGAATTGTATTATTAGATTTAGCAGAAAATGAAAAAGTAATATTTAAAAACCAAGATTTAAATAAATTAAAAAAACCATATATTTTAGATACTTCATTTCCAGCTAAAATTGAAGAAGATCCATTTGAAAATTTATCAGATGTTGCAGAATTGTTTCAAGATGTATTAGGTATACAAACAACAATTCCAGAAAGAAAAGTTATTCGTAGAATTGCAGAATTAATTGGTGAAAGATCAGCAAGATTATCAGTTTGTGGTATAGCTGCTATATGTAAAAAAAGAGGTTATAAAACTGCTCATTGTGCAGCTGATGGATCAGTGTATGAAAAATATCCTGATTTTAAAATTAGAGCTGCTAAAAGTTTAAGAGATATTTTTGAATGGTCAGATGATTTAAAAGAAGATCCTATTGTTATTGTACCAGCTGAGGATGGTAGTGGTGTTGGTGCTGCTGTTATTGCTGCATTAACTGAAAAAAGATTGAAAGAAGGTAAATCAGTTGGTTTAAAAGCATAGAGTTTTAGATTTTAGATGTAAATAGATTTTTGGGTATTGTTTTTCCATAACGACTATATAAGAATAGACTATACTGAAACTTTTTATTGATGATGATGATGATTTTGTTCGTAATTGTTCTGAACATTTATGAATTTTTCCAACATTTCATAAGTTCTTTTCCTTCTTAAAGATAATTGATTCGTAACACTTCCTTTTATACCTGCTGCTCCACCACTTACTGAATTTTGATGAGTTGGTGTATTCGTGGTACTACCTAAATTGAAATTTGATAAAGAACCACCAGAACCTTGACCATGATAAAAATTAATAGTTGTTAACCTATTTCTTAATGACATGAATGTACTAGATTGTGGTAAGATCATTAATATTCCATATAAAGTTTTGTATAAAAATGGATAATTTTCTGGTTCAAGTAATTGTAATCTTAGCTTAACAAATATTGGCAGCTCCAACAATTGAATTAAGACGTCTAATTGAGTCAACAATTGTGATGTCACCTCCAATTCTGATAAATTTTTAATTATTAAGTAGGATAATTCATAATTTGAAGTTAATAAACATAATGCTATTGCACTGGGGGCATTAAAGCACCAACTTTGAAATAATGTTGCAAAAAGTGACCAATCTTCCAGTGACATAATATCTAAATTCTTTAATTTTTTTCTGAATGGCAATAACTCACTAGACGTTAGCAAAATGTTATTAAGTGTTACAATCATCATATTTGAGAATTCTAAATCATTGGCTGTTTGATACTTTTGAAGTTGTTGATCTTGTGACGGTTTCAGAATTTTCTGGTATTGTTGTTGTAATACATCAGATAATGTAGTGAAAATAATCTCTGAATTTAAAGTAAGGCAAAGTTTTCTAATAATAAATTCTACTTTCATTGATTTTTCATGACCTTCAATTTTAAATAATTTAATTAATTTTATAATGAAATCTTTGAAAAATTCTTGATTTGATTCTGAAATTTTACCTAATAATTTCAACACTTTCAATATAACTTCGTTACTTGTATCATATTTCAATAAATCGGTTAATTCAAAGTTATTCTCTTGTGATTTGAAAAATTTTAGAAATTCTGTAGAGTTTCTATCATAAATGAATATTAACCACTCTAGTGATGTAATTTTTGAAAGCTCATTATCAACAGATGGATTAAGGTATTCATTGATAATTTTTGATAAAGTACTTGGTAATTGAATTTCATTGAATTGTGTTATACTATCTTGTGTTAATCCATACAACTCAAAAAATGCAATATCATCATATATCTTATTCAAAAATGCTTGTAGACTATAACTAAAATTTATTAATTGATCTCTTAATTCATAGTCCTGTTGTTGATCAGTTATTGATATATTCTTTAGGATTATAAAAACGCAGTCGGGTATTGAGTTTAATATTTCTTGTGGTGCGATTTCAATCAATTCTTGTAACCATTTTAAAACGATAAATTGTACATCACAAATTGTTTCATGGGAATCTGTTAGTAAATCAGTCTTAGCATTTAGTTCTTGACCTTCAAAAGACTGCAAGAAGGATAATAGAATCTTTATAATTTTCAGATAATCAATGAAAATATCTTGACCAAAATAAACTTCTTCTGGCTCATCCACCTCTTCTTCTAGTAGTAATTCTTCAGTTTGAGTATCTTGTTTTTTTCTGATTATTGTTGTATCGTCGGATTTAATACTAGCAGCATCATCTTTTTCCAAAGTCTTTGTTGGTTCCTCTGATTGAGATGTAGTTCTAACTTTACCATTATTCTCCTTGTCATTATTTTCATTTTTCGTACCTTCAATATTCTCAAATTTAGCAATTTTATCATTTGTTCTACTCTCATTTTCCTGCTTGATTTTGTCTTCTTTTTCCAATTTGTCAGCTTCTTCTGCTTCTTTTAATTTTTTCTGTTTTGCCTTTTCTGCTTTTTCTTTTTCTTGTTCAATTCTTTTCTTTTTAATTTCAATTTTAACTTTAGATATACCTTTTATTTCTTTTAAAAAAGAATTTAGAATATTTTGCGTTTCTAGTTTGATATCATTTGGTGCACCATTTAGTATAAAATTAATTAAAGGTTTTAAAAAACTTGGTAAAAAACTAATCAATTCCAAATTTGGTATATCATCAAACAATTCCAACCAACTAAGTAAAAATTTTTTGGTAAATGGATCAATTGTATACATCCTCTCTAATAAAGTTGGAATGAATTTTGGTAATTGAAATGCTTTTGTTGGATCTTGTGGATGATTAATTTGAATTGCATTACCTTGTGCATCAATTAAACTGCTCTGTATGTCATTGTTTCCTTGTTGTTCAAGTTGTTGCTGTTGTTGTAATATACTAACGTAGTTCGTAGCTTTAGCGCTTATTATATCTTTAATTAATCTATCCAAAATATCAGCTGCATTTTTAACACTACTTTCTGCATCACTAACCAATATAGCTATAATATCAAATATTTGTGGGAAAAATGGTAATATTTCTCCTCTTGAAATTTTGGCAACATTATAAAGTGCTTCAGTTGCATAATAACGTACTCTTGCATCACTATCTTTGAAAGTTGCAAATATTGGTCTTAATATATCTTCTAAAAAATATGCAATTGCAAATGATCCAAGTGCAACTGATACGCTACCTAAAGCAGTAACTGCACCCATTTTAGCACTATTTGAACTACTACTTGTTGTAATTTGTGACAATTCATTTATTATTCTATAAATTGTTTGACTATCATTTCTAGAAAGTGCTGTTTTGGTTATTGATTCTATCTGAAATGCTGTAGCTTTACGCTTCTCATATATGTGGTTTGATAAATCTTTTATTAGTGATTGATCTAATATGGGTTGTTGGATTATCTGAGCCATTTTTAAAGTTCAATTGAATAGGTTGTAATTGGTTGTATTGAACTTATTATATTTATGATCTCTTACATATTCAAACTTCTTATGTAAATGTACGATAAAAATAAACTTGAAGGAGCTACCAGTTTAGGCTGAATTATAAAAGTAACATCACATCAATTGATCCAGGAACAAAGCAGTTGTTAACTATGTAGTGATATCGATTAAATGAACCGGTAACGTATATAAAAAAATCGTAGATTAAAATCAAAGTTGTAAACAGTAAAATCAATTCGTTGACGATAATGGTTTAAAAATATATAAAATTGTTTCAGGAGGAAAAAAAAAAAAAAAAAAAGCCCGACGCGGGACTCGAACCCGCAGCCTTGAGATTAAAAGTCTCACGCTCTAGCCGATTGAGCTAGCCAGGCCAAGCAGTCGATGTTTCACAACTACTCCAAATCTTACAATTTGTTGTCAAAAAAAGCACTGTGTTTATTATATATTTAAGTTTTCACGTGCTTTACACACCGTATATCACATGAATTTAGCGGATTTTTTATTCCGGCTTTGTGTAATTTTGACCTTGAAATTGGCATTTACCAAAATGGCCTATATCTCCTAACTCACTGCAGCTGTTCACGATTTAGAATGTTAGTTGAGCTAGTGAAATCAAGATCTAAGATTTAGAGCTACTTTCAGACCTGTAGCTGCTCATTTGAGCGAGTTAGACCTTTTGCTTAATATCTCAACAACCAGAAAATATTCATCAATGAGACTTAGTGCATTGGAATGAGGAGTAAAGAGGGTATCTGAGTATGCACTAAAAAATAAAGCTTGAAGAAAAAGTGTAATGTCCGGGCGCAAATTGGAAAACCCTCAATTTTTTTAGGGGGTAGATTTACAGACTTTCTAGCCATATTGTGAACTCTGAGTACCATCAAGAACCAATAGGCAACATGTATGCATTACTAAAGCTCATATTTGTATCAATTTGTTTAAGTGCTGAAGCTCTGCTAGTACATGTTAATCATTTTTGCAACAATAATTTGTTAGCAGCTGTAAACTCCCCCATTTGAGAATTTTTTATGGTACGTCATATTGTAAAACAATCTGTAACTCAGTTGGCTATCAAATAATGGGACAGTTGCTTTAGTGTGCTATTTGGTAACATTTATTCACGTACATTACTGTATTAATTCGCAATTTATAACCTCATTCAAAACATCAGTAGCAGCAAAGTCTGTTTGTATTCTAAGCAGTGATATCTCAACTTTTTTAGGTATTTTTTTAAAGGACTCTAGCGGTCGAACTTGTCAATTTATACTCAATATTGGTGTTATTGAATTTGCAGTATGTTTATACATATATTTCTAAGTTATATGGTAGCGTCTTTTGAAACTTACCCGTATTCTGTCTTAAAGTTTAAGCTATGAAATCCTGAATAAAGTCTGTATAGGGTACTTCTGTCCCGTTTCTCAATTTTGGTGACCACTTTAATGTATTTATTACTAGCGCTATTCTCTAAGTTTTTTGTGCTATTCTGAGTCTTAACCATTGCATTGAACTTAAATTGATGATATGAAATGAGCTAAAATAAAGTAGAATCGGAATCAACTATCTCTCTCCACGAGACAACCTGCCCACTCACAGTCATGTATCTCAAGTATCAAAGTCAAAAAGGGTTGTCAATCAATTTACCAAAACACCAAATATCTCACTTGCTTCACTTCAGTGTCTATTCCAAATCATAGCCCAGTCAGATAGTTAAGTTTGTCTCCAAAGGTTGGTTTTCAAATTTAATAATGTTGATATTAAAACTAGAATTCTGAAGTTAGTAGTAAATAAATAATTAAATAAATAAATAAATAGTTCTACATTTGTATGGATAAAAGTAGAATGGATAAAAGTAGTATGGATAAAAGTAGTATGGATAAAAGTAGTTTGGATAAAAGTAGAAGCTGATGATCAATTGAAAAGAAAAGTTGTCAAATTAAAATAAATAAAATTATTTTTGCTTTGTATATATCTAAATGGCGAAATATTTGTTATGCTGATTTTTAGTTGCAAAATCTTATTAAGAAATTGAGACACAAAAATATTTAGAATATAGAGAACATATTAATCTGAAAATTTATAAGCTCAAAATTCTAAAATTGAATCTTTATTAAACCAAAGAAGTAATGTTAATTCTTTCAGCTTACTGATTATTAACTCAACTTGATTTTTGAGACGTTTTGTAGGTTAATAATGTGCTTTAAAACCATTAAATGTGTACTTTTATTGTAGATTTTCAAATTGACATGTATTTATATACAGGTTTATAAGGCACGTTATAACTCAAAACATAACAAATAAAACTGCAAAAATGTGCATTCTTAATCAGTTCATAAACGACAACAACATCATTTGAAGACCAATCAATCTAAAAAATAGTATTCAAATTGCAATTTTTATACAAAACTAACAAAATTCAAAACTTTTTGGGAGTTATGTGACATCAAGTGATTGAAATAGATATATGCATAAATTCTTATTCATTTTGGTGCAGATTAAACTAAAAAATGCAAAAAAGAAAACTTCAGACTTGAAGAGTAAGTTATACTGTAAAACTAGAGCTTTGCAGCGCTGAACGCTTATACTTTGAGATAAGGTTCATGCGTTCGTTACCATCAAAATTCTCAATTGGGGGTTTATCAGTCATTACATTATACATTAAAGTAGGAAAATAGTAGAAAATTAATAAATAGAAGGCTTTAATGCTAAAGCCTGTCGTTCATATGAATGACTAAACTGACTGGAAAGTCCTTAATAGTACAAGGCAGCTATAAAGTCACATATGCTGCTCTAAACCCCCGTTTTAAAAAAATTGAGAATTTTGCCAAATGACGGCGAAGCACGTCAATTCTTTTCTAGACTCATGTGTCACCAACATCAAAATGCCCTTTTTATTGATTCATCAGATACCCCTACTTTCTCCCTTCTCAAATATATAGGTTGTTTTTCCATTGATCTCTTGGTTGTTGAGATATTCAACGTTTTGTCTAGTCTCCATCAATATTGTATCTACACCGACAAAAGTAGCACCAAAAGATAGATCTCGCTCTCAGTAAAAAACAAGACTAATAAAATCAAGCAGTACTCCTCTGATTCTTGAGTTATTGACGTTTTTAGTTTTGGCTTATATGCAGTCACATATAAATACAACTCAAAATGCAATATTTCAAAATCGACTTTTCCAAGACAATTAAAACTATTTCAATTTCTAAAATATTAATGTCATTATAAACTTAGTCAAAAAGTGAGTGTAATTTATATGACACTTTTATCTCCAACTTGAAAGATCACGGAGTGAAAGCCATTTAAAAAAAGATGAAACGAAGAGTGAATTTTTTCTTATATGCAGTATTTTGTATTGAAAAATTTTGCAACTCAGACTTCCAATTATAATCGTAGCTATATAAGTGTTTATATTAATCTCAAGCTTATGAATTTTTAAATGTAATTAATATTAAACTTTAAGCTTCCACTTTAACAAGAAAGAAGTTATTTAGGTCGTTCGACAACCACAAAACGTGATCTCGGTGGTATAAATCCGGCTTTGTGTAATATTGACTTTTAAAGTGCTCAAAACTAAAATGGTCTATATCTTCTTATTTGGCAACGCTAACAGCACTGAGAATTGTTTTTTAGTGTTTTCAGATCAAGATCTAGTATTTACAACTATTTTGAAACCCGTAGCTGCTCATTTGAGCGAGTTGGGCATTTTGCTTAATATCTCAAGAACTAGAAGACATTTAGCAATGAGACCTAGTTCGTTGGATTGGTGTAGACCAAAGGTATTCAAAACTGCAATAAAAAATATCAGAGAAAAAAAAGTGAAATGCTCGGGCGCAAAATGATGAATTCTCAAAATTTTTTAGGGGTAGTTTTACAGACTATTAAGCCATATTGAGAACTCTGAGTACCATCAAGTTTCAATAGGCAACATGCTTGCACTATATTCAACACTCCATTGGCTCTGTTTGCTCAAACGATAGTGTTGTGCAGAGACATGTCTTTTAATTTTGCAACAATTAATTTGATGATAGCTGTAAACCACCCCTATTTGAGAATTTTCTAGGGTACGTCAATAAGTTTGGGTCTAAATGTTTCGTCGGCCAACGCTTTATGTTGCATAATTCAATATTCTTAATGTTGACAGTTTTCAGTTAAAAAACATGCACAAAATCTTTTTTTGGATTTTCCCAAATATTAAGTCCCAGAGTTACCGCCTTTTGTAATGGCTATTATTTGACTGTGCTAGTGCCATACTGTTAGTTTTATTAAGGCTGTAATGCCAATCTTGTAGCTACAAAGTATTTTTAGATAACTACATTTTGATATGTTTATATTTGCAATTTTTTGGTGTGTAATAGCTACAAAATATCAACTAATTGGTAGCAACTTCTGAAACAGACATTTTTGGCTCTATATATTGTAGTAATGTTGATTTTGTTTTAGATTGTCCTTCCAAAAAATAAATAGCAATAATTCTTAGGAACAATTCAAAGTTATGACTAAAATAACTGGCATCAATAAATAATCGTATACAAGATCCAGCCAGACTTGACCATCAGCTCAATTCCAGTAAAATTTTGTGCACAAATCTCTGTTTGATCTATTTCTTTCTTCAGTCTTTTTGCGAAATCAAATTAAGTAATTATTTGTGTGTTTTTTTTCTTTTTCTAAATGGTATGGTCTTTGTAATCTTTCACGTTGTAATGTGTAAATTATCTACTTGAACAGCATTGAATTGAGATTGTTCAAATTTGACTAAAACAAATGATGAAGATTCAATTCAACAATTGTAGTATCAACTTTATAACACTTACAATCTACGAATGCTATTTTTAATATTAGATTTATGATCTTTAACATTTGCTGACACTGCAAGTTGTTTTAAATATGATTGTTTAAATACCTCTCTTGCCGAAAACTAGATGTTTAAAGTCTCATTTATCGATACTATTAAACTACTAGAGTCTTGAGTATTTTGTTTAATTGTTTGAAGTAAAAACACTGCTTTAGATACATTTTTACTGTCCGGAGCTTCAAATCAAATTGATCATTTTTAGCTGCGTCAGCTTTTGGTGCTTGTGTAATTTTCTAAAGCTGAGAGTAATGCTGCTAAAGATTAAAATGGTCAATTGTTGATAATTGCGTCAGGAAGTGAAGGTACGTGAATAAGGTCATCGATCAATTGATTAAACTCTCTTGTAAAGTAAAGAAGACTGAACTATTTATTTTAAATTAACTCCAATATCATCAGCTAAAGAAAAACACTTCTAGGTTGCATTCAAGTTATTTTTTTAGATTTAGCAAGCTTGATGGACACTTAATAAACATATAAAATATTGAAAAAAAAAAAAAAAAATCTAGTGTAAAACTTGTGATCGTACATTTGCTTTAATTTTTCTCTGTTCGTTGGTTTTTGTCTTTTGACGAAAGTCTACTAATTTGCTTACTGTTTATTATCTACTGTCACGATAGCTAAATTGCTTATAGCAGAGTGCGTACAGATTGTCAGTTTCCAACTACAACAAAAATTACACTGGCTTTTTTAATCATCACTTTCTGCCATATCTATAATATATATGAAACAGCTTTAAGATATGACCCTTTTTGTGTAACCTCTATTTTAGATTTCAGATTCTTAACTTAACTAGTAAAATTTACCACGGTAATTTTTGTAATTCTTTACAACACTTTTTCTTTCCAGTCAGTATCATATTATTTTCACTTATAAGAAACTATTATATGTAAATCAAGAACATTGATTTGACATTTGGAATTTAAATGAAAGCCTCAAACGATTTTTGATTGCAATGAAGCTCCATTTTTGATTGATTCATTGGACCCAGAATTTTCGCTTACGAATTTGGGCTAGTCTTAATCATTTGTTGCAACAATGCTCCAAATTAGTATATTTCAGAATAAGTGCATTAATTAATTCTTTCCACTTAAACTTTAATTAATTAAATATTTTATATTCAATAATAATAATGATAAAAGATTAAACTTATATGATTAATCTTGTGGTTTTAGTTTATTCTAACTGAATAAAAATTGGTTTTTTTTTCAAATTATTACTTATTAATTTATCATCTGTTATTAAATTTTTATTGCTATATTTAATGAGTTGAATTAATTTTTTATACCTACAATTTTTTTTCCAATACTAAATAATTGGACTGAATGGTTTTTGTTAGGTTCCAAAAGAAAAATTCATTGAAATGCTTATTGAATTTGGTAAGCTTTAATTGTATGTTCATTTTGTTTTATAATACGTAAAGAACGGGATTATGACAAAGGATTGTAAAACAAAATATGCCTTTTATTTGTTTTTGACATCTGGAATGGGTTATTACGGATTTCAAAAATGATGGTACTTATATTCACTTGATGTATATGTATGATGAATTTGTCTGTATAACTATTTTCTATTTTTGTTTGTACTATTTTATAGTCTTTTCATTAATCAAAGATTTTAATCTTGAGATTTGAAATATATCTGACTTTGCTTCAACTGATCCATCTGAGTTAGTAACTTTTCAGATTGTGCTATCTTTATTTGTAAGTTCTGATCAAAAAGTTGATGAATTTGATGGGAAAGTGATTACAATCGCTAATAAAGATCCTGATTGAGAAACTGTCAAGATTTTGGCATCAAGATCTATTTCATCAAGATTTGAAGCTAGGTCTGAAAAAGCGGTTTATGACACAAAGAGATGTGAAACGACAGATCTGAAATACGTTTTGAATCTATGTGTTTCATGTAATGACAGATTTGAAACAAGGTTCGAGTCCACACGATATACAATAATTATATAGGCTATGAATGAATCTCTGTTTGACTTACTAACTTGAAACTACTAAAGTGTTTTCAATTTCATCAAAGTTTATATCACCAAAATATCTTTGATTGTAGAAGCATTGCGTAGACTATGAAGCCTGAAGCTTTCAAATACCAGTATGTTAGAATTGATAGCCAGAGATTATGAAATACGAACAATAAACTTTCAAGGAAAACGAAATGTACCACTAAAAACAAAAAACAAATGTATGGCTCAATTCCGTTTTTACTCTCAAACACTAGCCAAATGAAGTAATTCCAGTTTATAATATTTAAGAATGATTTGAGCTATTGCTTCTGCAATTAGACATTTTGAATTCATTCAAGAATTATTATATTTAATAGGTTATGATTATCACGAAAAACAGCATTGAATTTGTATAACAATTTCTCATTTCATTGATCAATATTACATTTATTATATAAAGGTAATAATGTTTTGAAACAGTTTGGATTTAAAGTAAATGAAGAAAATAATTTAATATTTATAAAATATTTAATTTTCAATAAAATTTTCAAACCATTTGATATATTAATTTCAGTGATTAAAAATTATTTATTAAGAAGAAATATTCATCAAGTTGATCTATCAACATTTGAGTTATATCAACATGAATTTTTATATGTTATGAATAAAATGAACGGTAACAATTTCTCAAAGAATTTTGAAAATGATCCAATTTATGGCTTATATTATTCTGGATTTCAAAGCTTGAGTAGAAGAATTGAATTTTGAAAGAAACCCATAAAGATGCGAAATCTGAATAAAAGTTGAGAAATAGAAATGAATTAGTAAATTGAACATTGATTAATTGTGCCTGTAAGTTCGTAATTAATTTGAAGTTATTTGATATTTTATATGTTTTAAATTTGCAACTTTGTTTGGGTGCAAAATAAACAAAACTTTAAACTTATATGGTAGCATCATTCGAAACAAGTCTGTAGTTTCATGTCATTAATTTTTAATTGTTGATTTCTGAACATCGTATGTCTAGGGTATTTTTGGCTTGTAAGTCAATCCTGGTGACTATTTCAATTGTTTGGTGGTTTGAATCGGGTCAGACTGGGGCTAGTTCGTGTATACTTTATCACATTTGTCCTTTCTCTTTAGTCTTGTTAATTGCATTAAACCCAAACTAGATCTAGCTACCAGAATCATTAGATTCGTAACAGAATCATTGAGATTCGAGTCTGGATCTCAACCTCGATCTGATTCCGTACTTTATATCTCTTCAAACTCAAAGTAAAAATTGATCTTGATCTGGTTCCAACCTTTCCATAACACTTCATATCTAGCTAAAATCTACAGATCTTGATCTCGATCGATTTCAACACTAACTAAACTTCTAGCTGAGATTTAAAAAATCCTGACCTCGATCTAAATCTGGTCTCTCCTACCTCACATCTGTCCGAGATTCAGTTGGATCTAGCTTCCAGATCCCGAGCTAGAGCTTGCCGATCCATATCAAAAAACCTAAACCAGCATAACAAAACTCGTTGGGATCTAGCATAACAAAAAGTTTAGATCCAGCATAACAAAAACTTAAAACAAGCATAACAAAAAATCTGAAACAAGCATATCAAAATCTTAAGATCTAGCATATCAAAATCTGCAGATTTAACATACCAAAAAACCTTAGATCCAGCATAACAAAAACTTGAAACAAGCAAGCATAACAAAATATCTGAAACAAGCATAACAAAAATTTGAAACAAGCATAACAAAATCATAACAGAATCTCTACGATCCAAATCTTGATCTCGATCTCAGACCATCTCTACCACAATAGTTAATTTGGGTTTGAGATCCAGGAAATCTCGATCTCGATCTCATTTGAACCTTACCACAATAGTTTATTTCAGTTTGAGATTTAGGAATCTAAGGTTTTGATCTCAATTGCAATACTCAGCACGAAAAAATTGCGCTAGATCTATCCTGTATTTGAGTCATTACCCTTTGTAAATAAGTGCTCTTTGTGTCCCCCCAAACCAGAGGTTAGTAACAATATCTTAATAAAAAGTAATCTGGTGTTTTTTGTAATGCTAATAACATTATTGTAGCTTATTCTTTTCTATACGCTACTGGTTTGTGTATCATAAATTTTTTTTTGTGTATTGTTTAGAAGTATTAAAAAATGACATAGTTTTTCATTCATGTCGTGAACTAGTTTTTGTCATTGCGCTATTTTTGCCTTCATGACAGCCACATAGTTAAATCTTATTGACTATATACAGTACACTAATAATAATTTTATCTATTTGATCTATTTAAAATAATCGATTTTAATCATAAAATCACATTAAAATAACCATTGTACAAAACAAATTTACTATTAGTCCTTGTAATCATATTTAACTTTGTTACTCGCCAGCAAATCATATTAAAATCAATTGTTCGGGATACGAACATAATTCAACAACTACAATTAAAATTAGCTCAATACAAGATGTCTCATAATTATCATTTCGATGTCACAATGTCATGTTCCGGATGTTCAGGAGCAATAGAAAGAGTCTTGAATAAGTTGGATAATAATTCAAAGGTTGATATTTCATTGGATAAACAAACTGTTGATATTTCTACTGACAAAGATTATGATACTGTCTACAATACAATTCAGAAAACTGGTAAAAAGATTAATGATGGTAGAATTATAAGTTAAGTCGATTGGGGTTGCTACAAACACTCATAAATTGGTTCTTACAAAAGTTAATTACTACTATAATTTTATACATTTATTGGGTATAGTATATATTCAAAGTTTCAAGTAATTGTCAAAATCTTCGTAGGAGCTTCTGGATCAGTCATCCTCAGTCATATTTCTAAATTCTATAATTTCATTGATATAATTATCTCTAATTTCACTTTTCAAAAATATACTAGTTAATAATTTAATTATTTCATTTGTTGATAAATCAAATAATTCTCCATTATAAAATCTATCCATGATATCTTTCAAATGATTATTTAATAAAAAGTTGATGTTATTTAATTTATTAAATGAGTTGATTTCATCTTTTGTTGTTTCTATTAGACTCAAATATGATACTGTTATGTTGTTAAGGTTGCTAATTATCAAACTTATTAAAGTACATTGATATTCTGATATATCATCAAAATTTAATATGACACTTATAACCAAATTATTGCAAAATTCAATTAATTCAATTATCAAAACTTTGAATTTTTGAAAATTCGTTGCTTTCAAGCTTTTTTCTTCGAAGAATATTCTGAACCATTGATAAATTAAACTTAATTGATTTAAGTTATAATCATTTAATTGCTTTGTTGATTCTTCGTCTTCGTCTTCATCTAAAACTTCTTCATGCTCAAAATTTATTGATAAAATTAATATTTTCAATTCTTGATAAAACTGAATCAATACTTGATTCCACATATCATTTGCATATGTTATGAAAGATGAATCTTGTATATCTTTCGATAGTTTTAAAAGATCATTATAGATTAAAAATGAATTTTTTAAGGATGGATACTTTATAGGTGATATCGATTCAATACTTAAGTTCAAATATTTAAAATTTGTTGAATAGTTTGAAAAGTCTTTGTAAATATTGAGCAAAGATTCAGGCAAGGTTGATATAGTTATTACATTAGAAGTACTTGATGATCTTGGTTTAACTTTTTCCTCCAGAATTTTATTTTCATCTTCATTATCTTGATCCCACCCATCATCCCAACTTTCATTCCATCCATCGTCATTGTCATCCTCTGGATTGCCATTAAGATTCAATTCTTGATTTTTCGGCTCTTCTTGTATTAAATCAAATTCGTCTTCTATTTCTTTTGTTTCACTAAAATTGGTTCCATTTATCAAATCCCTAATTTTGTTGATATACTTGTCTATTGTCCAATCCAAGTGTAATTCTTTTAGTTTTTCTTCAATGGTTTCATTGTTCCCAACTGTGAACAAAACTTTCCAATCATTTGATTCACATTCCTTAATTAGATTATTCAATTGTGATATCAATAAATCATTATTAATTATCGTATTGATGTTCTTGAATACTAAATTATTCAAGTTTTTGGAGATTTTTGTATTCAAAAATTGTTTCGTTGGTTTATGATTTAATTGATTTATGAATTTGATAAAATTACCATATGCAAGAATGAAGCTGTTATCTTCGTTACTATTTGATGCATTGTTTGTAAAATTCATTTCAACACGATTTCCATCTTCCTTCTCAATTAATGTTATACCATATTTATTGTTGAGCTTTTCGTTATAACCTCTATAAATTTCATCAACTATGCCGTCGTACTTTAACTTGTAAGAATTGTATAATTTTAGTTGAAAATCATTTTTGATCAAAAAGGAATTAAAATCATTTAATAAGGATACATTAGTGATTGAGAATTCGTTTGGAATTATTATTTTCAAATAGTCATTTAAGATTTCCATGTATTGTTGATAATGTCTGACAATTTTTCGGGTTATTTGTTTATAAATCACGTAGTTTGAATTGTGAGAAGATGATAATTCCAATTGTATTTTTTTAAACAAGTCATTCAAATATTGTAGATCTAGTAATGAATTAGGTGTTATCTCCAAGTTGTTTATTAATTTTTCAATTTCATTAAATGATGTAGTGATCTCATTAAGACTGTTTAGTTGATAAAGATGTTTCTCCGTGCTTTCTAATTTAGTATTTAATTGATTTAGTGAAAGGAGGTTTAGGTTTGAAATTCTGTCATCCTCATTTATGGACTGAAGTTGGCTCTGGTTTGCATTTGATATTGCGGTTGTTATTAATTGTTTCAAAGCTGAATCATCTTTTACTGATATTAAAATATTATTTATTTCCTCATCACATTCTTTAAGCCCCTCGTATTGATCACTCAATCTTTTATCAACGACTGAGGTCATGAGTTAGTCTTTTCGTGAACCTTAGTTCAATTCTAGTTTGATTTACTTATAATAATCTTTATGTTAGTAATTAATAATTTTAGATGTCGTTAAATTCAGTGTCAGATTTATAAAATGACATTAAATTTTTATCAACAAGTAACAAAACCAATACCAATTTTAAATGCCAATACTATATTTATCTCAAAAACAATCAGCCACCACAAGCAGAGATATAGCAATCAATCAGGCTACATAATTGGCCATAATCAGCAATAAGGGTGTAATTATAGTGGTACACGAGTACAACAATTATAAAGAAACTTCAGGCGTTCAAATTTAAATTTTACAAGAAGACAACACAAGATAAATGAATGTATCAGTATCAATACCTAAGTCATTCTCAGAACAATCTTTAGATTGCTCAACTCCTAAATTTAAACTGGAATCAAGAAACGTTGGGTATACACGAGAAGTAGATACCAAGCAGTTGGCAATTCCGTCATTTAGTTATAATAAACAGCAATATGCGTTAATTAAGCATTTATCAAGACTATGGAATTTACCATCATCTTATCAGACAATTTCATTACTATCCAAGAATGGAATAAATACAAATGAGATAAGGAAGACAAATAAGGAACTAAATGAAAAATTATTTGACTTAAATGTCATAAAACAATCCGATTTACCAACGAAATTGTTCTACTTATCTTTAAATGTACTTTCATCAATATTAGAGAATAATGAATGTATATACTTAATCAACGTTACCGCAGAATCAAATGCAAAAAGCTCGGATAAAAATGGAGAGGAAAAAGAAGATATTGATGTTGAGAAAACTAAAAAGTCTGAAGAAGATGACGAAAATGAATCACCAATTGAGGACGAGGAAGAAGACGAAGTTGATGATAATGAGAACGATGATGAAGAAGAAGAAGAAGATGATGATGATGACTCGGAGGATGATGAAGGAGATACATTTGAAGTGGAAATGAAGAAAACTGAGAAGAAACAAAAATTACATCGCCATATCCATAAACACAAATTCGACATGAAATTTTTAGGTGATGATAAAGTTACCATAAGTCAAGTATTTCCTCAATATGGATTAGTGGAATCAACAATACAACTAACTCATGGGCTGTTCGGCTCTTTAAATCCATCAACAAAATTAAATTTTTATAAACAAATTCCAAATCACGTTGGATTCAAATTCTTACCAAACACAAAGCTTAATTTCGATGAAAGAGAGTTACTTTTGAATACAAATAGTATTTCCAATATTCAAATGCGTGATGAAATGGCTGGTGGAGATAAGAAACGTAATTTTAGGAGACCACTTGGAAAGTCAAAGAAAAATAATATTCATCTTGATCCAAATACTTTAGATTTAAGTGAATCAGTCATACCAGGACAAGGGTATATTCCTGAGTTTAACATTAATCATTTGTGTAAAGTCCCAAATTATTATGTTACTTCAAACAATCAGTCTACACAACAATCTTTCAATACGAAAAAACTAAACACAACTTCAAATTCGTCATTCCTATTCAATGATGGTATTAAAATGTCAAAAAATATTCAACAACTTATTTTCAGTAATGATAGTGATAATTATCATCATTCTAAGTACTACTATACAAAAGGGTATAGAGGACCAGGATCTGGAAATTATAAAGATGGTGCATTAATGAATAAGATTAATAAAATACATACAACACAAGATAAAAGAAGATTTCATAAAAGAAAAATACTGAGTAAAGACAGATATAATAAATCTTTGAAAGGTTTGTTACATGATAAATTCAATGCCAATTTTGTGGAGTCATTGTTGGCTGAACAACGTAAATACACAGAAGATTACTCAAATCTTGAGATGTTACACAATAATTTGCAATACAATTTATTATTAAATTCATATAGAAGCATTTCGCAAGATACCTGGAATTGTTATTTCAAATTCAAATCATTTGATTTCGAGCAATATAATGCTTTACAAATGGAAAAAAATGAGATTGAGGCAAAAAATCTTGCATCGGAAGAACATAGAAAGTGGACCGAAGATGAAAAACTTAGAGAAGAAAGATTGAGAATGGTCTTTGATGATGAAAGATTGGCATTTGAGAAATTACAACAAAAATTTATGGAAAAACAGAAACAACTAGAAGAAAAGAAACGACGTGAACAACTAGAGCTTTCGTTTGATGACTCATATGATAAAGAAGATGAAGATATGGATAAGAATGAAGATTTTGATAATCTTAGATTAGGTTTTGAAAAAGAAAGAAGTGACTTAGAGAAAGAATTTAATGATAAAAAGAAATCCTTTTTAAATTCATCAAAACTTCCACAGCCAGTAGAGACTCCTCAATTAAATATTGTATCAAGATTTACCTCACCAGCTGCTTATCCAGATATTGCAAGACATTTACCACTTGAATTAAGATCTACAGTTGATTTGAATAAAGACGAAGTTCCTTCTATTAAACATCCCATACAATACGTTGCCACTTATCCAATTACTGGTAATGAAGAGTACTTGACCAAATTTGAGATTGTTAAAATTCCAAACGCTAATTCATTTGGATGGGACAATATTAAAAAATACAAGAGGACTTAAAACCAAATGAGATTTTCGGTAGTTACGTAGTATATATTAATCTATTCTGTACTAACGAACCAGCTCCATTTATCTTTATTTTTAAAAGTATTTTTAGAAGAACCCTGAGCCTCTCCATAGCATAGACAATAATGTTCCAACAAAAGCTTGATTTCTTCTATTTCATCTATCAATTCTAGAGAATTAATTCTTTTCAACTCCTCAGCACCAATCCAAGGTTCAGATTTTTTACTGTAGCCTGCCACATTACTCAAATCAGTCATCCTAATATTTGATAACTTACAAGATTCTTTTAAAAATTTTGTTCTTGATTCCAAGTCTGGATATTCATCAAATGTTTGTAAGTTTATACCTCGACCCATTAAATTTTGATTCATGGTTGATCCAAATGAGTCTTTCAATGACATTGGCTCAAATATTAGAAAACTAGTTAAATTTGAATTTAAAGATTCAGTCCAAAACTTGATTGCTGAGTGGTATTCCTTAGGTGATAAATAACATAGTACACATTCACTAATTACCAAGGTTGGCGAATTTGAGTTTAAACCTTGTAGTTGGTTTTTTGAAGTTAGTTCTCTTAAATCTAAACCATGAAGATGATAGCTTGAAGTATGTAGATTAGGGTCGAAGCTACTGAATGATTCCTTCGAATCAATTTTGGGAACTTCAAGTTGCTCTATACCTAGTAGTTTCGATAATTTTGAATTGTTTAATATTGCTAATTTTTTGATTCTTGTAGATTCTGGAAAATCAACTTCATGATATTTCAATAAAGGAAAAGAGCCTAATAACTCAAAAACTCTGGTATCTGATCCACTACCTAGAGAAACAATTTGACAATCGCCATTGCAATACTTTACAAATTCAAGTATGATATCCGTGATGATTTTAGTTCGTAGATACGTCCCTCTGTTAATTAGTGGTAATTTTCTGCTTGAAAACTGATTTTTCAAAGTTCTTGATGATGAGAGGGATGAGTAACCTTGACAATACTGCAAATAAGTCTGATAAGATTTTATCAAGTCATTTATATAATCATCACTTGGTTGAAGGTAGTTTTTTTCATTTATACTATGTCGACAACTTAAAGCATCTAGGTCTGTGGCTCGTATTAATTTATCGTGTCTCTCCTCTGGTGAATTCATGACATCGACTTCTATGTTTGATAAACGTTGACAATTGATCTATTCATTTGTTGTTGAGGTATGATATAGTAGATTTCCATTCAAGATTAATTTTGAGTAATAAGTTCGCAACTCTACTCTTTTTCTAACTATTAAGTTTCAATCCAAGAAGGACAATTAATTAGAGATCTATTTTAGAAAGAGCTGTTTTTTAAATAACTGGTGTAAGCGTTTATTTGACTAACTAAGCTAGCGCTATTTGGAAAGCTATTTGGTTTGAAACAGCTTGAGAGACTTATTGCAGCATCTACAAATCTTCACTCGTATTCCATAATTCAGGAATTATTTCATGATTTGCTTTATCCTGTCTACCCTTTTTCAGATCTAGATAAGTCTTACAGATCTACGATAATAACCGAGTGAGACAGATCCAGGGAAATCAGATTTAATCGATCTTAGTAGATCTCATTTAGCCATCAACGTTAATACTCAATAAAGTGGAATGCTTATTAATCGAATGTAACTTAAATTTTCTCAATAATTATCCACCAATTATCTTTTTCATATCCTTGATCTACTATCTTACAAGCTTTTGTTGCCAATGCATTTTCGGCTATTTCTCCTTTTTTGTACAAATGATAATACCTATATTTGGTTTCTTCGGGAGGATCTTGTTCTTCGTCTTCATCAAGTTTTGCATCATTGCCTAAAATTTTTCGATCATTGCAATTGTCATTGTGAAGTTTTCCATTACCTTTTTTCACAGCCTTCTTCTGATTCTTCTTCAAAACCCAAGGTATCAATATATCTTGTTCATCTCCTTCTTTATATCCACGTCTGGAATTTTCCTGTTCTAAAGCCCAACAATAAATTAAACACTGTCCTTTCTGTTTTAATTTGGATAAAATATGTTGTATGGCTTGAACTCTACGATTTTCATTTGCAAAATGGTGAATAACTGCAATGGATATAGCAAAGTCAAACATATTATTTGGATGAGGCAAAGACAAACCATCTGCTATACCTAAATTGTATTGATTTTTGGATATTTCTTGTCCACATTGTATTAAACCCAGTGATCTATCTGTTCCAATAATGAATAAATCTTCTGAAACATTTAAATATTTACCATTACCACATCCAACATCTAATCCAATTGAATATTTAGGTCTATTTTTCAAAAAAGTTTCCACTATTGGCCATGGTTTGTACCTGGTTTGTGAAAAATGAGGTGCTATTTCATTGTAAACGTCATGTACATAAACTTCTTCTTGTAGTGATGGTTGCAAATCTTTCTCAATTGTTAAAGACGGAAGGGCAGACATTTGAAAATTGTTGTGACTGACTAAACCGTATAAATAAAATAATGGTAATATCGCTAAGAATTTGAAACAGACTAAATTATATTGACAGCTTTGGTCGTGAACTGAAATTTAGAGTCGTCTTGGTAAATAAGTTTACAATGTGATATTTTGTACCTTGATTTTTTTTTTTTTTCACAAATTTTCAGTATACATATGGGATTGAAGAAAACATTTATAGAAGTATTCTACGTGACGATAAAGTGAAGAATATAAAATTAGCATATTGATTCATTGGTGTTTCCCAAAAAAAGAGAACAGGGAAAAACAATGTGCTGTCATGAATATAGTAACTAGAGTCGGAAGAATTAATTTTACTCATTTATTAATATACTTCATTGCAATTCTTTTACCGTGGATAAGTGTATCAGGTTCCAATCATTTAAGAAACCTTTTCAAGTTTGATAATAAATTAGATCATGATTTTAATTCTGGACCATTGTCATACCATCTACAAAAAGAACTAACATTCAAAATTCCAGTTCACATATATTACAACAATGAGAATTTTGAACTTCCGGATTTAATTGAAGCAACTCAAATACAAATAAACAATGAGTTAAGGAATCTAATAAATAATCATGAGAACAAGAATCTCTTAAAAATTGAATTATTTGATTGTCTAAAATATAATTGTACTAATAATGAAACTGAATATAAATTAGATCTAATACTAAATCGCGAGAATTCCCTTGGAGTATCATCGGACGAATTGAAAGCAATTGTTTTTTATTCATTAGATTCAATTCATTCTAATGATTTACCATTCTTAATTACTCAAACCATCCTCCATCATTTTCTTTATGGAGATATAGAACTTATTAATAGAAAATTAATCAAGGAGGATTTTGATGATGAGGTTTATTTCAAAATGGTATTTGCTGGTCCTGCGTTTGAAATGGAGGATATCAAGGATGGTGCACTCTTTGTTAGTGAAGTAATGAGTAACATAGAAGGGTCATCGGAACAAATCAATTGTTTAACTAAATTAGCCTGGGACATTTTACCGCAGGGCTCTTCACTTACAGATGCTGATTATACTGATGTTGATGAGGACAAATCTGAGAATAAAGTTATAATAATCTTTCCAAACAAATTAAGCAAAGTTTTAAAGATAAGTAACTTCATAGAGGAAAAAGATCAATTAATTTCCAAAATACTATCTATTATAGAGAAGCAATTAGGCTTACCTTCAAAACCAAGTAACAATTTTAATATAAAACTAAACGCTAGTCTAAGATGGAAAATCTTAAACACATTGAGCAAAGTCTCGCGAAGGATGGAAATGAGAAACAATGAAAGTGAAAACAAAGCTGAAGCTTTACTTGCAAAAGAGTACGTCGATCACTTTAAATCAATTATTCAAGAAATTAACAACAATTATGAAACTCATTCATTAATTAATCAATTGAACAAGTCCAAAAATTTATTATATACTTTAGAGTAAAGAATTAATATACATTTTTTTTATTTTGTTTCATTATTTATAATCAATTGGAACAACTCAAACCTTTATAAATGTCTGATTCAGTAAAAAGCTCTAAAAAGTAGCAGTATCTCATCTTTCAAATTTAGCCAAGTATAATTAGCTTCACCTTAAACTTATTGTTGATGAATTAAGTTCATTTGTGCAAAGTATAAGTATTAAGTGAAAAATTATTATATACAGGATTGTTTACGATTAAAAATGGAATTATTTATTACAATAATATAAACTATTATCTTAAAGATTATTACAAAGAACATTCAATAAAACAACTTATCAATTGATTGTCACATCATCATTTTAAACATCACTACTTGTGAAAATAATTAATCTTCTCATCATCATTGGCATAAGGAGTACTCATAAATTATATAAATATGGAGAATGAAGATAATTCCATAGAACAAACCAATTTGGACTCCGATCACCATCAACATGAATCTGTACTGCCAGAAAAGAATATAGAACTGGAAGAACTGGAAGAAGAACTTGAAATTCTGTCCGACTCGGATTCAGAAATAAGTTTAGACGAAGATGATGAAGAATTAATATGGAGAGTCTTTTTCAATCAATTAGAAAAACATAGAGAAGGAATTAATCAGTCTAACGAAGGTTTGCAAACGGATGGTAATACTTCAGATTATGACGTCGATTTAGAAACTAGTGATGATGATCAAAGTGATGTCTTGTCAATAAATTCAGAAGAATTAAATTTGGTGAATGATCCTTCATTAATATCTCGTTATAAATCTTTAAAAGAAGTTAATTTCGATAAAAATATGTCAGATGAAGATCAAAAAAGACTTTTAATATCAAATTTTACTGATGCTCAAATGGAAAGATTTGAAGCTTACAGAAGGCTGACAATTAATAAACCAGGTGTAAAAAAATTATGTAATGCAGTAATTGGTCATTCAGTCCCTCAAGTAATTGCAACAGTTGTTGCTGGTGTCGCAAAACTGTTCATGGGTGAGTTGATTACTAAATCTTTTGAGATTCAAGAAAGGGATAATAAAGGTAAATTATTGTTAGATATTGAAGAAAAGAAGTTATTAAAATCAAAATTTCTACAAGATGGTAAAGGATCAGACCTTAAACAAACTCCTTTAAAATATGAGGGAGATCGAAAACGTCCTTTACAACCATGTCATGTGAGAGAGGCCTGGAGATTATATGAAGAAGAGACTAGTGGCACTCTTAAATGATAATGATGTTCATTTCAAAAACATGTAATCGACATCCAAAGATAGTTAATCCTTTAGTCGAATAGATTTCAAGTCAATATAGCATCCCAGCTCTTGGTCGTTTAAGGAGAATCAAAATAAAGGTTGAAAGTTCACTCGTAAGAATTTCAGTCAAGGTTTGATAGTAGGAGTGCCTCAGTTATTACATTTGGTCTGATCAATTTTGATTGGTTTTTATTGGGTGAAAGTTCTGATCGATGCATTCAAATTAAAACAGATGGTGAATATTTTATTAAATATCTTGCAAATAAACCTCGGTCTAAATCAAGAAGATCTAATTGGATCTCATTCGTTTTGTGGACTGCGTGAATCTGAATCTTATTTGAGAATCTTGTGAATTTGTATAAGGTATATAATCAGTCTGATAGGCTCAGATTTGGGTCCATACTTACTTAGTTTAGATACAACAAAAGTTGATGGGTTAGTTGAAGCACTCAAGTCTTATTCAACTAATCTCAATATAAATGATTGCTATTTCTCACCTTATGGGGAAAAACATGGTTATTTATTGTGTGTATTTGAAATAAATGAACACATTGTGTATATTTTAAATAATAAAGTTGTAGTCAATTTCAATCATAAATTCGGAGACAATGAATCTTCAAATAAAATATAGCACCCTTTATTTGTCGCATATTGTGGTGAAGGGTGGCTACATCCAATTTTTAAAGCTACTTCTTAGAAAATAGAAACCTCAATGCCCAATTTTAAGCTTTGATAGAGAATTTGTAAATTATCATTTAAATTAATATAAGCGAATATTATTTAATTGTAAACATATTGTTGCGAAATTAATGAAATTGTGAATTCACCTCAATTAATATTATTCCTCATGAATTATGAAAGACACTAGAGGCAAGTGGACCTTTAAAATGGCCATAAAAAGAGCATAGATTCTAGTATTTGATTAAGATCAGTGAAAATACTCGAAATACTTTATTATCTTTTGAAACTATACAACTTGATCTAGTAATTTTTTTTTTCTTCCTGAAATCAACAGTAAAGACGCAAAATTATATTAGCGAGACGACAAAAATATTTAGTCAAAAATTACTACCATGATTCCAAAAAATGTCTGTATGAACGACTTATTTTCAAACTAAAAAATAATGGAAAAAAAAAAAAAAAAAAACACTCATAAAATTTTGTCTGATCAAAATTAACAGACAAAATTTTGTATTAGTATGATGTTTCAGATCTAACAACGATTTCTACACAAAACCTAAGCTTCAGATTTGATTTAACTTTGTGATCGCTTTTTAAGTACAACAATAAATTCTGTTTAGTAAGATAAGATGTATCACTGAGCAGGAATTTGAATTTTAGAATTTAAAAGAAACATTTTGTAAACCTACATTCAGAAACACTGTCAATTACGTAGAGTAGACTCTAAAAATTATGAAAAACGTATCGTAAAATTTTGTACAATTGAAGTGAAAGTGATCATTTGCTGTAAAATTACTCAATCAAACTAAGTTTACACTTTATTTTGTTTTTCGCATTTAAGTTGGTTCTTGCTACGTTCAGAGAAGCAATTGCTAAGACACCATTAGCTTCCACATTCATCAAAGACAAGGAATTCTGTATTCCGGGCGAGAAGTCAATCCTTCAAAATTTGCTAATACAGACTTGTAATAAGACAAAAAATAAATTGAATCAATTGAAGTAAAATATAATATTGTTGATTAATTAATAAATGACATAGCACAGTTGATATTATTGAAATAACAAATCTTCATCATCTTCCTAACACTATAGTCAACCAGTACAGTCACCAAGTCTCGCTTATTTTCATAGCCATATAAATACAATCTGGCAATACATCTTGGAAATAATAAAGATTCAACAACATAGTTCGAAAAGTGAAAACTGTCGAAACTTAAAGCAAGCAAACTTAACAAATATAAACCACTCGTATTGTCTTGATTGTCGTAGAGAATTGTTTTCGCTTGACTTTTGAGTTAAAGAAGCTCCAGATTGCAAATTTAACAAGTTATGAACTAAAATCAAAACAGATCGTTTACCGTGGTTGGTTTCTAGAAACAAGTTTCTACACTTGTAGCTCCCAAACGGAAAAATTTACTAATACCTAATGAACTACATAGTGATTATATATGCGATTTTTCAGTTTTTGACTTTACATTATATGGTTTTTTAACCTCTTTAATTCTTGGACATCTCGCTAATAGTTTACAAATTAAGTATGGTTGTTCTGAAGTGTTTCAGATCTAAGATCAAGATCCAATGAAATCTCAAATGAATTTAACTATTGCGGTAATGTTGTAGTTAGATCTCTGGTATGGCATAGCAAGGTACTGTAACTATTGGTGTAATGTTGCGTTCAGATCTGAAGATTTGGCATATCAAGATACTTCATGTATTGTGGTTGAGAACTGATCAAATCTAAACTTTATTTTTTTTGGATCTAGATTTAAGGTACAAGAGACCCCTGGGATCTGATTTGTTCTAGATTTTGATTTAGATTCAAGGTACAGAAACGTTTCAGATACCAAGCATTGAGAGTTCAGATTTGTGTTAAATAAAATATAGTCTAGTTTTTTGGTTCTTTTGAATTAGAATGAGTTAGGCAGGTGTTGGGTCAGTTGGAATTTGTAAAGACGTTATAGTTTAACAATGAAACTAACAGCTGAGACAACAAGAAACCGTTAATATAGCTTTTTCTGTTCGTGAAATATGTATACTTTATCGCTGATGCTGGTAATGATAAGTTTAGCAAACCTCTATTCTCCATTTTACGACACGACGCAAAATCTTAGTAGAATGAAGAAATGAAAAATTACTTGCTTAAAATCAAGAAGTTCAATTCTTACTTCAGTAATCTCATTCGTTTCACAACAACATTTAGGAACTCATTTTTACTTCAGCGACTTCTATATATTTATGAAATTTCTATTATTTACTATAAATGGTCGATCAATAATTCAAGGAAATAATTTGAAAAGGGTAAAATGGTTTAATTCCGGCTACGATTGTTTCGAGTTTGAGGAAAATGAAAATCGTTTAAAAAGCGGCTCTATCATTACTTAGCCAAGTAGATAGTTTCAAGGTGGATTTGGTTTAAAAGAGTTGGCTCAAATATTCACGAGGTTAATATGTGGTCAAAAATTAGTACAAATCATCGGAAAACTGGCCATAGATAGATTAAAGTGCCATTATTGTGGCCCTACAATACAAATCAATAAGAAAAGAATAGATCCAGTGAATTAGATATACCATTTCTGATATTGGTATTAAGTGTGGAGACTCAAAACATTTGTAAGATCAACAGACACAATTGCATCTAGAAACACTAAATTGATCAAGCAAAGCGGTAAAGCAGCATGTCTATAAACACTTGATTGTGCTATCAACTGGAGACAAGAAATTGGAAGAGTTATTGCACGAGGGGATCAGATAGGTTATTCAACTTGTTTAAGAGTATATCGCTAATGTCGTGTTGTCAGATTGTATTTCAAAACATTCGGCTTCGGCTGGAGATCTCGGTAAAAATTTTTCAAGTAATTTTCCACTCAGATCTTGATATATTGATGGCCAAGTGGTCAGTACTATGACAGAGATGGTAACACACGCTTGTTCAACTCGGTTTAAAGTCAGTATAACGCATTTATTTGATATGCTGAATTACGTTTTTTGTTATGCTAGATCTAATTTCTTTGTTATGCAAATTCTAAGCTTTTTGTTATGCTGAATCTACATTTATTGTTATGCTAGATCTACATTTATTGTTATGCTAGATCTACATTTATTGTTATGCTAGATCTATGTTTTATGTTATGCTAGATCCAAGTTTTTTGTTATGCTAGATCTACTTTTTTTGTTATGCAAATTCTAAGCTTTTTGTTACGCTGGATCTACATTTTTTGTTATGCTAGATCTACATTTTTTGATATGCTGAATCTACATTTTTTGTTATGCTGAATCTACATTCTTTGTTATGCTAGATCTACATTTATTGTTATGCTAGATCTACATTTATTGTTATGCTAGATCTATGTTTTATGTTATGCTAGATCCAAGTTTTTTGTTATGCTAGATCTACTTTTTTTGTTATGCAAATTCTAAGCTTTTTGTTACGCTGGATCTACATTTTTTGTTATGCTAGATCTACATTTTTTGATATGCTGAATCTACATTTTTTGTTATGCTGGATCTACATTTTTTGTTATGCTAGATCTACATTTATTGTTATGCTGAATCTAAGTTTTATGTTATGCAAGATTTTTGTTTTTTGTTATGCAGCTTGTGAAATTTTGTAATGCTCAATCCAAAGTTTTCGTTATGCTTTATCTAAGTTTCGACTCATTGTTATGACAAAGTATTTGGATATGTATGATGGGGCTTTTTAGATAGCTTTGAAGGGTTAACTGCTATTCAAATGTCATGAGAGATGGAATGTTGGAATAGGGGACGTAGGAACAGAATAACCAGAATTCAAATAGAATAGATCTGTATTTTTCCACTGAATATCAGTATTGATCTTTGTATTAATTCACAAAACTGGGTCCAAGATTTTGTTGGCTTGCATTAACGAACTAGAACATATGACCCCAAAATTAGGATTGCGTATTGAACTCGTTTTATCGACAGCTGATATATGAACTAGAATCTGTATACTTTGATTCGAGTTTTTGCAGATGAAGCAATTTAAATCGATAAATCAAATCTTCTAATTTTGACTCGTCTTTCCAACTCTAAAACTAACAGCATGTCATTTGAGTTGATGAACTCCGAGTACAAATTTCGAAGGGCTCAAACAACATAAAACAGAGATCTCACGTTATGATCCAATTCACAGTAAGATCTTAATCTATAAAACTAAAATTTAGATTCAAGGATCTCTGGCCAAGATCTAAATTTCTAATCTATGACTTAGATATCAAATGCAACAGAGATCACACGTTAAGATCCAATACTCAGTTATTTTTCCAAAGACCTTGATT